GTCGTCGAGACAGGGTAACGTGATTACACTTGTAGATCGTAGCTGCGGCCCGGATACTGAGATTTTGGTCTTTTCTGATAGCTTGAAGAGCAAGATTTATTTTTCGTTCCTCATTAATAGTTGCCATCGCTGGTGGTGGAGAAAATCATATTGAAAGTTGGATGGTATGGAAATTTGGTGAGGTGTTTCACTCGCTTGTCTGTTTCACTCGCTTATCATGCACGTTATACAGATATATATGTTAATATTATCAAACGACGCGATTGGCCTAATTAGGAGACAGCTCAGTACAGTACTCAGTACTGCTACTAATGTACCATATATATACGGATATAGTGTATCCATATGGACCACTGGTATATAGGTTAGGTATATAATTATATATATATATATAAGTTATATATACATGCACCTTATTACTACTGTACCAGCAAACGAGGCATGGATGGCATGGCACAGCTTGATTGATAGAGACGGGAACTGGGGACTGGTGACTTCGCGAGGCTCGCTCCCTCTCTCTCTCTCTCTCTCTCCTAGGTGAATGGACTACATACATGTACGGATACATGTACGATTGATTGACTCTATATATGATTGAACGCAGCATAGAAGCGGTATGTATGTATGTATCTTAGTAATGGATGTGAGAAATTGATCTCAGCCTCACCGCATGATGCGACGGACTAAAATCAGAAATTGGATTCACGACCACTGAACTGACATTGACATAGACATAGACATTGACATTGACATCGACTACTGACACTCACTGGTCTGATCTGATCTGATATCATGATTGTTCATTATTCTCAATCCATCAATCAACAGCAGAGCTCCCACGGCCCAAAATATGTGACGTGCTTGTATCTAAAGTAGCTGGCCTCCCCCATCTTCCTGGAAACTGGACTGTATGGCTGGTAAGGGATGGGATGTCATGCATGCCTCGCCTCAAACCTCGCGGTCAACTTCTCCCCGGCCACCCTTGGCAAGACAGCCCAAGTGTCCGCACCGCGGCGAGCGACTGGCTCTTGCCCTTGGCCCTTGCTCACTGCATTGCGGAAACCCTCGACCTCGTGAACTTGAACGAGATCACGAGAAATAGCTCCTCACCGTCGTCTGCCCGTCAGGCGAGAGAGTCTGCAAGACCTGGTCGGCGTTGATGCCCGTTTGGGCTACCATCTGTTTGGCACTCTCGGCGACTTTTTTGGCCGTCTGGCCTTGGATCGTCTCGGCCTCGAGCGCCGACGCGATATGGTGAAACACTTGTTGCGCTTTGGCAAACACGGCCGGGTTTTGCCTGCAATGACACCACACGTGTTAGTCTCTCTCGTCTTCATTATGCCGTCGGCGGGAACAACAGCAACAAAGCAACAACGAAAAGGAATGGTGGGTTGACTTACTGGTCAATCAGCTGCGCGACAAAAGAGTAGGCATAGGGTGCGGCTTCCTCGTCATTGACGACCGGTAGCGTATCGAGCCATTGCTCCACGACCTGCTGCGGATTCGGCACCTTGGAGGAATTGTAGTGCAAAACCTTGGCGATGGCGGCGCACGCGTTTTCGGTGGCAAAGACCTCGTCGTCCCCTCTGGCGTTCGGGACTCGGGTGATCTGGAAGAGTATTTCGAGACTGGCCGCCACGAAATCCGACCATTGCTCGCCCCCCTTCTGGGCAGCGATGCCCACTCCATACGCAGCAGCTTGTCGATTCGCCGCGTTCTCGTCCCTCATCCCGTTGATGAGTGGTTGGATGATGTGGTCGTTGTATTGCCAGGATTGAGGCCCACAAAACTCCAACACATCGTCCATGATGCAGATCGCCCATTGCCGCTGCATCGGGTCGCTGTTGTTCATGAAGGCGTCGTAGAATGGCATCAGTCTCTGCCATTGACCCAAGAAATTGACGCCCATGTTCTTGAAGATGGTGTGGAAAGCCTTGTTCATGTCCGACAACAGTGACTGGTCGTCCTCGATCGCGTACTGGACCGACAACGAGTCATCGTCTTCATCGGCCGCTTGTTGTGCGGATTCCGCCCTTTCCTCGGCCCGCTCTTGCACGCGTTTCTGGAATTCTTCCAGGGTTGACTTGACCGATTGGACGAACTGCTCCGTGTGTTCTTGTGTCAAACAGTTCTTACCCACCACTTCCACACTTTCGTAAAAGCATTGGTACATTTCGGCCAAAGTGTCGACTGCGGGTTCTGCACTGAGGATCTCAATCTCCTTTTCACAACACGTGGCCCACAGCTCCATAAGTTGAGGTGACTGCTCCCCGTATTGTTTCTTGTACGAGTTCAGTAGTTGAGGGATCAATTTCGCCGACGCCACCCGGACAGGGTCATGGAAAAAGAAAGCGAGGCCAGGTAAGGCAATGCGCTCTGTAATATCCGCCACGTAGGGCGCGAAATCCGCCTCCAAGATCTGCGCATAGATGGTAATCAGCTCAATTGCCGTGTTTTTGTCCTCCAGTGTCGATGTCTTGATGCCAATGACTTTTCCTTTCAAGGGGACCAGTTCCCAACCATCTTCCTGATCGAGTGCGTCGTCCTCACTATCGATCAGCTGAATATCAGCTTTGGCAGAGGCGAGCTCGAGTAAAGGTGGCATGACTCCCGGCAGGTACGGAACAAAGTCACTCCCGAGAACTCGACACATCCGGCCCCAACAATGCAGAAGATATTGCGCCTGCGGATCATCCTCGTCGGTGATATTCTGTTGTATGTTGCCCAAAGTTTGGACGAGCGTGATCCCGTCCTGGCCCATCTTTTCTTTGCCCACCGCCAGAGCAATGAGGGTTGCGCACTCCATGGCTTTGGCTCGGAGCAGTCTGTACTCTTTCGATTGTTCAGACTGGAGAACTCCGAAAAGGAGGGGCATTAAGGTGTCGTAGTAGCGAACGAAGGCACTTTCGGCAGAGTCGGCAATGGTTGCAATCGTCGACAAAGCTTGCTCTTGGACGTACCGTTTTGGTGATTGCAAAAGCTGTAGTAGATGAGAAAGGAGCTGGTCGAGGTATGGTTCCAATATCGATTTCTCTGCCTCTTCGCAAAAGTTCACCAGGGCAGCCGCGGCGTGGGCCTGGACGCGGGGTTCTGGAGCCTCGAGCACAGGTATGATGTTGGTTAGGACGACTTGATGGTATTTTTCTTGCATTGGTCCCGCAAAGTCGGTACTCATTTGTCCAAGAGCATTGCAGCCAGCGAATCTGACTCGAGGATGCGGGTCTCTCAGGGACGGGACAACCAGTTCCAGCACCTTGTCGAGCTCGCCGATCATCAGATCTCGACATCCTTCGGATATTGCTGAGATGGCCATGAGAGCAGCATGCCGGTCTTTCCACGAAGCCGAATGCATCATTCTTGGTAACCAGGTAAAGGTGGCCGGAAGCATGACCTGCCCTCCCAGTTTGTTGGCCAACCGATCCATACATTGCTCGCCCGCGACGTGGTTCATGTCGCTCTCTTCCATGTCGAGGTCCTCATTGGCGTTCCACTCGGCGGCGTCGTCGTCATCGACCCCGATGTCGGTCATCAGACTAAGACACTGGGTGACCATGTCGGTGACATAGGACGGGTCCTTCTTGCACATGGCAGGCGCCCATTCGGCAAAGGTGGCCATCAGTTCGAGAGCATTTTGCCGTGTCTGATCACCCAATTCTTTGTCCTGAATGACAGAGATGCTGAATTTGACGAGGGTTGAGAAGAGACCTTTGAACATCTTCGGGGCCGCCTCGGCCAGCTCAATGAGCGAGACAAAGGCCTTGGATAGGTTATCGGTGTCGCCTGCTTCCTTTAAGGGCGGAAGGATGTTCAGGATCTCGGGGATCAACGAATAGTACTTGGGTTGTGTCTTTTTGGTAACAGAATGGAAGAAAGACGCGAATGCCTCAATGGCAGCCAGTCGGACCTGGGGACATGATCAATGAAAAACATCCAACAGTGTAGGCATCGATCCTCTTACTTCAACGCTGCTGTCTTTGAAGCCTTTTCCGAACACTTCCTGCACTGCACTTTCATGCTGCCTTTCGATAATGCCCGGCGTGGTGGAGAAGATTCGGAAGGCGCATTCTCTCAGCCCGGCATCATTGGACTGGCTTGCCTGGAACAGCGCTGCGAGCAGTTCCATCCACATCTCGCCTACACCGGCAGCGTCAGTCACCCAGTCACATGCCCAAGAAGCTATTGACATACCGGCATCGACATATTGTCTAGCGATCTCCGCGATTGCATCTCCAATCTTATTCCTGACATGATTGACCTGTTCTCTGGCAAAACATTCCAACAACTTCGACCGAATAGCGAGTTTGGCCTCGCTACTGAGCGTCAGGAAAAGCTCTTTAGACTCGCCAGTGGTAGGGCTTTTGTGTGATTTCGAGGCTTGTTTGCGGAATAACACGGCTGCGAAAGATCGTGTCTACCCAAGGGTTAGAATGTGGGCTCAAGTTGACTCTTTGCATGCGACGTACCGATGGGTCTTGGGCCGCTTGTAGCTGCTCCACCAGTCCCATCAACAGCACATCTGGGCGATTCGGAGTCCAGTCATTGTTCAATTGCTCCTCGGCTTGGGCGCGGAGGCTGTTGTCCGGAGAAGCAAGGGCTTGGAGGAGTTGGCTCAAGGCTCCCTGCACTTCGGCAGGGAGGAGAGACATCTTGACGGGTTTCTTCTATAGCATCCAACAAGGAAATCGTACCGGGCGTCGGTTGGTGGTGGATGGCACGCGTGCGCAGTGCCCGGCAGGCCTCTCTGATGGGTTGAGGGAGGGACAGGGAAACAAGGGACGGAGGAGCGGCGGAGGGGAGGAGGAGAGGAGGAGAGGAAGATAAATCGATCTGCACCGAGACAACGGATCCGGTCAGTGTTATTGTGTATCCAAGATGTCTGGAGACTGCGACGTCGGCGTAGGCAGCAGAGAAAAGGCAGATGAATGGAACTGACCACGAATTCCTCGCACCCTGTCAGTAAAAACAACTGGCGGTAACGACGTGAGTGGACAGTGGACAGTGGACAGTGGACAGGAACAAATAATATTTTTCGGCGTCGGGCCTCCGTCGACTGCAATCAGATCCGTCAACTATGCCGTGTCTCTCTAGGAAAATATTTCAGCGAACGAGAAGACTGGAGGAGCCGTGAGTCCCGCTCCACCCCCTGCGCATCTGTAAACTAATTGAATAAATAACAATTAATCAATTAGGTAGATTCATTCATTCATTAGTAGGACTTTATACTCCGTACTCTACTAGGCTGCTGTATTATTTCAGGTATGCACCCTCAGAGGTACCTTCCTTTGGAAGTATCGGGCCAGATCACGTGAGACCACGTGAGACCCGAAGCAGCCATCAATAATCTGGTGTTGTTGTCTGTTGTCGTGTCTCCTGTCTCGATTGCCCCCTTGCGCGATCCTTGGTTTCAGGTTTCCATCTATCCCGTTGTTCTACGTGTCCTCGATTCATCTAGATTCTTTGAGTCGGCATCCTGGACAAATCAAAGTAGAATCCAGCATTCAATTCATTGTTACAAGTTCGGCCACGTCACCCTGGACTCTGCTACAACTTGGGCCAGGCTTGATAATCCTCCTCAAGAAGGTCGAACTAGAGCCGGAACGGGGATATCGCATTCTGAAAGTGGCCTGGACCCCCTGCGCAACTCAATCCTCATCCTGAGCGAGCTTTTGCGTGGTGGAAAGACTGCCTTCTTCGCCGCCGTTTCAACTCGTCCCTGGCCAGGTTGGAGTAGTGGCGTAAATACGTTGTCCGCCCGGTCGCTCGCTTCTGCCACTGGCGGTTCCATCTGCGCGTCTTCCTCCATATATCCTTTGACCACGGGAACTGGGATCATGGCGGGCGGTGAGGGCGGAGGTCCGGCGTTCTCTTTTTGACTGGCTGCAGATCGAAGAGGCCAGGAGTCTCGCGATGCCACCGTCTCCAGCTTCAATTCGGCCAGTTTCCGATGAACTGGTACCACTGGAGAACGGTCATAGGGGTCATAGGGGTCATAGGGATCATAGGGGTCATAGGGGTCATAGGTGCTCTCGTCGGCGCGTTTGACGTCGGGGTGCCACTGTTTATCTCCCACATCGTCCAACCCCAGGTCAAAATCCATACAGCCGTCCAGTATGGCACGCCCCGTCTTCAATGTCGACGAGTGGGGATGGTTCGGAATGCCTATCACCTGCAGAGCTGGCCGCTGCTCAAGAATTTCGGCTTGTCTGTCGTCCTTTTGGGTACTACGGCTGGAAGCAATCTCATGAACTGAACCCGACAGCTGTGAGTACATCTTCTCGCGTTGACCAAGCTGATTGCGTGACCAAGACCCCGTTGGACTAGGAGCCAAGCTTCTCAACCGACTGTGAGAGCGAGTACTACCACTTCGCTTGTTACTATTGTGGTCACGCAACTTGAGAAATGTCCAGTTCTTGAAACTTGATTTTCGAGGTGGCATCGGTGAACTTCCGCCAGACCCTGGGCATGAAATTGGGATCTGACCGGTGTCAATGCAGTCGTCAGCTAGTAAGACTGGTCTAGCTTCGATTGTCTCTGCAATGAGTGGATCGACCTTCCGAGTTCGAAAGCCACGAAATGGAGTCCTCGACTTGAACCTCGTGGACACCGAGGACCGAGTCGAATCATTGTCGCACGATTTGTCCTCGTCCGGAAACTTTGAGCTGGACACAACATTATTCGACAAAGATCTCAAAGTCTCGAGTCTGGAAAGTCTGTTGCTGTTGGGCCTGCCTCTGACCGGTACGTGCGATACCTCGGGGCCTGCCGCAGCGCGCTCACTTCCATTCGCATCTCCACGCACCCTAGACCTTCCTCGCGAGGGCGGTGTAGGGAACCGATAGTATTGCTCGGGGCAGGAGTCAAATTCGTCATCGGCGTCGTTGAGATCTGCAAGGAAGGGCCGGTGGAAGGCAAGACCATATCGTCTATTCTGATACGAGGGTGAGATAAGTCCATCACTGCCCGCGATGGCTGAGCTAGGGGGGGAGATCGGCATGGAAGAAGACAGCGAGCTGGCCTCATCGTCAAAGGTGAGGGATAATGGAGATGAAGGATCTTCCGCGGAGATGCTATAGCTGTCGATTTCAACCTTGGCCTTGGTCTGACTTTCTACCATCCCTCTGTCCTCATGCAAGTCATTGTCCCAAAGAGCGACATCTGGAGTTTTCGGTCTGTGAGGTGGTTCTGAGGTTTCGCTCTGGATTTCGACCTTGACTTCGCTGTCCCAGATAAGCCCACACCCATCATCAGGTGTAGGAACGGGGCCAGCCGGTGTCATGAGATGTTCTAATTCAGGCGGTTTGGGGGGAAGCTTTGCTAGGAGACAATCTTCGCATACGTGGTTGAGAAAGAACTTCTCAACCGTGGTATGCTCCGGACAATCCCGTGGCTCGGGAGGCCATGCATGTCGTCTCTGCTGTTTGGAGGCCACATAGGCATCGACGCCCGCCTCTTCGATCCACGGGTGCACAGAGTATTGGGTTGTCGGAGCGGTACCGGGTATTCGAGTCCGATGATAAGTACTGCATAGGATGTTGTGGTTATAGTGACAACCACATTCACGGTAGAACCATTTCTCAGTCACACACATTTCGATGCAAGGGCCGAACGCCGACGAGAGGAGAGATAGAAGAGATCGAGACCAAGAAAAATGGAACTCGCTTCTCGCAAAGGATTATGACACTCTTCGCGAGGCCGCTTAAGATTGAGGTGTGTTGAGGTGTCGAACGCTTTGGCCGCGGATGGGTGGAAGCGCACGTCAAACTCGGTGTTGATGTTTGGTGGCGGGCCTTTGGCAATCTGCAGAGAATTAAGAATAAGTACGAAGACTGCGGTCAGCCAGATCTCGCTCTCGTGTGACTTTGATTAGGGTGATTCGAGTCGGATGGTGCTGGCCTCATAATCTGCTGCCGCTGTACGGCTGGGTGCATGCAGATTGATTTCCCGCCTGTCACGCGTACCGCCTCGTATTCTCAATCCTGTGAGACGTAACAATAATGTGCCCATCCTTCACGCGCAGTTCCTGGCTGGGACAAGTAATTTGCTGAGCCGAAGCTGTTTAGCAGTCCCCAGAAACCGTCTTCTGTCAACGGTTCAATTGCTCTCAGTCAGCTTGACAAAGTCAATCCAACATTCGTGCTCAACCATCTTCGGCATAGTTTCATCACTGAATACCTCAAACCTGCTTGTGATACCTGGCGACGTGTCTGGGTGACGTGCCGACGTCTTGTACCTCCGATACAATGCAGCAATCAGTGTGAACATTTCTGCGTTGGCCAGGTGCACTCCGATACACATGCGTGCACCACTTGAGAAGGCCCAGAAATATCGATTCCGGAGATCCGATTCAGGGACAAGGGTTCCAGAAGATGTCAGCCATCTCTCCGGCCTGAAGCTCAACGGGGAGGGAAAGACGCCCTCATCCCGGTGAAGGCAGAAGGGAGACGCACCAGCGATAGTGCCGGCGGGAATCTCATAGCCGTCAATGACAGTGTCGACTGTTGACGAGCGAGGCTCAAAGGTGGGCAAAGGTGAATACAGACGCAAACACTCTCGAACAACCGCGTTCAAGTAGGGTAGCTGGGTCAACTCCTTCGGAATAGGGAACCCACTAGCGTCCACGGAGATTCTTGAGAGCTCTCTCCTCAGCCTTTCCTGGTATTCCTGATGCTGAGGTAGCGACAATGCCCAAATCATGAACATCAAGGAATCAGCTGTGGTGTCGATGCCGGCTAGGAGGTGGTCAGCGCATTCTGAAGCAATGTCCATATCCGTCATGTTGGCCATCTCCTGCACTTTGAGCAGACGGCCGATGACCGTGTTATCGGCGGCATTTACACGGTCCAATGCAGGAGCATTTCTGAAGCTATGGAAAGCCCTCAGAGCATGTTGGCGAATGCCGGAATATGTGTAGGGCTTGCGCATGGGCATCAGCCCAAGAGATGTGATACACCTCTCCAGCAATCCGGAGCGCGTGGTAATCCACTTGGTATAGGCAGGAAAGTGCACCGTGTACCATGCCAAGCGTCTCCGAGCCGGATTAAGGATGTCTTGTATCAATTCCCGGGATTGCTTGCAGCCAGACAATGCCTTTGTCCCTCCATAATCTGGTCCATATACAAATTCAGAAATCGCATCCAGGGAGAAGTAATGCAGGCTTCCAAAGATCTCGCTCGCATGCTCCGGCTCTTGCTCAAGAAGGGAGAGGAAACCGGTCACTTTGTTCTGCACCAAGGGCCCGAAATCTGGCCCCAGCACGGTTTGGTTCGCATAGATGTGGCTGATCAATTTCTTCCGATCCCGGTGCAGCTTTCCGGACCCAAACGTGAAAAGGTTGGGCCGGCCATAGACGTCGAACATGCGGTAAAAGTCTGTTCGTTCAAACACGCTTCCGGCGCCATAAATGGCCTTCAGGGCAGACAAGCTGTTGAATGAAACCTCGTTGGGCCCGATGCGAACCACCGGTCCATATTGTCTGTGAAGGCTGAGAATAGCCTGGACTGACCGTGCTTGCCATGCATCCACAGCTAGTCTAAACCTCGTAGTGGCGTATAGCCACGGTCCGGGAATCGTCTTGAGTTTTGCGATATTTGAACCAGAGCGAAAAACACCGTATAATAAAATGATGGCTAACGCGATCCACAGACGGCATGGCACCTCCAGGATCATCGGACCTGTTCTCATCGTCAGCTTCTAGCTCCGGCCAGCTAGGATCTGACAACTCACCTGATTCTAGCAACATCGTGAAGTGGTCTCCTGCTCACCATCTGCTTACAGTGTAGCACATGAAAAAGAAACTTTAGTGTTCACAACACTCACTCCAGCTGTACAGCCCACCCATTCGACAGCACTTCTATCCTGGGGAGCACGAGTGGCGGTCGTATCCGTAGCCCCAATATTGGTATAACTGCCGTGAAGGACTTGTAGTCCCCATCGGCCTGTTGACTGTTGCTGTCAGATTCAATATTGACATCTGAAAGTCGGCAGTCCGACTCCCACTGTCTCACTGACGCTCTTTTTCTGGGCCCTTTGCAGTGGATGTGCTCGAGCCCCACCAAATACCGCATCTGTGATAGTGGCGATAATGAGTCGTTCCACAACCGTGGAGTTGTGCGCTTATGGCAAGCCGCAGCCATCTCGTTGTCGCTCTTCTCCTTGTCCAGGGTCTCAAAATCAGTCCAATCAGACGTGAGGGCCCAATGAGTGGTGATAAGAGGCTTCTCAGAGGTGGTGACCAGAATCTTATAGGGCACTTCTGGGCTTCTGAAAGCGGATGGATGAAGTATCCGTACTTCAATTCCCCGTGTTATGGGGGCGGATGGGGTCAAAAAGGTACGAGTCTGTATTGTACATAGTAGTGGGCCGGCTGATAGCGGGCGATCGACGGCCAATTAAGGGGACCTTGATATCTTGGCCTCTCGGTCGGGATGCCTCGTCACGACCTCTCCATACCTTCACATGTGCCATCAGGGCTGTGTCTTGAGACCCGGCCAGAAATCGGAAATCTACGACCACGATGGACCATTCCGCACGTGGCGTGTGTGTGTGAGTGTACTCCGTACTCCGTAAGATTCTCCGTACAGATAGGCCATCTCTGGAGCCCTAGGACCCTGCATCACAAGTCTTCTAGAACCCTCGCTTGGTTGGGGAGGCTGGCGTGTCTAGGATAATAATGCCTCAACAGGTGTAGCACTGTAGAGTCTCGTGGCACTGACTGAGGCTGCATGCAGCTGGGGCAAGTTCCTTATCTGAAACGTTGAGCAAGATCAGGCGATGGCGAAAAGGAGGCTTTGATTCGTAGGGAGGCCTAGCGGTAAGTAATCTCTTGAGGTCAATGCCGCCTCCGTGGCAAGCCTGAGGGTAGGGGCCAGTTGCTAGCAGAACCTACTTAGCCAGGGCTAAGGCTTCGATCGGTGCTTATCGCAGCTTTGCCAGTCCCGGAATGGATACCACTTCCAACCCTGGCCCCTGGAGGGTATCTGAGGCTGACGTCCAATGGTGAAGGCCGGGGTGCAAGCGGCGAGTTGGGTGAGATAGATAGATGGGGCACGGGGGATGGGAAGTAGTGAGCGAGATCCTGTGGACTAGGACTAGTAGGTGACACCTTGGGTGATAAAACTGTAACTTGGTGGTAGGCCACTCTTAAGATTTCCAGTAGGCAGGGCGCAGGCTGGAGAATACTGCGAAATCATTGGACAGTTGGCGCCAAGATCCCTCTGGTCCGTTATCAATTCCTCTCCCCCACTATCCGCACTGCACTGGACTGCTCAGCTGCTCACGCTACTCTATCAGCAACCAGCACCAGCACCACTCACCACCCTTACTATGGTCCGACGTGTTGATCATCCATGCTACCTCGCCTTCATACCACTGCCAGTCTATCAGTCAATCACCTCATCCGCAATGCTGTCCAGACGAAGCTATAAAGCCGCTCCCCGGACCCTCCTGCAAATCAGGCCTCAGCCTGTCTTCCTCCCGCCATCCCCTCCTCTATCCTGGCCCATTGTGCCTGGCTAAATCCATTGTGCATCGGGACCCTCGATCAAGGAGGACAGTCCCGTCAGATACTCTTCTCAGGAAGCAGCCGTGCCGAAGAGTTGTCGTGTGTTGATCTCCTCCACCCACCATGTCCAGCAAAGATGTCCACGACACCGAAAAGGGCATTGAGCCCGTCGGTCACGAGCCTGACGACCTACCACGCAAGCACTCTCTGGTAGGGCGAAAATCGTCAATGACCGAGTCAGTCATTGCCGCAGAACTACTCGACACGCGATATGGGATTACGCAGCGCGGTCTCAAGAGCAGACATGCACAAATGATTGCGCTCGGTGGAACCATTGGTACCGGGTATGTGCAGTTCTAGAGTGGCAGTGGCAGTGGCCTTTTGCCTGTCTATCCACGCCCTCGATCTCTCTGAGAGTTCGGCGAAGTTCGGCGACGCAAGCGCTTCATTCCACGAGCACCCTACCACTAACAGCCATATCTACTACATAGTCTCTTTGTCGGATCCGGCCAAACCCTTGCGGTGGGTGGCCCGGCATTCATCCTGGTCTCCTACCTCATCATGACCTTCCTCGTCTACTGCGTGGTGACCGCCATGATCGAAGTGGCCACCTACATGCCTATTCACGGAGGCACCATGTCATACTATGGCTACCGCTACGTCTCTCGGTCGATGGGCTTTGCTCTCGGCTATCTGTACTGGTATGCCTTAGGCATCCTAGTCCCCTACGAAGTCACCGCGGCAGGCCTGGTTATCGACTACTGGCACAACGACGTCAACATAGCCGTCTGGATAACCATCATGCTCGTCGTCATCGTCGCGCTCAACTTCTTACCCGTCAGATACTATGGAGAGACTGAGTTCTGGTTCGCTGGCACCAAAGTCATCCTGATGGTTGGCCTGCTGATTCTGGCGTTCATCCTCTTCTGGGGAGGCGGACCCAGCCATGACAGACTCGGCTTCAGATATTGGAAGGACCCAGGCGCGGCATTTCCATATATCGTCAAGGGCGACACCGGCCGCTTCGTGTCGTTTTGGGAGACTCTCGTCCTCTCTGTCTTTCCCTTCACTTTTGCACCCGAGCTTCTCGTGGTCACGGGCGGTGAGATGGAATCGCCCCGCCGCAACCTGCCGATCGCGGCGAAGCGCTATTTCTACCGCCTGGTCATCTTCTACTGCCTCAGCGTCCTGGCCATCGGCGTTATCTGCCCGAGCAACGATGAGCGCCTCACCAACGGCGGCGCTGGCGCAGGCTCATCGCCCTTCGTCGTGGCCATCGCCAACGCCGGAATCCCTGTTCTCCCGTCAATCGTCAACGCCGTCATCCTCATCTCCGCCTGGTCCTCGGGCAATTCATTTCTCTACATCTCTTCCCGGGCGTTATACAGCTTGGCCGTGCAAGGGTCAGCACCTCGAATCTTCAAACGCTGCAACAAGTGGGGTGTTCCCTACATGGCGGTAGCTTGCTCGGCCCTCTTTTCCGGCCTGGCGTACCTCAACGTCGCCTCGAGCGGGTCGAAAGTGTTCAACTGGTTCGTCAACCTTACCAACACTTGGGGCCTGACGTCATGGGTTTGCTGTACAATTATTTTCTTCCGCTTTAGGAAGGCGTGCCGAGCGCAGGGTATAGTGTCTCCTTACCGCAACTGGATACAACCCTATGGCGCGTGGATAGCCTTGGTTATGTTCACCCTGCTGTGTCTGATCAACGGCTTCACCGTGTTCTTCCCATCCAAGTGGTCCGCGTCGAGCTTCTTGACCGACTACATCGGCATCCCCATCTTTTTCGTCATGTACTTTGGCCACCGCATCGTCTTCTGGCGCGACAAGTGGGCCTGGGACCCGGCCGAGGTCGACATGAAGACCGGCCTGCAAGAAGTCATCGACGCCGAGACGCCGATCAAGGTGCGGAAGGGTTTTGTGGGCGCGCTGCTCAGGATTGTCGAATAGGAGATTTCATGATTAGGAGATTTCATGTATAGGAGAATGATTTCATGTCGGGATGGAAAACAGCCCCAGCAGTAACCTGGGAAGTGTAGAAGTAAGGAAGAAGAAGAGAGAATTATGAAAGGATGCTGGAAGAGCAAGAGCCATATATATACCAGCAGAAGCGCGTTCAGGTCGCGAATAAAGTGCCGCCAAGCACTTTATTCACTCTCCCAGAACAACAAAGGCAGTGACTGTTCCAACATGAAGAGTGAATAAACTCGGAGAAGACTATCTACCTATGATGAAGAGGGGCAGGACTTGAGTCACTGAAAGAAAGACTTGAGAGGAGGTCACAACTGCTACCAAGAGTGCACTCACTGTATATATACATAAGCTTTGTCTTGGAAGAGTTCCGCTCCATTAATATTACCGCAACGTCCAAGTCATAATCCATGCTTAAGCTCACGCTGTCCTATTCAAGGGGTATATGCCATGTATCCTTTCCCTAGCCGATGATTACCGTCATAATGCTGTAACATTGATCCCTCACGTGCAGAAACCGTCAAACGCCCTTGTCTCCTATGCAAGATTGAGACTGGCTTCTCACCTCGGCCTTAGAAGTTGAAATCACAAAGCCCATCTCGGTTCGCAAAGACACGTCGCCTGCCCTCGGACCAACTCCATGCAAATAGCCTTGAACCCTTTTGTTCAGGTTGAATGCCAAAAATATCAACATCACGCTCTCACCACGGCCATGATGACGGGCACATCGCTCAGGTCCACGCCGAAGCTAGCCCTCAACGCAACCCCTTTCCTCATTGCTCCAGCTTTCCCGCTAACTGACCTCGTGCCAGCCGATCCTCCGAATCCATTTTCTCGTTCATACCCAAACCCCATTCCGCCTGAATATCGTCCGAATTCCGGTGGCGGACAAGGTCTTTCAAGGTCACTGGGATGAAGCTCCTCGGCAAGAGAGGAGGCAAAACTGCGGAAGCTACCCGCCTGGGAATGAGGACGTGGACTGGCCCCGCCTGACGTTCTGGGAGATGGCAACGGCCGGTGCTGAGCTTGACCATATGACTGAGCAGCACGGCCCCGAGGCTGCTGGATTTCCTGCAAGACGGAACTGCGTTGGGATTGTCGAGTGTACCTGGACTCGCAATGGTTCGAATAATCACAAGAGCCCTCATAGGGTGAATAGCCCTGCTGTCCATACTGCGTACAGTTGTTAAAACCCTCGTAGTAGTGTTGTTCCGAATAGTAGTAATCTTGAGGTGTCTGGCGGCTGGGTTGCCAATGTCGTCCTCCTCGAGGAGGAATATCTGGGTAGAGAGGTTCAGATTTATCTTCAACAGCTAGTTGATATCCCTCGTACATCCCAGAATCCCAGTATTGGTGGTCGCCCACGTTTTCAGAAGACTCTCGGGGAGCTTGCCACGCTGTGGATTGTGCGGTCCACGGATCAGGCATCATATCTACCGGCCGCGGTGAATGGGACGGCGGAGGAGGAGCAATCGGCATGTCCGAATAGTCCTCTTCATATTCCACGTACGCAGGTCGTGGTGAGTGGGGTGGCGGCGGCGGCGGCGGTGCAAACCCGTTTCCGATCGAGACCTGTCTCTGCCCCGACGAAGTCCGATAGGCCTTCTGTAACATCTCCGGTGTGATGGGAGGAGCATCGCGGGCCAGGCTTGCTGGTCTAAAATGCTTTCCAGGAATACCTCCTCTGTCGTTGAACACAGACGTTCTATCAGCCCACATACTGTCGCGTTCTTGGATTGATCGACTTCGACGCCTCGCAAATTCTGCAGCAGCTTTGTCGTCCATCATTGGGCGCGGTCGGGGTGTGATAGCAGGAGTTTCGTACAAATTCGGGGGTTGTCTGTAAACGAGGTTCTCATGGGCCAAGTCATACGGCCCACCACCCAGCGAATAGGCTGCTCCGAAATCATGGACTACGGCCATTGTTTCAGGAGGTATCGTGCAGGAATTTCGCCTCGAGCTCATTCCATCTTCTTTGGAGCGAGAGATCCATGACAGAGGTCGGCTTCGAGAGCGTGATCGCCTCACATGAATTGACTCCTCAGATACTGGAGAAGGGAATCTGACCTCCGCTTCTTGAAGATCTATACTCGATGTACTGGCGTAATGACTCATCCCATTTAAAGGAATATATGTTTTTTCAAGTTCGGGCACTTCCTGCGAGCGGATGCGAAGGTTGTCTTCGGCCTGGCTGGGAACTCGTGGGATAGAATCGCCCTCAAAGGAGTGCACCCGGGGAATCGCAAGAGCCCCAGGAGGCTGGCTGTGTGGCCGCTTCTTCTGCAACTTCTTTCGAATTTTGACCTGCTTGACAACAGCGGTGTCCGGTGTAGGAACGACTGGAGCGGAGTTCGTAGAAACTGGAGCAGGACGTAGATTGGCAAAATTAGGGAAAGCAGGCTCTGTCTTACGCGACTTCAGGATAGAGGCAACGTGCCCAACCCCAGAAGACCTGCACTCTGATTGTGTTGTTCTGCCGTTCAGCCGTGTCGCAGATGCATCACGCAATGGCTGAACGACCGCAAATGGCGGAGACTTCGCCATTTGGAGAGATCGCAAGGAGTGGGTCGAACTGTATCCGCTGTCTGAATTCTCGGCTGGGTGAGGAGGCTGGATGTTTGGCGAGGAGGCTGGGAAGGCCTGATGCCGTTGGGCTTCAAACTCAAGGGGTGACCGGAATGCTTCCCCTCTGGTGAAGCTTGGTTCATCGGGTGAGTACCAGCTCAATGTGCTTTCGCAAGGTTGATGTTCATCACCAATCCCGCTTCCAGGAAAGATTTGACGGGGCTCTACCGTTTCTGTTCCCTTTCTCGACCTGCGGATGACGGACCCCGTGGATGAAGGGCATCGTTGAAGATGAAACATGGGAGAGCTGCTTTCTGCATCACCGTCACTGGACAGAGACGGTTGCAATGATGTGAGTGACAACGACGTCTGCATCGATTCTTCGGACCTCCTCGAAGACCCGGACAAATGGCGTGACTTTTGATTCGAGAATGGACGGGCGGGTAGCTCGGCCATATATTCTTTAGCCATCAGTGAAGTTTGATCGTCTTCCTTATCAACTTCAGCCTTGTAAAGAACGGACTCGAAGTTCTCGAGGTCATGAACCGCTGAAGGTTTCTCGTCGGTACTGTCCCAGCTGAGGGTTCGGTGTTCAGAATTCTCATCAGGCGTGCTTAGTGAGAGGTCCTTCGACCTTGATATGAGCAATTCCTGCAACTCTTCCTGGGCCTCACCATAGTCACTCGAGACATCCCTATGAGATTGGGAGAAAGCCAGAACCTGTTTGGAGAGCTTAGATGCCTCGCTAAAGGCAGGTGATGCTCGTCCGTTGACAATCTGCAAGGAGCCAAGTCGCAGGACGCCCAGATGCGAATAATCCAGGTCTGCAGGCGTTTCAGCTCTGCCCGCCATTCTCGGTGGAGGAGGGTGCCAGGCACATTCATTTGTTTCCACGAGATTTCTTTCCTCCAGCTCTTCAACTCCGTGCTCCTCTTGAATCTCTCGCTCTGGTATAATTGGAGACGGCTTCCTTGTGGCAGTACCGGGTGTGAAAGAGGCACGACGTGTTGGGGGAATGGCGGGTGAGTCTACTATTCGATCAAGGGACGACATCGGAGTAGAAGCAGCGGCTTCATCACCATTCGGAGGATCGGCTTGTTGATCACTGTTTAGACAGGCCAGACTGGTCGAACGCCTCGTAGACAGAGGCCGTAGCACGAAAGACTTCCTCTTTTTCGGTTTGAGAGATGAAGCAGGAGGATGCTGTTCCTGCGGACTATCAGGTTGAACAGTGTTCTTGTCAATCTCGCTGACCGTGTAAGTCAAGCTCAAGGCCGAATCGCTCGTTAAGGACCGGTTGGGCGAGGGTGTTTCCTCGTCAAAGATTTGACTCCGGATCTGTCTTCTCAGGGCGGGATTGCTTGGATGAGACGTCAGCGGACCACCCAGCACCGGTTCTTGGGTGCTTGCATCCTTGTTGTGTATTGCTGTCTCTTGAACACTGGTTGTGGATATATTGGCTGATAGTTTGTTGGTCAAAGGTTTGGACAGGCGGTTTCTTCGGCGTGTCTCAGGTTCATGTTTGAAAAGCTCTCCAGCAATAGTCGGCTTGCGCCGGCCAAGCCACATATTGGAGATGCCTTTCGATACTGAGCCTGCTTCGTTTCCGTGGTGAACAAGAGACGTTGCCGGGGAAGAAGGGCTCTTCTACTAGTGCTCGCAGGAGGCGGGGCTTAAGCTGCTATAACCATTGCTTCGTGGCTCTCCACCCCTCGGCAACCGGTCAACTTGGAGGACGTGCGAGCGGAAGTGTCAACGGCGGCGGTAGACGTGCGCCTCAGCAGTGAAGCACTACAGAGTACGTACTCCGTAGAAAAGCGTATGCTGCCTGCGCAATGGTCTGAGCACCTGTCAGCCTGCAGTGACAGGCGTAGGTGAGGTCAAGGTTGCCGCACAAGGTCGAGCCAGAACCTGGAAGTGGAGTGGGAACGAGTCGGCTGCAACGCAGGTTTCAGAACGAACGGCTGCACATCACGGTCTGTGGCGACCAAACGAGCGACGGATGGCTGGTAAAGTGGGTAGAGACAGGCGGCACACGAAAGGATTGAACAAACAGTACGGAACAGAGCAAGAGAGTTCTGGCAAGTTGCTAAGAGTAGCAACACTCAGGGAAACGTGAGGAGGAGGAGGAGGTCGGTGACAGCGGTGGTCAATGCATGTTTGAGGGAAATGGGCGGGATGGGATCATGGGCTTGCTTCAGTCGTGGATTCCCCATCAATCATTGGCTGCAGGCGGGCAGATAAACATTGCGTAGCCCGGGGGAGCAGCACCGCCGCAAGCCGCTTGCTAGGCTCCCACCAACCACCAACCACAGCCCAACTCGCCTGTGTCGAAATCCAGATTCGCACCACCTGAAATCAAGCATCAGCCACCGCTAGGGCCCTTCTCGACGTGCAAGCGAGAGTGTGCTTTCTCCTCATGGGGCCGTCACACCTGACGCCACAATTCCTATCTGCCCAGAAGGCCTTTCCAAGTTTCCATCCTCTGTTCTGACACAAGGGGGCCGGCGAGCTGAAAGGGTCCGGTCTGGTGCGATAAAGATGTAATCTTACTACTATTACCTCTCCAGGCCAGGCCGTACGGAAATCCGTCGTGTGGATCACCGTCACCGTCGATCTTCTATCACTCGCATCTGCCGAGTTCAGACTTGACTATGGCGATCTGTGCACGTCGCACGTCAGATCACGATAAAGGAAGTGGGAACGAGGAGGGAAAAAAAAGGTGGCCAGGCCGATGAGAGATCGAGAAAGGTTTCGCTGTTCCGTAGTCAGCGGACAGGTCGAGAGGAGTACGGAGTACACACGGCAGGCGGGGGCGCAACCACTTGCATGGCTGCATTGGCCTTAGACCAGTGCCGCAATCTGGCCCGGGCATACCGCATACCCCACGCAACGTCAATTTCAAATGCCATGTGATCTGCATCAGAGCCAGCATTGGAATCTACACATACCAGTGTCCAGGACGGAACAGGAAAGGGGAAGAAGGAGAGGAGAAATAGCAGAATAAACATAGAAATGGTTAGGTATAATGGCAAGAACGGCATATTCATTAATGTATTGTTACATGGCTCTATCAAGAGGGAGCCGAGATCCTGTGGCAAGGCCCAGCCACATCCCTTTTTTCGCCCCGATTAACTCAAAGTCTCGTGTGTACGGATATGCAGCTTGAATCCCATGCTGTACGCCAAGTCATGCAGTCGTGAGCGCTAGGTTACAGGCGAATTGACATCGTTTCGTGATGGTTCCCAGCCATCTCCGCCGATTTACTCGACAGCGATGCGTCGAGTTTGGGGGGCTGGGGCCTTGGGCACGTGAACGGTGAGGATGCCGTGCTTCAAGGACGCCTTGACCGTCTCCCGGTTCACACGTGCTGGGAAGGTGAAGGTGCGCGAGAACTCTCCAACTGACCGCTCCGAGATCCAGTAGTGATGATCTGGCTCTTGGCCGGGTTCTGAAACTTGGCCGGGCTCCGGTGAAGGTGTGGGTTGTGAGACCTCGTGATCCACATTGGTGTTGGCTGGTTCCTCATCTTCAACGGTAGGTTTGAGAGGCCTTCTTTCCGCCTTTGTGCCTTCGATGGTGGCTTGTGAACGACGACCGGACTCGGAGTGGCGTTCTACCCTGCCCCTGACGGTCAAGGTAGATTCGTCGGTAAATTCGATGTTGATGTCCTTTTGGTCGACGCCAGGGAGCTCCCCCTCTAGGGTATATCCCTCGTCGGTCTCCTTGACATCAAAAGCAGGCTTAAAGTGGTTCAGTGCCTGTCGGCTGGCCCTTTGAACTTCGTCGATGGAGTCGTCTAACAGGCTAAATAAGGGTGCGAGCTCCGCCCTGCGACGGCTGGGACCGACGCGGACTGGGGTAAATGAGATTCTGGGAAAGAGAGACATGTTTCGGGTGGTACGAGGAGTCTCTTGCTTGAGGATTTTTGATGCTCGAGGAATGATTCTGCTTCGTGCTGGATTCATAAGACTTGTTCTTGTTGCATCTTGTCTGTGGAAGGAGTGCAGCCAGCGAGGTTTTATAGCCGGTCATTCTTGCTGATGGAAGATACTGGATGGTTGAATCGTATGACCAAGCAGAGTATGTCGACATTTGCTGGAGGGTTCTGGGCGACGCAAGCAGGATATGCCTGTTGCTCGACTCTGCTGGAAGCTGCGTGATATATCTGTGGGTTACCATGTGTTTCTGCAGGATCACGTGACCCGGCCCTTGCACGAGCCTCGCCAGGATTCTTGCAGGCTGCCATAATCATGGTCATCGTTTCCAGGCCTCCGTCGCAGACAGCGTCATGTAACCGGGCTGTGTCGATTAATGGATGTCCTTGACTCCTTCTGACGAATAGAGCTCGAGTTTGCGAGACCCCATCCGGAGCAGGGCCTCAACAGCGGCGAAGTCTTTCTTGTCGACCGCTTGGTTCTTGCGGAATTCTCGGCTTACACCTGGGTATCAGATCTCTTTGCTCATGGCTATCATGGCTACCGACTGTCGAACTTACCGTGTCACGGTTCTGAAGTTCTCCCGCGTCGCCTGAAGGGGTCATTTAGCTAGGTGGCGAGAGAAGCTGGACGTCACCGACCTCAGGTTTCTTGCCCGCTGCCCGCAGACATTGACGGTATAGTTTGAGAACCTCTCTTTGCAATCCGGAGCGTCGCATGTTGAGCTTATTTACAAGCCTTCTAGGTTGGTATGAACGGGACAGGGGCTTCGTCCTAATGAACTTGACCAAGGTGAAAGAGTGTTTCAGACACTCCAGGCTAGGTGCCAGGCACCTCCAGAGGAAATTGTCAAGTATTTCCGAAGAATAGCCGGCACCACCTAGCTTGATAACTAGGTACGAAGTACATATCCGTACTCTGTACCTAATACTATGGTCGGCACAGAGACATTGACCTAATACCAATACTATGCTGCCTGGCAGACACATTGTCGTCCTGCCATTCGATACCATTCCATTCAGCTGACTTTGTCTGCCTCCTAAATACTGATAAGCACATACACCAACCGCTATGCTCGACACATTGCACCCGATCGTCTAGAGACGATCTCATGATCAAGATCCAACATTTCAACGGGGAGCCAACCAATTTGCCAGCGATCATGCATCCTTCAGCGCCCATATTCCAAGCTCGGTACAACAACAGGCCCATACTTGACCACATTTCCGTACGCACCTTCGCCCTGGATCAGAAAATCGGCGGCTAGGCTCACCTTACCCGAGCCCCGGTGCATGCCCGTCTGCCCGAAGGTCCCGTTCACCACCTCGGGATCATATATCACCACCGCGAGATAATTCCTCCGAGGCATCAACTTGCGGTTGGTGATGGGCTGACCAGTGACATCGTGCGTGAATATCTCCATCATATCTTCCTTGGTGTCGGTAGGCTGTGAGGGCGTTGATCTTTGACCGTTGGCGGGAATGTAGAGTGGCTTGTTGTTATTGAGCAATTTCATGAGGTATGCCGGTGGAGGAGTGTTCACGACCGACGATGTGATCAGCTGATACATTGTTTTGTGATCAGATGGATGTGAAGGATCATGGACCAGACCAGCGCCGCACGTGTTTACCGCGCCCGAGATGAAGGTGAAGCGAATTGATCTCTGGTGAGAGATGCCTTGGAGCGTACGAATGAGATAGGTGCGTTCCAGGTCCTAAGCGAATCAGTCAGGCGTACAGAAGCCAATCTGCTACAACTCACCTTGGACTCATGCGTCCACTGGTCCTTTAGTTCGTCGAGGACATCGATGTCCCCAAATGGACTCAGAATGCCTCCCATCAATCCCGACTTCCCGACGGCGCGTTTCACAGAGTCGAATCCTGATCCAACGGCGCCTTTGGCCCCGACAACGCCTGCAACGGAGCTTGTGACCTTTCCGAGGACATTATAGGCTCCTGTAACTGCTTTCTTGCCCGTGGCCACGGTATGAGCAATTTGCTCTGCAGCATCAAGTCTTGGATAGATCAAAGGGACCGGGATCATCAAGATGCAATGCTGGATGGTTGGCGGGAGTAATGCAATCTTAGGGAAAAGACCTTGATAAGTTGGACCGGCCATAACTTGATGGGAATTTCGTTCGCTTCGTGTATCTGGGCCTACAATAGCAACGGCCGGACCCAAGAACTTCACAAAATGCCACCCAGTCCCCGTGATGGTGAACAAATCTCGGTCATCAGAGACATTGCGGAGAAGTTCCAAGGTTGTATGATGCTGGAAAAGCAGGTACATTTCAATACCGATACGCCCGATATTCTTAAACATGTTGCTGAATTGCATATATTCAGGGTAAGACCCAAATCCATCAAATCTATCGTTTGTCAGCATGATAACCAAGAATAAATCCAGCGCTACTCACATATCGTGGTCATCAATCGTCGAAACATGAGGTATCTGGGCAAAGGCTTCGCGTAAATAAGGCTGGTCGAAATGGCTCGTGTAATAATGAAAGTATGCGTGTGTCACTTCCTCCTCATGTGCTGCAGTCCAGACAGCGCTCTTCCTGTTCTCCTTACCACTTGTAGCTAACCACTGTTTGAGTAGTGGTATCTCTTTCCATAGTCTGTCGGCAAAAATTTGGCTTCCCAGACCAAGTTGACAATGAAACCCTCCGCACTCAGCATGTTTCTGCATAATGTCCTTCCACATGAAGCCGACACCTCCCAGCCTTGCGCGTTCATTGGCGCCGACGTTCAACGAAAAGTCATTTCCAGATGTAGCAATAAATCGCCAATTGGTCTCGTGTTTACCGGCGACCAAGAACTCATAGCGGGTGCAACCAAGGTGTGACGTGATTGCGTATGTCCATTTAGCTGGTTCAGACTCCTCCATAGGCAGGTCAATCTCATACTTGTAAAAGGTCCAACGCTGATGAGCAGCAATGTTGGCTGCTTTCAGTTGGCGTGGATTCGGAGACAAATCGAGGCTCTGGTGTATGTGGATGGTCGGAGGTTGCGGCGCGTCTGAGACTAAAAGGATGGAGCCATACCAGATACCACTATCAATGTCCATGTTGGTGTAGCGGAGGTAAGGACCAAAGTAAACGCCATTTGTAGCAACCACTTTGTATAGATCAACGCCACTGCTCGGCGGTGGACCCGTAAAGGCTGCAGGGCTCGCCAGGCTCATAACGCTTTGTTGGTCGTATCCTGGGGTCAATGGGAGTCCGGGAGAGGCCAGTGGCTTTTGGGCAAAGGAGAGTCCCGGAGAGGTCAAGGGATTCTGGTAGATACTAGCCACTGGTGATAGTGGAGTGTCGTTCAAGTTGAGGGGAGTTGGACCCTTGGGAAATTCCCATTGAGTTGATTGCGTCGGCAGATGGATATAGTAATACTGTCCAGAGTTGGGATCCATGTGCGCTATCCATCCCTCTGGAAGCGGCGGAGGAGACGCAGGGGGTATCTGCGAGGGAGTATGAGGCATTGCAGGCTGTGAGTGGGGCATTTGACCATTTGCATTTGACTGGGTGACAGGACTGTGGGCGTTCTGTCGTGGATCGTTTGCAAACGCAGGATGATCTGAATGATTTGGCATCTGGGTGCCAGGCCTTGTGTTTGCTGTGGCTGTTGTTGGATTCGGTGCTCCAGCTGTGGGTGCGCCTGTCCCGACAATACTCCGTCTCTGCTTTTCAATAGGGTTGCGGTTCGCATTTGCTCCTCCGGAAACTTGAGAATAGGCGGGCGGAGGTTCTTCATGGGGTTGCACTCTGGATATTTCGCTCTCAATAGGGTGCCGAGCTCGCTGGGGAGAGTGGAGAGAAGTTGGCTGAGGCCCTGCCGGCGTCGTGGTGGCCGTGGGAGGTGAAGACCGTACCTCAGCCGTCCCCTGGTAGACTGTTGGAATAGGATGCGAAGTGCTGCCAGGCACTTCGGTAGGGGTCCATGGACGTCTGGGTGGCTCATTCGTTTGCGCCAGTGTTGGTTGGCTTGGTCCTCCATATTGGGCTGCTCTTTGCTGTGCGGCCACACTTTGCGCTTGTAAACTTGTCAAAGTCGCAGTACCGGCGATGCCAGAGGCTGCATAACGGGCTTCTATGTCTGTCTGGGGCCGTGCACCGGGACCCACGATCGGGGTTTCGGGGGGAGGAGGCGATCCCCGCTGAGCTCTCGTGGTCGACGTCGACGCGGTGGAGCTTATTCGATTAATCGAGGAGGGATCTCGAATTTTCAATCTGTTCAGGGCGTCCGCTGCAGATGAGGCTGTTGGAGGCGGCCAATATTGCTGTTGGCTCTGATTCTGTGTGCCGGGCAAAGGCGCCGTTAAAGGACCGTCCCCACGTTGGGGTGGACGCTGGAAGAGTCCTTCCTTATCTGGAGCATCTGGGCCTGGTGATTCGGGCAAAGGTTTTGGAATAGTCCCCCGGCGTTCAGCAAGGGTTTGTACGGGCCGCCCGTCTCCTGACGTCGTCCTCTTCGCCTGTTGTCGTGGTCCGCTTCCAGAACTCCCAGCTTGTTCTGGGGATGTTACTCTTCTCACATCTGGATATGGATAGGGTGCGGGCGAGCCGTTGGGTCGTGAGGACTGAGGTTGCTGCCTGGACGAGTCATCAGGGTAGGGCAGGGATGGCGCAGGGTAGACAATTGTATTTGGAGGCGGCTGTTGGGGAGCAGGACTTTGTTTGCCGGTGACAGAAGGGACGCTGGAATTCCTCTTGTTGATGCGCAGTGGTTCGACAATCGTGGGCGAGGTGCGGTTCGAGGGACGATTCAAGAACATTTCGCCCTCTGGCTTGCCATGTTGCCCTGAAGCACTCATGGCGACAGTTGAGTCGCCGATGACAAGTGCGTCGACAGAGCGGAGGGGCCTGGGTGGCACAGATGGTGGGCTCGGTGGGGTGACAGCCAGAGGCCTGGGGTCGGCCTCTGCTGGAAACGAAGCAGAGGTAGAGAGACCTGAAAGCTGACCTAGGCAGCAAGTGAGACAAGCACTGACGACAGAACGAGAGAAAGGAGAAGCGAGGAAGTGTAAGACAGGTATAAGGAGTAATAATAATAGATGGAAATGAGTAGATGGCCCAGTATCCTTGTCGGCGAAGCCAGGGTCTTGATGCGTCCGCAGTCTTGTTCTGCTATTACTCGGCCACGTCTGGGAGCAACCAGCACGGGTTTCCCTCTTTTGCTCCGTGTGCTCCTTGTTTCTGTCTCCTGATTGCTGGTAACAGAAATGCACTGCGAGATCGAAACCTTCCCAATCCCGGCCCGCACCTTGACCTGCTTTAATGCTCGCTGGATCCCACAAGGACTCATTGACTGTAGGCGCCCGTCGAAGCGCTCTCCGACCTGTCTATCGCAGCGTCGCCCCACGTACTCGGGCGTCAATTGACCACTTCATTCTTTTGATTGGATATACTAACCGTCTCCCTGCCGTGATCCAGCTCCCTCCAGAGACACCAGTACCGGGGTCTGATGGGACGTGACTTCTTCAATGTTGCGCTAGTTGGTAAGTGGCTGGCATGTCTCTTCCTACACTTCTACTCCATGCTAATTACTGAACTACTACGGATAGACGAGAGATGAACAGGGGGACGAGCCGAGCATACGATTTCCATGACCCGCAGTCGATGACGACTACGGCCTGAGCCTCGAAGAAGACGATCCGATAGACGCTTCCCCGTCCCAATGAGGCGACACAATTGTCAAGTGGCTTGTCGGAGCCGAACATCAATTGAACAATGAGAAAGTTGAATTTCACAGACTACACCATCACAAGAATATGCTACCAGTTGGACCATCGGAACAACGTACACATGTTCCCAGAATCCCTGCACCGAATTGGGATGGAAGCATTAGGTCCCATTGCTTCCCAATGGCATAAAATTGAACCTCTTCCCGGAGTTGAAACAAATCACACCAATCTTGCACACCTCACAGCATCCACGCCAAACATCCAACGAGGGCAGCCACCATCACTGATATCGCGAAAGCAGTTCTGTCGGCACCACCAGTGTATGTCGCAGCGTTACCTCCTGTACCTGAAGGCACGCCTCCTGCAACAGGTGTAATTGGTGGCGAGATAGTGTTGTTATTTGCAGCACTGCCCGGTCCTGCGACTGCATTTGTACCGGCATTAGCTCCAGCTCCAACACCAGATCCGGCGCCAGAGCCGGACCCAGAGCCTGAGCCTGAGCCTGAGCCTGAGCCTGAGCCTGAGCCTGAGCCTGAGCCAGCGCCTGCACCAGAGCCTGCACCAGAGCCTGAGCCTGAGCCTGCACCAGAGCCAGTACCTGCGCCTGCGCCTGAGCCAGTACCTGAGCCTGAGCCAGTACCCGAGCCTGAGCCTGAGCCAGTACCTGAGCCTGCTCCTGAGCCGGAACCAGTGTTGGACCCAACGACTGGAGTCACTGTTGCATATGGCCCAGTAGCACATGGAGTTGTGAGGGTGATTGTAGTAGGTCCGCCATTCGCACCGCAAGCGGTGCAAGCCACAACAGTAGTAGTGAAACCTTCTGGAACGGTCAACGGGTTCTTGGTCATATGGCAAGGGCAAGCTTCGGTGATCGTGTACGTTGCTTGTTCAATGCCGCTGCCATCCGAGCAGATCTGATCATAGACGGTGAGGAACTCATGGTATTCTGAGACCTTTCCGTCTGGCCCAGTAGTGGTGAAGGCAAGGATCTCAGAGCCATATGGACCTTGCGGCGGAGGCGTGATCTGAGCACCTCCTCCGTTGCAGTTGGGTCCGGGGCAGTAAGTGATCGTGCTCGACAAAGTTGTAGTAGTAGTCAGGGCGGTCGGGCAGACAGAGTAGTAAACAGTGGTTACAGAGGTATCTTGTGGGTCGTTGACCAAGGTAGTAGTGAGCTGAGCACTTGCACTCGCGAAGAGAAGCCCGACGAGGGGCACTGTTCTGGTTGAAGGCTTCATCTTTGAATGACGATGGTCGCAATGGCTCCGTAGCTTTGCGCGGGAAGTTGAGAAAAGAGAACAACGAGACTGATGTTTCAAAAGAGTGGCCGAGCGCTAGAAAGCACTTTCAAACGAATGTGTGAGTCCAAGGGATTGAACAAGAAGAAGGAAATTGCAGAGAGTTTTGTACTGAGCCATATATTGTCTTTACCGTGGTTGCTCACCGCGTACGCCAACTAGATCCACATAACAACTCTTGAGGAATGCAAAACAGACCATGACAACAACCACGTCCTTCAGGCAGAACGCTGATCCATGGAATGTGAGCACGCTCCATAGCATACTTCGAGCCTCTTCGAAAAATGGGAAATCCATCAGTTGCACTGACGCTCGTAAGGTCTGTGAAAGGATCGGCTGGGTAGGGCGCGTGGAGGCTGCATGACATTTCTGAAGTCTAGGTTCTCTTTAGTCGTTCGGGTCTCGATGCAACTGATTGCAGCAAAGACGTTTAGTCTATAGGGTCAGCTTTAAAAAGACATATTGTATCCTATTAATCGACATTTCAAGCCCATCGCCCTCACTCAAGAGGACCCAACGGGAAAGAAACTTCCTACAAGGAAAACTTTTCCTCTCCAGAGCCATCGAGTTCGGTGGAACTCATGGCAACACGTCGCTGTAGATGAAGACGAAACGACGGTCGTGGCTGGCTCTGTTGCTTTTTTTGATCTGAAGAGAAGAGGAGAAAAAAACTGGAAGGTTGAGAGACGAAGTTTTGCACCTGGACAGAGTGCCAAGCCCACGGTCAAGCGGTCACGTGGGACCATAGGATCCGGCCCCCTGAATGGACGAAAGCTCGACTTTGTAATTCACTCGGTAGAACGAGATAGGAAATTTAATGAAAGTTGAATTGGCGAGATAGATTGATCTAGCTTGCCTGTCACATCTATCGTGGCATGATTTACTCGACATCCTTCCGCAGTGGTACCTCAAACACTACTGCACCATTCTTGCCGTGAGGGAGCTTCATCCATCTCCCGAGCCTCATCTCCTTGCCAGTTCCTGCAACAATACAAAGTCCCTGACACTCACCCTCTTTCTTCCCTCCAAACTCGTTCGCAATCTCTTTCCTGCGTTCAAAGACAGCTATTGAATTCACAACGCCATGAACTGTGTGCGTGTTCTTCTCAGCGGTAGAAGAAGCATTGGGCGAAGCATTAATCAGATTCAAGTCACCACTGGCTTGGCCGTTCAGGATATCGCTGCTGTGGGTAGTGCTACCCACCGATCCAAGAGATAGGAGGGTTCGTTTGTCGTCACTGAGTTTCCATACCCGTATGCATCCATCCCAACTTCCACTCAGGACAACGTCTGTCCCAGGCAGAGCTGCCAAAGCAGTAATCGCTCGCGGAATCGGCCTCCGCTTATCAGCTTTTTTGAGCCTTTCGATCACCTTGGGATCGATTTCTGAAGTCACTTCTTCAAGAGAAGGCGGCTCGTCCACACCGTGGGCCGTCTGGATGGTGAAAAGTGGCTTCTTTTTATGGACATTCCACAAACTGATGGCACCAGAATCAGAGCCTGTCACAAAATTTTGAGGAGGCAGTGCTGCCACGCAGTCAAGGCTACCGGTCTGGTACGCGTCATGTTTCGAACTATCGCCCAGGAATTTGGTGAGCGATTCATCCACAACCTTCCACCACAAAGCCTTTCGATCTCGAGCCCCAACCGTGACACATTGGTCCACCGTAACAGCAGAAACACCCACAATGTGGTCTTGATGACCAAATAGTGTTTCGACGTAGGCCAGGCTTTCCTCTCCCGCTAGACTGTAGGTCTTCAATGATCGATCCATGCTGGCACTGAAAAGTTGTGCTCCAAATCCAGACTGTGTAGAATTTGGAGCAAAAGCGAGTGCAGTAACTCCATCCCTATGGGTGGTGAATGTCTTGAGTGGGCGCAGATCTTCAGCAGACCAGATGATGAGCTTCTTGTCCGCGCCTCCTGTAGCAACGTATTTCCCATCCGGTGAAGCCGCAACTGCCAGGATCGCACCTGTGTGACCATGTTGTTGAGGGGCCGAAGCTTTGATCTTGATGCCTCGAACGTATGCAAGCTGTTTCGGTTGTCGTCGTGGTGGTGCTGTGGAACCCTTATCACCGGAGGGGAAAGATGCAGGCTGGAGCTGCCATTTGATCAAAGTCTTGTCCTTGCTCACAGTATAGACATATGGTCGGCACACTGCCACCCCGGTGGTGCTCTCTGTGTTCGCCCGGAAAAGCGTGTGGGTTGCACTGGCAAAGTCCAGACTCGAAGCGATCAGTCTGTATTGCCTGCCCTTTGCTTCGTCAACGTCCTCTTTCAGTCTTTGCGCAATCAGATCTCGGTCAAGGTCCTCGGCGTCGAATCCGACATCATCCACTTCCTGCCTGATATTGTCAAGGTATCTTTGAGCGAGTCTCACACGCCGTTCCGCGGCCGTTTCGCCTTCTTCAGAAGTAGCCTCAGAGTCGTCATCAGTGTCAGGTTCAACTTCATCATCTGATTCGCTTCCAGATATAGACTCATCCCGATCTGTATCTCGAGGTTTAGTCTGCTTTCGGAGCGAGACTTCGTCTTGTTCGTCCCGCGCCTCGTGCTTGTCCACCTCACGTCGTTTCCTGGCTTTGCCCGCGCTTTCGTTCGCTCTCTTACGCTTCCGTTGTGAGGCTGGAGCAGTGAAGAATGAAGACATACTGCATCTGCGGCACCTCCTAGGTCCCTAAGCTGAAAGTTTCCTAATGGTGCAAGGACATTTCTCAAGTCACTTGGGTTTTCTCCAAATTTTTTTGGGAGCCGTACTACTGGGCATGCAGCCTCGCCCGGTTCGCCGCACCTTCCCAATAAGGACAGTCCCAAGTGAAAGGCAAGGCAGAGCTTCGCGTGCGTGTCTGGCTCCATTACTAGTATCAGACAACAATCTATCAGCGAGAGTGCTCTGCCAGCTTCACATCCTTCTTCTATCTGAGCAGTGCGTGTCTACTGTTCTATAAGCCACCGACATATTCTTGCCGTCGAGATGTAAGTCCGCACCGATCGATCCAAACCTACCTAGACCAGGCTTCTAACAAATAACTCTAGGGAAGTACTCCTCGGCATCACGGGCCGTGACTTTACCATCATCGCAGCCTCCAAAGCAGCTATGCGTGGTGCGACGATATTGAAGACCTCAGATGACAAAACGAGACAACTCAACAAGCACACCCTTCTCGCATTTTCTGGTGAAGCAGGTGACACAATCCAGTTCGCTGAGTTCATCCAAGCCAACATTGCACTGTACACCATGAGGAATGAGACAGACCTGGGGCCGAGCGCTGTCGCAAGCTTCATCCGCGGCGAGCTTGCCAGGAGTCTACGAAGCAGGAAGCCGTACAATGTGAACCTGCTGCTAGGCGGCATGGATCCCATCACAAAGCAGCCAAGTTTGTACTGGTTGGATTATCTCGCCAGCAGCGCAAAGCTTCCATATGCCGCTCACGGCTATGCTCAGTAGGCGACATGGCCATACCATTCTTGATTGCCCACTAATTTATTTCCTAGATACTACTGCCTTTCAATTTTGGACAAACATCACCACCCTGATATCTCATTTGAGCAAGGCATGAAGATCCTGCGCATGTGTACTGATGAACTCCAACGGAGACTACCAATTGATTTCAAAGGAATGACGGTCAAGGTCATTAAAAAGGACGGAATCGTGGATATGGAGTACGATACCAGCAAACAAGTTCTTGCAGCCTAGATATGTCAGGGGATGAAAACAGGAAACGTCACAGTGGTACACATGCATAGCGCGGCGCAACTGGCAAATTCTGATCAATGGGTATCAATTCGATGTTGTCTCATCTGTTTTTTGCACCACCCCGAGTTCTCCGTTCCGTCTCTGTGCAAACTTATGGCCGCTTCTCGTGGCTGTCATGGTGTCGTCCCAAAACGTGTCTTCCGACTTTCAGTCAATTCCCAGAAACGCCCTGCTTATTTGCCAATGAAGGTTTCGTTTTCAGATCATTTTATGCTGAAAATCAGGGAATCACCACTCCACGTAGCAGACGTCCATAGCCAGATCGGCTTTGGGGGTGCAGATACTGGCTATCCCGACGATTGGGATTGCCATGATGCTGCATGTTACTTCGCGAACGGCCATTGCTCCGCTGCCTCCCCTGCATTTCCTGGGTATTATTGCCCCGGGCTCCGTGAGTTTGAATAGTCTGATAGTTGTGGGTGCTTCGTCTAGCCCGGTGGCCTTGTAAATGCTGTCTTCGTAATGCCGATGGCTGAGGTGGTCGAATGTCTGATTCTTCAGACTCTGACACTCCATCCACGACTCCGTCGGGGGGGATACCCGATGACTCTGCATCTTCCTCATTTCTCTCATTTTCCGGACGATCTACGGCCCCGGACAGTTCCTCGCTTGCCCCTTCATTACCACTGCTTTCCGCCGAGTCCTCCTCCGAGTCATCACTCACGATGAACCGCCGAGATCTCGGCCTAGCACTGAAGTCACTGTTATCATCTTCAGATGCTTCCGTTGGCTCGTCGTAGTTTGTAAGCGCATCGGATGTGTCCCCGCGAGTTGTAACATGAGAATCGCTGTCATCATTTGGTACAGACCTCTCCGAGTTAGATCGGTGCAGAGGTCCAACTGTCCCGGTTGGAGCGCCGGAGCGCCGCTGTCGGCTATAGACGGTCATCGTTGACTCGCTATTGGTATCATCATCGGAATCGGTGACGTCGTACAAGTAACGAAACTCGTTACTATAAGGGAGATTGCCGGTTCTATCTGAAGGAGACATTTCTGAAGGAGCAGTCCCTTCTGAAGGAGTCTCATAATCATCATATGGAAAGTGACGTAGATCCATACTGCTGCCAAACTCATGGTCGATTTCATCCCCGTCGGCATCAAAGTCCGTGTCGATGGTATCCAGGCTTTGCGGTCCCAGGGAATCCTCATCGAAGTCGCTGTCAGAGTCTCCAGGTTCGTACTGGAGGAACCCACACTGGAGGCACTGCCCATCCTCTAGCTCCCAGTGGCATTCCGGACATCGAATGACACCGTCCTCGTGATCCATGATACCCTGACCCCATGAAACGATATGATGATGATGGCGCGGCTGCACAAATGCTCCCTTGAACAGACCGCCTCCAGTGCGGTCTGCCGCAAGCATGACGGCCTCGTCTTCTTTTGCCTGCTGATGTTCTTGAACGGTTTCATCTTCTGGGAGCAATTCCGCTCGGCTGATGAACATATGGACGAGATCTCGCAGAAGGTAATTGGGAGAGGGCTGCACCTTGACTTCGGCTCTGCAGTCCGGACAGTTTTTCTTCCTCTTCCTGCTTTGCGACCCACCAAACCAGCTGGCGAGACATGAGTAGCAGTAGGTGTGGCCACATGGGAGGATAAACGGCTCGTAGAAAGGTTTTATGCAGATTTTGCAGAGCGATAGGCTGCGCATGTCCTCGATGTGTTTCTGAAACGTCGAAAGGAGCGATATATCGGCGGTCGCCATGGTGGGCGAGGATGGGCTCAACAGCCGTGGATTAATCGGGCAGAATTGATTAGGCCGCACTCACGATGTTAAGGTGAGAATCCAACACATGAGCAGCGGTTATCACACGATACTGCACGCTGATACCTCATGAACGCAGGGAAGGCTCTGTAAGGACCTGAGAGGAAGGTGTTGCAGGTGTGCCAGCGCGTTTGACAGCCGTGATTAGGTTACATAGGTAGGCCTGCCCACCAGCACTTGGACGAATTTCTTGGCCGTACTTCACCGTACAAGTACTGTACGGCTGGCGCCTGATGATCGAGGCTTGATACGGCAGAGCACAAAGCTGCATGAACGGGAAAGTCGGCCGAATCAATTTTCCGAGTTTGAAGTCGCAGCCTTTGACAAGATCTTACAGAGACACTTCGCCGGGGTGCTTCTCGCAAGCATGTCGAAACCAATTTCGTTTGGCTTCGGCAAGCCTAAGTCATCTTCATCCGCTCAGGCTTCATCTACACCCTCGCGCAAGCCGGCAGCCTCCAAAGGACCTTCCCGAACAGCGCTTCATCATGAATCAGACAATGAAGATGAGGAAGAGCCTAGGCACGAGTCAGTCACTGGCTTCTCGGCAAGTGGTGCTATTCTAAGTCAACCTGCGCAGGAACCGTTTGAATTAGTCATAAAGAACGCTGGGAACAGCGACTGGCGACGACGCGGTCGCAAGAACCTACTCCCGACCGAAGTCCAAGCCCAACAAAATGGGGGCGATGTTGTCATCGTGGAAAGAGACGAGGTCAGCAACACCAGCGGTCTGCAGCTTGCGGACAAGATGGATCCTGAAAGATATGTGAATGCTGGGCGGCAGGGCACGCCTCAACCGCACAGAATAGAACCCCCTCCGAAAGAGTTGACAGCGGATGAAGAGGCGTTACACGCCCTGTTGGATGACGGCTCTGGTAAACCGAAGTCAAACGCTATCATTTCTCAGAGGGGCAACATACAACTTTCATCACGAGATGAAGTTGAAGATTTCAAAGATGATGTGGCTGCAAGGCCGGACCCGAGCACCCTCGAAGAGTACGCTGCGATGCCAGTGGAAGAATTTGGTCTAGCCATGCTGAGAGGGATGGGTCAGAAGCGACGTGCCAACGGCGAAGTTATCAACTTGAGTGCCAAACCCGAGGACAATTCTCGAAAGCTCCGGAAGCAGGAAGGATTCCTAGGGATTGGGGCGAAACCCGCTCCCGGTACCGACATCGAGTTAGGCGCGTGGGGAAGGGCAGATATGCGCAAGAACGCAAAGGGCCAGGGATTCTTCACGCCGCTGATGCGCGAAAACAAAACCACAGGAGAGCGAATCTCAGAAGAAGAATTTCAAAAAAGGATTGTTGAGTCCAAAGGAGCGAAGGAAAAAGAAGATTGGAGAAAGCGAAGGGACCGCAACCTAGAGAACAGTGGTCGAGATCTAGAAAGAGATCGAGACTCTCCGAGGAGTGCTGGCGACGACTACCGTGATCAAATGAACTCCTTTTCTCGGTCTAGCTCATCAAAACGAGAGCGAGATGATCGAGAATCCTCTCGCTCGAAGAGAGACAAAGACGACTATGACTATGAGAGCTCGAGGTCAAGAAGGGAGGATGAGAGGTCAAAAGATAGAAAAAGGGACGATTATGACGGCCGCCACCAAGATAAGCATCGAGATCGATACCGAAACGGGGACAGTTACGATTCAGGCTCATCCCATCGCCGTAACAGAGAGCGGGACAGAGAGAGGGACCGTGACGGCGACCAGCGCCAGCGAGATAAAAGATGACCTGATGATGGAGATCGGGAGGTTTCAGAGTTTTTCCCCGTGTGTACTGATGCTACACCATTATGATATCCTCGCTGCTGGCTTTCCCATTTTCAATAGCCAACAACCGATCAATCCCTGCGGCAACGCCCGCAACCTCGTCCATTTCTCTCAACGTGTAGTCGACCAAGTAGCTCTCATCGACAAGTTCCTCCATCCGTTTGTAATGACGGTCTGTATATACCTCCAACGCGCGGAGCAATTCCTTCATTCCTTTTCCATTCGAGCTGAGTTTTCGGTCTTTGGCCATCTCCACGAACGTGCCCGCCGAATAGACCTTCAACAGGCAGTTCAGTACCCTCTGAGCAACTGTCGCAGTCCGTGCATTCGTGTTCCAGTCACGCACACGTTCGAGCAAGGTAAATATTTGCTGGCGATCGAGCGCCGCGAGAACGTCGTCGACGGCCTTCAGGCCCATGATGCTGGAGCTTTCTTTCTCGGCCTCGGGAAGGTTGACCACATCCTGAAACACACGGAGCAGACGGCCTGGATGATTCAGCGCCAACGACAACGTGATGGCCTCGCGGTAGTTCTTGGAGAAAATGTGGTTCTGGAGTTGTTGGTCCTGCTCGATGCGTTCGGTCGCACGCTTCGAGGCCAAGGTGGCCGTCTGGACGGTCGTGTCGCGCCAGAATGTCAGTGTCGCGTCTGCGGCGCCGGATATCAGGGGGTATGGATATGTTGGTGGGCGATCCTTAGACCCGGCGTAGCAAGAGTTTGGCGTGGTCAAAGCCCAAACTCGGTCGATATGATTGTCGAGGGTGGTCAGGAGATGGTCTGAATCGGCAGCTGAATAAGGAGACCAGAGCTTGACGAGGGTATCCGAGGATGCGGACGCAATGACGGGTTGACTCGATTGAGGATGGCGAGAGTCTGAGAACGACTCGGAATCGTGGGTTGGCGTCGCCGGCGGAATCCAGATCACTTTCAGCACCGAATTGCTGTGGCCCTCGAAAGTTTGAAGACAGGTATAGGTCGAGAGCGACCAGACTTTGACTGTTCGATCGCTCGAGCCACTGACGAGCAGTCCACGTGAGCCGCTCGATCCTCCGCCCGGCAAAGCCAGAGGAGGAGTACCTGCAGGAGAGAATCGCAAGGACCACACGCCTCGTTTATGGCCACGGAGAATGCCAGTCACGGAACCGTCTTCCAAAGACCAGATCTTGATCGTGCGATCCTGGGAAGCAGAAGCAAATAGCGGATCAATGGGAGAAACGTCGATCGCGTTGATGTCCTTCTCGTGTGCAACCCTCGTGAACAACGCTTTGGCGACAGATTGTGGCTCTGGTGACGGTGGAGGATACGTCAGTCTCGCGGTGGCCCAGCGCTTGATGGTTTTGTCCTGCGAGCCTGTGAGCAGGAAGGCCGGTGGATGGCTGGCCGGATCCTTCGCAGCGACTCCGTCGACCGGTGGACTTCTTGGTAAAGCAATGGCTCCAAGAGATTCAGCGTGTCCTGCAAAGGTAGCAAAGCATGTGTATGATGATGAAGACGGATCCAACCTCCACAGTCTCGCAGTGTTATCCTTCGCACCCGTGGCCAACCAGTATCCCGACCAATCGACGTCCAAGCAGATTATAATGTCTTGGTGGCCTTCGAGCAGAGCAATGTCACTCCCAAAGGATTCGTCGCCCTTGTCTGCAATGGATATCAACTTAACGCTCTCCGTATTGGTCGCGAGGGCTAGCAGCGTCCGGTCAGGCCCGACGCATGTCATATCAATGATCTCATCCAGATTTCCCGAGATCGTTCGGATCAGTGGCAGTACCTCCACTGTGTCCGTCGCCTGGATAGTGCGGAGACTAGATAGGCTCCGTAATCGCATCGTCTGATCTTGATGTATGGATAGAAGAGCATCGTCTTCGATGACCTGGACAATTGCAGTGATGGCATCATTCTCCAAACCTGGAGTCTGTTTTGTGGTAATCTCGCGACCCGTCGCCGTGTCCCATAATCTCACAGCACCATTCTCGCCTCCCGCAAAGCAAAATCTACCAGCAGAGAGGAACCCCGCAGCTTCCACGACTTCAAGTACTGGGATGACTCTTTGCTGCTTCCACGTCTTCGTGTGCCAAAGTATTATCGTCCGATCACGGCTGGCTGACAGCAAAAGATGTCGATCTTCGGCGTAATCCAGACTTCGAACCACGCTGACATGCGAGTCGAGCGTGGCAACTGATTTCCGCGTTGCCAAGTTCCATATGCGAATCGTGCCATCTTCGCCGCCCGATGCAAGGTAATGGGATTGTGTTGAAGAGCCGTGATTGACATCCGTTTGAGTCATGTCGTGACTCTTTCGTTTCTTATTCGATTTCGAAGTCTCCAGGCTGGAGTGCTCGGCAGAATTTGATAGGAAGAATCTCAGCGCCGAGACCACACCTCCATGGCCATGGAATGTGTGCGTTGCGTAACCACCCCTGATATCCCATACTTTGACAGTCCCATCCGCCCCTCCCGTTCCGAGCAACGACCCAGTGTCGTCGACTGCGGAGCAGACAACCGGAGTGTCATGGGGCTTGAGCGTCCGTGAGAGGCTGGAGGATAGAGTATTAGATTCTTCGAAAGGATTGAGGGCGTAGATCCGAAGTGAAAGCGATCGGGAACAAACAACCAGATGTGAGGCATTAGGAGCCAGACACACACTGGTCACGGCTTCACCATCTCCTTCTATACGGCATAGCACCCTACTTGTCTTCACCTCAACGACCAGGACGCCGTCATCGACACATGTCGCCAGGAGTGCGCCGTTCGAGGTGTGAGAAACATCACCACCCGTGTAGATGGGCTCGATAGTCTTGGCCGCCTCGAACGTGGTTTTGAAGTTGACTTTGGTAGCCATGGGATAAGCCTAGACACTATCTAGCTGGATGCCATTGATGTGTCGGTATTTTCACACGTAATCCTGCCTGTGCCTGGAGCCTGGAGCCTGGAGATGGGTCACTGAGTAAAGGAGAAGGCACCTTTTGGAGATGTCGTCCTCGTTGCCTTTGTAAAAATTTCTTTGGTGAAAAGGTGATAGACATGACAATTGCTGATTGGCGGAAGTTCTCAAGCCCGCACTAGTTCCCACTAAATGGCCATTTCTTGGCACGCTAGATTTGTTAACATCTCAATAGTTTGGACGTCCTCTTTCCTGGTGCAGCTCGCATTCCATTCCATCAAACAGTGCGCTGCCAAACGAGAATGCAAGACACCAACTACCGGGCAGACGAGTGCTGGATTTGACACACTCTCCTTCAACGATTGACGCAGTGAACTTGTTCTGTTCGCCGAGACTGGTTAACACTAGCTCTAGCTCTTCGCCGCCTGGCTCCTCAGGTGCCCGCGGGCGTTCGCAATGTGTCTCCCGACCGTCCAGTTCATGAGCAGTATTGATTAACAGCGCCCTCTTGGTGGTTCTTGTTGCATAGCCGTCGTGAAACAAGATGGGTCGCCAAGCTCATATTGCCCGACTGGCTCTGGTATGTTCTCCATGTTCTAGACTGCTTTGCAAACACACGTCCATCACAATCCTGCTCTGCAAAGGAGCACAGCTGTGTTAGTACATATTCAGTGTACAAGGTCTACTATAGTATCTACCAACCAGTCACTGGAAATGTCGGGGTGTGTACGCTCTAACATGTGTTTGTAGGGAAGGTCACCCTTCGACGCACCCATGCGGGATGATGACGGGAACTTCGTCTTGGGCCCCAATGTCCAACATGATACGGCTCGCAACTACATCCAACACTTCGACACCCAAGGGCATCCGAAGAATCTGGCTTCTGAGGCGTCACAGAGAAGGCTTATCAGGGCCCAAAATGACGCACTTTCGACTGTCGGCGTTGTTGTTCGCAAAGCTGAAATGAATCGTTCACCTTGGCAAACCATGAGCGATGAGCAGAAACATTTGCTCCTTCTAGACGAAAACATTGCGGGAGCCAACTGCGGCATTGCTGAGAACATCATACAGAAGCTGTCTACAAGGTGGATTACGTGTCTTCGCCGCCGTTTGCTCGTAAGTACCAAGTAGCCAAGTAAGTTATACGTCAAGGCTCTAACTGTTCCAGACTTACAAATCATACTTGGGCATGTCGCTGCCTGAAACGATCCTGTCCGAATGGGGCTCCTTGGGATTTCGGGCATTCTTCTTACCTGGTCTCCCATTCGCCGCCGTTACCAGTGTTAGTCAATCCTTACGAGACAGTATACTAGACGATGACCGAGTCCCCGCTTTGTCGCACGCATCAAGTAAGCTTCATTCGTCAAGCCTTGTCCGAGTGATTGGTGCTCACAGGTGAGAGATTCCTGGTACTTCTTGCATAAAAGCTGACTGAAAGGAGCTTACGAATTCTTTGGTTCGCGGCTGAATACCCCTTCTACACCTTTTCCGTACTACAATCCCTCTACCTTATTCCTGTTGATGCGAACCCGCCTCTACTGGCCTTGGTGCCCTTCACCTCCTCGTCGCCTATTCAGTTTCCCGAGACAGACTTAAACCTCTCGTGGCTGTCATTGACCTCACACGCATTGAACGTCGTCTCTAGTCCCTTCGTCCTTGGCTACATCAAAGATCAAATCGGGAAATACATCTTCTCCAAAGTCTATTTAATAGTGCGCTACTTTCTGGTGAAGCCTGACAGACCAGATCGACTATCACTTCAGAGCGCCAAAGATAATATGAACATTATTCCCGACGGCGCGATTCCTGGCATGGCTGTGGACCGCAGAGATGATCGGCACTCCTCCGGGCTCGAAACTGTAATTGATATCGCCAGAACGCTGTTCCCAGCAGTATTTTGGCTGTGGGAGAAGGTCTTGCAGACCCAGCGAACTCCTCTCACAGTTGAGTTGAGTCCATCCATTGAGACGGAGTTGCTAAACCAAAGCATCATGCATTATCGGGATCTACTACGCCAGGATCGCGAAGTTGATGTTGAGCTCAGACGCGCTCCTAGGACGCTTCGCATAATGGCCATTCGAGCTGCTTTCAACGATTACAACTTGGATCCGGATCACGCAATGATGGATATTTTTGAATTGGCCGAAGGAATGAATTTTCTTGCGCTTAGCGATGTGTCTACCGCAACACCAGAGCCGTTGGAACCTCCGCCAATCATCGATGGCAATGCACGAGCACAAAGTGAAAATATTGCGGTAAACGGTGGAGAGATTGGAACACCGTCCGGCCTGGTTGAAGCTACCTCGGATCAGCCCCCAGGCATAGAGAGGTCTCAGTCATCCAATTCCTCTGTGAGAGATCACGAAGGCGCTGAGAATGGTGCTCTTGACAGTGGCACAGACAGTCACGCCCGGGGTGAACCTTCGTCTCGGCCTGCCGTCCCTCTCGAGACACTGCTTCCGACTGTACCGCCAGATGCAGAGATGAACCAGTCACACGGTGGATCTAATGCAGGTCCAGAGCTCTCGATTCAGGGATCCCAAGTCCCGAATTCTCCTAGGCCTTTTTCTCCCGTTCCGGGAATTGCTCGCGCGGCCACCCTGCCCAATACTGGTCGGAGACCTGTCCGCCGGCCTACAGATCTTAGCGAAGAACTTCGACCTACTAGAGAAGACCTGTTTTACCAACAGCACCCGTCAAGAAAGTCGCGCTACGATAGCGGACCACTTTATCGGGTCACCCTTTTGTCAAACCACCCTGCCGAAACCCTCGCTCTCATTGGCGCCTCCATTGTGGAGTCTGCCATGCTACTTCCCTTTGACATGTTGTTTCTCAGATCACTTGCTCGCAGCTTTCTTGCGAATGGCTGGGGGGACATGCAAGCCTCAAGTGCAGCTCGTCCGCTTGCGGACGAGTGGCCTCTTGGTTCGTGGTTCGGAGTTCGCAGCCTCGATGCCTCCAGATGCTTCCGTTTCTTCGGGGCTTGGTCTATGACTCTCGGCATACAAGCCTTGGTCAACTTTGTGATATGGAACGCAAGTACGCGCATTACCTTGGGGTTAGGCAGCCGTTTTGGCTGGGGCAAGATTTGACTGGTGAGCCACCATCCTGATGCTAGTAAAGTTGGCCAAACGTCCGAGGAGAGTGCGCTGACATTCGGTAACTCAACCACATTGACGACTCAAACTCAATTTGTGGCTCTTCCAGAAGCGCATAGATGTGTAGACATACGTAACGTGCAGTTGTCGTTGTAAGGCTGGCGTCTACCACCCAATCAGCGGTGACAAGGCTGTCCCTGCGGAGGAAATTATTTGCCTGGATTGTTTTTGGCATCCAACTCTTCACTGTGACAAAACCCATCGAGGACCGTCAGATTCGTTGCACCATGCCAAAGCGAAAGTCCGAACAACCTCTAGAGAATGCTCTGATCGAGACATCTCCGCCGACTAAGAGGGTGCGCATTGATGACGTGCCTGACGAAGAACTACCTGTCGCAAATGGTAAAACAACGCAAGGATTGAACGGCGACATCAAGGCCTCATATGACACAACTGCACTTAAAACCGCGCAGCCTGAACAGACTGATGATGATGTTGAATCGGAGGCCGAAGATGACACAGCGCCCGTCGCGCCACTGCGACAGAATGCTCCAACCGAAGGTTACAGCGATCTCTACCTAGACACGATAAACCGATCTTTGCTCGATTTCGATTTCGAAAAGCTGTGCTCCGTCACCCTCTCGAACATCAACGTTTACGCATGCCTAGTCTGTGGAAAATACTTCCAAGGGCGGGGCCCGAAATCACATGCCTACTTTCACGCCCTCGAAGTTGATCATCATGTGTATATCAATATGGAGACAAAGAAGGTGTATGTGCTGCCGGAAGGTTATGAAGTGCACAACAAAAGCTTGGACGATATCAAATATGTGGTCGATCCCAAATTCTCCGAGGAGGAGGTCAAAAAGCTGGACAAGGAGCCCAAGGAGTCGTTGGATTTGGCGAAGAGGAGGTACAGACCAGGATTCATTGGAATGAACAACATCAAGGCCAACGATTACCTGAATGTGGTAGTGCAGACTTTGGCGCATGTCGCTCCGCTGAGGAGCTTCTTCCTGCTACACTCGTTTCCTCATACGGCGCCGCAGCTACCTGTCCGACTCAGCACGCTTGTGCGAAAACTTTGGAACCCCAAGGCATTCAAGTCTCACGTATCGCCACATGAGTTGCTCCAAGAGATTGCATTACGGTCATCGAAAAGGTTCACCCTGACTCATCAATCCGACCCCGTCGACTTCTTGTCTTGGTTCCTCAACAACCTACACCTAACTCTAGGAGGGTCCAAGACGAAGCCATTCTCGTCCATCATCCAGAAGACTTTCCAAGGAAAGCTGCGAGTCGAATCACAGGCTATCACAGCCAAATCCGACGAGACTGGAGATCGTTTGAGATTTGAAGAATCATCCACCATCAACACGAACATCACTCCCTACCTTATCCTCACTCTCGATCTACCACCAGTACCCCTCTTCCGCGACGCAATCGAGTCCAAGAACATCATTCCGCAGGTGCCTCTCACTTCTTTGTTGCAGAAATACAATGGCTTGAACGCCTTGGAGAGACAGTCGCATCGAGTTCGTCATCGGCTGTTACACCCTCTTCCTCCATATCTAGTCTTCCACATTAAACGATTCAGCGTTAACAAGTTTGTTTCTGAGAGGAATCCCACCATTGTGACATTTCCTTCTCCCCGAGGACTAGACATGTCACCTTATGTTGAACCGAACCCGGCGATCCATCCACCTGGAGAACCCATATACTATGAAATGGTGGCGAACATCATCCTTGATACAACGTCGGTCTCCACCGGCGGTGGGGAGGATTCAAATGCAGCCGATGCAGCAAACAAGGCTGCTGGGGCGGAGGGTCAAAAGGTGGCTTGGAAAGTCCAGCTACGAGACAAGGCCGCTGCGCACGCTCAACGGCCAGATCTGCCTGAGTGGTTGGAGATTCAGGATCTATTTGTCGACCGCGCCGAGGCGGAAACGCTTTTCACTAGGGAAAGTTACCTCATGGTGTGGGAGCGCAGAAAGGAGAAGCCGAAAATGGCCAATGGGTCGGACAAAGGCAAACGCAAGGCGTAGTAGTCGATCAGTATACAGTAGGGGGGTAGATAGGGTGATGCGACACGCATACAGAGACACTCTGAGACGTCTACTCTTCTTGTATTGCCGGTTCTCTAATTCGCCCTATACTTGATGTAATTGTGTGAGTTCAGACTTGGGAGATGAGCGAACACGGAGCATTTCACAAATCGTTGGTGCTAGCTACTGTTGGTCATATTATTCATCCCTACGAATTGGCGGCAGCATTCCCGCCGCTTTTTTTTGACAGAAGAGCGTCCTGACTCTCAGGCCTGTACTCCGTACTCCCAAACCATGAAGCTTCTCTGGGGCGCAGCAGCAGCACTGCTTCCAATATGTGTGTCTTTTGCGGACGTTACCGGCAGCGAGCAACAGCCACTGCCAGTGTCGGATTCACCCGACCCTGAGCACGACAGATTGTCCGATGTGATAGCCGCGTCGCCTCTGCTGTCGCTACACAGGGCAATCTGCGAGGTGGAGTCGGTCTCCGACGATGAAGTGGCCGTGGGCAAGCTGGTCATCTCCATCCTCGAAGCTCACAACTTCACGGTGAAGACACTTAGCGTGCCTTCGCCGGGCGCGACGAACACGACCAAAGAGCGGGTCGACATCTACGCCTATCCAGACTTGTCAAAGTACGGAGGTGACGGGCAAATAACCAGTTCCGAGACGATACCGAAACCCAAAGTACTCTTGAGCTCGCATATCGACACGGTGCCGCCGCACATTCCATACTCGCTCTCTCTGCCCAAGAGGAAAGGCAGCGGTAGTAGCTCGGCTAGTCGCAAAGACATTTTGATCTCCGGCCGCGGCACGGTCGACGACAAAGCCTGCGTGGCCGTCCAAATCCAGACGGTGCTGGACTTCCTCGCCGACCCGGCCGCCCTGGGGACTGACAGCGTCATCAACCCGTCCGACCTCGCGCTCCTGTTCGTGGTGGGCGAAGAAAACCGCGGCGACGGAATGAGAGCCTTTTCCACGTCGGACTTGTACAGCAACAGCAACGCAAACTACAAGGCGATTTTGTTCGGAGAACCTACGGAAGGGAAACTCGCCACGGGCCATAAGGGCATTTTCATGGTCTCGATCAAGGCTTACGGGAAGGCCGCACACTCGGGATACCCCTGGCTCGGGCGCAGCGCCAACAGCATGATCCTGCCGGCGTTGAATGTCCTGGACAAGCTGGGAGACGTGCCGGAGGAGGAGGGCGGGCTGCCACGCAGTGAAAAGTACGGCAAAAGTACAGTCAATGTTGGCTTGATGTACGGGGGCGTGGCCGGGAACGTGGTCCCCGAGTTCGCCAGAGCCGACGTGACGTTCAGACTTGCTGGAGGCACAGCCGAACAGGTGCAAAAGGTTGTCACGGACGCCATCCGAGCAGTGGACCCGGACGAGCTGCTGGAATTGAACTTCAGCCAAGGGTACGGCCCGGTGCCCTTAGACGCGGATGTCGAGGGCTTCGACACCATCACGGTCAACTATGGCACAGATGTACCGAACATTGAAGTGGCCGAGGGCGTCAAGAAGTATTTGTATGGGCCTGGAAGTATCCTCGTGGCGCACGGGAAGAATGAGGGATTGACGGTGGGAGAACTAGAAGACGCTTTGGAGGGATACAAGAGGCTGGTCAAGCATTCTTTGGAAAGCTGAAAGCTGAGCGACTTCGGTTTCTATATCCGAGGTCCGCAAGGGAACATCGTCATAGAGAGAAAGTCGGAATGATACCTAGGTTGGCATTGCACATGGCTGAGCTGTTGGAGGCATGTAACACATATCCATCCCTTACTTCTGTATCTAAGGTACGTGCAGGTACTAGTAATAGGTCGTTGTTGGTCGTTCAACCTTGCCAGACACAGACAGAGAGAGGGAGCCTGCCAAGACGCCTTGCCTCTTCCAGAGCCCACAAATCGGCAAACCTTCCCCCACATTTTGCAGGCGAAAACTTGAGGGCTTGGCGGACGATTCGCACTGCCGCCGGTTGACTTGACTGAACAATCTTGGACAGAACTCGTTCAACGTCGACCACAACCCCTCCCGAATCCTTTCCAGCTCGCCGACTTTGACCATCGATATGGCGAAGGAAGCGACTCAGAAGTCCGGCCTCGCCGTCGGCTTGAACAAGGGCCATGTGAGTTGCCGCAACCACCCAACCCCAACCTATCCAAATCGATTTCCCTTTAGTCGAGTCTTCAGGCAGAAGATGGAGGACGATTGAGATGTCAGGCGAAAAGCAGAAGTGGCTTTCCCTACAACTCGATCCGCCTCTCCGTCCTATGCTGGATCCCGTCAGAGAATTGAGAAAGTGCATATGCTGACCGAGAATGAAATGTTTAGCAAGTCACCCCCATCACACCGAAGCCGCGCATCAGCCGCACAAAGGGCCACTTGAGCAAGCGCACCGCCTTCGTCCGCGAGATCGTCAAGGAAGTCGCCGGTCTGGCACCCTACGAGCGCCGTGTCATTGAATTGCTGCGAAACTCCAAGGACAAGCGGGCCAGGAAGCTGGCGAAGAAGCGGGTATGTTTTGGAACCCACCAGTCCTTCCCCCTCCACATCACAATATCGTCACGAAAGGATCGTACACACTTGTGTCCTGTCTGCTTTTTCCCAGGGGGAATGAATAGCCCCATCTGTTGCTGAGAATGGGAACTTTTGACCGCCCGGTTTCGGGGGTTCTAATCGAGGGATTTGTCGTTCTTCCTTTTTTGCTACATCACCGGAAAAAACTAGTCACTGGTCTGGCATACATGCGCTAACATGCTTCGGTACAGCTCGGAACCTTCGGCCGTGCGAAGAGAAAGGTCGACGAACTGCAGCGCGTCATCGCCGAGGCCAGACGAACCGGTGCCCATTAAACAACTTGTTCAACCCGCGACGCCAGGTTCGGCGTCTCTTGCTTGCAAATGCGGAGGGAAAAATGAGAGAAGCTGTGGCATACGGAGGCGGAGATGGGGAACGGCATGTGTCATGACATGTTGCAGTTCACATCTTTCAATTCAAGGATGACCGGCGTTGTCAAACAGATCGAGACGCAGGAAAGCTCTACGGCGCTAGGGGTGCGGAGGACAACCGAGTAGAGAGGATATTCTCCCTTGCCTCTGGAAACCATGAGACAAACCAAGGGGAAAAAAAGCAAAACGCTTGTCATATGGTGGAAACATAGAGTTGCTGGCTGGCCGATCGACCGCATTGGTCGTGATGGCTGGGACTTGACAAGATGAATCAATGGACTGAATCAAAACAAAGATCTTATACACAAGGTGTAGCTGGGGGGTTGCCGTTGTTATTCGTTAGCTGTGAGTGTTCTTTCCCAGCTCCGTTCAACGGCGCTCCGGTCCCAGCCAATATGGCTCACTACCTGATATTCACCTCCACTTCGTCTTCGTCCTCCAAGCCGACATCTTGAACCGTGGCCTCAGGCTCTAGCCGGTCGCCGTCGAAAACCAGCCATGGAGTCTTGCCGTCGTCCAACTTCTTGGTCGCCGCATAGCCGCGCATAATCTTTCCCACGGTCGTATGTGGCCGCACCCGTAGCTGCAAGGGCTCATGGGCCTTGCTGACGAGCCGGATGACAATGGAGCCTGCTGTGTCGCGATCATCCGTTTGCGCACGCGAAGAAACAGCTGCCTCCTCACTACTATCTGGATCTTCGTCGGCAGAAGCTCGATTCTGCCGCTGCTCTTTCTGCCTCAGCTTTTCTTCGTAGATCTCTGGGGTCACAGCTTCAAGCAAGATGTTCCCACTGCTCGGATCATCCTCTTCCTCCTCATCACCATCATCCTCGCTATCGTCACCCTCATCCAAGCCGGTACTTTGCTGCCGATGGTCCTTTTTCAGCTTCTTGATGATGCCTCGCATGGTGGTAGAGTCAAAAAGTCTCGTCCCTCGCCACGTGAAGAAGACTTTCCTGGAAACGGAATCGTCGAGCTGCCACCTCTTGCACCAGTATTCCCTGACCTGTCTGAGTGACTGCGACGCTTTACGTCTGACAATCAGCGGATTCGTGTTTGGGATGTCTGATTGTATGAGTATCTTGACCTGAGGATCGTCCTCCTGCTCAGATGCAGGCGTCGCCCGGCCAAAATCTTGACCCGAACTGGCTGAAACCGGTCGGCTTTGGCTTTGTTCAGTCGACAGACCTCTTGGGATGGTGGGAGCAGACGAAGTCGATGTGAGTGGGCTTTGCGCTCTGTCTAGATCAAGGCCCAATCGCTGTAGGCGAATCTTTTCGCGAGCCTTTTGCTTCAAGTCCCGTAGGTATTCATCTTCTTCGTCAGATTCGTCGTCGTCCACTGGAAGGCTCGCTGTCGGTCTGGTAGGAGCAGTCTTCTTAGGCTTTGACGGAGTCAGCATCACCAGCGCGTCATCTTCATCCTCGTCTACTGCGATACTGGCGACAGCAGAAGTTGCGTGGTGCCCTGTCCGCGGCGAACGAGAAGACCTCGTGGGCGATCGACTCAACGACCCAGTTTCGAGTGTCATATCCTTCCATGGAGTGCTGCGTGTCACAGGCCTATCTCGCCCTCGACGGCTTTTATCACTTGCTCTCCTCCTCGAGGCAACTCCGGTATCCGACCCACTGCCCGACGCTGCCTCGTTGTCTTTTTCCACAGAGATTCTTCTCCTCTTTGTGGACGGGCTGACACTCTTGCCCTTGTCCGCGTGCAACTTGGCTTTGGCCGCCTTTCTCTCCCGTTTCGCTTGTTCGGCTTGTACAATGTCATCGTAGGCTACGTTTCGTCCGAAAACAGAGCCGTCGTCCTCAATCTTGGACGAGGACGCCGCTGGGGCGGCCCATGCGGGCTTGGTGAACAGGGACCGCTTGACACCTGTATTCATGTCTGGTGCGTGAGTAATGATAGCCGTGTCTTCGTGGTTGCGCACGCGCCCGAGGAATTTGGAATATTTGGGACGAGGGGGGAGCGTGTCGCGCAACTGCGTTGGAGAACTGGAGCACCTTACCCAGGCATCTCCTAAAGTACTGTAACTGCAGTATTACTCCTTCCTCCGTGCAAATTAACCTATTAATCAGTGCAAGGCTTCTATGACTCCATACTACCTTGAGTATAATAAGTTCGGGGCCTTCGAGAGCAACCCTCGTGCCCAAACTCGACAACTTTCTAATACTAATCTGGTTAGCGCACCGACTCCACTCCACCAGGAAAATTCTTTTACTTGAATTAAAGTACCCGAAATTCGCCCAACAATTGATCCAAAGATCAATTCGTTCCAACCCTCGATGGTGTAGTTGGATATCACATTCGGCTGTAATGGAAATTGTTACCGAAAGGTCACCGGATCAACGCCGGTTCGAGGGAATCTCAACTTTTTTTGCCCAATTCTGTGCCGCATTGAGACAGATACAGTGTTTAACTACGTACCTATAAGTTCAACAGTTATTTTTGTTAACATTGAGTCTTCGTTTTTAATCCCCTTTCCTGTAAACAGTTGAATCAAACCCATCGGCTTCAGCGGAACTGGTATGCCGGAGCTCGTCGCTCCTCGACAGCTCTTAGGTAGGTAAGATCCCGAGTTGAGTCAGAGATTCGGCGAGAACTGCATACGTCATGGGGTGACAAGAACCGTGCATTTGCGACCTCGACGAGAACTCATTGTCTACAAGAGTGAGATAGTCTACAGATTGTCCTGCGAGCGGGCAGAGTGGTTGCGGGGGCATATAGGGCCACAGCAACGGAGGCCCTAGAGGCAGAGCTCGGCGTCGAACAGTTAGACCTGTACACCGATATACTCGCCTACCTAGCGACGGCTAGGGCGATAAGATCAAAGACGCGACAAAGCATCGAAGGAAGGACCGCGGCGATTCTTCGAGCCGGAGCCGGAGGAAGAAGAGGAAGGACTCCGCAGCCAAAGACTCCGCAGCCAAATAGTCCCTTTCAAAACGTAATTGGGAACAACACTTGGGACTCTCTAGCCGCGATGCTCAACACAAGACAAGGTTCTGGCCATGGACCTGCTGGCACAATACAGGAACTACAGAGAGATGGGGGAGGAGGGCGACGAAGGAGAGAAGGCAACGAGGGATGAAGAGGAAGAGACGGAGAGGGAGGGAGAGAGCGAAGAAGAGCGGGTGTAAGCAAGGAGGAATAGGGAATAGAGAACCGTTTTCATAGGCCTACGAAGGGTGAGTTACTGGACGTTAAAAGGAATCATAATACTCATACTTACACAGCAGGCCATCCTATGCCGCCGTGACGGGCAAGTTCATTGTTAGTCCACTCCCAGAGCTCATCAACGAGCTTCAGGTCGGCTGCGGCACCCTTGAACATCCTGATCTTTCCGACTGGCTGGTAGTACTGTCCGGATTTCACTCCTGTCGCTCCACCAAGCGGCGCTGTGGCACACCACAGCTGCGATTTTGCGCCCTGATCGACGTTGACCGCGGTGGCCCACACCACTGGTTTCAACAGCATGGTCATCAGCCCGCCCGCGCCTTTGCCCCAGATGTCAGATTTGACGACACCGGGGTGCACCGCAGTTGCCGAAATCTCCGGGTACAGCTGGGAGAGTTTGCGGATGAAAAGCACGTTGGCCAGTTTTGAGTGAGCGTAAAGGCTCAGCGGACCATACGCGTTCGGCTGGCGCATGGCGTTCAGTGCGAGGCCCCCTTTCGGGAGCACAGGATCAGAAAACGCCGCATCGGACGCCGTGGCGACAATGCGGACATCGGCTTTCGGGTCCGATCGCCGCGTTTGTAACATCTTGGGCAGGAGCAACTGCGTGAGAAGAGCGTGGCCCATGTGGTTGACCGCAAACTGGAACTCGTAGCCTTCTGGGCTGAGGGCCGGCGCGGTGCCAGCCACGCCGGCGTTGAGGAAGAGGAGATCGAGACGGTGTTCCCGTTGGTTGAAGTCGGCCGCGCATTTCTTGACACTGTCTAGAGATGCTAGGTCTAAATCCAGCACGTCGATTCTGTCGTACCGACACGCGCTTTTCAACTCGGCAGCGGCAGCCTCGGCAGCGGAGCGGCGACGTGCACACAGATAGATGCGTGCGGGATCGTGCAGGGCGATGGCGTGAATGGTTGCTTTTCCGATCCCAGCGTTGCCCCCGGTCACCAGGACGACCTTTCCCTTTAGGTCTGGGATATCTTTGGCAGGCTCGAATTTGACTCTTGCCATTCTCCAAGGCCACACGTCTCGTCTTGACAATACAACCAAGGAGGGGGAGGGGGAGGGGGAGGGGGGAAGCGAAGTTCTGATGGTGCTATGGATATGTAGTCTAGAACAAGGCTTGCTCACTGCTCGTGGAAGTGGCTATCTGGTTGCCAGACACCAAGCACTGGCACATCCCCTCGCTTTATATAGACGCCTGACCTACTCTGTATGATTGATTTCCACGGTGGTTGCTTGGGCGCCAGTATCGACTGGACGACCGTTGCGGCAAAAGTTGACCGGCCCTTGGATATAACAATTACTGTGTTTGGATGGATGGACATCTTATTAAGCCGAGTCCGAGTTGGCGAGGCATTGCCGGTGACGGCATTGGGCGCGGAGGGTCGGGGTTAAGAGGGGTCGGAATGTTGCTTGCCAGCCTCCTGAGCTAACACAGATGAAAGAGAGCACAGAGGCCCTAGATGCCAGCCCTCCGGTCGTATGAGAAAGGATCTGTATGGCAGACTCGTGCTGGCACCGAACTGAGCGCCTGCGGCAGTCGCTGCGGTGGAACTGGCACGCTGCCGCGTTCATTCTTGGAATTTGCGCGGTAATCGGACCGCGATAGTTTTGAGGCTATTCATCTCCAGCGATCCCATCGTTTCTGTGAGGCCCACGAAGAAGCTGACGTGGGATCACGGCGCCTACGGAGGCGGTCAGGGCCAGCTTCGACACATTGTTGCTGGAGTCTTATAGTGCTTTCGACCGGTACTTCTGCATGTTTGGGGGCATTCTTATGAAGACTGGAGAATTGTCGGAGTAGGATATAGTATCTCTCTCTACGGAGTATGTTAATATTAATGGGGGATTGGAGCTCTCACTGGAGTGGTCCGTGTCGCTGAAATAAGGCTCGTCCGGCTGCACTGACGTTGTGTAGCGCCAAGTGACAGTTTAGTGAGCCAAACTCCCTCTTCTGATGTATGCAGTCAGCGCCTTACAGCTTGCCATAACTCCTTGTCAGTGATCCTGTATTCCTCCTAAGTCGATTCGCGCCTATCTCTCTCGTCGACTACCTCAACACCTTCAAAAATGGAGAATCACAATGCGAACGACTCCAAAGACCCGGCGAGTTTCCTGTCCTCGATTATCGGCGTGCCCGTCACCGTCAAGCTCAATTCCGGTGTGGTGTATAAAGGCGAATTGCAGTCTGTGGATGGGTACATGAACATCGCGCTGGAAAAGTGCACAGAATTTGTGAATGGGCAGTTACGACGGAACTACGGTGACGCTTTTGTGAGAGGAAACAATGGTAAGAGATTCGATGTTTTCTTGTTTCAAGATTCTAGGAATTTCGAGGGCCCTTCGAGGACAGGATCACACACAGAGCATGAACGAACGATAACGGCTGACGTCTTGTTTGAATGTAGTGCTTTATATTGCAAGCGAGTGAGGACGGGTGGGAAAGCAATATCAAGTTGAATGTCAAGGGTTGAAAAGAGACAGGCAGTTCCCCTGCAGGATAAAACAGTGGGACGTTGAGCACAGCGGTGGAAATCCCGGATGCTCTTGGAAGACTTCTGATCATCTCGCTGTCCTCACTCCCTGAGGGAGGTTTCTGAGGGACACACCGATGAGGCTCAGTGGCTGGCAAACTGCCGAGGGAGGGCCGCTCGCTCCGCGGGGATGCTCGTAGATGCCGAATTGTTGTTGAGCAAAGCAGTTTCACATGGAGGGTCTAACCACCGCTCTTGGGCGGCTCAGCAGATACCTTGCTCGTCCAGAAGAATACAGTACGGCCATGCACAGCGATGCGCCCAGATTCATCGGTCTCAGTTTCCCCAGAATTGACGCTCTCGATGAATGTCTTTCTCACTTTCTCTAGCCCTTGACCCTCGAGAATGGCAAGCTGGCTTAACGTCCTTAATCGGCTCCAGATTGTCTCTCTAGGCAGTCTCGTCTCGAAGTCGACTGAGCCTTCTCTTAACGGCAAATTGAACAACAGAGTACTACTGTTGCTTTGATCGTCGAAGACTTTGCGCCACTTCTGATGCCGGAATCGTGGAGAGTTATCGTCAAACGTCCATATTATGTCGCGCATTGTGCGCTCCCAGCCAGGGTGGATTGCCCACGATCTCGGTGAATTATCTGTTTTCCCCCACCATGTCAGAGTAGAGGCCTAACCTTTGCCATTGGATGCAGCCTACAATCTTCGATGTTCCAAATGAGGCCAAAAGTGCCCGATGGCTGCAATATTCGGGCTATCTCCTTCAGAGCGTCCACGTTGGCAAACCTTGGGAAGAGATCAGATGTGTGCTTCTTGGAGGGCAATAAATACAGCTTACCAATGAAATGACTACAGCCGATCAGAATTGTAGCTGACACTGGGGACATGTCCTAGACTTACCTGTGCTGTTATCACGCACGCGAAACTTCCATCCGGAATGTTTGACATGGCGTCGGCCGTCCCCTTGACGACTCTAACTCGGGGAAGGGATTTTTCTTCCAACTGTTCGCGCATCGCATCATGAGGCTCAATGGCTACAACATCGTACCCCTCGGGTCTTCTGGCAAGGATCTCCGTGAACTTACCCGTGCCAGCCGCAAGGTCTACAACTTTAGCACCTTTGACGCCGGCTATGCCCAGGCCGTCAAGTAGTTGCTCAACGGCTTCCGCTGGATACGATGGTCGGTAGGCATCATAGGCGCGGGCAGAAGCGAAGCCAGTCTGAGCCGGCTCAGCAATGTGAGGCTCTGGCATGATGGCAGCGGACACTGATACCAATCTGTATTACCAAAGTCTGAAGCTGCCTCGAGACTATGGGTACAGAGGTATATTTCTGCAGAGCTCGACGGTGACATGATACACGCCATCTCGCGCGAATCAGCGGAAGCCGTGGTGGGTATTGAGCTGACTCGCTCGTCCTTTATTCTCCCCGCACCCGTGCGTTGACGTGCTGAGTCGGGCTGCAAAGAAAAAAAAGTTGAATGCTGGCAACACCTCATCCTACTGGTGTTAGGACGAACAGCATAGCCATAAGACATCCCAGGGCGCCAATTTCTGGGCCTCAATAGCTACTATCCTCGCTGGCCTCGGAGTGCTGCGACACTATGGTTTTGCAAGCCATCCAGTATGAGCCGGCATCCGCCTCCTCGCCTCCTACCCTACGCATCCTAGACCAACTTCTTCTGCCGCACAGGACGGCCTATGAGGCAATTGCCAACTGCGAGGAGGCCCATGCTGCCATCAAGCAGATGAAAGTGCGCGGGGCGCCTGCCATTGCGATTGTGGCAGCGCTCGCGCTGGCCGTCGAGATTGGAGTCGCAGCCGTGACCGGCAAGTTGGCTACATCACCAGACGAGGTCAGGGAGCAAATCAGTCAGCGGTTGGACTATTTGAAGACAAGTCGGCCAACAGCAGTCAATCTTGGAGATGCGGTGGGAAAATTGAAGATTGTCGCCAAAAAGGCTGCGCTGCAGTCTGGAGCAACTGCGGGTTCGGTTGCGCAGGCATATATTGTGGCCGCAGAACGAATGCTGGTCGACGACGTGTCTGACAACAAAGCTATTGGTGAGCACGGGGCCCGGTGGATTGAAGAGAACACAGCAGCGGGAAGACAGAGGAGAGGAGACAAGACTTGTGGATTGCAAGTCCTCACACACTGCAACACCGGGTAAGTCTGCAAGGTGGGATTGCTTATGCCTGTGGCACATTGTTGACACATGCGCAGGTCCTTGGCAACCGCAGGCTATGGCACTGCATTGGGTGTCATCCGATCCCTGAAAGCCGCTGACATGCTCACTCGGGCTTATTGCACAGAAACTCGGCCATACAATCAGGGGTCGCGATTGACCGCATATGAACTCGTCCACGACGAGGTTCCCGCGACCCTGATCACCGACTCGATGGCATGTGCACTGCTGGCAAGAGAAGGAAATCGCCTGGCAGCAATTGTAGTGGGAGCAGACCGGGTTGCTGCCAACGGAGATACAGCAAACAAGATCGGAACATACTCTCTTGCGGTGCTTGCCCGGCACCACGGTGTCAAATTTCTGGTTGCGGCCCCCCGGACCACAATTGACCTGACCACAGCATCGGGGAAAGATATCGTTATCGAAGAACGGGCGCCAGAAGAAGTTACGAGAATCAAGGGCCCGAAAGTCACGGTGGACGGAGAGGTACAGGTTGACGAGGCTGCCCAGGTCATCTCCATTGCAGCTACTGGGATTGACGTTTGGAATCCTGCTTTCGACGTGACTCCAGCCGAACTGATCGATGGAGTGATCACCGAAGTCGGCGTGGTGGAGAAGACTGCTGGGAAATTTGACTTTCAACCGATATTCCAACATCCGTCTTGACCCAGGATGGCCAGCATTATCCCGCGGCGGCGGTCACAGGCTTTTTGAGTGTCAGGTTTGCACGCTACAAGGATCTCCAACATTGGTAGAACATCCCCCAAACTAGTTTGCACTGCTGGGAACACCTCCATTCTATTCAGTAACCCAGACCAGTCGATTCGGTGGTGGCAGTAGGGCTGATGCATGTTGTGTCTTCCGGCTGGGCTCCTTTGCGGCCGTCGAGCTCGCTCCACCAGGGAATCGCTCGGCTAACGGCAAAATGCGCTATTTTGGCTTGGACACATCCGACGACGGAACTTTCCTTTGCTGGCCTGGGTTTGGACTGTCCTCGATACTAGCCAGGAGCTGTTCAATCCTGCATTCAATACTGTCGAGCTTGGACTCAAGTGCTGAAGCAGTCCTCTCGCCGCTGTGCAATCAACGGTTAGAGCGACCGCGACCAGTGGGGAGGGGATATAGAGGGACAAGTCTGTACCGAGCAAGTTCTTGAAACGCCTTGTCGGAAAATAGGTCAGCGCAAGAGCCAGGAGAGTGGAGGCTTCATCACCGGTGCGGCGGTGTCTAGTATCTACACACCTTTGCCATTTCGGAGTTCAGGAGCTGAGGATTGGCGTTAGCATTGTCCTGCAGCTGGACTGATTGGGCGTCCGCTTCCTGGGTGCCGGGATCGCGTTGCGCCATTGCACAGATACTCAGTGGGGTCCTGGATGCCAGATGTCACTGGCTTTTCAGGGCTGGGTCAAATAATAATGATAGCAGACAACAGTACCATGATACTGTGCAACGGGAAAGGTGACGGATGCAGCAGGCTTTGGGACTGGGGCGCAGGTGGGAATCTGGAGTGGACAGGATAGACGAGGGAAGAAAGTGATGGAAAAGATTACTGTGGATTAGTCTTCGATTTGAGTTCAAAGGACATGGGAGAATTAGTGGACAATGGCGCTAGAGAGCGAGGCGAGGTGGATTCGGTTGGGATTTGCCGTTGGATGAAACTGGATCTGCGATGGAGGTTTAGCCCGGTTGGGTCTAGCCCCGGATAAGCTTCCCAGTTGGTGTAGAGTTGGGACAGTCAAAATTTGGTCGAAGGCATTTCAGAGTAGATTTACTGGATACTACGGGTGAGTCGTGGTGACTGCTATCCCGCAGTAGATAGCTTTGGGAGCTTGACCTAGAAGGGAAATATTCCCCTACCGGGATATGCCGCCACTAACACATCCAATCTTCGATCTCCGTACACTTCACAGTATTACAAAGTACGCCATAAGGTACGGATACGGACACGGACACGGATATTTTTTAGGTACCTAGAATGGGCTGATATCAGGTCCTATTTGCTATTGCCCATGTTAGTAGGCGGTTCGCCTTCATTTCTCTCTCGGAGCTCGGAGCACCAGCACAGTCTGTACAGAGTACGGATATGCTGTACTCCCTCCAGTATTTCCTCCTCCTCATCCACCCTCGTCGCTCGCCGTCACTAAGCTGGACCCTGCGCAACTTCAAGGGCATTAGGACTTTGGACCCTGCCTCCGCCCTACTTGAAGCCAGGAGCCTGGGACGTGGCTTAGGAGGTCAGAAAGTGGACTTGTTACCTGACCCTAGGTTCAACTCTACTCTGTCAAGTCTCAACCTTACTTCGTACCCGCCGTCCTCACCTCCTCATTCGGTTACATTATTTTTATTAAGTTGTCTTGCATTTGACAGAATTACTGGATCGGCTGTCAGCAGTTCAACTGAGCGGCCAATTACTCTCCCGCCATCGACCACCGGCGAAACTACTACCGAGTCTCATACCGCTTTACTGCTCGTTACCTTCAGCATCTGGGTCCTATAGAATTGGACAGCCTGGATGATCAGAGGGGCGTGATCTTTCCGGGGTAAGAAACTCATCCTCTGACGGGAATGGTGCCGTTTTATCGCGACAGATAGGTGGTCACGTCTCGAGAGTCTACGCTAAGCCCACAGACTGCCCGGAGTTCCAATTCCGCTCATGTATGACCGTGGCTACAGGGAGAACCCTCCCAAAGCCCACTAGCAGAAAGCCAAGTACTCTTACCGTACTCCGTACGGAGTACTCTGTACAGTATACACCGAAAGCTACCCGGAGACACAGGTCGCAGCAAGTTTTACCGAACTATGTACCCTCGCAAGGCCCCCCTAAACGAAACGACTCGACCGAAACTACAGTACATATATTAGCTAAAACGGGGCCGATCTAATTAACGCTAGAGCGCTTTCTTCCGGTGGATGCAGCTTGTCGTAGCGAGCTAAGGAGTTGGAGTTTCTCAGTTGCAACAAATCCAATCTTCCGCTTGCGAGATTTGGATAAGAGAAGAGCACGCCGACCCCATCGTTGTTTTCTTCTGGCTCCCGTCGCTGTCGCTGTCGCTGGCCACAAGGCCGTGGGTCGGAGTTCCAATCTTTTTTTTGGGCGTGCATCGAGGTGGAAACGTCTTTGACTTGGCTTCGACTAGTCGGATCGGGCGTTTGCAGAGGAATCTCATGTTGACCAAAACAGACTCTCCAGTTTTCTAGGTGCAATTCCCGTGCTACCGAGATCGTGTTCTTGGGCTGCAATCGACGTCAGCAAGTCTGATGGAAATGTGATGGAGAATGCCCTGGGCGTCGGAACTAACGGGACAATTCAACGGTCCAGCGCAGCCACTCACATGCTCACGAATGCCTCCTTTGTCCCTAAGTCGGCGCCAGATCGACCGGCTGGGCTGCATTCCTGTCACGCCCCCTGCCACCAATGCCTCTAAATCGTCAATTCAACCCTCAAAAAGCCAACAAGGCTTCTTTTCTCCAGTATCGTGCCCACCGGACCTGAGCTCGGAAAATTGTATTTACTGTTTGGAACTGCTCCATGGTCTCAGGGACACTGGAGGGATCAGGACCAAGAGATGGCGGCTTTTCCTTGCCGTTGGAACGTGGAAGGCCGTCGAGTGGCGCACTGGACAGGGAGCCTCGGGGATTTCGAGAGCAAGGCGCGGACCAACAGGATTTGACGACACGATGACTCCGTATATACATATGTGTAACCGATCTCGCATCTGAGACTGGCGCCCTACAGTATCCCAGATGGCAAGATGCCGATATCTTCTTACATGGAAGCGAACGCCTCCGTTCAATGGTGTGACCCGTCAGCGCAGGAACATTTTGAACACCCAGGACCACTCATAACACCCTCCAAGGGCTTCAAGGGCTCCATGAGGCTATGGCTGCAGCGATGTCAGTGCGGAACTCGTGTGGCTCGGTTACGCTGTCGGGAAACTAAGGATGGATCCTGAATTGTGTTGCAACTTACTAGGGGAGGCCCATGGGTCACGACGTACCGGGCTTAACCAAAAGGGCCTCATGAGGAATAGGGTCTGGCTCTCTGGTCCAACCCCGTCCATCGTCCCCCCCAGCGGGATCCCACGCCAGTTGTTGCTCCTCGCTAGCCGGCGAATGACGGCAGACCAGGCGGGCGGCGTCGCTCCTTGCATCACCTCACTGTCGGCGTCTCCACGTCCACAATGACACCTGACTTGGCTTCTTTTTCCTAACATCACCTCTCCTTGCCATGAACAGCCTATAGATTTGCATTGCCGAACCATTTCTTGATCCCTTTTCCATCTTCCGTACATAGGCGCTTGCCGCCACTTTACTTTTTTATTCTCAGATCATTGTCGAGGCTGTTGGGCGGTGGACTTTGTGTGAAATCGGTTTGCGACGTGATCACCGATTCCTCGATTCCTCGATTCCTCACATCCCATCGATCCGCTCGACGCGTGGTCAGCCCGACTGTCTTATCGTCTTGGAAGTTTTGCACACTCTCCACGGCGCGGTCGAACACCCCCTTTCAGGTCAACCAAACTCACCGGCCGATACGTGCCTGGTCATCGCAGGGGCCCGATCAGCATTGCTTCCCATTCGCCTCAACCCCACCTATCACGCTGTTGTGGGCTTGTGGGTTAAGGCAGATCTCGAGGACCCTGAAAGCTGGACTCCCGGTAGCTGCCCTCATCAGGCCGGCTATCCCATCAGAAGCGAGCGAGCTCAAAGGTGCCCTCGTCCTCCTTCCAGAAGACTCCCTCCCTTGGTCTTCAGGCTGTGCACCGCGCGTTGTCTCGCTCCAAGATCACGCCGGACTTCATCCCCCAACTTTTTTGTCTTGCGGCTGGTGACATCGCCACCGCCAGTGTACGGGACTGTCCACCATCAGAATTGTCGTGTCGTCGACACTCAAAAACGAGTAACCAGCGAACGCGTCCTTGACCGAGACCCGGTCACGTCTATCCCTCATCGCTCCCACATGCAACAACAGCCGGTCCATCTCGCGATCGGTCGTATAGCTTTCGTGGCGGCGCGACCTGATTGATCGGCTTTTCTCTTGAGACTCCTTCACGCCTCGGCCACGTTCTATTCCGATGATAAACCGGGTGCGCTTGAATGACCGATCTCGCCCCCCATCTCGAGCGTCTGGGCCTTGAGCAGTACCTCGATGCCTTTGTAGGCGAGGGCTTCGACACCTGGGAGACCTTGACAGACATTCAAGAAAGTGACTTGTGAGTAACTGGTCGGCCTCTCGAGCAGAGAACAAACACTCACATGGTCTAGTGACGTCCTCAATGTCAAACTTGGCCATCGCCGGGTGAGTCTCTCTGTGAATCCATTGGCTCTGCGTGTATCGCTAACGGTAGATGAAGAAACTCCAGCGGGCCATCGCCGACTACAGAGGCATCTCTTACGAACGTCTGGTCGGGTCTCCAGCCCAGGAAGGGCCACCAGACACCGGTAGAGCTCCCGAGAGCAGTGCGACTCCTGCCATTGCGACCGAACGGGGCCCTGGACCTGTCCCTGAGACGAAGAGGAAGTATAGGCGGCATCCCAAACCCGACGAAAACGCCCCCGAGCGGCCCCCTTCTGCCTACGTGATCTTCTCCAACAAGGTGCGCGAAGAGGTGAAGGATCAGAACCTCTCTTTTACACAGATCGCCAAGCTAGTGGGCGACCGATGGCAAAAGCTGGATCCTGCGGGCAAGGAGCCATTCGAGACACAGGCAAACGCCGCCAAAGAGAGATACAACATCCAGCTGTCAACATACCGGAAGACTGAGGCGTACAAGGAATACATGCAGTATCTGGCAGACTTCAAGAGCAAGCATGGGCAAACGTCCGAGCAGAAGAGACCCAAACTGGATCCAGAATCTAGCGGAAGCATCATCTCCGCCAGGTCGCTGGAAAGCAATCCCGAAGTTGCTTCCCAGCTTTCCAGCCATGTCAGAGGAGGTTCGATGGGGTCCATGGCCTCCTCGCCGTTCATCGGGGGTGGGAGGCAGCCCACTCCCTCCGGGGCTTCGATGCCGTCGCGGCCACAGCTTGCCTCCTCTCGCAGCGGCTCACCTCCCCCACTCCAGCAGGGTCGAGAGTTCTATCGTCCGAGTCTGCCCTCGCGTCACAGCTCACTCTCGGACGAATCATCTACAGTACGCAGTGATCTTCCAGAACCTCTAGTGCGGACTGCAACTCTGTCGCTAGGGGTTACCCCGTCGTCTTCGGGAACACCACCTCTACAGCCAGGGCCGCCAGGCGCCTTATCTCTGGATTCTTCAGGATCTCCTGATCTACCTGAACGATCGAGGCTTTTGTATGGTGTGCAGCAACAACACCAACAGGCTCAACCCCAACTCCAACCGCAACACCAACCCCAACTCCAACACCAACACCAGCACCAACACCAGCCGCAGCAACATTCGGCTCTTTCGACCGTGCCTGGCATCGGCAGCGCTCAGCCTGCACCAAGCGTGCCCTTCCCACCCACCTTCCCCTCCCCGACCATGCCAGAAAGACCATGGGGGAGCCGCCCCTCTGACATTCGCGGATACTTGGAGACCCCAGCGGGTGGACCGTCATCTCTATCTTATTCTCCTGTCGGGATCCCGCAACCAAATCCCGCCCAGCTACCACCCTTCTTCCCGCCAGACCGTCTCCCCGAGTACTCTCCCGGGGCATATCTGAGGACACTCCCACCTCCTCGAAGTCGGTCGACCGGACATCCTGCCCTGAGAGAGTCTGGATCGCCGGTGCTGACCAGCGCCTTGACATTGCGCAGGCCTGGGCAAGAAGAGATTCGGGCTGTACTTGAGAGGTCGGAGAACGATGCGGCCAACGCGCTAGCCGGGCTGGCTGCAACACCCGTGTCTCGCCCTGACACGACCAAACCTCTTAGCTATTCACTACCCCCACGATCTGCGCCTTAGCTGAAGAATGGCTCGGCTCTGATATGACTTCTGTACGATGAAACGAAAAGACTATAAAAGGCGCTATACTACCTCGCACGGTTTGCGAGCAGGATGTGGTATAATTTCTTCCATGGAGCCTCGGTTCTGCGGGTACTAGATGCATGGCATGTACAGCGCAAATTTGATATTCATAACTCTACCTTCAGTCTCCCCGGAACCCACATTCCGTGGCCTATTGCATTATCTGCCTTCTTAACTGTCCGGACATATCCATTTCTCTTTCGTCGAAAGCCTGAGCGTGGAAGGCCTGTAAGAGGGCCCGGGGTTTGCCTTCGGCCTTGATCGGGGTTGACGACTATGAGGTATAATCCCAGCATGGCACTGGTCGGCATTCCAAGAGGTTCAGAGAGGGATGACAGGCCTGCAGAGGGAATTAGCCTTGACGCGTCCACAATGTAACGATGGCGCAAGAGAGCACCGGCTACCTGCCTGGTCTGGGGGAAATTACAAGGACTCCATCCTCTTCCGGTCGATCTGCGGCGGGAAGCAGTCAGGATCGAGAGGTCGCATTTTGGCCAGGATCCGTCTGCCAGGGAGCCTGATCTGGAATGCCGAATGGGAGCCTCATTTCGCCAGTCACGAATGGAGGTTGCATGGGCATTTGTTCAGTACAAAGGGGCATTCGCTTCTACGTAGCAGTAGTAGTAGCGTGCCTCGGGTTGCAGCCAATCAGCAACGGCCGTGGCACTTTCTTCTTCCAACATCATCTTATCACTTCCCAATCATCCTTCTCTGTCCTCTGTTCAGGGCCCTTGTCTCTGTCGACTGCACAGATTCGATTCCCGCTTGTTTGATGCGGTTCATGATCCCTTGTTCCATGCAGTTCGGAGAAGCTTCTCCCGCAAGGCCCATGTCAATTTCTTTGAAGCGCCAGGGTAGGGTGGGATGGAGCCGTCTCCCAGCTTTAAGTTGCATCAACATCCAATCCAGCGGCCAGACGGACTCTTGTCGTCAGATGCATCATCGCAGCTTCTATCCGGTGCCTGCCGTGCTCGACAGGCTTCTCGAATCATAGCCAGTGCCCTTCAAGCTCTGGGGCTTGTTCAGTTTCCGACCTTCTTGAATCGTCCACTGCTCCGACGTGCTATCAACACCTTGGGTCCTTCAATATTGCTGATCCTCGCTCTGCAGGGTCCAGAGTACCATCGCGCCATAGCTCTTGCATGAACCAAGGCTACGAGCAGATCATGGATCCGCTTGCGCACGCTCCATGATAAACAGCGACCAGCGCGCAGTCGATGTATAAAAGCTTCGGTGAGCAGCCGTTCCTCGACATTCCTTCCACAGATCAAGACACTCTTTCATTGTCCATCAGCCAGGCATCCATTCATTTGTTGCTTGTTTCTCGCACTTCTGTCCCTCGTTTACTCTCTCAACATGCCTTCTTTTTCCGTCTGGCTGGCGATTTCCGCCCTTGCTTCCGTCTCCATCGCAAAACCTATCCCTGCCTCGCAGGCGACCACGAGAAAGGGCTTCACCATCAACCAAGCCGTTGCAAAGCCGTTCCAGGCCGGCCCTGTTGTCTTGCAGAAGGCTTACAACAAGTTCAACAAACCTGTGCCCGCAGATGTCAAGGCTGCCGCAGCCGATGGTTCCGTCACGGCCACCCCTGAGCAGTACGACGCGGAATATCTTTGCCCGGTGACTGTGGGTGGCCAGACGTTGAACCTCGACTTTGACACTGGCTCCGCAGATTTGTACGCAGTTCAGCAACCCCAAGATTTGGACATGGCGGATACTTACCTCAGCTAGATGGGTCTTTTCATCCGAGCTTCCCAGCTCTGAGCGCTCTGGACACAGCTTCTACGATCCGTCCAAGTCCTCGACCAGCCAAAAGCTGTCGGGTGCGACCTGGAACATCAGCTATGGTGACGGGTCCGGTGCCAGTGGCGACGTCTACACGGACACAGTCGACGTTGGAGGCACGACCGTCACTGGCCAAGCCGTCGAGCTAGCTTCTCAGATCAGCGCCCAATTCCAGCAGGACCAGGATAACGATGGCTTGCTTGGGCTGGCATTCAGCTCTATAAACACAGGTCTGTATGGGATCACGCCTGGACACTATCTTCCGCTAACCCATGGGCAGTCAAACCAAACCCTCAAACCACATTCTTCGATACAGCGATCAAAGAAGGTGTCCTTGAGCAAAGCGTTTTCACGGCCGATTTGAAGAAGGGCGCTCCAGGAACGTACGACTTCGGATATATTGACGACAGCAAGCATACGGGCGACATCACCTACACAGCGGTGAACACGGCCAACGGCTTCTGGGAGTTCACTGGGACTGGCTATGCCGTTGGGGATGGATCCTTCCAGCAGACCAGTATTGACGCTATTGCCGACACAGGTACCACTCTCCTCCTTGTGGATGACTCCATCGTCAGCGCCTACTACGAGCAAGTCAGCGGCGCCGAATACGACAACAGCCAAGGTGGCTACGTGTTCCCATGCTCAGCTACCCTTCCGGATTTCACAGTCGGCATTGAAGACTACCATGCAGTTGTTCCAGGGTCTTTCATCAACTATGCGCCTGCCACCGGATCAAGTAAGTCGATTTGTCTCACGTGTGCACGCGGATGATGCTAATGCAGTTCTCTATAGCATGCTTTGGAGGTATCCAAAGCAATGAAGGTATTGGCTTTTCAATCTACGGAGACGTCTTCCTCAAGGCCGTGTTCGCCGTCTTTGACAGCGACAACACCCAACTTGGTTTTGCGCCAAAGGATTTGTGAAGGGCATATTTGTATGTATGCTGACACTGGTTGAGGTGCAGATGGGAGAATACACTGTACAAAGGGCGAACAAGACATGGATGGGTCTGGAGGAAGTTGCCGGTCATATGTGGTCCAAATACGCACATCTCGATATCTATACACATATCTGGAGTACATAAATTATACACACAGGTACATAGGGGAATGTATTTCTGCAGCATTACCAGCACCTATGAGGCTACGATGGAGTTGCTGTCGTGAGCATTAGTATATGTATTCTGTATTGATGTGTTAATTAATTATGCAGGCTAAGCAAGCACAAGCTCAAGCACAAAGCACCTAAAGCACCTAAGCCATGTTTTGACGTCATTGGGGCGTAGATTGGGCTTGCGCAACGCTCGCGTTCATTTTCCTGGTACCAGGATGAAACAGTCGAGCTGTCCTATCCAAGCTATACGGATACTGCGTTGCTACTTTTATACACGTGGAAGATCTCTGAGAGCCCCGCATCCTCCCTCTGCCAGTCCCTTGGAAATACTGTGACCTGTCGATCAACGGGCGGATGCTGCAGCGTGCTGAATCTGACTTCGCGTGGTTCCACGAGGGTGGTCAGTTAGTTGTTTCGCAGCGATCCCTGGGCCGCCTGCAACGAGATGGCAATGGCGTCTACTTCTGACCTTGATGCCGGTCCACTGAACTCTGAGCCTTCGCGGCCACAGGATCGTGCCGAACAGAACCTCGCTCCTAAGTCTTACGCCGCTGCGGTTGTTGAATCAGCCAACGAGCAGGCCAACCCCAACCCCGACCAGGGTCCCCAATCTCACAACAATTCGGCGACTACGACGGAGCAGAATGGCGTCGCTAATGCCACCGAGCCATTGATCCCTGAGCCTTCGGAGCCACATGATCGTGCAGAAGAGAACTCCCTCCCCAAGTCCTACGCTGCTGCGGTCAGCGAGCCGGCCGACCCCGCTGTCACCACGAGGGAGCAGAATGGTGTAGCTAATGGCACTGGTCATACAGACGAGAACTCTCTCCCCAAGTCCTACGCTGCAGCAGTCAGCGAGCCCACCGACCACGCTGTCCCGACGACGGAGCAGACCAGCGCAGCTAACGAGTCTGTCAATGGTTCCGTGGTTAATAACCAGAGGAAACATCGCGGCCAGGACAAACTGATATATGAAAAGCATGCAGACCCCAGTGGAGATTTGCCCTTGACCAGCGTAAAGCCCAGCGACGACCATGAGAAGAATATCCAACAAGGGACCGAGAAACCCCCTCGAGGGAAAAAATCAAGTCGGCCGTCCAAAAGGCAGGATGTTCCCAATGCGCAGCTTGCCAGTGGTCGCCGGGCGGGCGCAGGTTGGGAAAAGTCTGCGTAGGTCGCTACCTGTGACTATCCTCTGATGAACTTGGCTAATCGGTCTTTTCAGAATACACTGGGCACCTCTCAATGTACCTTTGCAACGACGCCTTCAGACCCTGGCCGTTTTATGGCATACGCTTACCATTCCGATCCTCCTTTCACTGTTCTTCGTCCTGTGCGCCATCCCCCTCACGTGGCCGATTTTCATCCCGTACTTGATCTACACACTCCTCATCAGTGAAGAAGCTACAAACGGCACCCTCTCAAGACGGTCGGAATGGTTACGCAGGTCTAAGCTCTGGTCTGCTTTTGCCTCCTACTTTCCCGCCCGATTGTATCGCACGGTTGAGCTGGAGCCGACCAGGAAATACATCTTTGGATACCATCCACATGGTATTGTTTCCCATGGGGCGTTTGCCGCCTTTGCCACAGAAGCTCTGGGGTTTGCGGATCTATATCCGGGCATCACCAACACCTTGTTGACACTCGATGCGAACTTCCGTGTCCCAATATATCGAGACTACGCGTTAGCAATGGGCGTGGCATCAGTTTCACGAGAGTCCATTGAAAACATTCTCTCCAAAGGCGGTCATAATGGTGAGGGCATGGGACGTGCGGTGACGATTGTGATTGGCGGTGCCCGAGAGAGCCTTGATGCTCGGCCTGGGTCCCTCCGACTCGTGCTGAAGAGTAGGAAAGGCTTCGTCAAGCTAGCTATTCGCCAGGGCGCAGATCTCGTCCCTGTGTTAGCCTTTGGGGAGAACGACTTGTATGACCAATTCGACAGTGTCATGCATCCGTGGATCCACAGGAGTCAAATGCTAATCAAGAAGATGATGGGATTCACGGTCCCGCTATTTCATGCCCGGGGAGTCTTCAACTATGACGTCGGACTCTTACCATATCGGCGCGCTGTCAACATCGTGGTGGGACGGCCGATCAAGGTTGTCCAGCAAGGAACTAAGGACAATAAAGTGGATGAGACGTACCTGGACCAAGTCCACGCGAAGTACGTGGAGGAATTGGTCCGGTTGTGGGACAGCTACAAGGACGTGTTTGCCAAAGATCGGCGTGGGGAGCTAGAAATCGTCGAGTGAGACGGGGAAAAAACCAAGTATTTTGATGACTGCACGAAAGCACCAGGCGGGTTGGAAAGGCTGAACTGGATCTTTACACACGTTCACTATTGTACTCTGGGGCGAAGCAGGTGGCAGCACCAATGTTCGAGGGCGGTTGGCGCTGGAGCTATTTACGGCGGTGATGCCGGAATCAGAACACTCACTGCTGTCACGGCCAGGAAAGAATCGGAAACGGCTGGTCGGAAGGGGGCTTGAGGTACCAAAATCCAATTGTAGTGCTGTTTGCAACGTGCCAATTTTGCCATGATGGAATTGAAACCGTGTAGAGAGGCTGATCCTTTTCCATTTCTCTGTCGGAAGTTACTGCCTCGCCAAACTTCAATTGAGGCTTGCTTGTCAGCCACGCCCAGGCACCAGTACAAAACAGTATGACGGCTGGGTGCTGCGTTGCATTCCATCTTGTCTTCGAATGCCCTTCGTCCTTCCTAAGCCCTTTGCACATCTCGTCCAACACGGCTGTATTCGACCATCTCTCTCAGCTAATCGATATTCTATTCCTTCCCTTCCCTTCCCTTCCCTTCCCAATCAAGACAAAAATGCCTCCGAAGCGGCCGGCGAGAAGGTCGGCACCGTTGCCATTGCACTCCAAGTCTCGTCGTGCATCGAATGTCGATCGAAACAGCCACAACGGCCCGGGAGATATGGGTGCGGATGCGGGTGCAGGTGGAGATCCAGATCCAGATACGCACGTAGATCTGGACGGCGACTCAATGGTAGGCGGAGGCGGAAGCGGAAGTGGGAGTGGGAGTGGGAGTGAGACGAGGGAGAGGGAGGAAAGTCTCAAGAGGAGTATGGCTGTGGATGTGAGTTCCTCTCTTCCTTTAGTCCTGCTCCTCTCCCTCTCGTCCTGCTCCTCTCCCTCTCGTCCTGCTCCTCTCCCTCTCGTCCTGCTCCTCTCCCTCTCGTCCTGCTCCTCTCCCCCTAGTCCTGCTCCTCTCCCTCAGTCCTGCAAATGGCTCACCATCCTCGCCAAACACAACATCATCCTGCAAATACACAAGGAGGCCCCGGCTGCGCCGTTCGCAACATAAGTACCACAACCACACGAGCCTAACATGCATTTGTGGCTGGACGGTAGGCCGGACTACGCAAAGCGCAGAAGCAACAACGGCTTGAGGAGGACTTTGAGGATCAGGTTCAAGCGCTTGAAAGCCGGATCGACGAAAGAGCGGGAAAATATCGACAAGAACGGTGGGTTCCATCCAACCAAGAGCTTACATGTCAATTCTCGCCCTTCAAGTTGCTCATCACGTCGGCCCATTCGTCGACCCATGCATCACGTCCCGCCACAGCATCTGAGTTATGACCATCATCATTTCCGCCGATGAGGCGCTGCTGACCCTCCTTCTTGCTCTGGGGGATCTTCGTCGCTCTAACTTTCTGCATGGCCACAGTATGCGGATTCAAGACGCCCAGTTGGCACGTCTGCTCGAGCTTTCACAGAGAAAAGCCGACATCGAGAGCCAGATCATTAAGAAAGCTCACGAACTTGCGGAGGCGTACGAGGCTATGAAGGCCGAGTTTGAGGTTGTCTTGCGAGGCCGGTCAGAAGATTTCCATGAGGCCATTGAAACCTTGAACGCCTTGGAGGAGAGGGCAAGTCAGAACTGATGGATCACAGGGAGCGTGGGAGCGCGCTGCTGAGGCTGGCTGGTGCTGGTGCTGGTGCTGGGCTTGCCACACGGATTCACGTTTCCGCCAGTCCAAACAAGACTTTGATGAAGAGACTACACCCTCGACAGCCGACATAGATCTCTCCATTCAGACTTTCCTTTTCCAGATCTGTCTCTGTCAAAGCGTATCCATGCTCGTCACCACAGCGGCAGCTCCTGGACCACATATTCTCGGTCTCGTCGTAGTCCAGATCTTCCAGATCATACGACTCGACGCCGACATGTGTGCCCTTATAATGGTCCCATCCTCTTATTCCAGGTAGCCCCTCATGATCCAGCGCTTGGTCGTACGCCGCGCGTTTTTCAGGGTCTGTCAGAACTTCATAAGCGACGACAATCTCGTCTATCGAATATAGAGGCGTCGGATGACCACTCGCGCGCCTCAAGACGCCGCCGTGGGCCTTGTCTGGGTGGTGAAGGAGCAATGCACGGCGGTATGCAGCTTTGATATCGTCTTTCGACAGCGGTTGTCGGTCTTCGTGTCGGGCCAGTCCGAGCACGTCGTAGTAGGTGCTGCGCTTTTCTCGAGCACTCGGGGTATTACTGTTGGACATCAATGAGGGGTGGTCTTCTGCTGCTCTCGGAAGGGGGGATGAGCATGCGCCAGACAAAGATTAAGGTACTGGTGACCACCGCGTCACCTTCACCTGGCTCTTGTCTTCTGGTGGAGGCAGAATGAATGGTCTGCACAGTGCACAGTCCGTAGAATTAATTATTATGAGTTAGTTGGTCCCTGAGTAGTAGCGCCAACTCCCCTGCCACTGGGCGGGCGATCATTTCTCGGGTCAAGCATTGTGCCCTTATGCCCTTGCCAGTGTATGCCCTTATGCCCCTTATGCTTCACCCGGCACCCACCCGGGTAGGTGCCCAGGATACAGTTTCGCATCCGTACGGATATGTGTTTCCAAGCCAGTTCTTCTTCGTTTTCAGGGCATTCTTGGCCCCTTAGCCTCCTAAGCCTTAGCCCTAGACCCTTTCTCCTTATTTCGCTAGGCGTGTGGAGTGCCCTGAAAGCTTATAGGTATTTCTCAAGGTTCGTATTCGACTGTCATGCTCCTGGCCGCGTGGATTACGACGTCATATCCTGCTCCGGCTCGCAATGACTTCTCCCGTGCCTTGATTCATGATGGACAAAACAAACCCCGTGCGGCGGCGATGATGATGATATTGCCTGTGCTTGGCTCCCCATATTATCGTTCTTATTACGAGAGAGATCACGCTGACACTGACGGTGCGGTTTGATTGCTCTGGTATTCCGTCGCTTGTAATACTCGTTCTCGTTTGCTTCGCACAGCGGCTTCTCCAGGTAGGCAGGTCCTTTGGCTTTTCCGTGTCTCCACTCTACCATACCATACCGTGCTATTAGAATGTCTGCCGGAGACGAATTCGATCCGGAGACCAACAGGAGAAACCATCAATCACCCTACACCTCGCGGCATCCTATTCCTACCATCCAGAAATACAGAGCCGAGCGGAGTGAGTTGTCGGATCAGCAACAGCAAGCGGAGGATGCACAGCACGACGAGGGCGATGATCCCACGGTGAAGAGAGCATACCATGCAGCAAAAGGCGTTCTGAAGGGCGAAGATACTCCTCGGCCTGAGCATAACCCGTACGAAACAGAGAACAGAAATGTGGAGGGTACAGGGCAGCCTAAACGAGATGGTCAGCAACGGCCAGATCAGGACGGCCAAAATGGACAGACACGAGAGCCTTCCCACGAGGGCAAGAAAGAGGAGAATCATGCCAAGGGCCGTGGACAAGCCCAGTCAGCCACTGAAGCTGTCGCGGCCCAGACGGATCCTCGGCAGAAGAGGAAGGCCATGAAACATGGGAAGCGCAGTGAAGGTGGCAGAGAAGTCACGGACCCTGTGACCCATCTTCCCATCGTAATCAGAGATTCGACGCGCAAAGATCTGAAGTCGGTACAGCAGAATATCCCAGCACCGGGAAACAAGCCTGAAACCATGACGGGAGTCAGTGGCGTGAAGAAATCACAGTCTGACCTCGATGTCGAACAGTCTCGGCTGCAAAAGAGCCATGAAGGGATGCAGAAGCTGTTCCCGGGGCCGAACTTCGATGACATGAAGATCGAGTTGACCCGGATATATCAGTTTGCCTTGACAATAGGATTGGGGAGTGTTTTGGTATTGGCGTCGGTCTCCGTCGCCCTCTCTCGGTTGCTTGAGCTGGACTTCTCTCGATCCCATCGACCTGATCACTCTCCTTGGTCTTCTATCGTCTCCGCGGTCGTCATCATGGCAATCCTAGCCACCATTGGATTCACGGTGATACTTGCAATCCGAGGCTGGCTGGGGAAAAAAGTAGACGCGATTTGGAACGATGAAGTCTGGGATGCCGCTCGTACGCAGGAACTCGAAGCGAATGACTCGGAGGACATCATCCCCGAGTCGGTAACTTGGTTGAACAACCTCCTAGCCGCAGTTTGGCCGCTCATCAACCCGGACCTGTTCACCTCCGTCGCCGATATGTTGGAGGATGTCATGCAGGCTTCCCTCCCTAAAGTTGTCCGCATGGTCAGCGTCGACGACCTGGGGCAGGGTAGTGAAGCCTTCCGAATACTGGGGGTGAATTGGTTGCCAACAGGCGCTGCAAGCCGGACTGTAGGTGCAGACGGCAAGCTCAAACCCGCCGAGTCGGAGGAGAAGAGTGACAGGGCCTCGCCTGGGGACGGGCAGATTGAAGACGGGGAGTCCGACAACGAGAAGAACGAGGGTAAGTCTAAGGACAAGGGCCAGAGCGGACAACAACAAGAGCTGGAGAACCAAGCCATCCGTGAAGGCATGGAAGCAGAACAAGGCGATTTCGTCAACCTAGAGTTAGCCTTCGCCTACCGAGCTCGATCGTCTGGAAGATCTCTACAAGCAAAGGCCAAAAATGCCCACCTTTTCCTCAAATTCTATCTTCCTGGAGGTATTGCGGTCCCTGTCTGGGTCGAGCTGCGAGGGATGATCGGCACAATGAGGTTGAGGTTACAACTCACACCTGATCCACCGTTTGTCAGTCTCTGCACACTGACGTTTATCGGACAACCGCAAGCCGATTTGGCTTGTGTGCCCCTCTCCAGACGTGGGCTCAATTTGATGGATGTGCCTCTCATCTCGTCTTTTGTCCAGTCGTCAATCGACGCCGCTCTGGCGGAGTACGTGGCACCCAAGAGTCTGACACTGGATTTGAAGGACATGCTTGTCGGGGACGATTTCAAAAAAGACACGGCCGCCAGAGGCGTGGTGATGATCTATATCCAATCTGCCAAAGGTTTCAAAGACGGAGATTGCGGTGTCGGCCCGTTCCGGGGCTCAAGCGACGCATACATGACCGTCTCCTGGGGAAAATTTGGAAAGCCCGCTGCTTCTACAAGAGTCATTATCGACGACCAGGCACCAAGTTGGCACGAGTGGGCGTCAATATTGGTCACCCCTGAAGAGATGAATGCAGACGAGCGACTTCGCCTCCAACTATGGGATTCGGACAAATACACTGCGGACGATGACCTTGGACGGGTTGAAGTCGACCTCCACGAACTCATGCACAGCCCAAAGACCAAGAATCGCATGTGTGATCGGGAGGACCGTTTCAAAGGAGAAGACCCTGATGAAGACATGCCCGGTACGGTGCTGTGGCAGGTGGGATACTTTGCTAAAGCTGAGATCACAGAAAAACAGCTCGCCAAGCAGAGTCAGGATCCAAACATCCGATCAGTTCAAGATCTGAGACAGCAGGTGAGCGAGTCGGCAAAGAGCAAGCTGCGAGAAGCCAACGTCCACGACGAAAGCAAGGAAATCAAGCAGCAGCAGCAAGAAGACTACAAGGAGCGAGAAGATGCGTTGACCATTTCTAGCCCCCCGCCGGGCGCCTATCCCAGTGGGATTTTCAGCATTCAAATCCACAACATCACGGGATTGGAAGTGCAGTCGATGCAGAAAAGAGACAAGAAACACGGCGACGGTGACCGGGAAGACGAGGCGGAGCAGAGTGAAGACCTCCCGAGCAGCTACGCCACGATCATTCTCAATCATCAGAAGATTTACCGGACCCGGACGAAACCGAAGAACTCGAAGCCTTTCTTCAATGCCGGCACAGAGCGGTTCATTCGAGACTGGCGAACCGCCGAAATCATGGTCTCTGTCCGTGATGATCGTGAGAGAGAAGATAACCCTTTGCTAGGAATGGTCTATTTGCCGCTCCGCACAGTCTTTGAGAAAACTAGTCAAGTCATGCAGATATATCCACTGGTAGGTGGAATGGGATACGGTAGAATGAGGATCAGCATGGTGTGGCGCAGCGTACAGTTGAAGCTACCCAGAGAGTTGCTCGGATGGAACTACGGCACGCTGGAAATCAATTGTCCAGTCAAACTGAAGTCGAACGCCGGTAGTGACGGCTCGTTCACCCAACACCGCATAAAATTGAGGACTAATCTGATGAGAGCGAAAATGTTCCCGGCTGGAGAGGGGACAGTCGAGTGGAGACCCAAACGTGACAGAGAGTCGGTCTTCCTTGCGGTGCGGAAGCGTTATGCCAGTCCCCTGATAGTCGAGTTCCGGAAGTCGGTGCTGGGCCCCGACTCGACACCGGCGTTGGCGGTCTTCTGGCTGAAGGACATTCCTGACGACGAAGAAAGGACGGTTTCACTGCCAGTGTGGAAAGGAGGCAAACAGAATGCACACCGGATCACGACAAGTTGCGGGTACAATGGCATGGAAGAAGGGGAGCGGCCGCTAGGGGAGATTGAACTGACGCTCAAGTTCTGGAGCGGCTTGAGCGGCTATCACAAAGCTTATGCAAGTAAAGGCAAACACACGGAGGTGAAAAATGTGATGGAGGTTCTCGACACCGCCAACGACGAAGGCCAAGTCGACGAAAACGACAGCTACGTGAGTGACCGGTCCAGCACAGATCAGGGCTCGGACTCGGACTCGGACTCGGCCACAGTTTCATCCACACGGTCAGAGTCAGGCAGGGGGCCCAAGGGAAAGAAGGAGAAGATGAGCAGGCACAAGAAACTGAGCACCCACGTGAATGACGACTCGTCCAATTCCGATTCCGACACGGCCGATGTGTCGTCGCCGGCATCGTTGTTGGACCCGACCCAATTGGCACAGAAGCCCCTCACCAAAGCCAGAGACATGGTGGCCGCGGCACTCGACGTGGACGGCCACAACGACCCCGACAACGGCGCGCGCGGCGTCAGGGCCTCGATCAGAGATTACAAGGACCACCATCGCCAGCTGCATCGCAAACATCGCGGCGTGATGCAGTGGAAAGGAGCCAGGACTTTGGACTGGATGGCCGGCAAGGTCAAGCGTGGCAAAGGCCGTATCGGTGAGGTTTTTGAGCACAACGACGACAATAAGACCGGAGGCATCGAAACCGAGGTTTAGGTATCTGGAGAAAAGGGAAGGTGCCAATTGATCTATCAGAGCTGAACTGAAACGTGGTGTGGGAGTGAGTCAGGTTCTGTGTGTGCCAGGACCAGGATGTGCTGTTTTGCTGCTGCTTCAGATCCAATACATGATTCGGGAGGACATGACAGTGGCAGGCGGAGGGAGGTTCGTTTCGATTGATGACCTTTTTCTCTTCAAAGCGTTTCACGGCATGCATGGGTCGCCGGTGCATCGGGGTAGCGTGGGACATGGATCTACGCACGCATGCATGGATGGCATCTTCTCTTTCCGTTGCCGATCGATGCATGGCGTTCAGCAGCAGCCAAATCTTTCCCTCGGGGCGGGGAGAGAATGAAATGCAATCGACATGGGGCTAGAAGCTGCATGGAGTCTTTCATTGTAGCTTGGAAAGGAAAAGGAAGGGGAGGTATATACATAATATACTCCATACTACAGTAGTAGCTAAGCTGATACCCGTTGGTATACATACGTATATGTAAGGAGTATCTCCACCACAATCTAAATGCCTGCCAGTGTGATTTATCTAATTAGTCGTTGAGATCTCGCAGCACACAATCTAGCATTATATTATCACGATAGACACATATAAATATTATATTATAGGTACTAAGTGTAGCACCACACCACGTAACACACCAACGGTGAGTTAGGAGTTACAGACACCTACCTACCTTACTTTCACGGATACTGTTCTGTACGTGGAGTGGACAGAGAAGGAGAATTAAGATGATGCCGCAGTATTCTTTCCTTAACTACCTTATTATACATGTGGACCGGGCCCCGGGCCCCTAGGCTTTGTCTTGATCGGAATGATATTATTTTTGAAATAACCCATGGCCAGCCTAGCCTGGGTTTTAATTGGGATTGCGTTTAAGTGAGCTGTCTCCTACTTCATACGATACTTGCTGTAGTATCGGAAATTCTGCGCGGTGGCTAATGGACTCGCATGTAACCCTTCCGCTTTCGCTGGGGGAACCAACTGCTCTCCGAAACTGTGAGCTATGTAGCCCTCCAGCACAATGAAGGCAGCTGAAAGCCATAGTGGCAGCGCAATAGGCTTGGTTCTGGGGTAAGTTCATGCTGTCGCCATCCGTGTCGAGCCACGTTAGCTTGTGTATATGAGGCATAGAGTGTCAAACTTAGGTGGCATTCCCTGCCTTGTCCTTTAACCAGAGGGCTGGTTTAGGCTATACTATATTATATAGTATGCGCTCCCCCTACGACCTTTTGATAGAGGAACATGGAACATTTCAACCCTCATTAGACATAGGGACGGTCGCTTGTTTTAAATCTTGTATAGACTGGAGTCTGGAGTCTGGAGCGGGCGGACGAAGGTGAGATGGCAGAGAGTGACAGATTGTTGGAGGGCTTAGGCGCAGGCGGCGCAGGCGGGGTCTGATTCGGTGAAATGTTGTTCCAGTTCCAGTTCCAGTGCCACTGCCACCGCGCGCCTGAAGCGCAGCCTGGCCAAGACCAATTATAGCCGCTGCCATTTCCTGGACGGCTGCAACCCATGCAGTTGTTGCATATCTCCACCACCATCTCATCCTCTCCGGTCGAGGGCTTCAGCGTGACTGTTTGATTCGATCAAATCGTTCATTGGATCGTAGACCAGCCATCGCTACCTCAACTGTGTACGGTTCACACCGGACTCTAACACCACCCCCCTCTACCCCTCCACCCCTCCGTCTGCAATCATGTCCAAAACCATCCATATCGAGTCAACCTCGCAATTTTCTGCTCTCCTGTCCTCCTCAGCCATCGTTGTCGCCGACTTCTATGCCGACTGGTGCGGGCCATGTCGTCAGATTGCTCCCATCTACGAACAGTTGTCTGCCCAACTGTCGCGGCCGAACAAGATCACATTTGCAAAGATCAACACGGATCAACAGGTGGATCTCGCCAGATCTTACGGAGTCAAGGCCATGCCGACCTTCATGATCTTCAAGAATGCGCGACGGATTGACTTCATCGAAGGCGCAGACCCGAGGAGGCTGTCCAATGCGGTGAAGCAGCTCGCGAACGAGGCGAACAAGCTGGAAACAGACGAGGCCGGCGAAAGCTCGAGCGATGGAACCTGGCTCGGAGCCGCGCTTCCACGAGGCTACAGCGATGTGACTTCTCAAGTCGACGTCTTGGGCATGGAGTTGCTGAATTGGGACTCGGACTATGGAAATGCCAGAACCTTGATCAGTGGTGGCAAACCGAAGGGTAGGTCGCGTTGCCAGTGTTCAGCGTAACTGTTGTAACTGACGAAACTAGGTCAAGCGGATGCCAAATCAGATTGGGTCCAGAGTGACACCGACGAGCAACTCATGTTCTACATTCCTTTCCAGTGCACCTTGAAGATTCATTCGGTACACATTACGTCTCTGCCGGACAACAGCGACGATGACGAATCTCCGAGCAGACCAAAATTGATCAAGCTCTACACCAACAGACCTCGAATTCTTGGATTCGACGAGGCAGAAGATACACAAGCGACCCAAGAGGTCACTGTGTCAGACAAGGATTGGGATCCGAAAACTGGCACTGCTAAGATTGACCTGCGCTTGGTCAAGTTCCAGAACGTGTCTAGCTTGGTATTGTTCGTTGTTGAGAGCGAAGGGGACAACGAGAAGGTCAGACTGGACCGAGTTAGAATCATTGGAGAGACAGGCGAGAAGAGAGACGGCAAGATTGAAAAGGTCGCCTCCGATGAGTGATACATGGGGGGTTTGGGACCCTTCACCGATGAGAGACGAGAAACGACTGCATTCAGACGGGAAAAAGCATAGACCAGAACGGGCAGGCTGTGCAGAGCAAAAACAATAGAGTTCGAACATCGAACTAAAGCCGGTCGCAAAGCCTGGGGAAGTTAGGGATCAGTAGGAACTAAGCACTGAATCTGGTGTCACAATGATTGTCATTGCTAGGCTTAATAGTAGATCCATAACTGAGAGTGAGAGTGAAGCCACCGTAACCCATTCATTACCACACAACATTAGCGGGCTGGCTGATCAACAAGACGAAGGGCCCGAGATCTTCAGCATGCTCGCCCGTGTGTGCTTTCGTCTGTTCTGTTCTGTCTTCCCGCTTGCCTACACCATCGAAAGTCTTATTTCATTATGTCCGACCCCACGCGTAAACGAGCGCAGAGACGCTCGACGGTCTCGCCTTCGTAGTTCAAACGAGGGCTTGTTCCGTCGAGGAGATCGGTCGCAATTGATGTTTATCTGTGCTGCCACTGACACTTGGACTCGGCATGAGAGACGCACCTTCGTGAGAAGGTACGGGAGTCGGCCAAGCAACACAGGGGTAGATATTGGTGGCAGCGCCGCACGAAGAAAGAAAAGAAGAAAGAGAGAGATCACGAAAATTGAGATGCAAGTAGTTTTAGATCGAGCCAGCCAAGCCGAGTGCGGCTAGCCGTTTGGGGGCTGGCGTCAGCGCGAGGCTTGGCGTGTCCTCGCTTGCAAAACGAGATTTTCCAGGTTTGGCCGGGTTGCAAATGTTGATATTGTGAGGCTTGTGATGAACTGCAAAAGCAATACAAACGATAGGAAGAGAATGATTGCTCGGTCTAGCGTTCGGACCCTGTCCGCATGCTAGACAAGCATGATCTCAAATATTTGACTGATTCTGAAGCCAGCCACCATTCATTCCGCCTCCTGGGGGGAGCCGGCTACATTCGACGGAATCGCCACGGGGCTGCGCAAGTGTTGCCAAAGTCCGCGGATGCCGTGCTCAGGGAGTCTTCTTCTTGATGTCACCGCGCAGGATTGCAGTCCTTGAGCTTAATGTTCCTGCAGGGGTTTGACCAATTTCTCATACTGTTCGGAGACGACGGCGGACATGTTTTCAGCCCATCACATTCCGGCACAGCCGTTCATTTTTGGGGGGCTCTCGTGTGAAGCAGATTGTGGTTCGGACGCCAATGCAGTCGCTGTTGAATGACGGCATCCTACCTGACCGGTTCCTGAATATCTGCCGAGTGAAGCAGTAATCGGTTCGGGGAAATGCAACCTTGGGACATGGGATATACCCAGGCAGCCTCTTGGATCACCTTCGCCATTTCCGCCATCAAGCGCTTTTTCATGGACCAGCCTGAAAAGGCTGCTGCAAACTGTGTCTTGACCTCAATTCCAGTGCTTCCCATGCTTTGTTAATGCGCCGAATCTTGCAGCTCCATTCGCCCGATGACCACGCGGTTTATCGTTGAATGGTACGTGCGCAGCAGGTTCGGACCGCAAACCAGGCTACTATGTCGCCTTGTCCGCGGCTCGTCATACGGAATGGGCCAAAAAAGGGACTCGGAGAACATGTACGGAGTATATCATTATTGTGGCTGGCATGGCCTTGAAATGTCTGTAATGGAAACACACGGCCAGCATATATTCTTGCGGTGGCTGTTTCCGGGTTGGTTTTTCTATCTTGATAGCTCCTAGTAGTGCTGGGCCGATGTAGGTACCACTTCAGAGTCTCGAGGTACAGAGTAGGTCGGTGTAGACTACCTACGTAATTAGACCAGCAACACAGAGAGACATGCGTCCAGTATTGGACTTTCTGGACAGACATGGAAGAAATTGAAAAATTGCAGGATTCCGACAGCCGTCAATCCTCACCTTCAAAGTTTCAGGTGCCAGTATGACGATCGTCCAGAGAGTTGCGGATGCTAGATGGGTTCGGAAGACATGTTGAAGAAGTGGCCTCGGCCTCTGTTGACTTGCCTGATGACGCTCTGGGCGTGTGAAAGACGTGCCTTGACACGACGCGAACAAGACTCGCCATTCCGCGGTAGCCGTGGCTCCTTTGAGCGACTGTATCCGTACTTGGGCAGCGTCATCATCCGGTGCCCTTATTTCGCAAAAAGTTCGAAGTTGCAAACCCCTCCGGCAGGTCTCTTCTCGATGCTTCCGACAAGGGTTAACGTAACATAGGGCACCTGAGATTCCCTTTCCCTCTCCGATCTACGTTATAGTGTGCGACTGCTGCTGGTGTGCGTCAAGACTCGAGAGCCTGCTGTCAATATCATACACCATTCCCCTTCGAGCTTGACAAAAAAGGGCGGCGCCCGTCGATCGATAAGACCAAACTCTGTTGAGGAAAAGTATGGTCCCGAGAAGAGACGGGAGACCCATCTTCAACCTGTGTTGCAAGATCGGAGAGGTTAGATCGACACTACCTTTACCGATACCATCCGTACGAGTACTGCTCGGTCGTAGTTCAGAGTCTCAGGCCCTTTCGGAAAGCCTTGGAAAGTCACGGAAAAATTGCAGTTCCCGGAATACTGGCGTACTGGTTGTCTTCTCAAGAAGGATGCGCGGCCTACCAATAATGCACGGGGTCTGCTCGAAGTCAACGATCTATGTGTAAGATATTTTCTTGCTCCCCTTGGTCGCCGAACGCTCAGCTGATAGGAGGAGCCTGCGGGTCGAATGGGCCGCACAAGGAAGCTTTATACGGTAGTACTGACCAGTGACTAGAACAAAGTCTGAGGCCTTGTCGAGCTTCAAGGGTCGGTCGCCGATCTTGAACTTAGCATACCTAGCGCTTGACGGAAGGGACCAAGGTTGGACCAGAAGGAAAAAGAGAAAAGATCTAGCGTTCCATTCCAGGTCAACCAGCGCGGGACCCAGGGAGAGAGCGAAATATTCTACGAAGCCGATTCAAGCACCAAAGAGACAATCAGTGCCGACCTAAGGAGGCCAAGGCTACTCAGCCTCCTTCCTGGGAGCACTGAGCAGTGAGTATTCCCCGACGCCAGGTATGATAAGAAAGATAGAAGAGTGGAACCTCAATTTCCCCGGAAGCACTATCTCTTCCTCCGCAGACAGCTTCTGGCCGGTTCTACCACCCAAGTGCGAAGGCGAAATGATGTTCACTTCGGCCTGTCGATTCCGGCGGGATGAGGACCTTGTGTTTGGTGACTACTAGTCTATTAGTAGTAGTGTCTAGCAGGTGAGCAGGACAGCATCTGTTGGGTTGCAGCACCAAGTGTTGATCAAAATCCTAGCCCACCGCCTGCCAGCACTAAGGCACAAACTCGAGCATGGAGCATGGCCCATGGTCCATGGCCCATGGCGTTGCAGCAACTCCGTACTCCGTCCGTTGTGCTACGAATTGGACAATGATGGGTCGGGAGTCAACTAGTAAGGGCGCAGCAAAAGAAAGTTGTCCCGAGGATAAAGGAAGTGATCGAAAGGAAAAAGGTGATGCAGAGCAAAGCACATGGCATTCCGCATCGCCTCGAACCTGAAACACCACCTGCAGCGCTGGATCGAGCAGAGGTCCCAAAGTCGAATGCTGATGGGCGAGGACTCAGGGAAGTGTCCTCTGTACCTGCATTAACTCGCCGGGCCCATTGGCTCGGCGAGGGGCGAATCCTCTTGACCGCATAAGAGTAAGAATTTCTCAGGAACAAGTTTGCACAAGACGGGGGCGGTGATGTTCCTGCGTTAGAGTCCTGCTGTTGAGCGGGTCTCACAGTGCTTCTAGCGACATTCGCGACCTTTGGGTTAGGTGAGGACAAGCGTGGCATCGTCCAAGGGCTTGTCCGGCCCAACACCATGGATACCTCTGGAATCGAATCAGCAACGGCCTTCTGGAAACTCTCTACTCCCATCCGGCATAAGTGGCTGGGGAAACGCACGGGGAGGACCTAAGGACCACTCCAGAGGCCCGCGCGCTAGAAAGAGACGGCGTGTCTAAGCCAGGGGCCTGGAGCTGTTGGCTCGAGGCAGGGGGTGGAAGTCAGGTTTCCACTGTGGGTTTCGGGAGGCGGAGGACAAACCCTTGGTGCCTTTTTGGAGCGAGTAAGCGTGCCCGGGTACCTGAGGAAGAGGTCATGGTTCCTGCGAAGAGCCACTTGAGGGCCGAGGGATCTGCTCTAACTTTTTGGTGCGCGTTTGGTTCCCCTGAGGGCTGGAGAATCGAGATGGCTTTGGCTTCAGGCAGTGCACTGTGAGTGTGCAGGCCTATCCCTAGCTCACACCACACTGCTAACAAGGACATGGAGATACGGGCCCGGCCGTCCTTCGAGGACTTTCTCTCGGCGGCCGCTTCCAGGGTAGGAACGCTCTGCCTCTGCGAAGGATGGTCGGCCGGCATGCATCTTAGCAAATGCAATCACACTTGCCCATAGTCCGACCTCGCTAAAGAAATGCAGTAGCAGTGGCAAGAGGCAAGAGGCAAACAGGTTGGCATTGGTCTATCCACACAAACCATGACACACCTTCACCTCCAGGACCATCCAGACATCACAGGATGATGCTAAGGCACCTGGCACCTTCAAGCTGTCATTTCAAGGCCACTGGAAGAGAAGTGACATTATGTCGGAGGAGCTGGATAGCTTGGTCAGGTCCTAAATGGCCTTTTCGCTCCCAGCCGTGACCCGATGGCTATCGATATGTGTCCGAGTCCGGTGGGAGGAGGCAGAATCCACCGCCTGCCACACTACTACGGAATAGAGAGAGAGGTAAGAATCACGCTGTTGCAGGCTTGGGCTGGTGGGTAGCCGATGGGGGGCTTCTTAGGCTTCCTTAGGCTCGGTGGTCCAGGACCCTGATCCATGGCCCGCGTCGGATTCACATCACAGGTTGCGGATCGACGCAACCTGTTATTACCGAAGACGGAATTGATGCTGAGATGAACTGAGGCAACAGTGTTGGGCCTGGCTGTTGGCTGTGGGCTGTTGGATATGCATCAACCACCAGACAAACCTTGGGCCGGCTCTCGCGAGTCGAAGTACCGCCGAGCCTACGGCAAGTCGACTCTACCCATTGGTAGAAGAATGAAGAATGAAACACGCGGTCAATGTCTGGCGCACCCGAGCATGGCGGGGAAGAAAAAGTGCCACCATCCGAAGTCGAGTCTTCGACAAGTGAGCGAGCATTTGTGACTCTGAATGCAAGCTTGCTGGTAAGGATGCTGTAGAGGACTCCGTAGTGGCGAGCACAGTGATTGTCACCTTACCCAACGACTAACTAGGTACTACTACTGCGTCTGCCATGTGCATGTTCTAGCTTGGCAGGACACTGTTGATGCCGGGGTCTACGAATACGCGATCACGCGTAGCAGACCCTAGAGTGCGAAAGAGCATGAGCATGAGCATGAGCATGAGCATTGTCGAGCCCATGATGGTGTGGTGTCAAAGTCCGAGAGCTCTTCCAGCCCTTTTTGACACGGGTGTGCCTGGACCGAAACCAACGCCTTCGCCTTTACGCGGCTACGGAGTGTACGTACCTGCATACGCTACGGAGCCGTGAGTGGCTTTGGCAGCGTCTGAGACATCTGCGCCATTCTGCATTCTGCACAACCTTCAGACCCTCGGCCGCTCTGTGCTCCTCACCCAACTTCACGCCCGGAGTCTTCTTGCCACCTCTTCCGAACCCGACCTCACTCCCACCCGGGCAAGCTGTCAAGCACTGTCAGCGCGAAGGGCAGACCACAGACCACAGACCACATCTGTTCGCGTCGAGGGACGCACGCCCGATCCGGAGAGCCTCCGTTTCCTCTACGGGCGAGAGCGAAATCCTAATCCTGCTGGAACTCGGGCGCATGACCAGCTTTCAGCGTCTACAGAGTACATGTGTGTGAAGGTACGAGGGCCGGGCAAAAAAAGATGAGGGCTTCCCACAATGTGATATGCTAGAATACCTACCCTACAAGTTCGCGGTCAAGTCCAAGAATAGGCCGGGCCAGCGATTCGCTCGGGCCACCTGAGCATGCAGCTTATCACCCTCTGCGCTCCCATGTCACGCCCCTGATTGGCGTCCGCCCATCCCAGCGCCTCGCCCAGTCACGGCCTTGAACGCGCGTGTACAGTCCCAGTATGGAGCGTCGCGCCCTCGGGATGCACACACGTCAAAGCCTCATCGGTTCTTCAGCACATCGATTCGAGCACCATTCGTGTTTCTCGTGTAAACGACCGGACCTGCCCAGGCAGATCATTTGCCATCTTGGACTTGTCTCGTCCGTGTCAGGATACGTGTCGCAGACGAATGATATCACGCAAGTCCGCGTTGATACGGCGCTCGACACCTTTACTTGAGGTTCCGTTGATGGGCGAAAAGAGGCGATTCGACTGGGCTGTCCTATTCCTATACTTACATCAATCCTATGAGCGTCTCCCACCATTCGATCTCTCTTGTTTCACGCGCTTCTCTGTGATAGATGTGTTTCCATTGCGCCAATGACGAAGGTAAGGCCGTCCACCGGGCCATGTTTGCACCTCTATAGGATCACTCGCATCTTTGGACCGAGGGCGCCATCACCAGGTGCACCTGAAGGCCATGCAGTCAGGCCACAGAGGCCACAGCATCGAGAACAGGGCCCAACGGCAAGTCGCGGTGCGTCATCGGCCGCACGACGGACGGGATGGTGTGCTTAGCAGGGTGCAATTTCCCGTGCATACGAGTGATGTGTGACAGACAGTGAGAGCGTCACCCAGCACAGCCCAGACAGACAGACTGGCAGCGAGAGAGGGTCCTCACGCCTCCCAGGCCCTTCCTCCCGATCCTCTCTGGCCCCGGGAGCCAGGCACCAGGTCGCCGCTCTAAGAGTCCGCGGCGGCCAGGGTGGGCCAGCTTAGTGGGTGATAGTCTTTGAGACGGACGGGGGTGGTGGTGAGACCTCCAGCTCCACCTGGCTTCAGTCGACTTGCATGGGTCGCGACGACGGTCCCGAACCCAGCGCCCGTTTCCCATCCCATCCCATCGAGGCGGTGGTCCAAGTCACTGGTCGATGACCGGCCCATTCAGACCCTCAGGGCACCTAGCGATCACTCTTTATGGCTCGTCCTTGCACCTTGCTCTATCCTCCCTCCTCCGTTTTTCATATCGAAGACAGTCGCTCTTTTCTTCCCCGCGATCTCACGTTCTCTTTTACTTTTTGTTATATCTCTTCTGCTTGACCAGGCCCCTACCCGGATCTTGTTCACACTCTTGTACAACACCAGGGTACCAGTGAACAAAGTATCCAGTCCTTCCTTACCAGCCTGTGCCAACATTGTACCATACCATAATCCCATCCTCTATCTCTCTCCCTCTCTGTCTTTGTCTACATACGTCCAGGAACCGGACACTACCTCGACGGTTACCAACATCTCTGTATCTACTTGTACAGCTAGTCACCCAGAAATAAGGGGAAGCGACATCTGAGACGACACACTGCCATTCATTGGACCACCATTTCCTTGTATCAAATTGTACCACACCGACCCGACCAGCAAGCTACAAGCTACTTGCTATCCGCGGCTCGACAGGAAAGAATAGAAAGAAAAAGAAACAAAGCCTGAGAAAGTCGTCCCAATGGAAGCACCATACCCAATGGCTGCTCAACAGATCCAGTTCTACCAATACCGGCCAGACTCGGACGCACGGCATAACGCTGTGTTCACGCCCATGCCAGGCGAGCAGCCGATGTTCAGCCCCGTGGCGGCATACCCTCACCACCAGCAGCATTATATGGCTCCTCAGTACTGGCAAGCGCCTGTTCACTTTGCCCGAGCCCATTACATGCCCCAGCAGGTCATGACCCCCAAGGCGTCTCCGCCGTTGGCGCTGGCCATGCCGATGCCCAAGTTCATGGTTGAGCACAATAGCCCGATGGAGCACGGCCACTTCCACGAGAGCCGACACTCTTCACCACCCACGCCTGGGCTGTCGGTGTGCCCCAGCACGGCCAGTAGCCCACTGGCCAGCAGCGTGCACCAGACGCCGGTGCACGGCGCAGGGTACTTCCACCAGCTGCCTCTGGAGGCATCGAAGGAAGAGATGGCACCTCTGCCATTCTTGGAAGAGTGGATGGAAAGCGGACGTGAGTATTGTACCTATTGCAATGACCAGAGAGATGGTGGTGCTGACCGAGGAACCTGAACAGAAGTGCACCTTTTCCCGCATCCTGGCGATGCCAAGCTCTTGCCCAGCAATTCCAATTCCACCTCCACCTCCGGCTCTCCCTCAGCGCAGTTTAACTCGTTCGCCTCCTGCGCCTCTGGCTGCACTTCGCCTTCACTGACCCCTGCTTCACCTCAATCGCTGGTCTCGCCCTCGTCCGCCTACCCCGTGGCCGAGTTTGTCAACCTGCGAGAACTCAGCTCCAGCTCCTTTGAGTCTGTGCCATCTGCCGCCGTCCAGAGCTTCCCACCTTTGCCCACCCTGTCCGCCGAGGACGACGAGCACAAGTTTGCCCTGGGTGCGACTGCGTTCCCCATCACGCCTGAGCATGACACGGTCGATCCCTTCACTCTCCCCCAGAACCCATCTTTCGAGGCCTCCTTCTGCAGCGAACTAGATTCGGAAGACGAGTTCAGCTTTGTCAACTTCACTGACGCCGAGATTGCCTACAACGGTGACAAGAGACAGAAGTTGTCCTTGGTGGAAGAGGAGGACTTCTTGAGCGTGCACAGCTTTGGCAGTTTTGATGAGGACGACCACGCCGCTCACGCCGGTCTTCCCTCTCCTCCTGCGTCTTCTTTCTCCGACGCCGGCTCGTGCTGTGCGACCAAGACGAAGTCGTCATCTCAACGCAAGATGAAGCGCAACAACTCTATGGATAGTGACTTTGAGTTCCAGCACATGACCGAGGCGGATGCATCCATGAACACCGAAGGCCAAACCAACTCCTCGGCCACTTCCCAGGATCACCAAAGCCCTACGGACGATAACAACGCCTCGATCAACGCCGACGGCTCTGCTCAATCGCAGCCGACCCCCACCAACCGCCGGGGTCGCAAGCAGTCCTTGACTGAAGATCCATCCAAGACTTTCGTCTGCACGCTTTGCTCTCGTCGCTTCCGCCGCCAAGAGCACCTCAAGCGTCACTACCGCTCTCTCCACACGCATGACAAGCCATTCGAATGCAACGAATGCGGCAAGAAGTTCTCTCGTTCTGACAACCTGGCTCAACACGCCCGTACCCATGGCAGCGGAGCCATCATCATGGGAGTCTTGGAGAATGGCGAGCTCCAGCCACATCAGCCCTACAACGAGGAGATGGGCCACGTGCTCTATGAGGCCGCTCAACGCGCCGCCATGGCCACTTCCTCCAGCAGCAGTGGCTCCGAGAGCTCTTCTTCGGGAGACAGCAAGCGCGCCCTGAAGAAGAGAAAGCGAGACGAGTCTCTGTAAAGCCGCGATGTATCCTCACGAGAGAAGACGATCATGACAGTTGAATCAATTCGAACATTACAAAGCAAGCCCACGACGGAACGATCATTATGATGTTTACCAAGACCAAGCCAACCAGAAAACTGATTTCTCCGGAATACGGGGTACTTGGCACGACCATCCTCCACGGGACTCGGAGTCAAAGACGGACCAGCGTAGGAGCTCAAGACTGTGTATGTGTACTGGGGATGGGCAAAAGTGCTTTGGATCCTTTATTTTTTTTAAACCTCCTTCATACAACTGTATTCTAAGGCCTGGAAGACTGGGAGGAGGGAAGGAGTGTGGGAGAGAATGCAAGCGGGGGTTGGGACGAAGGGGAATGACCTCTTTATTTCTGTTTCTTTCACACAATTCGTCGACCGCCTTTTTCCTTTTCGTCGTTTTCATTCTCATCCAAGGAGACCGAGCAAGGCAGAGCAGAGATTGTATCAGCAACAGCGCAGCGCCGCTGGGTTGCCATGTATGTATTCGTACCACACACTGTACTATTATAAGTTGTCAGACATTATCGAGCGATTTTCATTTTTGGATCGTGTATTCCTCTTGACTCGTGTATTGTGTTTAAAGTGGTCTTTGCTTTCCCGGTCTAAAGTAATAGGGTCGGCCTTGGAGAGTTGTCCTTGAGGCCTTCACGCAAAGCCTTTGAACACATTCCTCCCTCTCCTTCTCCCCCTAGACTGGGAAAGTCCGTGAGGTATGTTACTGGTTTCCCTATCGTAGTCGGAGTTCTTGGGGGATGGGATTGTGTTCTGCTACTGCTACTGCTACTGCTACTGCTACTGCTACTGCTACTGCTACTGCTACTGCTACTGCTACGTGGTTACGACAAAATATGATCTGTCCGTTTGAAAATGAGCTAGAGCGGCCCCATCGAGTTCGCTTGTCGATAAATGATAAGTGATGGAGTCCGTATATCGATAAAGAGATAGGAGATTTCCTCGGGCTTCTCGATAACACTAGTTAAGGTACTCCGTACTTCACTTACCCAGATCACCAATACTAGATCCTGGATCCTGCGTGCCGGATACGAGTACCAGATGGTAGGTGTAGGAATAGCCTGGCCTTAGTTAGGCTTCTGCTCTGGGCTGGGCTGTGCTAGGCTGCCCTCCGGGGCCTGCTGCGACTACGACTACAGCTCCCTGGACCATTATTCTGATCGCCACTCCCACTCCCACTACCACTGCAGCTGGAGCTGGAGCTCTGGATTCCTGGATCTTGCGTCATGGTTACATTGTGAAGGCTCGACGCGAAAGAGAGAAAAAAACAAGCACCACGCAATAGTGACAGTAACAACAACAACGCGAAAAGAAAAACAAGAAATGCCGTCACGACGCGTCGAGAAGAGAAGCGAGAAAAGTGTTGACGCGTTTGTTATGCTGGTCCATGCCCGTGCTCTCATGATCATGACCACGCTTACGCCCATCTTCGAAGTCTGCTGCCCACTTGTCCACAGTCCACAGCACAGAACAGAACAGACCAGACCAGTTACATTGTGACAGCCGGGCTGGGGCTGGGGCTGGGGCTGTACGTGATGTGAGGTGATGTGCGATGCGATGCGATGTGCTCCACCACGGTATGAGACAGAACCCTTGGATTTCTCCCGATGGACTTTCGAGCGGGGACCGGTACAAGTGTCCGGAGACCAGGATGGCAAACTCTACGTAGCATGAAGAATGATGGCGAATGATGAATAATGGCGTGACGGCAGACGGCACGCGAAGTGGAAGTGGAAGTGGAAGTGGCAGGCGAGTCTGGTCAAGCTTGGTCTTTCTCTGCTGGAGATTTAAGAGGTAGAAGTTGAGGGCGGCGCGTGTGGGTGTGGTGTGGGTGTGGGCTTCGGCGTAGGTGTGAGTGTGGATTCTTTTTGTCAAAGGGCAAAGAGAGAAAGAGACAGAGAGAGTGAGCAGTACGTAGCAGCAACCGAAGTGGCAGATATGTTGTCAATGTCTATGTCAAATATCAATAAACGTCAATTCAGTGTCGAGCCATACCATAACCGGTGCGATGTGTTACACGATACGGAGTATGCCATAATGCCATAATATGGAGTACCTAGGTACCTATCTGTCTGGTAGGTAGATAGGTAGGTGAACAGAGCTCCCAGGACATAGTAGGGCTATAGCTACGGCTACAGGGCATGCAGTCGTCAATCGTAGGTAAGGTAGGTAGTAGGTGTAGGTACCTAAGGTACATGGCTACTCTGTACAGTGTTCCATACTACGTACGTACTTACTCTCGCCTGAGTGAAACTGAAGTCTGAAGTCTGCAGTCTGTAGTATGTCTGTACCTACTACCTAGTAGTGTCTAGACACCCACCATCTCAGATGCAAGAATCTAGTCCAAGTCCAGTGACGTCGGTAGCCGACCACACACAACAACAACACACACACACACACACCTCTCTCAGTCTGGCATCTGGCATCTGCATCTGCCGCAGCCTGCAGGGGCCCAGGAAAAGGCAAAGATCGGATCGAGAGTACACCGTACTCGGTAGTTTTTACTAGTGTCTAGTATCTACAATCGCCATGCATCTGCACCGTGGCGCAAGCTGTCAAAAATGGAGTCGGACAGGACAGTTTTGCTGTTGCTGCTTCAAAGTTCAGCCCTCAGACGCGTGCGGTCAAAAGACTGACGTAAGACGTAAGACGTGAGACATGAGACGCGAGACACGAGACGCGTGAGAAACGCGTGCCGTGCGAAACCTGAAACGACTTGACCCCTCCCTTCCTTATCGTGTGCCGCGTCTCCGCTCTTCCGTCTACCCACCGCCCACTGCCCACGATCCAAAAGCTCAGACCTTCGCGTCTTCAAATCTTGTGGGGAGGCGGCTGCGGTGGAGAGAGTTCAGAGTAGCCAGCACCGTTGAACCTTCAACCTTGGACCCTCTGCCCGAGCTTTTCCCTCCTTCGGATGCCTGTGCTCTCAGCCGCAGTGGGGGTCCGAAGCCGTATGGCTATGGCTTGCGTACGGGCCAACACCAGCCCCAGGGCCAGGTGGGCGCGGCTGGGCTGGTCGCTGGTAAGTGGTCAGTGGTCAGTGGTTGGGTCAACAGTCCAAGGTACTCCGTACGTATCTGCGAGACGGCTGTCACTGATAGCTTCGACATCAGATACCAGATACCAGATAACGTCTTTGAGGAGCGGGGACGCTGCCGCATCCAGCCATAGAAAAAAGGGAAATGCTGAAAATTTCTACCGGAGGCTGAGACTCATCCACTCCCAAACCGGCTGGACTGAGAACCATGCTCGACGCGAAGGGACAAAGTCAGAGCTGCCGCGAGAGGTTGGCATGACGGCGCGGCGTCGTTTTGCATGCCTGTGCACCACGTCTCTTCTGCCTTCAACTTCTTTGACGCCCTCTTCGCCTTCAAAGTGGACTGTAAATCCTCGCCGCTTTGATATTCATCCTTCTCTTCCTCCCCCTCCCCCTCCCCCTCCCAGGCGAGGTCGGAAGTGGTCAAGCCGGCGCTTCCGTATACTGACTTGCATGGGACGACTGTCAGGTTCGCAAAGAGTGCCTGTTTGCACCACTGTGTCTGGTCTTGGTCCGCGGCGGAGATGAAGGCTGTGCCGTGGGCCACTTCGACTGGTGGTAGTGCTGGCTGATCTGGACCAGAGGAAAACATGTCGATAACATCTCGCTCGACGGTTTCGGCGTCGACGGCATCGCTTGTCGCTAAAGAGGCTGGCAAGTGAATCAACACCGTCACCAAATGGATGGTGGTATCTGTCATGCGCGAGAGAGACTGCTCCTGCTCCTGCTCCTGCTGGCGAAGCTGGAAAGAGATTGTGCCGATGGAGCCCCAGGTGTACCGTCGTCGGCTCGTGTATGCCCGAGGCACTGATCCAGGAAGCTGTAGCAAGTTGGCAAGCCCCAAACTCCACCATTCGACGGTCGCAGCTCGAGGTAGGGAGACGACTTCGGCCGCGATGAAAGGAGGCACAAATCTCGACCCCGAGCTTGTCTCCTTGAACGCACTGGGCTTGGGGAGGACATGGAGATGCTCTCCTACTGTGGCCTCATATGTCGAACCCCGATTGTACGCCCTGTCCCATGCGTCCAGACCGTCTTCGTCCTCACTGCTGTCAGTTGTGGAGGTGTCTTTTGCTGGTCTCGTTCCAATCTGGTTCACTTGTTGCCATACCTTGCTCGCTTGATCTGCCCTTGTCGGTATATCCTCGTCATGTTGGAGGAAGGCCACTCCCCACGGCCAGAGATCAACGCCCCGCTCTTGCCCGACGCGCCAGAGATGCTGGAGACTCAACACAGCTTGTTCGAGGAAGCTTCCGCTCAACACCTGCATGCTCTGTGGAATCAAGGGGATCTGGCCAGCCACGTGGACCACTTCGACCAGCTCTGCATCGTGGACGTTGACGTTGACAGGCGAATCCTGGGGGGCCTTCAGCGGCACACATATTGCCTGACTGTATGGTCCTATGTTGGCAGGAGCCCAATAGCTGCGACTTTGGACGTGAAGCCCGCGTCGAGAGCCCCGAGGTCTGAGATCGAGGATGACGCTCAGACTGACCTCAATACCAGCTGGAAGGTCGCATGCCAGTGTCACCCGAGCCGGCGGGTTGGGCTCCCCTGAACGAAACAGTGTGGAATAGACGGCGTTGATGGCACCAAAGTGGGAGATGTCTTTGAGCAACAATGCCGCGAAGACAATATCCGAGCTTGTCGGTTTCCAAGGTAGGCCTAGGCCGTGTGAAGGAGCAGGGATTGCATCGATGAGGGAGTTGAGCTTCGCACAGATTTGCTGCATCTGAACCGTGGGTGTGCTCGAAACGTCCGTTACGCTGACACCCACGACCGTCGACGGCTGTGCGGTAATATTGGATATCGTCAGGCATGTCGATGTCAGGTTCTGAGATAATTGCATAGCCGCCGGCGGAAAAGGCTTTGAGCCGTGCTCAAGTCCATCCCCTCTGTCGCTCGCTGACGGGCCCGACACCGACAGCATACTTTGCACTTTCGTAGCGACGCCCTCGAACTGGGGATCCCAGGCCCGCGGCACCCGGATCGACCCTTCATCCTGCTCGGTCGACTCTGGCTGATTCTGCACGGTCATCGCGCGTCCTAATCGGACATAGCTGACGCCGCCGTCTCCGACAATAGTCGAGCTTGAGCTTGAGCTTGTCTCTTCCGACATTGCAATGCGCTTCTTCCAAAGCCTTCTGGGTCCGTTGATAGCCAAGGTCTCATATTCTCCCCCCTCGCCCAAAACGGCACCACGGAGCCAGAACTCGCGGTCGGGAAAGAAGGGCCGGAAGCCCGTTACGAGTCGCGAGCGGGTCCTGGAATCGGCGTCGGCGACGTTCGACCACAACAGGCTCTCCTTGATCCCGCCGCTGGCGATCTTGATTATCCGGGCATCGCACCCGGCCGCCGCCATGTCGTCCAGGAGCCCGGTCAGAGAGTCGTCGCGCCCGACAGGCGGAGGGAGCGCGGGGTACTGCCAAAGATAGGCCAGCGGGGTCAGACCGAGCCGGACAGCGACCGACTCGACTCTGGTGCGTTGGTACGTCGACAGAATCGCGCCGGAGCAGAGGGCGTTGGCGGCGGGATGTTTGTGTAGGATCTCTTGGAGCAGAGGCAGCAAATCTTCGGTCTCGTCCAGGGATTTTTCTGTTTCTGTTTCTGTTTCTGTTTTTGATTCTGATTCCGTTTCTGTATTTGTTTCAATGCCTGTTGCCGTCGACAGACTACTCGTGTCGTAGTATCGCCCCGTCTGTACTGCAGACCCTGTGATCTGGCGCCGGTACAGCGGAAGACCGAGACATTCGGCGTAGAGCGGAATCATCGAGTACCCGACGGTCTGGTACATGAAACTGTTGAGATCTTCATCCTCGCCGTGGTCCTGGTCCTCGTCCTTGGTAATTCCGTCGAGACCTTCGTGCAAGAGCACATCTTTCTTCTCCTTCTGCTCGTTCTCCTTCTCCTGCTTCTCCTCCTTCTTAGCCTGCGAATGCGCCGGCGAATGCGAATGCGAATGCGAAGCCGAAGCCGAAGCCGATCGAGCTCGAGCTCGCGGGTAGAGATTGGCCAACGCCACGATCTTGTGCCCGTTCTCCAGACAGTGAAGGAGGCTGTAGAGTGAGTCCTTGCCGCCTGAGATCAGGGCAATCACGTTCAAGGGGTCGGACTCGGGCTTGAACTCAGACTTGGACATGGACATGGACGTTTTCATTTCCGTTTTCGATCCCATTTCCGTTCTCATTTCCATTTCCTTTTCCATTTTCATTTTGGTCTCGCTCTCGCCTTCGCTTTTAGGCCTCGAGCCTTAAGGCCAGCAGCTGAGTCAAACTCAAAGATTCAGTGGCGGCCATGCAGATGCAGATCCAGGTCGCACGCACGCAATCGATTCAATCCAATCAAACCAGCCCAGCCCAGCCCAGCCTAAACTTCAATCCTCAATCTTCCTTCCCGTTCATCAGGACTGAGTTCAATCTACGCCGTATGGCCTGAGTTCAACCCCTATGGTCTGTTCGGGGAGGGGGAGGGTGAGCAGGAGCGGAGCGGAGCGTGACAGCCGGCAATCAGCGACGTGGTCTGGTAGAGCAGTGACTATTGACAATATTGGGATACCACTAACTTCAGATTCGCTATCGCCATTCGCCTAGCTGAGTACCGTGGAGGATCACAAGCGGTCGAAATTCGAAATTCGAAAGTCGATGAAGACTTGTTCGAGAATGGATCTGACATTTCACGGCGGCTATGCTCCGCAGTAATATATGTCACGTGGTATACGGATGAGCATAGTGGAACTACAACATAGTCACTCAGTAAGTGGCCCGACACATCCTCCGTACTCGCACCGATCAACTCTCCCTCTTTTCCCCCCAGCATCATATTAGGAACCGGAGGAGTGTCCTATTCATCATTCAAGAGGCCCTCAAAGGTTGAGTTCCTGATACATCATGGCCCTCATCTAAGCTATATTTTATCTCTATCTCTATTGTAATGGCTGTATCTGTATCTTGCAGGGCTTGACCTTCCAAACCTACCCTAATTATGGCTTGTTCGACGCCCCCAAAGTCCAATTGTTCTGTCTGCCTAACTTGGGAGACACCATCTCCAGCTCTGACATAGCGAAACAGAAAACTGTCCCCCAACTTTCCAGGACGCGCCAGAGCTTCATGCCCAGCCTGGAGAGCACGTATGGGATCTCCCCCACAACGCCATATCCTACAGCTTAGCATTATCTTTGAACACATAGAATGCCTGTCACAAGCATCAATCATCAGCCTCACGAACAGAACAGCTGGGTGAAGAAAAAAAGAACTCGGCTCATACTTCTTGGATACACGTGGCGATCAACAGCCCGTCCTTGCTGAAGATGCGGGATTGGATCATGGCCCGGCCATCTCTAGCCCAGGGAGAAGTGACTTCGATGTAGACGAGCTCGTCTGCGCGGAACCCGTCGTGGACGTGGAAGTGGACCGAGTGATTGAGACTGGTCATGATCTTCATGCCTGCCGCGGTCGGTGTTCTTGTACGGTCGCCGATCTTCCAGAGGCCAAACTCGACCCCGTGGATAGACAGCGGACAGTCCATGGCATGGTAGTCGGAAAGATGGATGATGGCGAGGAGGTGGGCGGGCGAGCCGGTCGCCGACTTGATGGGCGGGTCGATCTGTGCGACGACGGGCGCGATGGTCGTACTTGGGTCCTGCGGTTCTACAGTAGACACGGGTCCGGGTCAGCTCGACTCGATTCGACCCCGATCAGATGGGATGCATAGCACGCCACACTCGGGGCCAAGAACCCGATGGCATCTACTATACCCTCGTGCACAAGCGGCAGTCTCTCGGACTTCATGAACGGTCCGAGACGAGTGCGCGTCTCCTCGAAATCGTCCAGTGTGATGTGCTGGATCTGGTGCGACGTCCTCCTGGACACGGCGTGCGTCATGGTGCGGCCCGTCCAAGGCGCGCCACTGAGGAAGCTGATGGTGATGGTTACGTAGGACCTGCCCTCCTGCTCGATGGTGACGAGCCGCACGGCGAATCGGCGGCCCTGACTGAGTCGTCGCACCTTGTAGAGGAGCGGTTTCGTCGCATCAGGCGCCAACATGAAGTGCGTCTGTAGTGAGTCGAGCGCGAAGCCCTCGGGCACCGTCTTGTACGCCGCGGCCGCCGCCTCGGCCATCATTAACGGGCCAGGTACCGTGTTGGTGATGTGGAACAGCCATGGTCGATGGACGTTGGTAAAGATATCCTGCGGCGAACCGAAGTGGCACGTCAGCCAGATATACAGAGAGGATACGAAGGAGATTGTAGAGGAGGGTACAGGGAAGAGATTGTAGAGTGAGGGTACAGGGGAAGAGAACATTTCAGAAGAAGAGAGGAAGAAGGAACTGAACAGCAGAAGAAGAGAGGAAAGAGGAACTGAACAACAACAGCATCATCGTCATATCACTTACCGGGCCCAACTGATTCAGCTCGAGGTGCGTCTCGAAATCGAGAGGGCGCTCAGTCGACTCGCAGCCTTGGGTTTTTTCTTCATCGCCCATATCTTGCCTTGCCTTGCCGTCTGGGTGAGTGAGGCAGTACTCAAGGTAAGGTTATGAAGAGAGAAGGGAGCGGGGGATCTACATGTAGCACAGCGCAGTGGAGGACTGGATTAGACCGAGGCAAAACACTATAGTACTGTAGGTACTTGACTTGACTTGACTTCACTTCACTTTAGGACTAGAGTAGAGTAGAGAGCGGTATAACCCCCCTCCCCCTACGCCTGGTTTGAATATAATGTTCATTATTATAGGTATAGTAACACTACCTAACACAGCAATGCCGCCGTCTATGGCAGTTGCAGCGTAGATTCAGCCGAGAATTGATAGATAGGTGTTGTGCTATATAGGTCTATTGCCATATCCATGTCTATGTCTGTGTCTGGCTGTGTCTATCTCCATGTCTTCTCTGTGTCCATGGCTATATCTGTTCTGTGTCTGTGTCTATGTCTACGTCTACGTCTACGTCTAATCACATGTCCATGTCCATATTCATATCCAATTATACGTCTTAGCCTCCCCGACCCTGACCCTGACCCTGACCCTGGCACCTCCACCTCCTCCCTCTCCTCCACCTCCTTCAAAAGAACAGGCAGTTCGTCACTCCTTCAAGACAGGCAGTTCATCACTCCCAAAAGAACAGGCAGTTCGTCACTCCCTCAAAACAGGCAGTTCATCACTCCCTCAATAAAACAGGCAGTTCGTCATCGAGATAGGACTCCCAAATCTTCTTTTCGCGCGGTTCCCAGCCCAACTGGCGCAGCCGCACCGCCCTCGCGCGACAGTTGAGGCCTAAATAACTCTCGGTCCGGTCGCCACACAGCTCGCCGTACAGCTGCTCGGGCGGCTGGCGGGGACGCGGGTCGGCGATCCTGCCGGCCTGGTGGAGGGCGCGGGCAATGATGGTGGCGGCGTCGATCCAGGCGAACTCGGTGCCGTCGCCGTTCTCGCATAGCCAATATGGATTGGTGGTGTTGGTGTTTGTGTTTGTGTCAATGGACTGCTGCTCCTGCTCCTGCTGCTGTTGTTCCAAAAAATGCAGAATCGCCACATATCCACCCACCAGGTCTCGATAGTGTACGTTCGTCTCGACCGCGAGCCCCTTGCCGATGACGGGCACGTAGCCGTGCTTCAGGGCGAAGCGCGTGAGTTTGGGGATGGTCATGGACAGTCGGCCGTGCCGGTCGTCGTAGCCGTATACTTCGGGGGGTAGGACGATGGCGAGGCGGAGATGGGAACGCAGCGAGGCGTCCTCCTCCGCCGCCACCAACGCAGCGTCGACATGGCGATGCGGCGCGTCCGGCCCCACGCTATCCATGTCACCGCGCACCGAGTCGAGGTAGACACGCTCGGAGCAGAACATGCCTTTGGCGCCGTCGTCGAACACCTTGGCCCCGCTGGTGTGCAGGTAGATGGAGGACAGGCCGGCGCGGGCTCGGAGGCGCGCCCCGTCAAGCACGGCCTGCGCGAGCGCCAGGTCGTCGCCGGTCGCGCACTGGATCACGATGTCGCTGGCTGCGCTGTGCTCGCGGATCAGCTCGACGTCCGCCAGCGTGCCCATCACGGCCGTCGCCCCCGACTGGCGGATCTCTGACGCCTGCTGTTCGCGCCGCGTCAGTGCCGTCACCTGGTATCCTTCCGCCACGAGTTGGTCGAGAATGTTCCATCCGATCAGGCCTGGGCCGATGATGAACACTTTCGACGCCGTCGTTGTCATTCTGATAGTAGAATCTGCTGGTATGTAGTATGTGGTGTATGGTGTGTGGTATGTGGTAAGCCGACACTCCAGCACGTAGATGATACGAGATGCGACCGAACCAGCCCGGACAGGATGGTGAGTGTTGCTCAAGGATCCAGAATCCAGAATCCAGAATCCAGTATGTTCGACCTTGATCCTGTTCTTGTTCTTGTTCGGATTCACTCTCCAATCTCTATCAGATCCGACGGGCTCAGGTACTGACCGGACGTGGGAGAAGAGAGAAGATCAAAAGTCTGTTCCATGCATGGGCCAGCGGACATGTCCATCTGATCTGACATCTGGCCAACCTGGTGACGTGACATGGTGTACGGGTACGGATCCTACATACTACTGTCCCATTGCTAGTGTCACTCCTGATCACATCTCACATCAACAAGATATACCAAACTGATAATAGTATCTCTGGGAAAGTCCCCAATGCATTGTATCTGATAATTAGGGCAATATCTAGTCGGAACTAGCGTAAGAGAAGACATCAAAACGTCAGGCCATCTTATTAGATTTTATTCTGTACTGCTGCATACAGATCTCAGATTGCACACCCTGGCGGTTGAGCACGACCACGACAGCAAAATCCAAGATCCACAGACCTATCCCTTCCCGTCACAAGCAGACCAGACTCCTGATCGAGTCTGTCTAGATGTGACGGACAGACCCTCCGTGGAAGCGGCCATGCCCGTGCAACTGCCGGTCTGCCAGGTGTCGTCGCTTGATCCCAGCCTCGTACGGCGACTTGAAATGGTCACCCGACGCCTCGTACGATTCGTAGGCCGAGCACTCTTGCTGGAAGGCGGGCGTGTTGTAGTATTTCCCGGCGTTGATCTCGGCCGGCCGCTCGAGGAACTGCAGACCCATGCCGCCGTCGGCGTGCCAGATGATGTGGCAATGCATCACCCAAGCACCGGGGTTGTTGGTGGGGAACCCGATGACGGTCCAACCCGACGTGAACGCGACGGGGTTGCCGAAGCCGAAAAGCAACACAGTATCACGTCGGATCGGGTTGTCGAAGTTGAGCTGGCCAATCTGGTCCGCGGTGAAGACGCCGCGGCCTTGGCCGAGCACGGCGAAGTCGTGGCCGTGGAGATGCATGGGGTGCGAGGTCTGGAAGTTGTTCTGGATCACAAAGTACACCCAGTCCCCGGCCGGACCGTCCAGCACGGCCGTGTTGGAGTACAGCGAGCTGTTGTAGCCCAAGGTCGGCAGCGTGGCGAGCGTCTTCAGGGTAGGCTGGTCGAAGGTCACGTTGATCCCCTTGCTGGCTCCCGGAGCGCCACTGTTCTCCGACAGGTCCTCCAAAGGTCCAAGGTACCATCTGACCACTGGCCCGTAGCCGTCAAAGTTCTGGCTGCCTGCGTTGCCGCCGGGAAGAAGCTTGACCGTGTCCCGGAACGTCGTGGTCGAGCCAGCACTCTTCGACACATGAGGCACCAGGCTGGCCAGCGGTTCATCCTTGCAGTCGCCGGCCGTGGCGAGGGTGAAGTTGCCGGTGGTCGGGGTGGCACAAGACCCTTCGTACGTGAAGATGCCGTTGGCCGTTCCGAGACCATCGTTGGCCGACGTTTCGCCGCAGCCGGTTTGGGTGATTGCGCGGAGGTAGTATGCTCCTTCAGGCTGCTCTCAGTTAGCCGGGGGGGCGCCTATGACCCTGCGGGATACGGGATACGAGGACTGACCTGGCTCGCCTCGAGAATCACGTTATACCGCTGGCCACTCTGAATGTAGAGCACGTCGGTCTCGTAGGGCACGATGGGCGTGAAGTCGGCGCTGATGACCTTGATCTTGTGGTTGTCGAAGTGCACCGCATACGAACTCTGGGCCGAGCTGATGGACCGATGAGATTAGCCAAGAGCACCAATGAATGACCTGACCCGGTCGAGGGCGAGGGCGAGGGGTAACAGACCTGTTGATGATGCGGAAGAGATGCTTCTTGCCCTTCTGGACCACCCATTTGGCGTTCTCCCCCGTGCTGCCGTCCGGAGACTTGTTCTTCCCGTTGAGCAAGTAGTTGGCCGAGGGTGGCAGCGCCCCGCGCACTCGGGCGATGTTGTAGGCCATCTGGAAGATGGTTTGGGTGAACTTCTCGTTGATCATCACCGTGCCCAGGTCCAAGTCGTAGTCCTCGGTCGCAGGGCCATGGATGATGATGGGGCCGCGGATCCCACCCCCGTATTGAGACAGGGCGTGAGAGTGGTACCATCCCGTTCCGTACGTCGCCGCGTGCCACCGGTAGACGCGGGAAGAGCCTGGCGCAATGCCGCACTCGGTGACCCCGGGGACGCCATCTTGGTCGTTGGTGCCGTATTGTCGGACTCCGTGCCAATGGATGGTCGTCGCGTTATCCGCCAGGCCGTTGAAGACCGTCACCTCCACCCAGTCACCCCAGTTGGCCACAATAGGCTCCCCAGGCGACTGGCCATTGATGGCAAAGGCAGGCTGCGGCGTGCCATCAAAATCCAAGTCCTGAGCGGTGATGGTCAAGCTGTATCTCTTCGTTTCTCCCGAGTAGTAAGGAGTGTCGGTGTCATCGTCAATTGACTTGCCGTCACACCATCGGCTGCGGTGGTTCGCGTCATTGCATCGCGGCAGGGGGATGCCAACGGCCGTCTGCGACGAGCTGGCACAGCTAGAGGTAGATGTGGTCGAAGAGCTGCCGGTGGTGGTGGTGATGCTTGTGGTGGCGGTGCCGGTGGTGCTGGTGCCGTTGCCCGTGGTGGTGGTAGAAGAGGTGCCAGAGACGGAAGTGGTGGTGGCAGAAGAGATGCCAGAGACCGAAGTGGTGGTCCCGTTCCCGTAGTGCCAATTTGAGGTCGTCACGGTCGAGGATCCCTCCCATCCGCCTCCGCCTGCGCCTCCATGGGTGGTCGTGGTCTCGGGGACAACGGGGCCAGTTGTAGTGCTCGTGGTCTCGGCGGCTCCAGGAGACGTTGTAGTGCTCGTGCTCGTAGCAAGGTCGATGTCGCAAGTAAACAGCGCGGTAAGAGGACAGACGGTGATGGTTCGGGTGAGAACCTCCGTCACAATGACATCTACTTCGGTGGCCCCTCCCAGAACAGCGAGGAAGTGGACTGGCAGGACGGCAGCCAGCAATTTGAGCGACCTCATCGCGAAAGGTCAAGAAAGGAGCGACAAAATGCAATAACGAAGGGACGAAAGCAAATGCTTTCAAATGAGCGTAGGTACTGTACAGTCAGACAAATAGGGCAGATAGAGCAGTGTAGTGTAGGCGAGTGGTGGCCCTCTGGGTTTTGTACTTGGTTGTGCCTCACCTACTAATCCTGAGTGGTCTCCTTCGCATCAGCCTGGCCATGTCGCCAGTCTCGCTTACTGCAAGGCCCCGTCGTGAGCTAAATCGGGCTCGCGGCCTATGGGGAAGGGCGATGCTCAGCGGATACGTAACAAGAAGTCAGATTCGCATCAGTCCCCCTGCTGGAATGACTGCAACTTCAAGTGCATAGGCGAGGCCCAAGGGGCCAGATGCTGAGGCGCGGTCCCCAGGATCAGTGGTGCTTTGATGGTGGAGATTGCACTGTACTGGCTTAGGCTACGAGAGAGGAGCAGCCAAGCATCGAGCGATTCATTTTGAGACGGTCCAGTGCTTGTCCGGCTCTGGTCGCAGCCGCCTGAGGAGCGGGAGATTGTGATTGTTCGTTGTGGACAAGAAAAACACAAGACTTTCCTGGAGATTAAACATGTAGAAGCCAAGACTGAAGTGAGACACGCGAGACTGAAACAGCGCGCCGGTTAGTCGCTTCGTCGGTTCGGGATCGGCGGTTCGGGATGCGTCTGCCAAACACATGCCCACGACATGGATATAGACATGGACATCGACTTCGACATGGACTTCAGTGTGGGACAAACCTGGGGGACAGCCGGGACGTGCGCAGTTGGCCGTTGGCAGTTGGCAGTTGACACCGGGTAGGGACGTGTATCCGTAGTCGGTGTAGAAGATAGAATATAGCAGGTATATAGTATATACTCCGTATACAGGACGGATCCTGTGTAACGTCCCACGTCCCACGTACCTTGCCCTGCGCGTCCCCCAGGAGAGGAGAGAGGACAGATTCTGCGTGACATGGCCCAGGAAGAAGCTTGCAGCAGGCGGCAGGCGGCAGACCGTCAGGGGCCAGCTGGAGCAACATCCAAAAGAGGAAGCGGCGGTGGAGCATCCATTACTCCGTATTGAGGCCTCCGTAGCGAGTAGCTGCCTTAGTCCTTGTTAGTCCTTGTTGTTAGTACGTACTTACAGTACTTACCCCTGCTTGGTGCCTGCCAGCCAGCCTGATCCTTGTGCCAGTGGCATGACTAAGCCCCAGCCGTGCCACGTGATCTCGTCCTCAGGGGAGCCTCTTGGTGGCCTGTTGGTGGCCTGAACTTCCAGCTCATCTGCCCCTGAATATCTACGATCAGTACGGAGTACCCTTACGTACCATCAGGTGCCCTTACTCTACCTACGACGCACCTACGACGAACTCTGTAATACTCCCGACTCCGTACGCCCATCTGCAATCTGGATATCCAATTCATTCAACATTCTGCTTGTTCCATCGTCATACATACAGGCTTCACCCAGCACCTTGCACCTCGTACTGTGTCTTCTCAACCCAGAGTCCGAGGCCCTCCCAATTGTGACTTCTCCCGTCCGCGACCCTCGACTGGTGTCCTGTCTACTTCATACATGTCACATGTCCCGATCTGGCCCTCTCCAGCCGCAGCCTCATTGCCCACAGCATGGCACAGATGGTCTCCTTGCACAACCGTCCTTCCCCATTTGGTGATTGATGCAGTCTCCGTCGCGCCCGGTCAGATGTAGAACATGCTATCACGAACGTTGTCGTGCATCGTCACCATCTCTTGCGTCGACATTCTCGTCCCACCTCCTCCTCCCGCCACACTGCCACTTGCACTCGCTGCCGGCTCAAAACAGTCGGCCAGATACCCTCGGGCTCGGTTACACACCAGATCCGCGTAGTATGCTGGTGGGCAAACACTCACCGCTGTGGTTGATCGGCCGAAAAGATAGCACATGTTGTGCGTCACATCCTCGAGAGCATCAGCCGCGTTTCTGAACGGACTCTGCCCCGTGCGCTTGTGGAAGATCTCATCGTGAACGACATAGTAATGGGCCGGCCGCGCAGTTCCCTGAATGGCGCTATGGGCTTGCATGAAAAAGTCCCAGTTGCGCGCCTCGGTCACCCCCCGATCCACCACCGTCCCGTTCTGAGGATTACCTTTGCGGTCGGCTTGAGCCAGTGTGGTAGGGTAGAACCGAGTATTATGTCGCTTGCCCACCACGATGATGGTTATCAGTGGTAGGCCCTGTCTGGTGTGATCGGCAGGATACATCTCTCGGCACGCTGCCCGAATATGTGGTAGTTCCGAATCCAGGACTAGTTGGTACTGGCCTTCCGAGACACCATCACGATAGAGGAGGATCTTGTCGGGTAACTGGCCGTTGTTACTATCGCTCCAAAGACCAAGGCGCGACTTCATCAGCGCTTTGAGATTTGAAACCATCTCCTTGCGTCCATCTTGAACGGCGAGCTTCGCCGGCCACTGGGCAAGCAGTCTATCAACCGAGGCGACAATAGCCACCACGCTGGGGGCATCGGGTGAAGACCCGGGGGATGGATGTGTCACGTCAAGACCTACAACCATGGTCTTGCCTTCGGCTATGAGACCCAACTTGGCCGGGTCCAAAGCTTGGTTGCGGCCGCCCAACTTGAGGTTGATCTTCAGAGCCACGTTGGCAAAGGTTTGGGCGTCCTGCCGGACGAATTTGGCAGCCACAACGCACACGTTGATGATTCCTTCTTTGATATCGCACACGTACTTGAATCTCTTGTACATCTCTTGGTTCTTTGCGGGGAGGATCACGAGGACCAGCTTCGGTGGGCTAGATGTGCTGGTGGTGATTTGGTGCAAGGTCTCATCAATCGAGCTCAGGTCATTTTGCGTCACTTCAGCGATTCTGCCCTTGACACAGTCACCACACTGAATTCCCACATTCCGGAGTGCTTTTGCGAAAACATCGAGAGTACGTCGGAATGCCTCCTCGTCTCGCCATGGGGCTTGTCGCGCCGGCTTCCACTGGACCCAGCAATAGGTCCATGACTCAAGCTTGGAAGCTTGAGTCAGCTTGATATTCTGTAAATTCCAGCGGCTGTTGCTGACGTTTACCGCCCTACCACCGCCATACTTTACGATGGGGTTGCCAGGACACGACCGGGCACTGCCATCATCCTCGGAGTAATCTGCATGTTGAAGGCTTGCTAAAGTACCAATGTCAGCAAACGGGCATCTGGGCTCTAAAGAGGATGGACCACCTACCAGAGTCGGGCTTCCCAGGCCTTCAAAGCCAAGCATCCGAGCGCCTTCACCGGTGATGGATTGGGCGTTGAGGTTTGGTTCTCGACAAGCGAATCTGATCATCTTGTCTGTCTGCAGTGGGTTCAACATCATGCGGTAGGCCTGGCCAGCAATGATGTTGCAAAATTCGGGCGGGATGAAGACAGGGTCCTGGGCTGTACCGACGTTGATTACTGGGAGCTTCGGGTACTGGATTCTTCGATTGTACTTTTCGCGAAAGAAGTCGTGCACGCTGATGTATCGTCCCGCTGTAGCAGGGCTTCCACGTTGGCCGGTAACTTCATTTGCCAACCAGAATTTGACGGCTTGCGGATTCGCACCAAACTCGGGCACCTGAGGTGGGTGTGGCAGCTTAGCACCATCCGTTCTGGTTGCGAGGCCGGCAATGGTCTTGACTTTCGAGGGAGACGTGTGCGTAGCCTTGACCGAGACCTTGTGTAGAAACTTTGCAAGCTCGAACTTGCTTCTCTGGTCCAGTAGTTTGACCATGAGTTGCGCCAGGTTTCCTTCATTGTAGAAGGCTGTATGATTGACCTGAACATTCGCTATGAGTCCGCCTGTAGCGGCCCGAATTGAGCAGGCAAACCCACGGACGGCTGTGAGTCCGATATCAAGACTGGCCGTCTGAGTAGTCGTTAAATCAAAGTGACGATTCATCCCAAGAGATGCGATGTGGGACGCAGCCTTTGGCCCATACCCAACAATGATATTCAAGGCTTGAATGAGAGTCTCCCGGCTAGGAGGCGTGGTACTGGCGTTGGTGGATGTTAAATGGTCCAACAGGTTCGCCGCGCTTATTGTTCCAAAGTACTTCAGTTGGACATTGTAATGCCTGGCATTGCTCCCAACTTGACCTTGATCATCTTCTCGGTAAGTGACGCCGTAGCCTGGAGCAAGGGTTAGCTTATCCCTGCTAATAAGCCTGGACTTAAAGTCCGTGGCGATATTCGCGCGGGATGCAGCCAGGTGTGATTCCAAGAGCAGCTCCACAATGCGTTTCATCTTCTTGCCTTGAGGCTTTCTCTCATTGTTGTTGGCTTGCACCTCAATGCTGTATAGATACAGTGGCTGGTTGTCTACCAAGACCTTGAAGTAGTTTGCCCATAAAAGGACTTCTTTTCCTTGGGTTCCGTAACCTGGTCTGAGAGGGAGTCTTGCTTGAAGTTGTGTGGACGCTATGTTCTTTGCCGTCTCGTCTTCAATCTTCTTGACGACGGCGTCAGGATGAGCCGGGGGGCCGGTAGGATGACTATATGTAAATTGAAGAAAAGGTTAGAATACTGGATCAAGGATAACCTTGAATGGACTGAGGGGATTTCTTACGCAAAGATCTTGGGTTGGGATGGTCGACCACCGCGGCCACCGCTGCTTGGATATCCGCTACCTCCGCCTGGGAAACCTGAGGTCGAATTGTTGGAAGGACCTGCGCCACGGCCATGAGGTGCTTGACCATTCTGACCGCGACCTCGTCCGCCTCCTTGTGCAGGGCGAATAGCAAGGCCTCTGCCGGCCTGGCCAGCATTGTTTCCATACATCTCCGCTTGTTAGTGAACAAGAAGGAAGGAGGCTTGATTCAAGAAGTATTGACTTCGCTGCTTTCGAGTAGATGCTTGTGTGGGGCTCGAGGCGTCTTTCCAGCTCACTGTGGTGTTGTAACTTGGAGGATGTGTGAGGCTAGAGCTCTTCTGAAAAGATTTTGAGTACTGTTCGAAGGTAAGGAGGAGGGTTGAGAAGGGAGAGGAGGGAGGGTCTTAAGTAGAGGATGGCCAGGACCTAGGAGTGAATAACAAAGCAGTAATGCAAATGATGACCGGCATAAGATGTCAAGTCGATCACAGCCGCAGCGTCAGGTATGTGAGAGGAACGGTTAGGTCAGGCACCAGCTGAGATGGAAGATGGAAGATGGGAGATGAGAGAGGAGATGAGGCGAGCGTAAAGAAGGAAGGGGTTTTTATAAAGAGTGATAACAACAACGTCTGCCGTGAGGTGAATGCGCCTCAGCTACTAGTAAATGGTCAATACAATGATGCAACTAAGAGTGGTCCAGTGAATGAAGACACAATAGCGAAGGGTGAATGATTGTTCTGCGTTTTGCAAGATAGCAGTTGTTTAGAGGCGTGCGCAAAGTACTATCAGACAAAGGGAAGGCGTCCCAAGCACTCACCACTCACCACTCACCACTCACGCCTGCACCTGCGCCCTGTCCACCATTCCAACATCGTTCTTGCCGTCTAGCAACACATTATATGATGCAAAATGCGGTTGCTGCCCGTCGACTCAGGCACTCAGGCACTCAGGGGTTCGGCCTTGTTTCCTTTCTGCTTTCTGCTTCCTTCATCCTCTGACACGCACAGAAGTGAGGTCAGGTCGGCTCCTATCACGCAGATGAGATCATGGAAAATGAATACCGGAGGAGTACGTACCACAGCCCACAGCCCGACCTTCGTCAGAGAAAGAGTTGAGTACCAGAGAAAGAGCACGAGAACTTCATGATGGCAGCACTACTGGATCATAGCCGAGGCCTCACCAGCCTATCTTTACCCGATGGAGAAGATAGCAAAGAATCATCAATAAAGCTCTTGTCTTGGGTGGTCTGGTGTCCCGCAAGCCTCGGCGCGTTCTGAACGGCACGAATTCTAATCGATGAATCCTTCTAATGACCTACTATGCAACATGGTTTTCACGAGCTTGCCATGACATGTTGTGAGAACCTCCTGGTCTCCCCCTGGCTCCCCCTGAACCGGGCCGACCTCAGGTCTTCATGATGTGCTAGCCTTGTCATTCTGACAACAAGGCTGGTGCTAGGAGGTGTGTTAGCAGGCCCAGAAGGGGTGTGCCGTTTCTTCGCAAGCGCGAGTAATGGGGCTGCCAAATATGCCGTTGCTATGACGGCAGCTCAGAGTAGGATCAAGGGAGCGTCGACATCCACCATTTCGCCATCACCACAGTTCCAGATCTGTTCGAGTCGTTCGCGAACCCGATCCACCGTCTTGACCCCGCGTTTAGACTTCAGCGCCGACAGCCGAGATCGAATGAAGGTTTGGCCTGTCTGGTCGACGGGCTCGCCCTTATTCAAGAAACAGCCAGCCATATATAGCGGCCAGAGGTGGCTGGCAGCAGCCGGACTATCGGTAGAGACGTGGCCAATGCGCCGGACGATTTCCCCACAGCTTCTGAGAATCCCGTCTCGCTCATCGTCGGGAGATGAGGTGGAAGTCAACTTGTAGAAGAACAACAACCCCGCGTGACGCATCGCTTCGGCAGTGTTGCAAGCGTCGTCGGGGATCGCCTGCGGTGGCCGCCAGTTTTCTAGCTCGGCTTTGAGACCCATTGCTGCGGGAAACTGAGATGGTTTGATATAGCGCGTGCCAGCGCCGACCGTTGACTGCGAGGATAGCATGGAAAGTTTGGCTACCAAGGAAAGAAGTCGGTCGACCGAGGCGAGGAAGGCGTTCGAGTGACCGGTCAGAGCAGACCAGGTGTCTTTGGTGTAATAACCCATGACAAGAGAAGCCTGATTCATCCCGACACTGGCCAGAACGTTATGGTATGCAAATCTGTAGAGCCAGAAGTTAGGGTGCGAAAGCTATAAACGACTGGGAGGGGCAAGAGGACAGCAATGTGCGTTTTGCAGACATACATGTCAAGCAGCATTCTCGTGTCATGGTCCGGCTCCTTGCACTGAGCCATGTAGTCCGAAATGATCCTTCCAGCCGCCTTCAGATGTTCCGACCAGTTCTTGGGATTGGCTTCGAATATCTGAGGCACTTCCTTGTCAGGCGAATAGTTCTGTTCACTCGACGGGGCAACCAGTCCTCAGGCAGGGGCACATGCTCACCTCGTTTATACTCAACATGATGATGGTGGCCAACATGGTTGGCTGAAATCCATCCCACGCATTGATTCGGCTTATCAGAGTCGGTAGGACGCGGCTTCGATAGTGCGGCAAGTCCCAAGAAAACTGCTCGTATCTAGACGCTAGATGAGAGTTGGATACCAGCAACAGGGTGTTCAAGAGCATGTCACAAGACATCGCCATGGGCAGGACAACCCGGCAGTATGTATTGATTGATCGATCATGTGTACTGGATAGTAGCCCTGAAACTGTGTAGAAATAGTGCTGGAGAAGGAATTGATCCTTAGATGACAAGGTGGACGGCGGTGCCACGAGGAACCTCGACAGCTCAGACTGCGAGGATTCTGCTGGTTCTGTGACGCATGGCGACGGAGCCAGAGATGTAGAAGTGCGTTCTTTGCATTTGGGAGTCTTTGGGTTCTTGGTTCGAGACACCCCCGGCATCCAGGTCAGGCGGATGTCGTAACCTTGACACTCGATGCCGAGGCGTGTGCAAGTGTCGCACACGGGTTTGGCTTCATCGCAGCGATAACCACGCTTCCGACAAGTCCAACACCCTGTCCAGGTGTGGGTTAGCATCTGCCAGGACACCTGCACGGCGAAGATGGAGTGGTTGGCACACCTGTCCTAACACGCTTGATCCTGCCAGAGGGCATCACCGCGGGGCATAGTGGGAGGGGCTCAGGGGCTCCTTAGGCGGCGTGGAGTCTCGGGGGAGGTGATCGTGCTCAGGAGAGTCTCCTTCGGGCCAGGCGGAATGCCGCCTCGACGCACCCTGTAATTGAGGTTGCGTCCAGGTTCAGGTTCTCGACTCCAGCAGCCTTGTCACACAGAAGGCACGAGGGGTAGAGGACGGCGGGTTCGTTTCGTGCTTCGATCGATCTATGTCAACACGCGTGCATTCATGTAACATGGGAACCAGGCTGCGAGAGGGAGAGAGAAGAGGAGCTGAGGAAAAGAGGATGGAGAATGGAGAATGGAGGATGGTGGAAGCCCGAAGGTGGAAAGTGGCTCATGATTCCCCCCCGCAGGCTCCGCAGGCCTCGGCCCGGCGATCAGTGCTCTGGGCTAACTCGAAGCGACCAAGTCCATATGTTAATCTTTGCAGCTGAGAGCCGGTGCCGGTGCCAGTGCCAACCAAGCGAACATCCTGCTCGCTGAGGCTGGGGTATTAAGGTGCTGACTGTCTCACTATCCTATTACCATCCGTGCCACCGAGTTGAGTACTCTATATGTGCAGTGGTTGAGTCAAACAAGAAGCACGAGTCCGCATCGGAGTCGCCGTCTCTTTCTCCCCTGAACTCCAATCGTCATGGACTTCTTGTCCAGGGATGCAGGGGTCAGGCTAATGAGGGAATTTTTATTCTCCGGGAGTTTTCGGCAGCGGAACATGTAGTCAAGTGCCATATTTCATCGGTCCTAGATCCCTATTATCAGATTTTGCAGAGGTCATGGACCATTTTCAACCAAGTGGATATGCTGTGCACGCAGCTATCTGCTGTCTGACAGGGCAAGATGCATCGCGCCAACTGGTCTTCCCTTTCCTGCCGTCGAGAACTTTCGTCAAAGAGCACCTTTGTTGCTGACGACGCTGATCCCATCGCTCTTGTGTTCCCCAATGGTGATGGGAATCCTGCCCGTGGCCTCGACAGATTTGCCCTCGACAAAGTCTTCATCCGTGACTTCAGTGTTGTGCAGGCGCCAGAGATAGAGAGGCAGCGCAATGACCAGTCCACCTGCCATTAATCCCCAGCTGGTGCCGAAATTGACACCGAAAGCGACTTTCTCCTGTGTCGACGAGCGTTGTTAGTCGGGCTGTGGGAGCGGGGCGAGGGGACGGGGAAACTTTACCGCATCAAGTTTCGAGATCGTAGTAGCACCAACGGCTTGGATGGACTTGTAGAAGCCAGCGTAGTAGGCGAGTTTGCGCGGGTCATTGGACATGGCTCCCATCGTGTAGTAGCAGAAGACCTGCCAAAGAGAATCGAGCAGGCCATAAGACATGTAGAGCTGGACATGGCGAGTCAGTATGCTAGCAGCCTCTAGACCGCACACGTAGAGAGACACATACGAAGAGGTACCAGACGTAGTCGGTATCGAACAGGTCCATTCCCGGGCCCTTGACCGCACGGTTCGTCTTCTGGAGGAAGGCGAAGCCGCCGCCCCAGATGGCCATGACTAACGTGAACAGGATGCCCCAGGACATGAGTGCTCGGGCACGACGGCTGAACCGGGTCCAGTCGAGGAAGGCCCCAAAGGCTAACGCGCCTATGATCTGTGTAATCCAGTAGAAAATATTGTTAAAAGCCCGCGTTCGCGTGGAGAAGTAGTAGGCGTTGACGTCTGTCAATGTCAGCTTAGCTGGACTCGACCAAAGCCAACTGACACCTGGACACCTGGCATGGATCTTTCTTCACTCACCATTGAACTGGTATGTGTAGAAGTAATTGGAGGCGAAGAACATGGGAAACAGCAATAGAACCCAGGGGTCTGAAACCAGGGTGGTGTAGAGGCCGACAATGTCGGATTTCAGACCTGGGTGAACAACCCTCTGCACCTTTGTTCCGTCGCTCCGAATGATCTTCTCACTCGGGGTGAGGAAGCAGCACAGGAGAGCACCGGCTGCCTCGAGCACAATGAAGCCAACATACGTGCCGTCGGTGACGTGGCCGGCCTTGACACTCCAATTCTGACCCAACGACACCGCTGCTCCTATAACGGCCCCCAGATTGAACAAGAACCATGTGATCGAGATGGCTCGGCCTCGCTGAGATTCAGTGGGATAGGACTAGATGATACACACGAAAGGCTTGGATCAGCGCCACCCTTTGGCATAATACGAGTAGTGTGGGCGTATCCTGTCCACACTGGAGTCAGGGTCGTTGTACTCACCATCATCACCACACCTTGCGCACACCAGAGGAAGGATGCACAGAAACCCAAAAGGGCACCGGAGAAGATGACGAATCCCTCATTTCGGGTGTGGTTGTAACACAAGAAAGCTGCAGAATAAACGCAGTAGCCGATTCCTCCAATTGCCATGGTCCATTTGGTGCCACTGGGGTGTTGTTAGTTGCCGTCGGCGTCCTTGCAAGTCTGCCACTCACAGGTAGTTGTGTGCGATTCCCACCACGAAGCCTATCACCGCAAAGGTCGTGTGCAAGGCAATACCGGCATTGTTCTGCGCCGTAGCATCCACTTGTCCAGCCCCTCCAAGCCCGGCCAAGGCATTATACATTCTGATTCCAAGTCAGCCTTGAAACGCGAACCAGACTTGTCAAACGCCACGCTTACCCAGGATTGAGGAAGAGGATAAAACCGACGATCACAATCTGAACCATGGGAGCGGAGTGTCTTGGGATCTTGTAGCCAAAGATGCGTCTCCCTCCCGACTGCGGGGTGGCATTCTGCTGTTCAGGGTCGACTGTTCCAGTAACGCCTCAGCACCTTGACACTCGGGGGACAACATCGGTCACGAGACTAACCTTCTGTAGCCATGATTGTCTGCCCTAGTGGATCTTTAGGCTCTTGAGCAGTGGCCATGAGGAGGGCCGAGAGAAGATGAGAAATAAAGGACACAGCAACACTTGATCCTCGTGGAAATGCCCAAGTAGGCAGGGAGGGCGCAAGGAAGATGCGACTATGATGTTATATGTCCAAAGGAGCAGTCGAGGACATGCCGTTCGGTCCAACTAGCCAACGAGGTGGCGGCCAACTTGGAGGAGAAGCTGGGATCGCATATCTAGTCAAGATTGGTGCCGCGAATGAGAGCACACATCGCTATCGTCGCTGCAGATGGGGAGGCACACGACTCTAGGACGACTTGATGGCGACGACCTCTTGCTGTCCTAAAGACAGGAATCAGCATAGGGTTGAAGTTGGTTAGCCATCCAGGCCGCCGAGTGCAAACCTGTCAAAGCTGGACCATGGTCGAAAAGTGGGACTCTTCGACTTGCCGGATCCAGTCACGGCGCCGTCGTCCGCTCCAGGTGTCACTAAGATCTCTCTATTCTCCTGATAGCCAAATGCTGCATGGGGTAGATTTGACTGGCGGGATAGGCCGCTTTGGGATTATATAGGTTCGATAAGGCACATCGACTGTCCGAGCTGCCCTTTTGACTCTGGTGCTACTAGATATTCAGTGTTGATAGTCCAGTCTCGAGATAGCAATTTGAGCAGTTGGCATGAGTGATAAGTGACTCGAAAGAGAACACCAGGGTGCCTCGTGGGACTCTTATCTCGACGACAATCCGACCACCTCACGCTGTAGTGGGAGAATCCATACCAGGCCACTGTCGGAGTGCCCCTGTGCCATCAAATTGTTGTGCAAGGCATCACTGATGTTTCTGTAGCAGGAGTGTAAGATTTGGCCTCCCCTACGGCTTTTGTTTTCCTGTCCCCAACAACTTCGGTCCTTCATCTCCCACGTTCAAGATGGTCACGTCTGTTCAGAGAAAGCTTGAGGCCGTTCACGTCCAGATCTCAGCAGAAGAACGTGCCTGCAACAAAATAAGCAAGCAGAATTTGGAGAGAGCTGTTGTGGCCCTCTCTGAAGACGGGATTGTCATTTTGGACGACGCGGTCTCGGAAGAAAGCCTCGACTTCCTGAACACACGCATGGTCGATGAGGCGAAGGCTCTCCGTGACGGCTCCTCAACCTGGTTCAATTACAGCAGCAAGGCCCAGAATATTCTGCAACATATGATTCCAGAACCCGAATACCTCTTACCAGACGTGCACGCCAATTCCTTTGCGGTGGATGTATGCAAAACCATGATGGGCCCGAATCCCGTCCTCAGATACCATAAAGCCAACACCAACTTTCCCGGCGAAAGTCGCCAGCCAGTCCATAGCGATGTACACTATGAACATCCCCGTGCATGCTTCAGTCTGGCAGTTAACATCGTCTTGATTGACTGCTCGCCCGAGAACGGTTCGACCGAATGCTGGCCGGGGACGCATATCATCACGAGATTCGCGGATCAGAATGGCATGAAGGGTATCCACGAACACCTCTTGAATGAACGAGTCAAGACTCACGGCCCTCCCATCCAACCCACTGTCAAGAAAGGCGGCATAATCATCCGAGATATGAGACTCTGGCACGCCGGCATGCCTAATCGTACGGCCGACGAGGTGCGAGTCATGCTCAACCTCATTTACTTCGCCGACTGGTATAGATGTCCAATGACCATCATGTTCCCCAAATCTGCGGAATCAAAGGTGCAGGAGCTTGAGAAGGCGGGCGGCATCCAGATTGCCGCCGAGTTTGTGGACCAGCTCGATCACACAACGCTCGGCCATACTCATGATTTCGGGCAGGATAACAAGAGGGAGGAATTTGGCCGGTGGCATCACAAGGTGGGAGATACTTCCAAGTAAGTCACTGGATTGGGTGTTAGCATCAGCATAACGGCTTGTGGACTACTAGGTGGTTCACCTGCTGTACTTTGTGTATATCAGTCGAGTCCAGGAGTAGGCATGCAATACGAGTCGGCGTTCGCCAGCACAGCCCAGTATCTCGTTCAACTTCAACTGACAGTATTTAGCCGTCTGCGAGCACTTTTGCAAGGCTTGATGACTCGGGCCAGCTTTCCCCCCAAGTCTACAGAGTAGTTCGTACCTACAGTATGGGTGCCTACCTACCTATAAGGTATCTATCTAGTCAGAGCCTAATGGTGCTAAGGACTCCCAAGCCTACGTCATCCAGCCACACCCACCCACGCACCTGACATGTGCCACACTATCTGACTGAGGGAGCCACGAATCGTCCGTCATCCTGTTTCCTTCCCCGGAATTGCGCTGCCTGCCACTTCTATTCCTTCAAACCTATTCGCATATTGCACCTCCTCAGCTTTGCGTATATTTAATGCCAGTCACCCAATACACTCAGATTAAGCCCGGCCTCCTGGTTTCAATAGTGCTGAAGGCAGATCAAAGGACTGGTCGACAGGTCCAAGGCACAGTCTCCCAACTCCTCACCCGCCATAATCATCCTCGAGGCATCAAAGTCAAACTTACTGACGGTCGAGTGGGACGCGTTCAGCAAATCCTCTCCCAGAGTCAGAGTCAGAGTCAGAGTCAGAGTCAGAGTCCTTGGCTACGCAGTATGGATTCCAATAACCCATGGTCCGATGCCCCAAGCCAAAACGACTCGAACCCCTCCCAGCCAAACCAGGGTTCGGCGCAGTCGTACTACCAGGCCAACCCTTCCCAACCCCAGTCGCAACCCCAATACTCCTCTCCGCAGCAGCGACAAGGGCAGCAGCCAGCGGCTCCTTCTCAAGGCATTCACCGCTCAGAGACCGAACAAATATTCGCACAGCAAGAGGACCGAGCAGCACAGGTTGAGTACATGCAGCAGTTTGAAGCAAACGCGGCACAGAGTGAAGGCGATAAAATCCAGGCACAATTGCAGAAAGAGTTCCCGAATATCGACAGCAGTTTGATTGCTGCGATCTACAACGAGAGGCCAGGAAACCTCCCCGAGGTGCGAGAGCTGTTGCAGGAGCTGAATAGTACGAATTGATGGAGACACGCACAGCTTGGACTAGCCGGAGGACTACACCACTCTACCATTGGTCAAGATCTGTTCATGCTGTCCTAGCTTGCCAGAAGACAACTTGCTTGCCACGAAACAGCTCTAGCGTTTGCTACGATGGGCAACTCTGTTTCCTCGTCTCCGGTGCTGGAATCTGCAATCCAAAAGGCGGCGGATTTGGTTCTTGCCAAAGCGATGTGGAGATCCTCGGCTCAATCCGAGGCTTCTGATGAGATATTTCATACCTAGTCATGGGCCTGCTGTGAGCGCCCTTACGAGCGGTTTTCTTCCCGGAGGGACGGATAAAGCAGTCACGACAAAGGTCTTGCTGTAACACGTCGATTGGGAGCTTCTTTCACTATGTAGCGCGTGTGACCAAGTCTATATTTGCTTGCGGTGGTGTTCTCATGGACAGCCCTGCTATCCGGGTCAGAACGCATGGAGTCTCACGGAGCTGCGTCAATACATATCCGTACATGAACCTGACATGCCCACGACCTTCGCCGCAGCAGTAGTCGTGGTGTACTATTAACTACGGAGCATGAGGGCCACCTTTCTGTACCACTTTCTTGGCATGTTTGTATCTCTCCGAAACTGCTACTGACTGCACTGCATCCGGCGACGTAACAGTTGTTAGGTCTCAAGGCCAATTGAACTTCCGGTCGTGGTATCCCAGCTGTAGTCCCCAAACCATGCGGTTGCAATCCTTATTATCGCAGGCGATCCTGCTTGTTTCAGCCCTGCAACACGGAGCAGCGGCAGCTTCATGGACCTTTACAGATGGCACTGTCAGTGTCGCGGCCAAAGGCGCAGGAGTCGGAGGTGGCCTCAAGGAGACGTATGTCTTGAATTTATTCTTCGAGCCCAGCACGACACATCACTCCTTGCCATTATCAGTGCTTTGTCATGGACGAACATCACTAATCCGTTGGTCAGGCTCGCACCGTCTAAACCTCTCACCTCCTCTGTGAAGCTGGGCGCCGCGGACACGCTGAAGGTGGTCTTGACCACACAGGAGGGGAAGTTGGCCAAACGGCCACACCAAGCATTCCTGCTCCTGCAAGATTCACACGGCAAACTTGACGTCTCGTTTCCCTTCAGTGTCAAAGAGTCGGGGAAGGCAAAGGTCGAACTGGTGAGTTCACCATATAACCCATGCTGGAGTAACAGCCTCGGAATGCAAGCCTCTTACAATCTTCGGTAGACACACAAGGACCTCCCGCTCCAGTTCCTACGCTCCTCAACCCCCCTGAGCGCGAGCATCATCATTGCCTCATTTGGCACGTCGGAAGGGTACAACGGCAAGGCATTCCCCCTGACAATCGAGCTCGACCCAAACGTCCCCATTCCGGCAGCAGAGACACCCCTACGCTACGGCAAACTGTCGGAGATACACCATGTTTTTCGGCCTGACCCGAAGAGTCCGAATATTGTAATCACTCTGGTTTTCTTGGGTGCGGTACTGGCTACACTGCCAGCCTTGCTTGGGGCTGTAAGTTGACGGCAACAAGAGCCATATGAATGGCCCCGTCTTTCACTAAGCCACGATACTAATGTCTTTGCTGCAGTGGCTTTACATCGGCGGCAACATCAACCATCTCGGCAAAGCACTCTCCGACGCACCAATCTCGCACACACTTTTCCTTGGCTCGGTTGTGGGCATCGAAGGTGTTTTCTTTCTTTATTACACCATCTGGAACCTATTCAAAACATTGCCGATACTGTTGGCATTGGGAGTTGTTGCATTCCTTTCCGGAAGTAGGGCCCTCACGGAAGTGCAGGAACGTCGACTGGCCGGATTGCGGTGAAAGGACACAGCAAGGGAAAATGGAAAAGTTCACATACTTGACTATACAATAGAACGACTAGACTAGTCTACGATAAGGGCAGGAAAGGCATCGACGGGTTCTGTTGAGTCTGTTCTGTAAGATATTATACACTTTGCAGCTCTATTCTTAGACTTGGGGAGATGGCTGGATCATTGTCTTTGCTGCTCCGGCCATGCCCTTAATTCGGGATTGTATTCCCTTCATCCAACTGTCCATGACTCAAGTCAAATATCGGATACGATGGCCGACTGGCCCATGGTATGACCCAAGGGTACAACTGATTCCCCTCTACATCAGTCGGCAGTGAATTTATTTGTATTTCCTTTCGTGTTCCCTTCTTTCAAAATCATGTGGCATGAGACATGATCTGGCGTGCAATCTTGCTGCGAGCACGGATTTTCTCGCCATTGAAAAGTAAGACCCACGGGACGAGGGTCAACAGGGCACTAATGCCGCCCAACAAACTGCTGGCGGCGGGGTAGCCGAGGTCGCGAAACATCTGGACGGTGAAAAGGGGGAAGACGGAGGCGAGGACGTTGCGCATGAAACTCTGGGCGGCGAGGGCGGAGGAGGCGTAGCGGTGGTAGACGTCGGCCAGGTAGTTAAAGACGGCGAGGTAGATGACGAAGATGCCCATCTCGGCGACGCCGATGGCGAGGACGGGCGAGATCCAATGCACGGACGAGTAGGTGGTCCAGCCGAACCAGAACAGGCCGATGGGCAGCAGGGCCGACTCGAGGCAGGCAAAGTACAGCCGGCCCTCGGGACTGGTGGTGAGTTTGGGCCAGCGGCGTTGGGCCAGCCGCGGCTGGTAGATGGACACGATGGTGGCCAGGATGGTGCCAACCGTGATGGCGGCAAAGACTGCGCCGTTTTGTTCGGTGGTGAAGCCGTGGCGGGTCGAAAACACCAGCGGCAGCACGGAGAAGGTCATGTACAGCAACGCCCAGGCAAACGACACCCACAGCGAAAAGAAGAAGACGACCGGCTCGGTGGCGAGCAGCTTGAACGGGAGCGTCAGCGACAGGTACAGCATGTGCGAGAGTGACGAGCGCGACTCGTCGGCCGCCACCTTGTACCGGACACGCACAGGGACGGTGTTGTTGGTGCCGTCGCCGGGAACGCCGTCATCACCCTTCTCATCCCTAGATGAAGGATCGGGGTTGCGGTTGCGGTGGTGGTCAGACTCGTTCTTCGCGCGCTGCTGGCCGCCTTCCAGCTTGTCGAGGTAGTGGTTGAGGGCTTTCGCCTTGCGGCTGAGCAGGACGGAGCCACGGGTCTCCTTGAAGAACAGACAGACGACGATGAGCATGATGCCCAGCGAGATGATCTGATGGTAGTAGACCCAGCGGAAGTCGGCGCGGCCGACGATGAAGCCGGAGCAGAGGGGCCCAATGCCGGTGCCGGCGAGGGCGGAGCCGCTGTAGATGGCCATGGGGGTGTTGCGATGGCGGGCGTCATACAGGTCGGACACGACGCCGCCCACCATGGTGGCGAACGTGCTGGCGCCGGCACCGACGAAGAAGCGCGCGACCAGCATGCCCGCGAACGACGGCGTGGTCGCGCAGGCAATCAGCCCGGCCAGGAACATGACGGCGCTCCCGATGAAGACCGGCCGCCGGCCGTTGATCTCAGAAAAGGGCGCCAGTATCATGGGCGACGTCGCGAAGCCCAAGCACCACGTCGTCACCCCCGTGTTGAATGCCACCCCGGACAGGTGCCATTTGGTTCGCTGCGGCGCCGACGCGATCGAGTACGCACCCGCGCTGTACGCGGCCATAAAGGTGCAGCAGCACGACAGGATCAGGATGGCGGTCTTGTGCGTCGCTGACCACGTCAGCGGTGATTCAAATCTCTTCAGCTTCAGCTTCGCCCGCGGGACGCTGCTGTCTGGTCCGGTCCCAGTCGCCTCCAGCACGATCTCCGTCTCGAACGTGAGATATTCGTATCGGATACCATCTTCGCCGACCTCGTCATGTTCCAAGGCCGGCACAGGCTCTTCGTCGGATATGATGCTCTGGATCTCAATGTCGTTCGAGTTGTGTCCATGTCCAGAAGCATGTCGCTGCTGGTCTTGTTGTTGCTGCTGCTGCTGTTGGGCCTGGGACGGCAAGGGCGATGACGACGAGACCAGTGCTTTTTCCCTGTCTCGCGCCATCCCGTAAATGTGAACCAGAGGCAAAGATTCTTGTTCAGAGGTCGCAGTCAATCAGTCAGTTAGTCCATCCATCTGTCCATCAAACGCTGACTGCATGGCTCTTCAGCATCGCTCAACCGGTATATGTGTGTGCGGCTCCCCCACTGATTATGCCGCCTCAAAAGTGCAATTACAAACCCAAAGCCCATCAAGCACCATACTAGACAACTAAACAACTACCTAGCCAGGTGTCGTCCGACGTCCTCCCCCCACAGCCGATCGGCCACGGGTACCGGCAACAGCAGCGCTCTCTCACTTGTTAGAGATTTTGGGGGTTCTCCAAAAAAGCATTTTACTAGTGCGAGGAATGTCCCCAAAGCCTGACCATTCTCCCCAAACGGGGTCCCTTTGGCCACTCACAGACACGATGTGGACTTCTGATCTGCTGAACTGGTGGCACTAGGAGAAGCAGGCCCCTCTCTCTCCGAGATACGTCCGAGGAAGAGAGCAAGGAACATGTCCTGATGCAAGTCCAGCATCCAGCGTCGAAGCATTCCCCGCGTCCCATTGTCCCCACGACTGGAACGACAGGTAGTGCGTCAGCGGCTCCCAAGAGCAAGAGGGGGTGTGAGATACACGGAGTACACTGCCGAGGAAAACTGGCCGAGATGCTATTTGGGCTTTCGCCCACTTACAGTGACCATCATCCTCATTAGGCGAGGCTGAGGGCTACTGGTCAAAGAGGCAGCAGAAGCCAATGCGCCTGGGAAGCATCAGGCATGCCCTTGGTTCGACACACAGGCACGCCCTTCGTTTGACTTGTTGACAACCTCCTGGCCGTTTGGGCCGTGGATACCCGGACCCCTACACCCCGGACCAGACATATCTCCTCACTTTCCTTCACACTCGGCACGCCTAAAGGCCAATTGTTGTTGATGGTTCAAGTGCGATCCCGCGGAGAAAGAGAGGGAACACGCCCCTTGGAACAAAATTCCTGCGGGTGCTGCGCATCACTCCCCCGTTCTCGTTCTCGCTCTCGTGCGTCTCTTGACACAATGTCCACCTGGATTACTATACAGTATACACTCGTATTACTATACACTTCTCATTTCCCCTCGGACATTATACCTCGGTTGGGCCTAGATACGGGTTTGCCTGCACGGTGAGGTTTGATATGATCCATTTGCTTCTTCGTCTTGATCGATTCGTTGTGCATGCCGCCACAGATCAGATCGATGACGCAAAGACTATGTTGCAGGCTCATCTGGCTATAAACAGTTGCGTAGACAGCTCCATGATTTCCGTGATGGATGAATAGTCTCAGACTCTAAATTCCATCCCTGTACGGAACTTTTTCTTACACCCGGAGCTCTCTAAACCAGGGTACGCCCAAGGCGGGAGGTACACGGGAAGAGGAAACCGGTCTTCAAACATGCCAACCTAGCAGATCGCATCCAACCATCCATATGCATGGGTATTGTATTGTACAAGTCATCGAGTTGACAAGATGTTTTTGTAGATGGGTATGTTCCCGGTAGTATCCAATCCATGTTCATGTCCAATCGTACATCAAGGTAGGAAACACGCTCAGAGAACCAGGGTCACTGTCACAGCTGCTGCAGCTATCGCAGTCCAGAGACCGACCGACTTCGAGGACGCATGCCCCTTGGCATCCGCAGTCTCCAGAATGGGAGTAGGCTCGTAGGTCTTTGGGGTGGACGAGTCGAGGGTGCCGTTCCAGCAGAATCGGTTGAAGCAGCTAGTGCAGACATCGGGGATATCTGTACCAGTGCGTTCAAGACTGCGGCTAAGGATGGCACAACCAACACATGTCGGCCAAGTCTCATCGACAGTGCCATTTGCCATGCTCGCTACGTGGAGGCCGTTCAGGATGATTGCGTCGCGGTACGAATTGTTGGTTGAAAAAGTGAACGTGGATTCGTTGCTGAGCGTCACGTACGGAGAATTGGGAATGTAGACAACGAGCGGCGGGATAGTGGAGCCTTCGGTAAAGTTGGAGGAGTTGCAGCCAAAAAACGTCGGGCGGGTGTTGAGTCCGAGATTCACAATAGTGTTCTGGTCTGGTATGCTCGGGAAGGCGGTGTTGTTGGCAATGTCGCTCAATGATCGTTCGTAGGTTGCGACCAGTGCAGTGGCATTTGGCCAGCTGTAGTTCGTATCGGCGGAGGAGTCGACGGCAAAAATGACATCGACGTGTCGATTAGGCTGGATCAGCGGGTGGAGAGGGATATTCTGGCCGTCCTCCCCGCCATCGACGAGGGTCAGTCGAGTCGAGTTGGCGCCTGGATCGGTTTCGGGGCTGTACTGGAAGAACGGGTTTGGTGTGTAGTCGGCAATGTCATCGTTGGCCTCGCCTAGATCACTTAATAAATGGCCAAGGAGTTTCTTCAACGTGTCAGATATGTCGGTCCCGTTCAGATTAAGCAGGAACTGGTTGAATAGTGAGGACGAGGTTCCCATAATGAATCCGGCGTTGTCAAATCCCACCACACATGTGTCATTGTCGGGAACCTCGCCAGCCGTGAAGTTGCTGCCCAGATATCGCACAGGGGCAAAGCCATAGGAGGTGGGATCCCAAGTGCCCATTTCGAAGGCATTGAATTCGAACACCGTTGTGTTCCCCGAGATCAGCACCTCGTCTGGGGCCCGTCCGTCGGCAACCAGAATGGGAAAGGGATAATCGCCATTTTGGAAACCTTTCGACTGCGCAATCGAAGACCATAAATAAGAGGAGCCTCCGTCGGTAGCATTGATCAACTGGAAGGAAAGCGCGCGACCCCAGACATCGGTCAAGGAGATATCAAAGCCGGCATCGTCCTTCCCATCAACATCGCTCACAAGATGCGAGTAGTATTCAGCAGTGTCGAATAACTGAACCCCGCCAGTGTCTGGGCCTTTGAAGACGGAGTTTCCAAATTCCCAAACGGAGCCTGCATCATCGGCTTGTAGTGCTCCCACGGTGGTCCAATTGTTCATCATCAGAGAACCAACCAGCCAGCCGCCGCCACTAAGGCCGGAAAGGTAGGTCGCTGATTGGAGCAGGCCGCCCAGGTGTCCAGTGCCAGTATTGTTATCGGTTCGAGAATCGAACGCCTTAATGGCCCCCGCTCCGTTCATCAAGGCGCGCCAGCCCCCTCCAGACACGGCAATGCCAATGTTGGGTAAAGCAGAGGCGTTGTTGGAGACTCGGTCAATGTAAGCCCCAGCGTCAAATCCCGTGATATTCAAACGGCTCAAGAGTGTCCGCATTGGCTCGACCGTGTTGTTCCGTCTTATTTCCAGCCATGCTGTCTCATTGGGTGACAATGACGCCGCGCTCCTCACAGAAGGACGACTCGCAGGACATTGGACATGGGTAGGAGTGTAATCGTCCGGCGCGTTTGGGAGGGCACGACGCAGGTGGCCGACATCTTTCACGGCATCGAGATACACCTCTTCGGCGGAAATTGCGGATGCTAGTATAGGAGATCAGTGCCAGCTCTTTCGTTCTCGCACCGCGGTCTTGATCTTGACAGGAGTCGGGGCTCACCGGTCGTGCTCACAGCAAGGGCACTGGCAGCCGCAGCTAAATAAGGCAGCTTCATGATAATTGATATCTAATTGATTCTGACTCTGTAGTTTGGAAGAGGAACGGAAACTGCCACCAAAGAGAAGACGGTGATAACATGAGAAAACAGAAGAAATTAGAAAATATACACTTAATGATATTCACCTGCGCGACAATGACAGGGCAGCGCGAACAGGCATCAATAGTAGTGGTACAGAGTAGTTCGAATCTGGCGGATTGCGCCGTGGTAACATATGTAGGTGTAGGGGAGGTCAAGGTTCAAGGTATGGGAGCCCTGAGTCTGCATTAATCATTTTCACTTTCACAACATTCTCATTCGAGCAGCTGGGATGATGTCAATCCTTGATCCACTCAGGCCGACTGTCGCACTCGACTCGTCCGGTCGGGGGTGAAGGGAGGCTGAGCTGGAGCACCGCCGTTCCGATTCATCCGTGCAACGATGCCGTATTTGTTGAAGCTGAGATGGAGGCGGGCCGGGCAGGGCAGGGCAGCACACAGCACATCACAGCACAGCGCAGCACAGAGCGCAGCGCAGCGCAGACCTCAGGGTGGGCTGGTACACGAGGCACGAGGCACAAGGCTGCATTATCGAGTGCATAAGCAAGCCCGGCAGAGCATGGGTATGTCCGGAGTACACTATACCTAGCACGGAGCACGGAGCTACTCCTGCGCCTGCGCCTGTGGCTGCGGCTGCGTAATGCTTTGCAGTCACCACAGCATCGATGACTATCCTGACTGGTGCTGACCTTTCGCTACTACTCTTAGATACACTATTACTGACTACTACTGGTACAATCCCTAACCTTCTATTCACCCGCCCTCCGGCACTCTACCTAATCGGTATCTTCCGCCTCCTGTTCGTTTCCAGCGACGATGCTCTAATGCGATGCCACTACCCCGTACACCGGACCTAACCCGATATTCCACGGAGAGAGACGGTCCCAACGCTGAACCATGAACAATATCAATCACATTCCACTACTCTCAGACAGCTGCTGTTTCAGAATCGCCATATTTAACCGTCTCCCTCCCTGACCCCGACACCGGGAATTGGGAAGCGTCAGGTCAGATGCACCAAACCTCCCTTTCACTCCCAATAGCTCACCATCTTGCCGAACATGTCAACCATGCCCCAAATGCCGCTTCTGAGACAATTTGATTGCACAATCTGCGAGTGATCCACGAAGAGAACGGGTTGACATGGACATGGATTCCAAACTCTTGCACATACCAGTTGGACACCGGCGGATCTGTTGCCTCGAACAGGACCTTTCTCTGGGTCTGGGGAAGCTCTCGCAGAATGGCTTGCATCATGTCTGTTCGGCAGCTCTTGACGTTTTCCGTGATGCCTCCTTAGCCTTCACTCTCCATCATCATTCTTTTCACGCCAGCGTCGATACATTTCTTGCCTAGGTTAATCACCTTGCTGGGGTCTGGGGTCTGAGGTCCCAGGTCCCCATGGCTTCCAAATCTTCCCCGGCCGTGTTACCCCCTGCGCCGAACTTGACACCCAGTTCTGGTGTAGCTCAACCCCACGTTGTACACTCTGTCTACGAGGCGGAGCCAGTCGTCTGCTGGGAATGACCAAGAAACCCAAAAACAGTTCGACCATGTCGAATCCCATGTCTTTGCACTTTCGCAGGTACTTTTCCACCACGGTGGTGGTGTCCGGTTGTGTCAACACATGCTCCATCCAGCAGCCAGTACTAACGTTGATATTATATTGATGAGCAAGATTGACAAGCTCTCGCTCCGCCCCTCGAGCATCAAAGAGAAGCCCCCGCCAGCAAGTTTGAGCCCGAGCCGCGACGTAGTGTCCCATACATGTAGTCTTCAGGGCATCCTGCCAAATCTCAGGCAGCCTCGCCGGTCTTACTGCTTTGGTGAGTGAACTCGTAGCACCTCGTGCTGCCTTGGACCTCCGTGTGCCAGATGGGGTGAGAGGGTTCGTCCGTGGCTAATACTGTCCATCAACCGAGGTGAGACTGGATACTGGCGGCGGAGAAGGTCGCTTGAGTTGGCCAGGGTGTGGGAGAGTCGTCACTGTCCTGTCGCATTCTTGATATACAAATTCGCATTCGAGCATGCTCTGACCTGGCCTTGCGGATGATGTTATCGAGTTAACCTCCACCGCGCGCCCGCGAGTCAATCATGACGATGCTACAAGACACTCGCACAAGACTACGCTGGGCGCCCGCGTTGGCTCGTTCCAGACTCAATCTTGTGGTCGTCGGGTCCGTTTCAAGTGTAGACACGACGTCCTTGCCATCAACCCCATATAGATATCATCGTTCGACAATGCCTGAATCGGAGAGTACCGCCCAGAAAAAGGAATCAGCCCGTCACATCCGCACGGATTCTCCCACGGTGTATCCTCTCGCGACACCCGTCCTGCCTTCCTCGACCACGCTGCCCTCTTCCTCTGCGTCCTTCTCATATCTGACTTCGAAATCACTGCCCAGGCCACGCCAGGTGCGTTTTTGTGCAAGGTACTCAGCACCGGGTGAGGCGGTGCCGTTGACAGCGACCATGTCCCCTCTACCGCGCCTAGTGAGCGCATCTGATTGCGTTGCAGTAACCCCGGAAATTAGCTGTTGGGTTGTGCCACGGCCTGTGCGAGGGCTTTGCATGGGCCGTGTGCGCGAAACGTATCGCCCCGTGCGAAGATCGAATTCTGGCGGTTCTGACTCTGACTCGGAATCCATGTCAAGCTCGGCATCATGTTCCGCTGCACCATTTAGCTCACCAGCTTCGGTCTCCGCTGTACGGGTCTGCTCTGCCTGTTTAGTAGCGGTTTCCAGCACACTCTGGAAGTCTGCTCGCCATTCGCCTGTCCAAAGTCGACTCTCGTCAGTCTGCAAGGCCAACTCCAATTCAAACGGTGTGATGATTGGTCTATAGAACTCCTTGCTGTCGACGAGGGAGCTTTCCCAACATCCAATGACAATCCAGCCGCCGATCTCGGAAAAATTGGCAAGCTTGGCCGGATTGAGTTTGCCCACAACGAAGAGGTAGGATTTCTTGCCCGCGGCGGCAATCTTCCGTTGAATATGTGACAGAATATCCATGTAGTTTTTGACACTTAGCGTGTTGATAAGGATCCCCCAGACAGGGACAGTAGCAAGCGAGGTTACAATGGCGTAGCGTCGACGGAGAAGGAGTCTTGTAGAAGTCTCAAGCGCCGCAGACGTCGAGGCTGAGGTGCTACTTGTATCGGTAGGATATACTCTGACACTTGCCATACGGGATGTCAAGGTGAGAAGTAAAGACGTTGGCGGCTCAGAGATGTGGAATAGGCTCCATTGCAAAAGAGAAGATGGATCCTCAATTACAGACTTGGGCACTGTGCGGTTAGGTATCGAAGATGAAGGATCGTGGACAATGGATGCTGCAAACACATTCGAATACCCGAGTCGTTCCAGCATCGCAGTCACGGGCTGGACATGTGCTGCGTACGGTACGTCGGCGGTCAGGACCACCTTTGTGTCGATGTCCGGAAAAGAATCTCGGAAAGCCATAACCACAGCCTCGTAGTCGAGGTCTATGGTGGTGAATATATGCATAACAGGCAGTCTCGCCGTCGGCGACAGGCACGCGCGGCCGTAGTGCACAACGGCGTCTGCATCAACATGTTCTGCCGCGACCTCGTCCACGCAACAGGAGCCGTAGGATGTGTCGCCGAGGATGGTCAGTCTCACCGGCTTGTCGTCGTCGATCGAGAGAGCAGCAACTTCGGCTTCGGGCGAAAGCGGACCTTCTCTGGTATTTTCCTGCGATGCCCCCCTTTCTCGCAGACCTCGAGCCAGAAGTTGGTAGACTCGGGCCGAATGGGGGAGCATCTGGTCCGGGAATTGTAGGGCCACTCGCTTCCATTTTCGCTGTCTGATCTCATTGATCGTCCTGTTGATTTCGTATCGTGTCGTCAGCTGCTCATCAGACAGAACTTCCACCGGGTTTCGTGTATCTTCCGGAAGCCCCTCGCTCAAGAGGAGGGTGTCGGGCGTCGATAGAACAGGCGGGGCAGTGAGTTCTCCCGCCATAATGTTGTTTACTGGCTGCGAAGTGTGTTTCCTTTTCCCTCACATCAACATCAACGACCCGACCCTTGGAAGTGTCTGCTCCGTTTCCAGTTCAGCATGTGTACGTTTAGGTATCGAGTATCGAGGCGGCGAAGGCGTAAATTTTTGGCACCACGTACGAACAGGGATATCTTGGCATCTGGTTGGAAACTTGAAGGCTGTGTCAGCAGGGCAGAAACTATCACGATTGGCTCCGACACAACGACGAGGCTACTAGCGGAAGCAATCTTATCTAATCTTCTCACCACTGCCACCTTGGTGCCACCACTGCCACCTGCTGTACTCGTACGTCATGCGATCTTGGTTGAAGTCTCGTTGTAGTGAGTACTAATTACTGTACATTTCGTATCCGTCCATGGGTCCCAATCCCACAATTCGAGACAGAAGACGACTTGCAGACGATATCATTGCCCAGACTTCAAGTCGTTGCAATCTCTCTTGATCATGCCTGTGGTTTTGACACTGTTCCACGCCATCCAGGGCGCTGCTAGCGTCTACGCCGGATTGCTCTCCGCCATGGCCATCTACAACCTTCAACAACGTGAAGAGCAAGCCGAGCATGCGGCTCAGTATTCTAATACAGCTGCATCTCAACTCCATAAGACGAGGACTACTCAAACTAGTGGAGCTGTGGCAGTAAGTGGTTCTTGTCAACAGCTTCTCTCCGAAGCTCCATCGAGAACAAGCACTTGTCGTCCTCATTCATGCACTAACACGTGTGGCCAGGCAATATCCTCCGTGATCTCGTCCGTGACACTTGCTGTCATCTCATCCTCCGACGGTCGAAGCCCGGTCCCATTCCTCCTCAGCGCAGTGAACGCAGTCGGCCTGGGACTTGCCTACAGACATCTCCAGAATTTCTGGCGCGGCAAAGCCAAGGTCCCGTTCCTCTCAGATTACAATGATGGCATCCGTGCCTCAAATCAGCTGCAACAGGCATTGGGAGCTTTGGCAGTCAGCTGGGCGATTTCAAGCGTAGTCCATCTCTGGCGGACGACCAGTAGCTGATTTAGGGAGGAGAAACAGCATGAGACCAAGCTGAGATACTGAGTACGGAGTACATAAGCTGCTTTTCGAGATCGGGTTGAACTACTCCGGGCTAGGGCTTCGGAAGAATGCTTCGAGCTTTTGATGGTTGGGTGCCTGGGGGGCAGTGGATGAGGTGCATTTGCCGAAAAGATTCCCGCTTCCGACTAATTCTGCGGTGCGGGGTCCGGTATTGGGTTCAACCACCTCCACCATCTTCGTCAACTCGTCGGGAAACCATTCTTCCATTCTTTCATCACTCAATCCTCTCAAGTCTCGCGACCCTTTTTCCTTCTCTCGTTGCACCTTTGGCGACCCGGACCAGACTTTATTACCACTACACCCTCTTACGACTACTTCGGTTTCTACCCCTCAAATGGACCCTTTCGAGTACAACGCCAACCCTGGCCGAGTGGTCTTCGGACCAGGGAGCATCCAGAAACTCCCAGATGAGATAAGCCGGCTGGGCTTGAAGTCACCTCTTCTTATCTCGACACCTCAGCAAGTCAGCCAAGCAGAGGATCTCGCGAAGATCCTGGCCGGCGCGTCCATTGAACCTGCTGGGACATACACCAATGCGACCATGCATACCCCATCTCACATCACCGAAGAAGCCATGTCCTTCCTCCGCGAGAATTCTGCAGACTGCGTCGTTTCAATAGGAGGAGGGTCAACAATAGGCTTGGGCAAAGCTATATCGATCCGGACGGGTTTACCTCATATCTGCATCCCAACTACGTACGCAGGGAGTGAAATGACACCCATCCTCGGAGAGACGCAGGACGGCCGGAAAACGACGCGGTCAGATGCCAAGATCCTTCCTGGAACAGTGATCTACGACGTCAACCTGACCATGACGCTTCCCGCCTCACTGAGTGCCACATCCGGCGTCAACGCCATTGCACACGCCGTCGAGGCTTTGTACGCGAAGAACAAAAATCCGATCATATCGCTTCTAGCGCTCGAGGGCACCAAGGCCCTAGCTGAATCCCTACCGGAAATCATCGAGAACCCTCAATCCCTACCCGCCCGAGAGAAAGCCCAGTATGGCGCCTGGCTGTGCGGCGTCTGCCTCGGTTCCTCCTCGATGGCCCTGCACCACAAATTATGCCACACACTGGGCGGCTCATTCAATCTGCCACACGCCGAGACACATACTATCGTGCTGCCACATGCGCTGTCCTACAATGCCCCCGCGATCCCCGATGCGATAGCAAAGCTTGCCTCCGTCCTGCCCGGCAGTGACGGCGACGCCATCAAAGGACTCAACGTTCTTCTCGAGAAACTCAAGGTCAAGCGTGCCTTGAAAGACTTTGGCATGAAGGAAGAGGATATCGACAAGGCCGCCGAGATTGCAGTGAGCAACCAGTACCCCAACCCGAGGAAGGTTGAGAAGGGTCCCATTCGCGAGTTGATCCGGAGAGCGTGGGCGGGGGAACCTGCCAGGGCAAATTTATAAGCTGTTCTTTCAGTTGTAATCTAGACTGATACAATATTCTTAGAAACATAAGAGACTTTGCTACCAAACCAGCTGTTCCTGGCGCCTGAGTCCTGATTGTTGAATCGAGGTCTCTTCCGTCCTGCCCTGGTCAAGACATACTTGACAAGCAGAGCCTGGTGCAGGTACTCCATGGCATGGGGTTATTGGTTACAGTGTTCTCTGATTTCCTGTTGGAGCCTTCTATTTTCGTATATGTCGCTTTTAGTTCGCCTCAGATGCTTCCAATGCAGTATGCAAGACATGACACAACAACTGCCCATCTAGGTCTAGATCTAGGTGTTCCCACTTCACTTTCCGCTGGAGTATTGTCTAGATTTGATTTGTACTGCGCAGATCTGCATCATTCACCGTCTGCCTGCGCCGCGTTTTTACTGGTTTTCTCCTTCTCTGGCACCCAACGGCTAATCACAGTGAAACCGATGGCGAAAGCTAACATAAGGATCCAAATGAGGTGGCCGCCCCAGATGCGGCTCCGCACACTGGCTGCGAACAGGCTGGCGAACAGAGCTGGCGAGAACGCGCGGATCCCCGATATAATGGTGAGTGCGAGGGCATTGAGCGTCCCGAGCACCTGAGGGCTGGGGCTGACATCGTTAAGAACAAGCTGGATCGCGGTGAAGGACATGCTGACGCCGCTGCCGATGACGAGGTTGACTGGGGCGATGGCCCAGAAGATCGCGTTCAACCGATTGCGGAGGAGGATGTTGCAGAGCGGTAGCACGGCAAAGAAGAAGGGATACGCGATCGCGCAGAGGCGCATGACACCACTCGTGCCGATCCGTGCTTGCAGCCAAGGGAACACAAGCAAAAGCCACAATGCCTGGCTGAGTCCGCCAATGCCCATGAACAGCGAGATCTGGAACGGCCCGAGTTCGAACCCACCCAGCGAGATGGGGGTGAAGAAGAAGACAGGGATAATGGCCGTGTACGCGTATGCCAGCAGCATCACGTGTGCATAGATGTATAATGTGATAGGCACATTTGGGGACCGGAGCAGCTCGAGCGTCGACATGGGCGGAGGGTCAAGTGAAGATGAAGACTTGGATGTACGGACCAATGTCTGTTGCGGTGTTGATTGGGCTTGTTAGTGCCTACTTTGGCCCTGTGAATGACGGGGGCAAGGAAGAGGAAGGGGAAGGAACAGGATAGTTGTACTTCTTTGATGAATACTGCACTAGTTATAGTGGCAACAGCCCCGATGGAGCCCGTCACGATCGTAGGCAATGCGTAAGGGTATTCGCGCAAGAATCTGATATGGCCGAAGAGACGAGGGTATACCGTCGCCGGCTTTGCAAGCGTACCGCCTGTGGATGGCATGCTTTGCAGTTAGATACACTTTGCAGCTTCCTGAGCGGTAACTCAATCTTCGATCGAAGATATGGAGGGAGAGAACATACCGAGTAAGGGGCCCAAAAAGATGCCTAGATTGCCTGCGAATGCGAAGAAGCTAAATGCCCGAGCTTGAGTCTTTTGTGTGCTATTCTCCGTGATCATCGTTCGAATGGTCCTATATCAAATCCCCTGGTGTAAGCGGCTGTAGTCTTTTGTGCTCTGGATCTCCAGTGGCTGCCAGGTGGGATGAGAGGACTTACACGATAGTGCCTGCGAAGATGCCCGCAAAGCAGCGGAGCAGGATCATCTGCCAGATGGTCTTGCTGAGGCCAAAGACGGCCGTGGCAACAGTGACGCCGCCCAAGGAGAATACCAGCACGGGTTTGCGTCCCCAGTAATCGGCGGCTCGGCCCCAGGGGATCATGAGCAACATTTGAGTGAGGGAGAAGAGCGATTCCTGCATTTCCGATGGATCAGACTGGGCATCTAGCAATAGCAATGACAGATGCACTTGAGGTCACCGAGGGAACGCACTATTAGTCCGCTATAGAATCCAACGTCTGTCTTCGCAACTTCGCCTGTTTCCCAGATCATCTGGTTGATGAAGGGGAAGATGCAGAAGAACGCCACGGGCTCGACCGAACGCGCAAAGGAGAGGAAGAAGATCTGATCCTTTGGCAGCGGCTTGTCATCTTCGTCCGCGTGGCCGTTGCGTGTAACACCTTGCTCATCGTCAAGGGGCGGTGGTACATTGGCTGGTGGAGCGAGTAAGGCCGTCGTCTCGTCAATGCGAGGATCGGTGGTACCTTCAGAGATGTCTGCCGAAGTCATATTGAGTGACCGTGACGGGACCATGCGGAAAAGGAAGCAGGGGTGGGTGAGAGACGAATAGACGGCAGTGTTATATTGTTATATTAGAAGTGCTGTGCTACGTAAGAAAGTCGCAATCGAGGCTCCATTGAACTGCTTAACTGTGATGAGTGCTTATCTGACCTACCTACATGGGTACCTAGGTGCTAGGTACTGTATAGGAAGGGGTAGGTACTCCGTACTGGGGGGACAGCACCTGTCGTGGGCAGATCACGTCAGTGGTTAGGTACCTACCACTAGGGCTCTTAGGGGGGAGATTCTAACCATTCTCGCCCAATCTGAGGCCCCTTAGCCTCCTAAGCCCCTAAGCCTAGGGCCCTAGATGCTGCTTACATAACACCCTACACCGTCGACATTTGGAGTTCACCGCCCCCCACCAGTACTCCAGTGATCTTCCACTACTACCCACGCCAAAGGCTGCAGGGCAGGTGTTTTTCTCTTCCCGCAGTGTAGGGAAGCATGCTCTTGGTGTGACCATGTTCATTGAGCTTTCAATATTCACTCTCTGCTCCACCTCGGCGTCCACCTCGAATCTCATCCAATACAGCAATATCATGCTTTGAGGCCGGGCCTCTCCTTCTCTCAGCCATGCTCGACATCATCTGCACCCTGCCTCTCAAGTCTGACCTCTTTGCTCAGGCCGTACATCCCTACGAACCTATCTTCGCTGTGGGCCTGTCTTCCGGACATGTGCAAGCGTACAAGCTACCTTCAGACTCCGATGTCGTTGACGATTCGTCTCAAGACAGTTCTACCTCCCTGCCCAAGACTACAAATCTAGTTAACGATACCGACTCTACTGCGGTCCATCCCTCGTTACGCAGATCCTCCACTGCAAGTGCGTCGGAAAGCGGACTGGGATCTATAGACACAATCTGGGCTACGAGGAGACACAAGGGCTCCTGTCGATGCCTTGGTTTTGGCCATGACGGGCAAATATGTTATTCGGCAGGAACCGACGGTTTGGTAAAGGCCTTCACCACCGAAACTGGCCAAGTTGTTGGCAAGATTGTGATTCCGCCCAGTATAACGGGAGAAGCCATCGATGGGCCGACCGTACTGCATGCCCTGTCTCCGCAGGCGCTCCTACTCGCCACCGATTCCGGGAAGCTGTATCTACAAGACCTGAGGCAAGGTGGCAAAGAGATCGTGTCAAGAGCAAGTCAAACCTGGACACCACACGGCGCTGAACACATCAATGCGCTTGTGCCTTTGCCTGTCAGTGAAACAAGCACCAGCGGAATCCCGAAACAGTGGGTTAGCGTGGGCGGCACCACGCTGGCAGTGACTGACCTGCGCAAGGGGACCATTGCAACAAGTGAGGATCAGGAAGTGGAGCTGACAAGTGTGGTCATGGTTCAAGGCCTGAAAAAGGGTGGCACTAGTGTTGGCGAGAAGGTCCTGGTGGGCCAAAGCGACGGCGTGGTCAGCTTGTGGGAGAGAGGGGTATGGGGTGACATTGACGAACGTGTGGTACTTGATCGAGGAGGCCTCAGCGTCGACAGTCTGGCAGAGGTGCCCTTTGGCTTTGGAGGAGGGAAGCTAAAGATGAACGAGAAGCTGGTGGCCGCCGGTCTCGAAGATGGCAGAGTGCGCTTCATGAGAATTGGTCGAAACGGAGTCATGGCCGACATGGACGCCAGACACGATGAGATCGATGGAGTGGTAGCTTTAGGATTCGATGTCGAAGGACGCATGATCAGCGGCGGAGGTCAAACAATCAAGGTGTGGACCGAAGCCAAAGGCCTTCCTGGCGGCGGACGCGGAGGGATCACGAAACACGTCCTATCTTCAGACGATGACAGCGACGATTCTGACGTGCAAGATAGCAGTGACGAGGAGGACCAACCCAAATCGAAACGGAAGAAGCGCAAGAGGAACAAGGGGAAGGATAAGTCGGGGGGGAAAGCGTTGGACTTGGACTTTTCTCTTTGACGCATGACGAGTGTACAGAAAAGCAATGTTGTGTTTACCAAGGATGTATGTACATTGATCCTCTGCCTACATACAGACATGATTTCAAAAGAGCTGGAGGAAGCATTGACTCGACCAAGCCGTTTACGGCGAAGCTATAGCTAGCTCAGCAGAGCTGATGTATGCATTGGCATTTGCACATACCATAAGACCTTGTACTGTGTCGATATGGATGTTCTCGCGAGGCTGGCTCCGGCCTGCATAGCCGAGGCCGGCGATTGCCGCTATATCCGGCCATCGTGGATCCCTCATCCGCAACGTTTGATAAGCAAGAAGGTTGCTCGCAATTGTGTTCTTCGCCATTGTTTTCGGGCGCTCTGAGGACCGTGAGAGTGTACGAGACGAGACGAAGCGTGGGCAGACGGTATGGCTTCTAGGTCGAGTGTCTTCTCGACCCGCTCGGGATGGAGCTCTGTCCTGGCCGGGGCATCCCTCTTCGCAGTCGGTGCTCTTGTGGGCGGCATTCTCGCGGGCAGGCCTAAGAAAAGCACCATCCTGCCATCCCCGCGGACGACGCGTCTCAGGCTATCCGACGAGGAAAGGTCTCAACTGCCGTACCCCCCTGACGTGCTTCCCGGGGCAAGAGATGTCGATACCCCCTACGGATCGATCAGAATCTACGAATTTGGTCCGGAAGATGGCCGTAAGGTGCTCCTTGTGCACGGCATCAGCACGCCGGCTATTGCATTGGGTGGCGTGGCACATGGACTTGTAGACACTGGATGCCGCGTTATGCTCTTCGACCTCTTTGGGCGAGGGTACTCGGACAACCCTGCGGACCTTCCACAAGACATAAGACTCTTCACCACCCAGATCTTGCTGGCGTTGGCCTCGTCCCCTCTGCCTTGGACCGGCAAGGGCTCTGGGAAATTCTCCATGATTGGGTACTCCCTTGGTGGAGGAATCTCAACCACGTTCACATCCTACTTTCCAGACCTGGTCGATACTCTGATCCTCTTCACGCCAGCAGGCTTGTTGAGGCCATATCACATCAGCAAGACTAGCCGCGTCATATATTCCGAGGGAATCATTCCAGAACCGATCCTTCTGCGCTTAGTCAAGAAACGACTTCAACGACCATTGTCAGCGCCGGCAAAGCCGGGCGACGGCCAGAACCACCAGGTAGACGCAACCGAAGCCGTGCAGGCCGAAGTCAACCTGGAATCGAATTCGCAAGCCGTGCTTTCGAAAATCCGCCCGCATGTCACCGTGGAGGCCACAGTCGACGACCAACTGAACTCTCATCCCGGGTTCGTGCCTGCATTCATGTCAAGTATTCGATACGCTCCTATCCAACATCAGCACGACCGATGGCGCATGGTCGGCGACCAGCTGAGCCAAGCAAACAAGGAGAACGGAACTCGAAAAAAGGTCTTGATTGTTTGCGGTGCTACTGATCCAATCATAATCACGAAAGAGCTTGAGGAGGACGCGACAGCTGTGCTCTCCGGGAACGCGGAGATCGTGGTCCTGGATGCGGGGCATGAGGTGCCTATTACGAAAGTAGACGAAGTAGTTGCACATATCGTGGACTTTTGGAAGCGGACGGACTCGCAGTAAGCGGAGTCAGAGGGGGGCTTCGAGGTGTATGGTTTGTACATAGTATACACGGCTAGACAAGGAATAGACGACAGACATAGATGAGAGTAGGGACAGCACAAGTAGATCATATAGAAAGAATCCTGCAATTTCCCAACGTTGTTCTTGTGCGTTGAACTGGCATTAGGTACCAAAGAGTCAGAGTCTCGATGTACTGATGTCCATCTTCATTGTTCATTGCCCGCTGCCTGCGCTCGGCGGAATGATTTTCCGGCATGTCTCCTTGTGACTGGGCGTGGTTAAAACGGCATGAGCTGTGATTATTTCTGGCCGAAGTTGATCTCGACCTCTTGGCAGGCCTTGGCGGTACCTTCTCCTCGACTGACGTCCTGCCACTTGTCTCAACTCTCCCTCGCGTCCAATTCCCAGGTCGCAGGCTGCAGGCTGCAAGCCGCAGGGCGACTCTCACCCTTCATCAGCAGTCGCAGTCGCACTTCGTGTCTCCGGTCTGTTACCCATCATGCCTTGTCGTTTCTCCCTCCTCCTCTCCTCGGTTGCAATGGCTTCAGGCCTCCGCTCCCAACGCTTTGTACACTAATGCATCTTCGACGGTCTTTGCATCCGTCAGCTCATCCATGCTCTCCGCCAGCGCGGCCATCAGATCATCTTCGTTTGGGATTTGCTCAGGTTGTCCGTCCCGCTCCTTCGCCTCAGGGTCCTTCTTGCAGGGGCCGGAGGTTTGGCCGCGCCCGATATTGACGAATTCCATCACACTCTGCCCGCTGTAGAGGAACGCGTTCAACATGCCGCTCGGTTCTGTTCGCCGCGGCCGGTTTCGCTCGAACTGGATTTTGTCGATTCTGAAACTTGTTAGATCTCAGCCGTTCTCATCTCAGCAGCATACTTGAGTGTCTGAGCCATCAATGCTCAAAGTCTCCCAATGTGTTTCTCTGCTCAGATGACTGATCAAAGGGGAACCAGGACTTGGTTCATTTCGGGCCCATAATACTGTTCGTTTTGGAACGAGCGCACTTGCTGGCCTGCAACGAGTACTTATACACTCCATACGATGCTTGACTCCACGGAGTGCACTGTCCACCTTCTTGGACACTTTGATGCCTGGCTATGCTCGATGAAGATCTACTTGCGGCCTGTCCTGCAGTTCCCCGTCCCGTGCTGTCAGGTCCTTTCTTAACGACCGGGAGGGAGGCACCCCCCACGCTATGCGGCCTATGCGGCAAAGCCTTGCCAGGAAAAGGAGTCTGGGCTGTGATTGAGACGATGACACACGCTGCGGATGTTTCTCTGAAAATGATTTGTCCGTCGCAGGCACAGTCTCGGACGCCTCACGCGGCGACCAAGGAAGTATGCTAGGGAAATAGTTGCTTCTCACTTGGTACGGAAATGTGTATCATGGTGACATTCACGCCTCCGCATGGTGACGGGATTCTGCACCAGCAATAGGTTAATCCCTACAAGTACGCGGTCACCCGTATCGCTCATTGGCGCTAATAGCATGTGGCGTTTTGGAAGCGGCACTGCCTTGGATACCACCTCCTACACATACGGCTCATCTCCATAGGTCTCTGTTACTCTCAGATACAAGTCTCGACCTCCTACGACTGACCTCTGAGAGATCTCATATTTGCAAAGACATCGAAGATGAGATGATCTCAATCGGCCTCACACGATTACACGATTGAGAATGCTTACTCCGTACTGTGAGTTGAACTATCAGAAACAGCTACCCCAGGATTCCCCCCCCCGATAAGTCCCGCAACCCCAGTCGGGCGTTTTCATCATACCGGTTCCTTCCGGCAGAGCCATTCGGGGCAGCGAAGTTGGCACCGTGTCAGGTCATTCGCCAATTGATTCCGCGCCTGGGATAGTTCCAGGTCACCTCCTCCTCGCTAACCCACGCGGCCGGGTCCGAGCTCAAAGTACCGCAACGATTTCTAAGGGAAGTGATGAGGTCGACTCGCATCATTGGCGAATTCTGGGCAGAACCTTACTCACCGTTCGCCTCACTGAGGCTCCTAGTCTATTACAGTATGAATACGGAGTACACATTCGCTCTCCGTCTCTTCTCCCGGCCCTACCCCTGGATTGCTCTCGAACCGCGTCGAGATCATGTGCTTTCCAGGAGGATGCGCGTTATCAGCCACGTTTTGATATAATTGATCGACTTGCAGGCATAGCGCGATTAAATCTGGCTATACTCTGGGGGCTTTCCCAGACAAATATTCTCCAGTTCATAACCATTTACCGTAAGTTGAGCGAGAAACACGGACAAAGCTGATGGATTTGTCACGATCAGCATGACACCCTGACAATGCCACTCTGCCTCATTGCTCGCCAGACCAACTCTACGCCATGCGGTGTGCAAATCAATTCTTACTGAGCCGATCTTCTTACGGCGCAGCTTTGAGATGATCGTCATGGTACAACAGGTAACTGTTGGCACTTCAAGAAAGAGCGGCGCAGAGAACACGGCCGATATTGGATTCCTGCCATGGGTGATTTACTCGGTGGTCTGGGCCTCTCCCAGCACTGGCACTGCCCCCCTTTCTGCAAGGTCACCTGGTCGCCGAGCCAAAGTGTTCGCTTGTTCCCCTCTTTCCACAGCATTGGCACACCAGGCCTGCTCTTCCTGCAGCACCTTGCTGACTAATGATCGGAAAGAGGCATGTGACGCACGTGACACTCAGCCTTGTCAATGCTAGGCCCATCTTCGACGACTGATGATCCTTCATGTTCCAACAACACTGCCGAGATCCTCTTGCTAGATATAGGGCATCGATGTCATCGGTGTTCGGCGGGAGCATCACCAACTTCATGCGTAAGAGCGGTGGCCGTTGTTCATCTCTGCTATCTGTCAGTCCTTTGAAGCATGCATGTTCAAGGTACCAGGTCAAGAAGGGTACCTCGTTGAATTTGTCTGGCATCGGACAAAAGTTCGGGATCCGTCATGGCATTCAACTCTTCATCCAGCTTGCGTACAGCAGACTCGTTGTCTTTCTCTTCTCTCTGGCCTTGCCCTTCTCCAGGGCCGGTAGGAGTTTTCTTCACCACGGTACCATTTCTCAGGACCTGACCCCCATGCTGAACGAACCGATTGGCGACGGTATTGTTTTGATAGAGGTAAGCGTCGCGCATACCGCTGGCAGTATTCTCCCTACGACTCATGGCGGCAACAAGGAGGTGGGAATGCTCGATGGTCTTGATGTTCCGGAGGGCAAGTCTATCGCAATTTGAAGGTACAGGATGCTGATATGATCTGATGGTGTGTCTAGGAACCAATCAATGAAGAGGCAGGGGGTGCGGATCAACTAGAAGACCAGATAGTTCCTGGTAGAGGGAGTAAAGGAAAACATGGTTGTGGAAGACGGCGGCGGCGGCTCTCCATCTTATATAATGACTATCTATCGAACGTGGGAAATCATAAGCCGTCTTGTGTCGAAACAAACAAGGGGAGCTCCTTAATTGTGACTGAACAGAGGCGAACCACTGCATCCTAAGGCAAGGCATCGATCTCCGTCGATCGCACCAATCACCATTAATTCGCGTGTAAGGACAAAAATGAACCGGCGCAGCGTCCCCGAGCGTGCAGTTGCTGACATAACGGGCGGTGCATCACGATGCCTCTGGGACGATGGGCTGGAAATACGAAATGCAATATGCGCCGGCGCACGTGTACGCAGTCATGCTGGATCCTCTTCACAATTGACATTGACAACTACAGGGATCCAGTGAGTCGCCTCTACTCCGTAAGGTGGATGTATTGATTCGAATCCTTCCAGCACATGCAGCCCCGACTCCCTGGTGCCGCCTCAATAGCTGTGTTTCATGCCTTTGATGTTCGACATTTCTCCAACACGTACTGCAGGATTAGGCCTACTACGTAACATACTCGCCGGCTCCGTAGTAGATGGACGAGTGAATGAATGATGATCGAGGCTCAACACTCTTGCCATTAAGGGTATGGAAGCTACAGCTAGCTGGCCAGGGCCGTCGTGCGCCGTGCGTCCGTGCGCCCGTGCGTCCGTCTGTACAGCTGTGGCGTCCGTCACCTCGCCAGCTGTGCCTATATTACCTCGCCAGCTGTGCCCATACTGCCTCGCCTTGCAAATGTTATGTTCTAGAGACCGGCCCACCTCCACCTTCGCCTCCAGCTCCACCTGCAATCAAGTTGATGCCAAGGGAAGGAAGGGAAGGGAAGGGGACGGACGAGCACGCGGAACCTCGTCCAAGGGGTCCCGAACCATCGCTCGTCGCTGGACTCTGGACTCAACAAACAGCGCTTTCTGTCTCCGTCTCCATTGTCCACTGTCCACTGGTGGAATCATTCGGCTAAGGCGCCTACGAGAGGGGTTGGGTATCTAGATAGATACCAGCACCTAAGCAGCACCTAAGCAGTATGCGGACAGAGTACAGAGTACAGAGTACAGAGTACAGAGTACAGAGTACAGAGTACAGAGGACAGAGTCTAGAGGCTAGAGTCTAGAAGACAGAGGCTCGAAGATAGAGGCTGCAAGATAGAGGCTGCAAGACAGAGGCTGCAAGACAGAGGCTTGAGGCTAGAGGTTAGAGGCCAGAGTACAAAGTACAGAGTATAGTACTAGTGCGGTAGCATTTGGAAATCTCGGTGAGCATTATATCCTAGGACCGAAGCCTCCATGATCTCGATCATAGCTGCCTTGCCTCCTCTGGTCTCTTGTCTCTGGTCTCTTGTCTCTTGTCTCTTTTCTCTTGTCCGGCTTAGGTCCGAGGCCCTTGCCCTTTGGCCCTTGCTTGGTTCTGCCACCTGCGTCTCCCACTCCCACTCCCATATCATCCATACCTACCTAGAGCACCTCTCTCTGTCGGTGATTGGAATGTGTCCACTTTCATCACGGCTCGTGAAGCAGTCAATCAACATGAGACGTTGTCAATGCGCCTTTGCTCCAGCATCTCTCGGCGCGTGTATTGTTCCTCCTCGCAACGTACCGTACCGCCAGGCTGTCTGGCATCAACATCAACATCTGCATCTGTTCCTTGTTGCTTGTTCCTTTGGCCGGAGTCGGGAAAAGCCACGCATCGCATTGTTCAACCCTCCATTTCCTTTCGTCCATCCAGGCATCAATTACCATATCAAAATGCCATCGAGGCAAAACCAACTCAAGCGAGGAAAGGAAATTCGTCCACGAACCATACTATCTGAGCGTCAACTCCTTCACTGGGTATCAAGTATAACGTTCCTCCTCTTGCCTCTTGCCTCTTGCCCTTGCCTATTTGACTAGGCCAATCCTACAAAGTGATGATGCTAGAAACCCCCCGTGGTTCCCTATGTACCAAACACCCTCGTCAACCGTAACTCTAACTGTGGCCTTCGATTGCTGGTCTTGCTGTTCGCCCCAGTTGTGCGCCCTGCGCCGTCGCTCATGCTGATGCCGCCCACCCGATGGGGTGACCCAAGCCTCTTCTAGAAACGCCAGGTTGTCCCGAGGAAAATGACTTTTTGTGTCCAGACCAGGATGCAGAGATATTAATCCTTTGCCAGAAAAGATTCGATGCTGATGGGATGTCATAAGGTCAAGAAACTGACCAAAACCCAGTGGTCGCCCTTGATAAAGGAACAACCGGGTGGGTGAAATGAGTGTGGTTCGTCCTGATCAATGGAGACGCTGTGCCAACTCAAACAAAATCAACCTCGGCCGACCGGTCATCGAGACCAGCCGACGCATCAAGAGATCGAGTTCCATGAACGACAACACCGCCCCCATCATATCAGGAGAAAATCCCATCCGTTTTGCTGCATCACGTCCCGCCAGTGGACGTTCTGATTCCTCGGTTTCGTCGTCGTTGAAGAGGCTGGGTTTCCCAGAGCGCTTCCAGTCGAGGCTGTGCCGGCAGCGATCGGCGTCGATATCGAACCTCCAGGGCTCCCGGCAGTCACAGGGGTGGCTTCGCAGACACCTGCCGAGATGGCCATGTCATCGTTCCTTCTCCACACTTCGTGCAGCAGGCGCACCATCCGGCCAAAAGCTCCATGATCGGCCGCATCTCCCAGCAGCTCGCACCGCTCCGAAAGGGCTCTGCGGAACGGGGACGCGGGAATCGAGTTCACCCCGCCGATCAGTAGGGGCCACACCAGGCAGCGGTCGAAACCACTAGGTCCTGAGGGGATATACTGAAGCAGCTCGGCCATCTGCGCAACGAGACTGACAGTGGCCGGTTGGTGGCGATTGTGGTCGGGGACCAGGGAGCAAAGGTACACACGGACAGCCTTGCGGAAAAGCGCCGTGATATTCTTTGATAGTTGCTTGGGTCGAAGAGCACCAGATTTGGAGTAAGGGACTTGCAGCGGCTCACTGGGTTCGATCTGGTCCAGCGTTTGGGCGAGCGAGGTGATGTGGCTGCACATTCCGATGTCGTCGAGCTTCCCCTCAACCTTGAGGGAGTCGAGGCAGGCGACTTCCGACAAAAGATACATCACAAGGTCATTACAGCCCATCAGCTTTTCCAGTCCCGTCGTGGCGCTGGCAAAGAACAGGTTCCGGTACGTGTTGGAAAACTTGGGTGCTTTCCCGAGCATGGTTGCTCCGAGGATATCGATCCAGGCGGTCAAGGTCATATTGAAGGGCGGGTGGCCTCCCGTCTGACAGAGGCCTTCAAGAATCGATGGCAGGTTGAGCTTCTGCACAATGTCGGTGGCGGCTTGGAAGTGTTGGTGCCAGGGTATCTGGAACTCCTTCTCCATGTCGGTGGCCAAGCCAACGCACCCCTGTAAGGCGATCATCCCCAGTAGAGCGTCCAACATCTCCGTGTGGTGGGTATCGTTGTTGAGTGCTTCAACCACGATCGACACGAAGGCAAGTTTGTGGCGCATGGCATCATCCTCAGCAGTGGAACTTGAGGATGGCTGGGTAGCCTTCAAGTGAGTGGCGGCAGCGAGCAGGCAGGAGTGCAGATATGCCTTGTTGTTTTCCAGAGCTGGCAGGATCACATCTGCGCGGACGGAACCGTGTTGGTTTGCTTCCAAGACGGGAAACAGCAGCGGCAGCACATCTTCGAGCAAGTGGTCGAAAAGCGGACGGTCGTAGTCTTCGAGCTGGACGGTAGAACATTGAGGTCGAGCCGGTTGTGCGACAGCGGAAAAGTCGAAGAAGTTGAAGTCCAAATTTTCCTCTCCGCTCCATGAATCCTGTCGGCTCTCGTAGAAGTCGTGCTGCACCCAGTCATCACCGGTGTAGGATGGCAGCATGGCATGGGCAGGCGGAGGGACAAGAGTGCTGAAGGTTGATATCGTAGAGTCTCGACGAGTGAGTTCGTCGTTTACATAGGTGTGACGCTCGGTCTTCACGTCGACTTCCCACGGATAACCAGGGTCGCAGGGCTCTGGGGGCGGCATATATAGGTTCCCGGAATAAGGGTCGTACATGCCAGGGGGGGTGGCAAACGATGGGTCAAAGGCAGTGTCGTAATCATCTGGCGAATCTTCCTCGGCGTCTCTCGTCGTGCTGCCTAGGGTATCTGGGTCGGATGTTAGACATAGGCTCAAGAGGCTGGAAGAGGGAGGAGCAGGAGGTCCAGTCGTACATTGACTTTGGGCAGCCAAGCTCTTTTCATTTGTCTTCGTCCTCTTGATGACCGCCTTGATGAGTTCCTTATGTTTTCTCCGGTTCTCGTTGTTGCCCCACCAATGAGGCCGTTTGTATTCGCATTCAAGGCCCAAGTGTCGGCAAGCCTTGCATTTCGGTTTGCCCTCATCACACTTCTTCCGTCTCAGACGACATGTGAAGCAGCCTTGTTGTTCCTTAGTGAGAGCTGCTGGAGGTGGAGCCTTGCGGCGAGGAACTTACCAGATCTTGACCTCCTATGCATCTTGGAGGACTTGGTCGACGGCGAGTCCTTGGTCGCTGGCGCAACAGCCTTCTTCTCGTGTGCGGAAACCATCGCTGATGCCACAAGGTTGACTAGTTGATTGTGGCATAAAACCCCGGGTGAAACCACAGATACCGAGCCCGACGATGACAAAGGGCGAACCGTGAACCGCGCTGCTGTGAACTATTACGAGGGAGTGGTCGCGAATACTGGCCAGCAGTGTTCGCACGTCTATGGAGGAATAGTCGACGAGGGGAAGGGACAACAGCGAGGGCAACGAGCTGCCGTGGAGGAAGTCACGGCAACATCGGCTGTGGATGATGTATATGAGAGAGTTCGATGGTCTGGAGTTGTGGTGAGAGCTAAATTTGGAACGCAAGATATCAATGTCATGCGGCTTGATGAGGCTCCGTGCTGGTCTGGTGAAGGGACAGATGGTAGGAAACGATGTTTGCCGTGAGGGACGAATGAGAGGGAAGGCCGGCACACGTTGGAGGTGTTGTATCTATGAATATCGCGAACGTGTCTGGAAACGCCCTGCGGGCATTGGTGGACGACATGGTGGAGGAGGGGGAATTGCATGATTGAACATTGAGCAGGTTGGTCGAATGGGTCATTCTAGAGGCAGGTCAGTCAATATCGGTCGATTGGAGTCGATCGATAGTGTGCAGCAACCAAGAAGGAATGAGCATGAAGTGTGGGAGGTTAAGCTGATGATTGGACGGAGGGGCATGGGATGGCGCTTCGAGGCTAAGATTAGACCTCGACAGCTTCAACGAGTGCTTGGAGGCAGGTCAGTTAGCGCTGCTGTCCCCATGGCTGCATGCTACCCCTGTCCCTTGTACATGTTTTACCCTGGTCATGAGATTCTCATACCATGGCCGAATCGGTCTGTGGTCGACTGGAGATCAATTGCCAACCCCCGACATAATGCAGGCTCGCAGGCTGGTCTGGTTAGCCGTTTCTGCTCAAGCGCGGAGGAAAAGCGGGAATGCCTGCTATGAGTAGGCGCGTCAGCATCACACATGAAGCCACAATTATCTCCCAGATGTTCCGAGGTGGGACTGAGCCGCGAGAAGTCATGTGCGGTCGAGACCAAGGCCCAAGCCAGGCGGTGGCACTCGGAAGCTACAACTGATTTTCGTGGCGACAGCGTTGCAGCGGTTGTACCCGAGAGGTACCAGCGTCCGGGACGAACCAGCAGAGCGTCACCAGACCTTAGGAGAAGGACAATTGAGCACGGCCAGCGCACAGACACTGCCATGCGGTTGACCATGCAATCCTGAACGTACTGTATCCGTACAAGTCTCGGAGAGCGTTCGTTTGGAAGTTCCGACAACAATGGCGACAGAGAGTGACGGCGCGAGAGGGGACATCTCGCTTGCCCGCATCCTTGGAGTGCTGCCGGGGTCGGGAGCCAAACGGAAAGATGCAGTAGTCGGACCCTACACATCTCGAGTCACCAAAAGACGGAATTCTTTGCCTGTTGCTGCTACTATTGGCGACTTCTACCACATTTTTCTTCCACATAACGTGTGCAATCACATTGCCGATCAGTGCGAACCCTGCGAGAGTGTAACAGTCTGGAATCTTTTCCCCTCTCTTCTGTACGGGTACAATCTGTCATCACGGGCCACGCAGCTTTGGTGCTTGGGGTAGCAGCTCGACCGGGGGAGCAGTTGTGGCCGGAGCAGACGTAGGCAGAGTTGGAGAGTGGCCGATGGTGTGCAGGATGCAGGAGGAGATAGGAGGAAGAGGACTATCGATTGGAGGAGGACAGTCGAGCCGTGTCGAGGAGGCAGGTTACTGAGCTTAGTGCTCAAGCTACCCTGGACGGGAGCAAGTGTTGCATACAGGTCTTTCCCTGCTTGAGTGAAGTTCAATCTGGGTTGTCGAACGGTGCGGGAGGAACGGGGACCAACCGCAATGCCAAGTCCACCAGCCGCTAACCAAGGACGGGTATAGCCTGGCCGGCCTCGGTTTCAAGGGGGTGTGGAGACCAACTAATACTCTTAGTGCCTGGTCAGTGCTTCACTGCGGGCAAGCTTGGCTCCACTCCCTCTATCAACGCCTTCAAGTTCTTGCCTCACCTTACTCCGTATCTATCCCTCCGTACTCTGTACACTTCCCCTCACTGCCGCTCTCTACCTACCTACCTAGTCGTTAACCTACCTGTACCTACCTTACCGAGGGTGTTCCGTATCTGCTTTCGTACAGTGCCTGGCCTTTTTTTAGAACTGCTTCTGCGTCGACTTCTTGAACTTGAACCCTTCCCTGGTTGCCGTCATGGTCATGCTGGAACTGTCAATTTGGAAGACCCATATGTTGGGTGCACATTGATCTGTGGGCATCGATTCCGCGATTCATCCAGGACAGCCCAGTCGTCGGTGTTTCCAATACCAGAACTGTCCTAGTCTACATGTCTCAGTTACTGAAAGATTGCATCTGCTGAGTCTTTCTCAGACTTTCCAATGTCAGTCTGCCCGAGTACTCCGTATCTTGCTTTGATACTTGGCGTGTCAACTGGTCTATCTGCAGCGTACAGTCGGGGCCCCTCTCGCAGGCCCCCCCGGCAATCACGGTGACATTTCCGATGTCGTGACGGGACTGTACCACCCAATCCAGTCCGGCGAAAGCTGGGGTTTCCCTCCGTCCCACTTGCTTTCCCACATACCTTGACTTTCCTGCACGCAAGGGATTTCCATCACATCATACCCAACCTCCTCATTATCTTCTCTTCACCGTTGTAGTCATCGTATGCAATTCGAGAAGCGGTGCCTTCGATCCATCAATATGTGACGGTCCGCGGTCTCCGCGACACGCAGGTGTCATTCCGATAAGACCGGCAACCTGGTTCCCTATGCGGCCGCCTGCATGCCTCCACCTCGAGAAAGGACATGAGATAATATACGGAGTACAGATATGCTGAATGTCAGCTTGATATACTTTGACCTCGTCCTGCTGAGTTTCCCACGGAGCTCCTGTGAACAAATCGAGGCCACTGGACCCTGCCTGTGGCATCCCTCAGCATCTGATTCTTGTGGCCCACAATCAAATGTTGTCGGCACACATTTCTTCCCCTCTCAGGGTGAGGGGGCAGCTGTAAGGATACAAGACCGCTGAATGTACCCTTGTACTGCTGGTTTCTGTATGACTTGACTCAAAGGTACCACAGCCACGTATAGTTCTAGCCTCTTACCATGGTACCGGCGAGTAGCGGTGGGCTCACCGCTGTCAAGGACGAGCATTGTGTGGCTGCCATGTGCAGAAAGGTAGATCTTACCACGAGGGACAATTTGTTCCATCCAGCCCATTTTCGTCGACACGTTGCACAACATGACGACAGCGAAGTATCGTATCACCATTGGTCCAGGAGTTCTTGGGATGTCAATGTGACCGCCAGAGGATGGGCCAAATATTGCAAATGAACCCAGATGTATCCATTTCGGCCCGACTATTTGGGCTCACATGCGCAAACAGACCGCGAGAACATACTGGAGGCGGAAAGATCGAGTGTACGCGATAGCTTGTCTCTCTTGAGAGCACACGAGAAAGTCTTGTTTCCAGTGCTCCGTAGACTCACAGTGACTCGGCGCGCGAGCAACACTCGCTAGAACCCGGTACGAGGACGGAGACGGCTCCCCACACTAACTTCAATAGCCTGTCGCTACGCAACAAATGGCTGGGTCATCCGGCGTCAAGCGTTCATCTGCCGGCAGGACCCGCCGAAGCTGGAACTCTCAGTATGTGTGAAGGGAAGATTCAGGACCGCCTGCCTCGAACCTAGAGACCCCCATTCTACTTCGTATTCCGCCCAACTCGTCTCGAGGTGACACTCCCGGCAATGGCTTGGTGCACAGCTGGCAGTTGTGGAAGCATTTTGTGATTCTTGCATGCTCGAAGCTGGTGGCCGTTATCCGTTATCTGTCATCGACAGATAGGACAGGCCTTAGTAAGGCCCAACGATGGGTGCTAGTCACAAGTCTCCCCACAGGCAGCGACTGGTATGGCTCATCATCGTGACAGCGCTTGTGGGGATTCTGTGACTTTAGTCACATGGAGAAAGTGCTGGGTCGGAGGACTGGTTGAGATCAGCAGGGGAACGGTGGTAGTCTTTGCGGCGGGGCTCGCCGCGCAGTTCAGATTCAGGGTGAGCGCTCAGTCCACAGGACAGAGTACGGAGTTACGGAGCATAGGTGAATTGTTCGACCAGCAACCAATAGAAAATCCGCCAGCACGAAACACGGGCAGAGATGATGAGGAGGTTGGGGAAAAGCATTCAGTCCTCCGTACTTGGTACACCGCACACAGAGGAGAGAGACCGCCGAGGGCAACGGGCCGGGACGGACAGGGCCTCAGCAACCGTGGACACTGGTACTGGGCACTGGGCACTGGGCACTGGACGCTGGGCGGGCCTCTATACCTAGGTAGGTCTACACCACCTACAGAGTACGGAGTACGTAACTCTGTACCTCAGGTGCCAAGGTAGTTAACTAGCTGGAGGAAGGAATATAGTACCGAGTAGTGCTAATGGGAGGAAGGGCCTTCCGCAAGGAAGTCGGCTCGAGCCAGGCAGAAAGGGCGAGTCAGAAGCGCCAGATGCTATTCCAGGCTACAGTGCCGGGTCGATCTACTGGAGGGGTATTTTTGGAAGCTGGCCATCATCCGTCGCCATTGGTGCAGATGCGGGGGATAAGAGTGCTTGGCGATGCCTGGTCGCTGAGTCGCCCGCTGACTGGCCCGCTACTGCCCGCTACTGCCCGCTAGCCTCGTTAGCCTCCTTCGCCCCGCCTGCGCTGCGCTGCGGGCGGCCGGTGCCTGGTCTCCTTCCTCCTTCCTTCCTCCTTGCATCTTGCACCTTGCACCTTCTCCTCCTCAGCGCGTACTTTTCATAGCATGCGCCTCTATTGGATCACTGCTCTCTTGCCGCCAGCCTATACCGGCCTCTACCCAGCCTGCATTTCTGCTGTGTACACTCACTGGCTCTCTTGACTGCGTTTCACATCTCCAGCATCCTATCCCAACCCGCTAGTCGGTCCCATCGTCCTGCGACCCCATCTCATGCATCTGTCCTGGCTGCATCTCCTCCCCTCGTCACACCGGGCCTCAACCCTGGTAACCGCCCGCGTCCGTTTCCCATCAACACCTGCTATACATATCTCCTTCCCGCTCGAACCTCCATCTCCACCATGTCTGCCCCTTCATCCTCGATATCTCTGACTCTGCGTCCGTACTGTGTCTCTGTCCCGGTATGGAGTGGTCTTTTCCCTCCCAACTGCTGCAGTCGCAGTCTGTTGAAATGCTTCAGAAGCCTTCCACGCTCTCATTCCTAAACCCTGCTATGATCATCCCTCGCCCTGTGTCAGAAGCAACCGAAATCTTCGACACAGACAGCGAGGATGACTCTGATTCCGCTCAACCTCCGTGGGACTCCCTGGATGACGACAGCCAGTCCACCGTGTCAAGCCAGGAAGAGCTGCCTACGCCGCCTGGCTCGGGCGGTCTAAGTAGCTTCGAATTCCACTTTGATCACGAGGCCGCGGTGGCCGGAGGCCCTCCGGGGCGGCATCCCTTTCGGCATAACCCAGAAATCCTAAGCAATCCTGATGATGATGTTTTCATCGGCCTGGCACCCGTCCGGGAACCAAAGACTGCTGCGAAATCCATCGGCGCTCTGAACACCGCCGTCGCACAGCTCGACGAGTCCCAGGTACGCGACTGGACTCCCCGGCAGGTTGCCGACTGGATGGCCGAATCCGGCTTCGAGCCTGGCGTCGTTGAAAAGTTCCTCATTCACGACATTTCCGGCAGTGTTTTGATCGACCTGCAGTTTGAGGATCTGAAGGAGCTCGACATCAGCTCCTTTGGTAAACGACACCGAGTCATGAGCTCCATTCATCAGCTTCGCAATAGCAGTATGATCTCGCCAGACACTCTTCTGTCCCGAACGCCCTCGAGAAGCACCAAAAGTCCGATGGCGCTTCAACCGCCTCCTCGTTCCGGTGAATGCCAAGTGTTGACTCCCGACCGCTCTCGCTCCCGCCGCCGGGCTCGGCAGGTCGACACTGTGACCCCTGCCGAGTCTGTGTCCATTGTGGGCATCGAGCAGGTCCTTCCCAGAGAGCACAAGTGCTCCAAAGGCGAAGACTGCCCCAAATGGCAAAAACAACAGCGGAGGATTCTCCGCATGCAGAGAGCATTTGAGGAAGATGCCCGCCGACCCATCTCTGAGGCGCCTTCTGAAGCACTTCCCTCGGTCGTTGGCTCCTCAGATGCCCTTGGCCCCTCCGCCCTCAAGATCACCCCCGAAGCTCTGAGTGAAGTCCAGCCTCGTGATGCTCAGGAGGGCGTCAGACAATTCCTCAACTTCCAGCATATCCACTCCCCCTCTCACTCGTCCAATCCATCACCTCCTCCGGCGGCTTCCGCTTCATTCGCCTCCAAGTCGGCCCACCTCGCCGAACACCTTCGGGAATTACCCAAGCTCACCATCCCCGCGGGCGAAAGCAAGGTTGAAAGCCCGTCCAGGACACCGCTCCCTGCTTTCCAACAGCCCACTCAAATCCAGGTTCAGCTCAAAGCCCAACTGCAGGGTGATCCATATCACTATGGTGGCGTTGCTTCTCCAGCCGATATCTACCGGCTTGACACTCCGATGTCAGCCACAGATCTGCCTGTCACCGTCGTGGCCATCGATCCTTGCCAACGCGATGTGTCTCAATCTGTCCCTCCAGAGATGCGCTATGGCGCCACACCCTATGCAGCCTGCCCGGAACCGATACAACGTTGTGCATCCGCTCAAAATTCCCCTCCTCCACCGCCACCCCTTCAACCTCGGCGGCACTTTCGACAGACGTCTTTCACCCCATCCGTGGCACCGGTCAAGGAGAACGATGCTCAGGCCAGAGTGACTGAATCCGACCTCGTCAACCATCAGGGTTGGATGCGCAAACGTCGGACGACTCGCATGCTCCGCCACGAGTGGCAGGACAATTTCTGCACTTTGGTCGGTAGCAAGCTTACCATGCATGAGACACACTATCCCGATGCTGCTCCCCTCGAGGCCATCGACGTGGATGCATACACGCTGCACGCCTATGCCCAAGCGTCGGGTTCGAAACTGAGCGCCGCGTTCAAGAAGAGCCTCCTCGGTCAGGGCAAAATGCAGTCCGCGAGCCAGACGTTCACATTCTCCCTCCTTCCTGACGAGAAACTTACGCCAGGTCGCAAACTGTTTGATAAGACAAAGTCTCATCACTTTGCCGTCGACACATCCAAGGAACGAATCGAGTGGATGAGGAAGCTGATGCTTGCCAAGGCCATGAAGAAGAACGATGTCTGCCAGATCTGATTTGACCACCCGCGACTCTGGCTTTGTAAATATACAACCTGTTTCCCTTTTGTCGACGAAGCGAAAACCGAAACGGCCCTGCTACGTTTTTCCAAGATGTTGCCCCACGGCAAGTTTCTTCACTCGACTACCACAAAGCTTGATGAATCTATTAGGTTAGCATCTTTCCCTGGGGGTGTTCTCGGCGCCTCCTCCATCACAACAACCACAAATTGCTAACTGCTGCGTTTGTAGCGCTGGAGCAATGTGTCGGATTGATGGGCACGGTTGGAGCCCGGTTCGATATGGGCGTTGATACTCCTGAGATACCACTCTTGTTGTTTGTTGTCTGCTCCCACTCCAGTCTTGTTTGAGAGGTTGGGATACGATACCACATGTTTGCCTCTTCCTTGCCTCGCAAAACAACCACGAACGACAACATGATTGCACTGTTGCACTGTAGTACCATGTAGCAGCGCCAGCAATCACCACCCCGGATGGTCGGTGGCTTCTGAACCGGTGGACAAGAGTCCCCAGGTACTCCGTATAGCATAGCATAGCAAAGCCAGCTTAGGGAGAATCCACTTAGTCGCAGCCTCGATGCGAGATGCGACCGATTCAGAATCCGACCCAGGCATTGCTATTCAAGACGCCTATCCTTTTCTGTGCCTCGTTGTCTTGGCCGCTCCATTTGCCCGTAGAAACACTGCTTCCTCTATCCGTGTTGTTGCAGGTAGGAAGAGACCGAATACGCAGACCGCATTGAAAGCGCCCATGCCCATTGAGCGTCGTCACCTCATATTGTGCCTAGCAAAAGAGCAATTTTATCGGTTGAGACCCTGGAGCTTTGCAATTGTGGTCAGGCGTCAGGTCCTGGCCAGTGCGGAACTGGGCACGCCTTTTTGTGCCACTGTCAGAGAAATGATTAATTCCGAAAGTGCTAGTCTGTTGAACTACAATGCCTAGCCCAGGGTGTAGGCTTGCCGCGGTTTTCGGATGTGTCACAGTCGATCACAGATCAATACTTCCTTCTCAAAAGAGATCATTTGATACCATGACCAACCCCACGAGGTTAAGATCACTTGCTGGCAAGGAAACGCTGTCGATACCTCTGCAGACCCCACTGCCAACACTTCTCCCATTCTGATTGGAAGCGATCGAACCAGAAGAATTTGCGACTGATAACAGAAACTGACTTCCATGTTCGTGACGCCGGAAAAGAGTCGATGACATAGTCTAGCAGGTCGTCGGCAATCGGTTGAGGCCCCGCAGATTGGGTTCTCCAGTTGATGACGAGGGCGAGCCAAATGATGAGTTCGGACTCTGGCACCGTTGGGGTGTCGACGGCTTTGACATTCATGATCACAGCATCCAGTGTAGCGTGGTCAAAGAAGTTGGTGCGGTTCTCTCCGCTCAGATGACGGACCGCAATTGCCAGCCCCAGACAAATGACGTGCTCGATCCCAGAAGTGAGCCCGGCTCGTTGGAGGGACAAGAGGAGGACAACAGCGTTTCTGGAAAATTCCCTAGGTTCACAAAAGAGACGGCAGTACCTGGTCTGCGCATCTAGATTGGAATCAGGGGACGACTCCGGATCGTCAATCAAAGGAGCCCATTGTGCGACCGAAGTGAGGAGTTTTATGCACTGCACGCTTATGCGTCCGGACAAGGCGGCTTCGGCAAGGCCGATAGGAAGCGATGAAAGGTCGCGGCATACGTCTGGTGGAAATGGATGAGGAACATACTGGATGCGTTGGCTCGGGACGGCGATCAGGTCGTCGGCACTGACCTGAAGATATTGACCGAGTGCGACATAGAATTCGACCCTGGATAGGATTTAGATAGGGGTTGCGCTGACGGGTTGTGTGTCAACTTACGTTGTGAGAAGGGCGCGCACTGCCTGGTGCGAAGGTGAAGTACCGAGGCCTCCGCGCAAGGCTAAGATCTGTCTGATACCCCCTAAATGAGATTTCAGCGACGGAAGATCCCGCAGACATGCCTTTAAACGTTGTCAGACGAATTCGCCGCAGGAGAAGTAGAAACTCACATCAGCAACCATGAGATGCAGGACTGATAGTACTAGACCATCATCCATGTGAGCTGCGGGTAAGGCCAAGCGTTTCTGTAGGGATGAGATGGCTTCGCTCTGCATCCGCATCATGGTTTGGGATGGTTTAGCCTGGTGAGGGAAGCGACGCCATTCGTAGAGACTCTGGGCTCCAACAAGGAAACACTTGAAAAGTCCCGGGTCCTGCATAGACAACGGAAAGAGAACGGAAAGCACCGGATGCTGGACGTCGGGGCGGATCTTGAGCAAGAGTTCTTCGTTCCTCTGAATATACACATCTGCCTGTATGAGTGCCAGATCTCCAGTACACGGTGGATGCAGCCTTACACTCGTCCACGCTTTCCATCGGGTAGCGTACTGTCACGGCCGGATACGAGGCGAAAAGGTCGCGGCGATTAGAGTCGAGCACGGTGTGCACGAGCACATTGCTAGCTTCGGAATCATGCGACGAACTGACTGATTCGGATCGCACACTTCCTTGTTCTTGCAAGCCATGTCGGGAATCGCTTCGCGCATCCGGCTCGTATAGGTTGCGGACACCCATAAGGCGGAGTTGATAAGTCTAGTCAATCAGGGGCCGGTGAACAATGCCATTGGATCTGACAGCAGCTGGAATGGAGGTTTGCGCAATCGCGAGGTTAATAGGGTGTGTCGTCTGCCATGCGGGCAGGATCTCAAGCAGACATGGTGGGTTGTGCACTGAATCGAGGGCACTTCTCAGCTGTTATACCTGCACTTCGAAGACGGCGGAGGAGGACCGACTGTTGGGTAAACAGGAGCTTGGAGATTGTCCAAGCCACTACCCACGCTGCTCGACGTCCAGACTTCAACTCGAATTGGCCTGACCTAAGATATGGAAGTTCTTGCTGACACAGGCCCGTGTTAGTCAGAAATGGCGGATGTGGAGGAAGCGCCGCAGGTGCGGTAGGAGACAGGAAGACGCAAGAGGACGGTTGGGTTGCGAAGCTTTTTAGGACGAAGGCTTCGAACGAGCCGGGAGGACGGCATTGCTTGGTACTAGATGAAGGATGTTAGTTTAGCAGCCAATCAAACCGGCAGCGACGTTCCGCCGGTTCGAGTTCATTTGGTTAGTCTCGCCATCGGCAGATTTGGCGAGTGACCAGATGCTTGCTTATGATATACAGACCTGGGTTCGGGTGCGGCTTCAGCAAATCAACCACGAGGGAAGAGTTGCCAATTGTTAGCACCAAGTCAGCATGAGGAAGATCACAGAGGGACCGTTTGTCACGAGCACAGAGCAAGCAGAACATCCACCTCAGACTCCAGGCGGTTGGAGAGGCACATAAGGGAAGTCCCTCCCTATCTAGATACAGCGTAGTACGGTCCCCAAGGCCAGGCACTAAGTACCAGGTAGGTGCAACTAGGACTACTTGGTAGTAGTAGGCTCTGTAGTATGTGCACTGTGTACGGATAGTACTATGTACTCCGTAAGGTAGGCACCTTCCATCGGTGGTCCAGAGTACGGAGTACGTGGTACGTGTACGACTACTTGGCTGACGTAGGTGCAGGAGGCTGAGGAAGCCCCTAAGCCTCGGTGTGGCTGTGTTTAATGGTTCCCCATCCGGCTGGCCCAACCTGAAACGTGAGCCATCTGCCCTGCAATTCCGTTGTCGTAGTACTCTGTACGGAGTAATAGTAGAATAGTAGGCTGTCTTTTGTAAGGCCGGGCTGAGAGGCCCTGTGAATGGGGAATACCCAGGTATGGAGTATCCGTACACTATTGTGGCAGCGTACCTGGTATAGATAAGGTACATGTAGTTAAGTACGAAGTACGGAGTACTCCGTACTGTGGAATATGTACCTCTCATTGCGTTAGTCATACTACTGCCTGCGCCTGCGCCTGCGCCAGCCTCCTGAGCCTCCACCCCTGCCCATGCCACTCGCCACAACCACAAGGCTTCAACTCAACTCTCAACGGAGTCGACCCGCTCTCTACAAGGCTTGGAAGTTGCGAGGCCCGCCACTGTCGCACGTCGTGATCGTGGCTCATGACATGCCACACGCCAATATCATCATCGTCATCATCGCCCCTTCCGGTGTCCTGACACTAGGCAATCAAGGTTTCACCCAGGATTGGCAGTAAGGAGGCATATAATACTCTGTGCTTCCTCTCTCTCTCTCTCACCTACCACCTTCACTCTCCCCAACGAAGCAACCATTCCGAAGACATCGCCATTACCTTCACTCTCGTTCCAATCGCACCTCACCCTTGGCCTCACAATGCATTTCTCCAGGTCTCTTCTCCTAGCCTTCGTCGCCAGCGCTTTCGCCCAGGACGTCGGTTCCGCCATCAACTCAGTTATCTCTGATGCCACTTCAGTCGGCGGAGATGTCACGTCGCTAGCAGCATCGATCGCCTCGGGTGCTACTTCGGTGGCCGGCGACGCAACTTCGCTGGGAGGATCACTTGCTTCAGATGCCACGTCGTTGGGAGGATCGCTCGCCACATCTGCCGCCTCATTAGCTTCGTCAATCGCCAGCAGCGTCCCTACCGGCGTGGACTCGGTGGTCTCGCACCTCACTTCCGAAGCTGCCTCAGTTGAATCCAACGCCGCATCAGTGGCCTCCAGTCTTCGATCCGAGGCTGCCACCGCTGCTCCGTCCGCACAAAGCAGTCTCGAAAGCCGCATCAGCAGTGTCTTGTCTAGCGCCAGCTCCCGGGAGAACAGCATCCTGAGCAGTGCCGGGGCCGCAGCCACCTCCTTCCGTACCTCAGCCACAGGTGCAGCCGCAAGCCTCACCTCAGCCGTTGGGAGCAGCGCTTCGGCAGCGGCCACAAGTGCGTCTGGAAATGGTGCTGTTGGTGGGTATGTTGTCTCTGCAGCGGGAATTCTGGGGAGTGTCTTCTTGGGAATGGTAGTTCTTCTCTGAGCGTGAATTGATCAGGAATAGGGACAAGGACAGGTCTCCTTGTGCCACAATCCGATTGTCTTTGTACGGAACAAAAATGTGTTAGAGTTGCATAAATCGCATAGCAATGGCGTCAAGATCGCACCACAACGTATAGAATCTACACGAGACAGCCTCATGGTGAAATCATGTTACTTCTCCTTCATGCTCTTCATGATTTTTAGCTTTGATCGTGCGTAGATATATGCTCGTCTAGGATAGCCTCTTGTTGGGGGCAGGATCCAGCTTGAAGCATATATTCATCAAACAACGTGTATTAATTGATAGCCAAGTGTGTAGGAGACGTCACTAGGTCTACGGACCGTGCAGTCTGATATCAGCTTGGCCATTCTGGACCGTTGTGCTAATTAGTTTGTTTTCTCTCAACCGGCAATGCCTGCGCTTTCAGTGTCCGAGTTGACAGCGAGGTTAGGCAGCGTAACATGACAAGAAATACGGCAGGCTACATCATCGAGAGCCTACCATAGCAAGCACTCATGCAGAAGACAAGGTGAGCAGCAGGGCGTAGTGGTTCAATCTCTCAGAATGAGACTTAGCTAAGAGAATCCCTTTCTGTTCTCCCGCACCCGCAATGAAAGAGTTGTCCATCTATCCTCTGACGAACGAGGGCGACACAAGAAACAATCACCCACTCCCTCACAGAAGGACAAGGCATGGCTGAAAGCTGTGGGCGCGCCTTTCCCGGGCAGCTGACCCACCTCGCCTCACCTTAGTTTTGCCTAAAGGCAACCCCTGGAGATCAATGATTGCAATGCGCTCTGGTTTGCAGATGAAGTACTCGGTAAGCTGCCGATTCCATCCAATATTCCCCCGGTGATACGTCATGGCCATTACTCCTCCATTCTGCCACGCAAGGAGGCGTCCATGAACTTGCATAATCAGGTAGTTAGATCGTCAAAGTCCACAGTAATTGGGCACCGGCTGCAGAGTGTTTGCTTGCGGCGTAAGGCGAAGGACTTCATGAAGTCAGTGGCTCATACCCACGTCTCCTTAGAGGCAACCAGAGGTTGTCGAGATAATTTCTCGACCTGAAGAACCAGTTCAGCAGTATTGAGCAGCGTATGTTCAATATATGAGCAAACCACAAACTCAGGCAGGTACTGTTAGATGACATTGGGCAGGAAGAGACCCAGGGTTGCGACTTAGAATAGTCGCAAGTAATGTCACAGCAACAGAGTGTAGAATCACGACGGCATGCATTTTTGCCACAAGCATGTTCCCGAGGAGCCCAACGACTGCACATTGAATGCCGGAGACCGGAATGAAGCAAATGCAGAGTAGTCTGACTACGTGCAGATTGCTCCCAAACGAGACGTCGAAGATGACGATCTGACTTGTTACCGAAGCCACATGTTTGACATGTCTCGGTCTTTCTAGACACATTCAGGCTGCTAGCAGTTATTGCGGTACTCCATACTATCCTTGGAAAAGGATAGAAGTACTCCATATGAGGCGATGACCAAGGAAATCAACTCTGCAACAGCGGAGGGAAAGGCCGAGGAAGATCTGCGCTCTCGTTGGGCACAAAGTCACTTCACCTGTCGCTGTCCGCAATCCAAAGCGGAGAGATGTTCCAAGGGCAACTGATCGACGCCGTATAGTCTAGAGATGCACGTTTGCCACGGCTATACACGGCATTTTGATGTCGTCGCGGGCAGAGGTTATTCACGTGATGGTGGTACACGCAGCACACCCGGCTGCGGCGGTCCTGTCGAACTCCAGTTTCGCCTCGTTTTGTCCGGGCGCGCATGATCGACAACGGCGAAGGTTGGGTCCGAGGCGCGGGTTTCTCAAGAGCATCACTTTAGAGTCTTGCAGAGAAGATTCGGGTCGTAAAAATGGATACATCGTGGATGCTGCGAACTCTGCGGCGGGTCGGTGAGCATCCACAGTTGGGCGTCCAGAGCTCCGTGATTGCTGATCAGGGAATTAGCACATGGAATGTTGCGTCTATACTCAACGACCACCATCTATTTTCCCAGCCATGGAGGCAACACTTGGTGGGTGACTGTGAGACGAGTTGAGGCCGAAGTGGCAGCGTGACAGTAGACGTGTGTGGCGCAGGCGCAGGAAAGAATGAGGCGTCTGCTCGGGCTTGAATGGGAAGGATTCTTTGGGTAGTGGCCGGCCCTAGGACAAACGTGGCTCATCCGGAGGGTTGGCGAGATGCTGGGAAGCGATCGCATCCTACGCTGCAGCTAATACTAATACCTGGTAGTTAGTGCCTGTCAGGCTGGTCAGCTTCATTATTGTTTCACCAGTGGTGTGGTTGGAGGGTTGGAGAGTTCGGCAACAGGGAGCCGGTAAGTGGCAGGTCAGGTTTCAGAGAGGAACGCCAATCCCCAAAGCATGGGCTGTGGTCGTCTGAACAATTTCCCCTGGAGGCGCCTGAGCATACTCTGTACTGTAGCCGGGCGGGATGGCGATTGCTGGCTGCAGCTCAGTGGTTGAGAGCACGCCGTATTGTATTGTTGTGTCGGGGATGTCAATGTGACGGTGGCAAAAGAACAACAATGCATCGGCTAACAACAAGGCGCGATGGACGACTGGAGATGTTATTGAAAAGGACGGATAGGAATGTCACACTGGCAGTCGGCTGCAGGAACAGGAGCTTTACGATAGGCCTCTGTAGCCTGGATGGCAGACGGCGTTGGCGTGTCTTTGACGCTGGCGCTGGCTGGCGCAGGCGGAGTGCAGTAGTAGGGTGCGGAACGTGCGGTCTTTTGCCCAGTACTTTATCCCCGCACGGTTGTGGTTGTGGTTGTGGTTGTTTGTTGACACTGACCATAATACCCAAATCCGCGCCCAGGGCTGGACAACGGACCTCCCTAGGTGCCTGGGTAGGTGCCTAGGCGCTCCCTACCAGGTAACCTACCTACCTACCTAGGTACTGCCTACGCGGGTGCACGTCATCCCTTTTCTCCTTTCTGGCTGCTTCCATTTCCATTCCTACCGTAATTGCTGCCTCCTGCTGTTGCGTTGCGGTTCCTGATACTCTGCAGCACTAGGCGATGCATCCCGCTGCCCAATGATGGATTCCAGATCCCCTAATCCCTTCCTTCCTGTGAGTCTGTTCCATCCCTGCAAACGGTGCCAGGGTGACGGGTTTGCTGCCTAAACTCTGCCACTAGCACACGCCCATTTTGCAATCCCACAGCCTTCTTCTGTTTCCACCCTTCAACAACCTTTCCACCGCGCCTTAGTTGCGGATACTGAGCGTGGCAGGACTCCCAGACCACGCGTTGGGAGTCCCAGAGTCCATTGTTACCTACCTGGCCCTTTCCGACTTGCACTCGTCATCTGAGTCACTGCCGACCCTTAGTTCCAGTTGCCTGATGCTAGCCTCCGTCTGCCTGATGCCTCACCAGGCTTCACCTGCTCAGCCCGGCTCTTTCACGGTGACTCCCCATCACCAGTGTCCTCTATAAATCAGACCGAATTCCTTCACAACTTACCCCCTTTTACTACCCGGAATTCCACCGAAGAAACACACTGAACCAAAGCCGCTGGTTACAGTTCGTCCACCAACACCTCTGCGACTAAGTCCTTCAGCCCCTTTGCAACATTCTTCGGAAACCGCCCCCACCACCCATCATTGCCATCACCACTTATAGAACAACGCCACACCTCCCAAAGCCTTGCTTCTAGACCTGGTCACCAAGCATCCTGCCTCTGGCAACCTGTCTATAATATCCTTCGGTCCGGCCGCAAGGTTGCTTCCACGCACACAAAGCCACGTTCTAACCCCTGACGCTGGCCCTCGCCAACCCCTGCCAACCCAATCCTCTACTCCAACACCACTTCACCACCAAGCCCGACACAATGCCTCACTATCACAGCTCCTCTAGCTCCAGCAGCGGCGGAGAGCGAGTCTACCACAACTCACGCCGAGAGGATCGCAACCGCAAGGACACTCGACCGGTGCCAAAACGTGAAGTTGTCATCATCCACCACCACACCACCACTCAGGATGATCCCGTACGCACCTCTGACATGGTCCACAACCGATGGAAATGAGCCTCAACTTGTCGCTCTGCCACAGAACAGCATATTTCTTTCAGCTCGACATCAGAGCGAATGATTTTGGACATTGGACATGAGAATTTTGATACCCAACAAGGGAGTTTATGGAATAGATACCAAAGGGGGTTCATGGAGTTTATGCACGTCCCTTGTTAAAGATGGACATATGATGGTCTTTAGGGTACTCTTGAAGAGTTTGAGAGGTTGGCACACACAAGGGATTTATCTGTGACGGTGAAGGCCATCGAGATTGCTCTGGCATTTTTGTACCATTTATGTTCTCCGGGGCCGCTGGTTACGTTCCCAACCCTCCTGGCTGACGATCAGCAGCGATGGCATTGTCACAACAATTTTGAGTTAGAAGAGAAGAGAAGGACGCAAGTCTTGTGTGTGTACCTTGTACTCCGTACCAGCTGTGGTATCACTCGTTAAATTGACTATCTGGGTTATGCCTTATCGTGTTGACTATCAGCCTATCGATAGAATGGTGGAACATGCCTGTACTAGAATTCTAACTGCTGTTCTGTCAGTTGAAGTCTTCACCTGTTTGAGAAGATTGTCCCGAGCTCTACTCCGTAGACCAACCCCTTGTGTATCACAACGTTTGTCCCGGGCAATAATCGAAAACATCTTTGAGGCATCAAGATCGTCATGCAAAGCGGCCAATGGGTGGAATGTCCCCAAGTGCGATCTGCACTGCCCCCGTACTCCAATGAAGAATGACGGGTGAGGCGGCGGCTTAGCTCTTCACTACTGTGTTCTACGGTGACATCCGCCCCCAGGCTTTGGGTGCCCCTGTAATTTTAGTTTCCTCCACCAGCAGCACCATCCTCTGTTTGCCATCGTGTCGACCCCCGACTTCAAGGTACGGAGTACAGTACGCTGGGCGGATCCTTGACGGGTCGTAGGACAGTGCTGACTTGCAACATGAGTAATAGCATTGCGGTGATTGTATGTTACACAGCTTCCTCCTCCATTCTAGAACCGTTGTGCCTCTCCTTTGCACCCAAACGCAATCGACTACGCAACAATCTACAAGTGGTTGCGTTTCCACATCTGCAGGTGCCTGCATTTCCTAGCTTCCAATACCGTCGGTCAGCTGGCATCGGCTACTGCACACTATGGCAACGACATGCCGAAGCCACCTCGCAGAGATCACGCGCAGCTACGGTCTGGCAGCCCCGAAGTACCATGCATGAGGGTCTTTCCGACTCGCTACGAACGGACAAAGAGTGATGATTCCTTCGGTCTCGAAGCCACCGCCCTTGCGGCAACAGCCATGAGTTACAGTCCTCCACGTCACACGGATATGCTGCAGGATCAAGGAAAGATGAGCCAAGGTCGTTACTACAAGTCCTGTCATGTGCTCGAAGGACTGCGGTGTACTTTCTCCCTCCCCCTCGCTCCGTACCAACGATTCTCCGTCAATAACCATTTTCCACGCCACAAGATTGTTTCTGCAGCGTACTCCCTGACACAACAATCTGCTCCTTACATGCACACCAAATAGAAGGAAACATGCCAACGCTCCATCCCCTGCGCTCTCTGGGGTGGCAGTGCAAGGAATCTATCGCAAATTGTATTGGGCTCGGAGATCCCAGGTTGTCCTCCTGCGACATCTGTTTTGTGCCTCCAGGCTTTGCATCGGACTTCAAGATCCTTTCCATCTTCCACCAGAGTGACGGCTGAGCGGGAGGCTGCTGCATCTGCAGTGGTTACCGTGGAATCAATGGCTTCACAAGCCCATCCGAGCTGAAGCAAGAGCCCGGAGTCTCAGCGAGTTCCCGGTGCCATACTATTCTATGAAATCTCTATGCTTCTGTGATCCGTCCTTGGTCTTCAACCATCGGGGAGGCCAAATGATGTTTACGTGTTTGAATGAGTTCGCTGATGAATTACATCTAGGATGTCTGCGGGACACCAGATCTCAAGTTACACGGCAGCCTGAGCCTATCCCCTCCCCCAGCTGCCGCAGTCAAGATGCTGCCACCCGCCCCTGTATGTGATGAGCCAGGCTCGGCCCAAATAACAATGAAAGAAGGGCGCCTTGATTGTCTCACTCTGCTACCGAAGGCAATTTCTGCTCTGAAAGTCCGTTGATATATTTTTGGCTGTTGTCAGTTTTCTGGACCGCTTTCTTTCTTGCCTTCCTGAACTTCCTTAAGAGAGCCACCATCACATCCAAGTTTCCTACTCATCCACTCGAGGACATACTACCTGCGGGAGATAAACAATACCAAGACAGCACCAGCAAGCATCCTGCTGAACTGCCGCCCCGCCTCCGGCGTCTTACTACCCCGCCACCGACCAGCCGCTTCCTTTTTGCACACTCTCGTCAACCTCGACTTCATCGGAGAACCCTCCATCACTCTGTCACACACTTTTCCCGACATCCCTCGCGACAGTTTTACTTCGAACGATTGCGTTGATCCCGACACTCACTATGGCCTCGATTGCTGCTGTTCTTTGTGGAAAAGTCCCCCATCATGTTGAATTCATGGTCAAAAACCTTGTCCCAAAAATCGAAAGTAAGTTCCACTTCAGAGAACTGACCGTTCATCTCTACCCTGCTAAGCTGCACGAAAATTGTGTGACTGTTGCCGCTAACACAGAGTAACAGTTGTCCATGCCTGCGCAACGGCTGACGCGGCCGTTTCAGAGATTCCGGGTCTCCTCAAAGGCAATGTAATCACACCTTCATCGGGACTCGGTACCAATGCCGAAGGCTCCAACCGGTCGGATGTGAGTCTGATCATCGTGGGCGGAGGCTACTCTCCGGAGGAGGTCGAAGCGATACGCAAGGCGGTCGATTCTGTCAAGGCGATGCCGTTCTTCATAGCCGATACCAGCAAGACTCCACCTGGAACGGGCCCTCCATCAACCGATGCCATCAAGAAGAGGATCATGGATAGTGTCGAGGCGCAGGAGAAGGAACACGGAAAGTTGGTTCCTGGCTTGTACAAGTTCTGAAGCCATGAAGGGGGATCGACGCACCGCTTGTCTTGTCTGGGGGATCGGATGGAAGCATGCAAAAGATGAGGATTAGGTAGTTAGATCGATCGATCCCCTGCGTTCTGTCGATGGGGATGGTGCCACCCGGCGCTCAGCCTGCCTTTCATTTCAACAAATGGAGAGATTAGGTAGCTAGCTAGATGCCTGACCTGAGCAGTGTCATGCTGGTGGTAAACCCAGACAGCATACCTACCTTACCTTACCTGATTAGCAAGTACGGACGGACAGGTCATTAGGCTGCATGTCCATGCACTTGACTGACTACTAGTGGTGCTAGGGTAGTAGTATATCTGCGTATCGACACGACTTTCTTTCGACTCGTGAGCATTCTGGACTATCCATCTAACTACTCCGTAAGGTCCTGTACCTACCTACCTAGTTAAACTAAGCGACTGACTGACTAGCTGATGGAGAAATGATACTCGTACTCGTAATGACTGATTGACTGATTGACTGGCCTATCTGCCGGGCATTTCTTGCCTCCAGTCTATTTCTCACCCTGTTCGTTTCCCAGCTCCAACTCCAACTCCAACCTGGTCCTGGTAAGGAAGGGAGCTCTCGCTCTAAATCAAAATCAATAGCATGTGATAACTGAATCGAAATCGAATTGAAATGGAATACAAAGAAACCCCTATGAGAGGAACAGTGTTTCGAAATCCCACGAGAGTAGCACAGGTCATCATCTAATCCAAACATAACAGAACAGCACAGCATAATTCCTCGCTCGCTCATTTGTTCAATATCACCTCAACGCCGGTCAGACGCTACACAGTTTATTTCAGCACGCTCCTGCGCCTCCTCGAGGAGACCATTCTCCTCCATCCCAAGCTTTTCGTGGTGTGCGCCATTGTAAACCTAGGTCCAACGTAGTCTTCTGGTCATCAGTGTCATCAACAACGTTGCCGCCCCTTAGTTGGCGAGCACACCGTCTTGTGGACCGGTCGGCGGTCGGCTGGCTGCCAGGTTGCACTGTCGGAAGAGTCTGACCTCGTCCTCGGCGAAGGCGCCAACCACGCTGTGCAGAACGCCGTGGTTGTTGAACAGCACCAAATCGCCTTCCTGCCAGTCATGGGCGTAGACGAGGTCTGGGGCGATGCCGGGGCGCTGCAGGGAGTGGACGAGTTCACGGACCTCGGCGAGATTGTCGAGGACCCGGCCATCGCTCAGGTGGATCTTGCGCACGACGGACGGATGGATCTGCAGGGCGAAGCGGCCGGTGACGGGGTTGCGCCAGGCCATAGGCAGGATCTGGATGTCGGTCGGGTGTTCGATGGTCGGCAGCGACTCGAGCGGCACCTCCTTGCCTTCCGATACCATGCCCAGACCGTCCGGGCGCGACTTGGCCGTCGAGATCCACACATACGGGTGCGGCGCGTACTCAATCTTGGAGGTCAGCACGAACTCCTTCTGCTCCGGGCTGAGCCGGTCGAACATGGTGTAGCCGGACACGAAGGCGGTCGTGCCCAAAGGCACCTGCAGGGTATCGTCGCTACCGTCGTCGTAGAGCAGTGTTTGCTTCCGGCCGCTGGGCACGCGCACCGCCAGCAGCGACGTCACCAGCGGCGGGTGTAGCTTGCCGTACAGCGCCGCGTCAATGTGCCAGCGGTAGAAGCGTGTGTAGTCGAGATCCTGGTCGTCGGGGATCACCGTCTGGTGGAAGGTCCGGTGGTGCGGGTGTCGGAGCGTAATGTTCTTCAGGCCCTCGAACTCTTCGACAAAGCCGTTGCCGATGACCTGGACTTCCGGCTGGTGCGGGATCGTCTTGAGATCAGGGTGTAGAATGGACCGCTTGGCATCGATCGTCTTGCCGTGACCGTACGACATGGCTTCAGGATCGAAGCGGCGAGTGAGCTCGGCTTGTGCCTTGGGCGTGAGCTTGGACTGTCCTTTGAGGCAGACGACGTTGTGGTTGTATAGAGCATCTCGAAGGGTCTTGAAGTCGGCATCGGACAGGTTGTCCAGATCGACGTTCTCCAGGAGCGCTCCGAGCTCGGGACTGGAGGGGTTGATGGGCTGGACAGTGATGCCAGGCATTCTTGCTTGTAGTTCTGGTTAGACTGGTGGGGTATTGGATTGGGATAGACGCGAAGAGTGTAGAATCAAAGGGCGAGCCTGTAGATGTGTCGAAAGGATGGTCTGTAGAAGTTGCGAAATCAACTCGAGAGGAAGAGGGGGAAAGGGGAGTCTTTATATGCCCAACGGCGAGGGTGATCTCAACCTACTCCGTACTCTTCACTCGTATCATGGCAGCCTCGTACATGAATCATGAACCTGGGCGGGGAGTCCCTAACATGTGAAGACACCAGAGCGAGGATCTGACTCGTTGGAGGGCGGCGATGGGATGTGCGATGGGATCCACAGCAGCGTTGCAGCCCGTATCGCAGCCTGGCGAGGTTCGGTGGCTGCCGAGTGGCGGAGGAGCAGACATCGAACATGGCACTGATAAGGAAAAATGGCAGAAGAGGCAGAGACAAGAGAGACAGACACGGCCAGGGCAGCAGCCTGCGCCCCGGAGCTGCCAAGCCCCCGGTACGACGATGTACGAGCCATGACGGTGCGGCCCGCCACTTCAATATCATCACCTCCTCCATCACCTGGCTTCGCTGTCCATCTTACATGCCAGGGCTTCTTTCTGCCTGGATGGGAGGGAACTGTTTGGTAGATTTCCCTTCATTCAGCGCAATATCAACCCACGACCCTACAGGGCGGGATGCAACTATCTGATATCGGAGTCCGGAGTCTCCCTCGCTCGCCACAGCCGAAAGCCTTGTCCCCAGGTCCCGGTGTGGATAGGGCTGTGAGCGGGTATTCAGTGTATATGGAATGCTGGAGGTCCATTGTTAATGACTAGAGGTGCTCACCCAGAGCCTCAACCAGCAAATATGCCCGGTGGTAAGGGGTGAGCCTAAAAAAGGGCTTAGTATCAAGTTTCAGCCCGATGTTGGCGGCATGGTGCATGTGGCTATGCAAATGACTGGTGTGAATTGGGGTTCTGCCAATTTGGATCTGCATCTCTCGGCCTCGAATATCGAGGCCTAGGAGGTGCTTACGATTCAGGTCAAGCGCTGACAGCTGTCGTGGTCAGTGGTCACCGGTCATGCTCAGCCCCAGGGTCGGCGCCGTGGCTGCCATTCACTCTGCTCTATCTGCGTGTCTTCAGGTGCCCACTGCCTTTACCTTTTGCCCTGCCGGATATACAGTGGTTGTCGCAGCTCTGATGCGTTATTCCGAGGAGGCCGCGCCTGCTGTTGCGCAAAGATGGATCAACACAGATTCAATGTTGAAGTCAATGCGGGCAAATGAAGCTGCCGAGTTGTTATGGGTTACCTGACAGTGTGAGTGAGCCCAAGGGGGAACTGATGTGAAGGAAGTTCCTATATCCTGACGTACTCTTGTGTTGGGTGTTGTAGATGGCCATTGAATATCATGAGTGCAGTTCCACCTTGCAACCTTCCGCGATAAACATGACCAGTGTCATTGTCTGCTTCTCAACCCCGGTCAGCTCCACGATTTCGGTCGGCGGCAGTTTGATCACGGGAAATCGTTGGATTAATCGGACGATGGTGTATGCGGCTTCAGTTAGGGCAAAATCCACTTGAAAGACACGTCAGCACTAAAGTCGGCCCGTACTTGATGGGGAGACAGATCCATACTGCCCAAGCATATCCGTGGGCCACCGTTGAACGGTAGGTAGCCCCATTTGGCGTGTGTGGGATCGTGGTACAATGGCATGTCTTCATCCCATCTCTCGGGACGGAAGATCTCGGCATCCATCCCATAGAGATCCGGGCGACGGTGCATTGAATAGACACTGTAGGCGACAGCAGAGCCTTTGGGAATAAGGATAGGAGACTTGCGGTCCGGGCCACCGCCAGTGGGTAAGATTGTCGTTGTTGTGGCCGTGCGGGTGTTGACAGGAACAGAGGGGTAGAGACGAAGCGCTGTGTCGAGTCAGCTCAGACCTCTGTTGCTGGTTCAAGGCGAACGTCACACATACTCTCCTTGACAACATTGTTGAGGAAGCTCATGTTCCGGAGATCATTCCTGTCCAAGTCAGGCCTTCCTTGACACGTCTGAGCGATCTCTTCTCGCAATTTGGCCAGAACTCTGGGATACCGGACCAATGTGAAGCTGGAAAGCGCGGTCAGCTGGGAAGCCTTAATTCACGGGTACCACGGGGAGTAGCCATACAATGTCCATGAAAGGAGACAGGCCGTAGTGTCTCGACCGGCCACCAGGATGTTGATGATTTGGCTTCGGAGGGCATCTCGATCCGGAATCTCCATGGAGACGGCGCTCAAAAAGGTGTATTTCTCTTTCTCTGCCTGATCCGCGCTGTCTTGTTTGATCTTCAGGTTTTTCTCAATAATCTGATCTGCAAACCGGTGAACATTATCGCATGCTTCCCGAAATTTCCTCCCACCAATCAACCAGTAAAGATCTAGGAGCCGAAATCGCTTTGCCACGTATTCTTGTGCAATGTTGAAGGCATCGGCAAATGTCTGCTCGCCCGCGGTGTCGGGCGCCCTCAGGCTTCGAACAGATTCTCCAAATAGAAATGCAGTGGTGGTATCAAGGGTCAATCGAAAGAAGAGAGGCTGTAGATCGACAACCCCTTCTGACCTTGGGATGGCATCTAGGAGGTCGTCTACGGCGTCGCGAATGACGGCCAGATCGTCATACTGCTTGTGGGCAAATTGTGGCCTGAGCAGTTCTCGCGAGTGTTTCCAGGCCGCCCCCTCCTGGGTGAAAATGCCGTCTCCGAACATGGGAAATGTAATGTCTCGTCTTAGGCCCATACTGTAATCTGAAGACCTGTCAGCCATCGACATTGGAAGGAGGAGGAGACGCCCTGCTACCTCTGAAGTTAGTAGCCAGCATAGCCTCCAAATTGGCCGGTTCGATGGTTCCGAAGGCCTTGGTCCCCAAGAACACCTGCTCTAGGGTACTCCCAGTCTGTCGAAAATGGAAGAGAAAAAGCTCCATCAGTCTCGATTCTGTGTTGGCTCTGAATATCTGTTCCAGGCGGTCAACACCCCAGGGTCTTTGGTTTTGCAGCCTCGGGGGTGGAAGGCAGCCATGTCCTTCTGCAAGGGCTTTGAAGTCCTGGGCCACTGTCAGCTCGCAGGCCCTATGCCGGGACCGAGATGAGCACGCACTCTAAATTGTCGATACCTGGCAATCCAACCATGAACATATACTGTGATTGTAAGCAAACATACCGCTATCAAAGCCACAGGGTGCACCATTGCGAAGACTTGTCACTCCTGAAGCGTGTCAAAGGTTGAAATGTTCCATGTTCGCTATCAAAGGGGTATGGGGGAGAGCCCAGACTATGTAGGGATGTCTATACCAGCCTTCTGGTTAAAGGGCAAAGCTGGGAATGCCTAATATTAGTGCCTAAGTTTGACAAAGCGAGCAGAAAGGGAAGAACTCTATCTGAGGCTCTGTAAGGGGTAATATAGGGCGGATGTAGGCCCATCCAAGACACAGTGACCATCTCTTTACTCTTTAGGCCAGACGAATGTACGGATTGCTAGTGCCCAGTCCTGCAAGGGCTCAGGGGCCAAGAAGGCTACATGAGGGAACAAGCGAGCCAGAAGTGAGGAAGAAAGTGGTTGTAGGCCGGTGAGGGATCTACTAGGGACTTCAAGATGCACGGATGGATAGTCTGTGATAGCAGTCTGCCTGCGATGCGCAAAATGCCTATATGCTCGGCGGTATCATCTTCCCTAATACAACGGTGCAACCAATACTTCTGAGAGCGCAGAAACTTGGCGTGGGAAGGCATCAAACTGGACTTCGCTTGCAACGATCTTCTACAAACATGCCACGCAAAAGCATGCTGCCTTTGGCCTTGCAGCCAATTTCATTTCCATGAGTCCGGCAACATGCTATCCGAGGTCTCCTTTTCTTGACCCCTCAACCTCACCCTCGAATATCCTGCGAAGTCAGGAAGTCGGGGGTCGCGCCTCCGAACCGAGTCTCACTTTGTTCCCCGAGAATCCTGGTCCATGGCCGCAGCGCTGCGGCCTTTGCCAGGTCAAATCCAGCACATCCTTATCGACGGACCGAACGGAATGAAAGCTGCGCTGAAGAGACCAGGGTAGACTTCGGATACGCTGCAGATGGCATTCCACACGTCCTCCGACGCCGCGCAGGCGCTGGCGCTGGCGCAGTGAGGTCTGGCGCAGCATGGCACGGCACGGTGTGCTATGGTGGTATGGTTGACGAATCAACCTTCACCCACCCCTCCCCCAAACCTCACGAGAGCCTCGACGGATCGCAGTCAAGGTCGCTTGACGCTGGCGGAAGAGCTGTAGGTGCAATTGATAGAGAGGAGGAAGAGGATGCTAGGCTCCCAAGTGTTCGTCAGAGACAGCCACCGTAGAAAACAACGCAATAGCAATTGATGCTACCAAACAGCCATTGTGGCTTTCTTCCTTTCTTCGTTTCTTCGTTGTTCCTACATACAACAACTCCGTAGTGACGATTCCACACGAGAACGACCCGTCTCCTCCAACCGATCTTAGATCTTTCTGCTGATTCGCAACCGATGACTCAAGACCAGGGCTGGAGAGCGATCGCCGACTGACACACGGCAGTTGACTATTATCCTCACCTCACATTAACCTACTGATCGTACCTTCCTACATACAACACCAAGTGCCGAGAGAAACGATTCTAAAGGTGGAACTCGGATGGTTTGGTGACGTTGACGCCGAATTGCTCTATTCAGCTGTAGATAGGTAGAAGGCAGCTTCTGGAAGGTGCAGAGCCGTGTCTTCCTACAGGGGTGCTGTGCACATCAATCATAGTCATGCTCTGGTGAATTTCGTCTCGATTACCTGGTCTTTCTTCGGGCCGCGGACTTCATGTAATGTACTCCAAGAAGACAGCATGGCAGTGGCAGAGGGGCCAGCAGTCCGAGACAGTGAGAATGAGTAAGCGGTGCTGTAGAAGTCTGCGACACAGAGATGGCCTCCGGTGCCGTGCAGCAACAGGACGGTGTCGGTGTCGGTGTCGTCACCGTCGTCCTGGGAAAGAGGTAGGTCGATTTGGTGAAACAGGTAGTCGATCATGTTGGTTCCTGGCTTGGTGAACCATACGCTGATGGTCAGGGCGTCATCGCCGTCGTCCAGCCGCTTGAGGCGCCAAATATATTTCCTCGAAAAGGGGAATTTGAGAGGGAGAGGACTTTGCTGGGCGGCCGTGGCCGTGGCCATCTCAAATTCTCCTTGTTCATGGTACAGGAGTTCCGCGTCGGCCAGTTGCAGCTTACCGTCCGAGTCGATGACGGCAGAAGGCGGCGTCGGAGTGAATGTAGCCTTGCCCGAGCATCGACCTGACGGTGCGGTGGGATCGTCACTTTGTAGCTTCCGGTCGAGATTCCAAGTGCCCTGGAGGGTGTGGAAGAGGCCGGCGATGAGAGAGATGCGGGAGCGGGACGGCTTGAAAGAGATGAGATCTCGCATCTCGATTTCCGGGGAGGCGGAGGCGGAGGCGGCCGTTCAGAACCAATTTGTTCCAATTTATTATGGTCTTGATGGTGGGATAAGGTACATCTGCACGAAGTACATATACACACAGTTCAAGTAGAGATGGGGAACAGAGGCGTCGGCGCAGGACGAAAGACAAAAGGACAAAGGACAAAGTGACGCGGGGAGGGTCCCTAGTGAGGGTGGAATAATAATGACATGCATGTCAGAGAGGAGAGTTAGTCTACCCTACGGCAACTTACTATAACGTTTCGTTCACTCATGTACATCCCATACGCTAGGTCGAAGTGAGATTATATCTTGAACTGAATACAATCAGATCTAAGTGACTAAATGCTGGAAACTGCATTGAATCTGCCATTGAAATGTCCAGCTTCATGAATGCATGCCATTCCAGGCTGCCAACGAGCCACGCCGACTACTACTACAGAGCAGATCTGCGACTCCGTACAGTGCCAGCCCGCCAGCCCACCGAATCCCCGTATCAAGACATGCACTCGGCACCCAACCATCAAGCTTCGACGGCCAATTCGATGAAAAGAAGAGGATCGAGGATGGAGACCAAAGAACGCTTCGGAACAGACAGCACTGCTCGGTCCTTATGCCAGGATCGACAGTGTTCCTGGTTGAAAGGTCGATATAATCCCGCTTCTGCCTTGGCCCGATTGTTCTGCTCAAGTCTTCTCCAGGGGTATGAGGACTTGGAGAAAAACTAAACTCTGCCGCTAGATGAATCTTTTGTAGACCTTCCATAGACTCCATGCAAACCTATCAACCATGCCCGGCTGAAATGGGAAACGTAAAAAGGATGCTGAAACCAGCACCAAGCAACCGACAATCCCGCCCAAGAGAAGCTTACGTTGCTACTCATTTCGTTTCCGCAGCCTTGTTTGCATTCGCCTTTCCTCTGTTAAGGATCGAGTCGATGAGTTCCTGAGAACACTTGTTGGACTGTGGAACCGGGGGTTTCGAACTTTCGCTTAATGATGTATCTCTCTTCTTGAGTTGATACGGCAGCGTTGTTGTGTTGTATGTGCTCGGTACCGAAGTGGTATTTTCAAGCGACGTATCCGTCGATTCAGTTGGAGAGTTGCGAGAAGCTGACTTCTCGACATCCTTGGGCAGATGGAGGGAGGCGGAGAGCGGGCTCGAAGTAGGTCCTGGCGTTCCAGTGCGTGAAGGTAGGATGGAACCGAATGTCTCTGTTGATGTACGGCTTAGGGCTGGGGTGGGGATATATTCTCGCTCTTTGGTCAAGTAAGGGTGCTCAAGCAGTTGCTCCGCTGTCCACCTTTCTTCCGGTACCCATTTGAGCATTTTCTTCGCGAAATCAATGAACAATTCCTTTTCTTCTCCCCTGAGCCGCGAAATGGAAGATTCAAAAGTGAGGTCTTCAGATAGACACTCGGCGTTCTTGAGTTGGCCTTGTGCATCGAAGTAACTCGTCGTTTTGGCACCACGCTTCAGGAATTCCTTTGGTGGTGGCCCGAGTAGGGAGATCATAAGGCCCAGGTGTTGTTCCGGGCGATAATGCCCGGGTCGCGTGTCGATGCCGTCAAACAAGCCGAAATTTTCAAATAGGTCCCAAAGCATCACCCCCAGATTCCAGATATCGGCAGGATACGACCAACCACACTGCAAGATGACCTCGGGAGCCATGAAAGCGTTGGATTGTATGGGTTTGGTGTTTCTGACGTCTCCCCATTGAGCAAGGCCAATGTCGGTGATCTTGGCGGACTCGATGACGGCATCCGAAGGGGCTTCGCCAAAATCACTGCAGGACGTATAGATGATCCGGCCGTGGTTGTCAGGCATCTTGCGCGGCGAGGGATGCTCAAGCTCACGCTGCACAAAGCGTTCGAGCACGGATGGATCACCCAGCCCCATCATGATGTTGTCCGCTTTGAGATCTGTATGCACGACTCGACATTCGCTGTGCATATAGTCGAGACCTAGAAGAAGAGCCGGTAAAAGCTTCCGAAGTTTCTCAGAGTTGAATCGTCGTCCGGGGAACTTCTCCATGCACAAGTCGATAGGTTCGCGCAGAACGTCGTACACGATACACAGGTGCTCACCATGTTTGCTTTTAATCCTGAAGGTGTCGAGCATGAAACGGACATGCTTGTAACCAGGGTGGTTAGGATTCGCAGTTTGGAGCCTCTCCGCGATTTCCCGGCGACCACTCAGGAAGTCGTTGGTGAGAGTATTGACGTTGATTTTGACAGTTACGTAGGTCGGTTGTCCAGCCTTTGCATTCCTGTTGGGATGTTTGAGCAAAGGCCAGATGTTTCAAGCGCGTTTGGAATACTTACGCTCGGATATCTTGCGCGAGCCAGACTGTGGCGGTCATGCCAAAACCCAATTTCAAGACGACTTTGTAGCGATCGTTCAACACCTCCCCGAGACGTGCAGGATAGAAGCTGTCGGCATTGTACTTGGGCAAGGTCTCCTCTTCGATGGCCTTCAGCCCTGAAACAGTGTCGGCCTGGGGATGTGGCGAATTGGCTCTGGAATGCAGTAAATGGCTGAGGGGCCCTTGGCGATTGGTGGAGCTTTGCGCCCGCTTAAGCAGGTTCGGACGCATCTTGTACGCTAGAGGATGTTGTGTGAATGCAGAATCAAGGACGGCGAGGGGCCTTTGCCATTCTACTTCAGTGCCGGCGAGTCTGGGGTCTTGCCGACCTGATGATGTCGTTTGTTTTAAAATGAGGCTGGAACACCGGCGGATGGTGATCGGAGCGGATGACTCGGCTGGCCCGGGCGCCCACGGGCGCAAAGCTAGATCGAAGTCCGGTGGCCCAAGGACTCTAGGAAGGGTAATTAGGTAAGCTTGGACGTTGGACGTTGAGAAAATGAGCTAGAAGGCCTCAGGCGCTCAGGGCAGAGATGCTGAGGTGGTTTTTGGTCTTCTTGATCGAAGGGAGGGAGATAAGGAGGGCAGGTGAGCTGAGCTGAGCTGACTATTGTTAGATGTGCTGCAGGGTTCGACGGACAGCTATGCCATGGGTGTTGGAGAGGCTGAGAAGAACAGGATGGACGACAACGTGGGAGCGTCTGCAACAGGACTAAGGAAGAATAAGTACTAATGCAATAAGACAGGGATTGAGGGAGGACAAGGGTGTGACAATGAGCGATCTTGTGGGAGCAGGACGCTTTGCCTCTTACGTGAGCGTCACCGTGACCGTGACCGTGACCGGCGCCAACGCCCGGCCTGCTGATGACGGGGTTCGGGGTTTGTCGCAGGCGTGTCGCAGTTTGCAGTTGGTCCAACCGCAGCAGACTGCGCCCTGCCCCTCGCCCTCACGTGATGCCAACCTCTCTTTTCGCAGCCGTCCCCCACCAACGCCCCAACGCCTATACGCCTATAACGCCCGGGGCATACACAGCCTATTATTATTAGGCTTCACCCCCTGGATATTTCCACAGAGGTACGGAGTACACAGAGTTACAGAGTGATCCGAGATCGTTGGATAGGGCTCAGGCTTATTAGGCCAATAACTGTCAAGCCTCCTGTCATTGAAGGAGCAGAAGCTTTCCTTTTTCCTTCCACCATCTTCACTTGCGGCCGCTTAACGCATTAATGGGTGAAACATTGATATCACTAATACACAACCACTCATCTCTTTGCGCGCATTCCGACCTTGTCATCCAACACACCACAAGCCCGGCTCCCAGCCATAGAGAGCTTCGACTTCGTCCCGAAATCTAGGTGGTTCGTTCGTCGACCATGCGACCATCTCGCGCAGCTGTTCTGCCGGGCTCGAGGCCACGACGACAAACTCGTAACAAACAGCGACCTACTCAAGGACAGTCCGCAGAACATCCAAGTTGAGTCTCCCGAACTGGGGGCCTCAGGCTCGCACCTGACCTGGGAGCATTCCTTGCTTGGCTCCAACAGATTTCCCCGGTTGAAGTGGTCCCCGGCAGCAGATGCCGCCATTCCAGGAACAGCCATCCAGGAGTACATCCTGATATGCGAAGACCCCGACTCGCCGCTTCCCAAGATGAGTCCAGCAGCGACCAAGGACGAGCTGGTGGAGGAGATCGAGGGTAAGATTGTTGGCTGGGGAGTCTGGATCGAGAACAAGTGGTAACACGTCGTAATCCTCAGCGGGACAGTAATCGCCCTTCCGTCTGGAAGTTAGCTCATATTTGGACCGGATATCGATCCTTCACAAAGTATACATGTCCCTAACCCCTCAACGCCCAACCCCTGACGAGGCTAACGTGGTCATGGCATGGCATGAAATGAAAATCATTCGTACAGTCCTTTCATCACACTGTTTCGCCAATGCCGTCGCCCCACACTGAGGAAAATATATCGTCGCCACCCGGCAAGCCGAATTCAGTCAACATGGGGTCGTCCAAAAAACTGGCGTAGTCTGGCTTCAGAGTGAGCGGTATCGCATTGTCGTTAAGCGAATTCGCCGTTGTGCTGGCCGGGCCATCTTGCGCTGGAGTTTCATCTGCTCTAGTCAGTACGAACTTTGTCAAAAGATCATCTACTAGGGCGGCATACCATTGTGGTTTTCCATTAGTGGAGGCGGATAAACTCCCATAAACCCTCCAAACTCTTCCCTCCACCACACTAACGAGTCGAGAAGGACGCTCCCGCATAAGCGGCTTCGAATCCGTAGGGCAACGGCTTCTGTACCGTTCGGTTTTCGGAAAGCCCTGTTGCTGTTCCACAGTTGAGTCAAGGCTACCCCATTTCTGGCCGGGAGGTCGTCATTTTGCAAGGACATGCGCTTGTGGAGACTTATACCGAGGAACAAGGCAGCTTTGGCCCGCTCAACGTCAATGTATCGAGAGAAGGAAGTCTTTAGCAGCCGAAGGAGGACATGGGAGGGCATGATCAGGCCGAAGTAAAAGTATACCCCGGAAGCGGGCAAGGAAATCTGCCCAGCCTTGTCGAGATTATCAAAGGACTCAATCACTTGACAGGCGGATCCACAGAGGTCATACAACGACGAAGGGTCCTGGGCAGTCGGGGACTTATAGAGATTGAAAGCTTGTATGCTCAGAGTGGCCATCTGAACGTAATGATGGTCGAGATCTTGTAGGAGGTCAGCGGCCGAAGAGGACCAGGGATAGGAGACGCTACCTGACGCATATTCGAGGCCTACGCTGGCAATCTGCGCCTGAAAAAGGTTGAGTAAGGTGTCCAGCGACCTCTCTTGTTCCGAGGACATGACGCGTAAGCCATTCTGTGACACTGCGATGCAGCACCTTGTCACAACATCCTGGAGCTTCAGCTCGAATTTCAGCTTCGGTGATATCTTCTGGAACAGTGTTCGTCTCTGGTCAAGATCGTGTGGGACATCGACAATCGGTGTTGCCGGACTGCCTTTGCAGAAACATGAACTGTTGACGACAGCATCAGCAACGACGTAAGACCCCGGCGACGCCTCAACTCACCGTTGGTACACGAGCATACAATAGCCCCATGTCTCGGCGCGTTTCTTGCTCTCGTCTTCACTTAGTCTGATTTGAACCTTGCTGAATTCCTGACTTGACACTGGGAGATGGAGCCCCATTGCCATTGCCATGTGTAGCACGGCCGCGCTGAAAGGGAAAGTAAAATCCGTGGCAGCGCTCGCCTTTGGAAATGGCCAATACAAGATCAGGAGATAGGCTTGCACGATCGGAAGAGTGGTGTTGCTACCCATTGTAAGCAGGGCCAAGGTCTTGATCTTGGAAGGAAGGACTCCAAGCAGGGTGGGATTTTTGTAGTATGTGCGACAGCCGACGCCAATGATGGCCCAGAACAGGAAGGGCGAGAGCGCGTAGGCCGCATTTGGAGTCAGGGAAGGATCCAGGATGGGCATAAGACCCGCGTAATCGCGGAAATATCTGCGTGGGATGCTTAGCATTTACACCACTCGCATCATCGAACAAGGCAAGGAGAGACGAACATTTGAAACATGGCATCGATGTCCCTCGAATCTATCGTGTAGCCTTCCAAGCTCCGGGGGAGTGTAGCTGTGGCCGAAGCCTGCTGGTCATGAGGTAGGCTTTCCGGGGTCTGGAGAGATTCGGCAGCTTGGGAGAACGAGCGAAACGACACGGGAGCAATGGCCGCATCTCTGAAAAAGGGCGCCACCGACGCCAGCCGGCTCTCGGATTCAGCAGTCCGCTGGTCGTTCACCGCAGCCCAGGTATGTTCAAGCAAAGCGGTGGGTGCAGGCTGGCTTGATGGCCTCAGTCGCTCCTGGAGTTCGTCGGTCTGGTGCTCCAGCTCCGACATTCTCCTATGCGAGTAGATCTGTCAAGGTCCGCTCCTAACGGGTAACAGGAAGAGAGTGGCATACTTGCGTTTATGCTCTCGCCTGAACGGCTCCGAGATGGTGCATTGCCTGTTCATTTTGCGACATCTTGAGCACGGGTTGTCTGGGTCCAGGTATGCATCGCATCGAGCCTACATGTCGGTCAGGGGTATGACTCTTCTGGAGCAAAGGGTTCTCCAAAGGACGCACTTTCTGCTGCCGGCATTCTGTGCACGCCCGCTTGACCTGCTTGTCCCCGGTTCTGTTGTCGAGGTTAGCAACGGGGTCGCCGGGCCGGGAAACAGGGTCACAACTGACTGGGGCGTGGTGACTTCGCTCATCTTCCGGCTGTCTTGACTACGAGGATGAGGGTGAGGGTGAGGGTGCGCGCGAGCTGTTGGGAACACTCATAACATGTCAAGAAGGGCTGGATGGAATCAGTGAGACGGGGCGCCCCGGTGTCCTAATTAGACGGAGAGGTGGAAAGGGAGGAAGTCGAGAAGTTCGCTCGGGCTGGGATCGCCTAGAGAGTTCCGCGCGTAACGCGTTTAGCCACTCCGAAGTCCCCAGGTCCCCAAGGTCTAAGGGTTAATTAGGGGGGTCCCCCTTGTAGCAGTTAGGGCTAAAGCATTAGGGCTTAGGGGCTTAGGAGTCAGCTAGGGTTAGGTGCCAGTCTTCCCGGTTGGCAGGTCAGCCGAGAGCGACCGGGTCGGATAAAGGGTGTCTCCGGAGTGCTGCAAGGGAGTACGAGCACGCTGTACGGAGACGGACAGGCGTAAGGGCCCTATTTTCGTCTCCCGTCTCCCATGTCCCGCGTCTCCCGTCACTCCCCCAGCTCGCTCATTTCATTGCCCAGACGCCGCGGCACGATACACTGCTGGTCTCGATGCGTTGCGTCTTGCTACGCGCACATAATCGCTACCATCCTCTAGTCCTGGTCTTTGCCACTTCCCCGCGAAGGCGCACCCGTTCCCGCCATGTTGCCCGTGTTCTCGTCTGATTTCAATGACGGGGAATCCTTCGTTGGGCGCGGGTAGTTCCATCCGCAGGGTCCGGCCTCGCCAACCCAACCAGCCACCATCGTCTGCAGCTGATCTCGAGGCAAGGGTGAGCTGAAGGAAAACCGAGGCTTCAGCTAACCGAAAGGACCTCCTGGGAGCAAGGAATGATGTGTCACATGCGACGAGTCATCTTCCCCTTCACAACGGCCCACTGGTTCGGGAACACAGCCGGCCGAAATCAAATCGGCCATGTGTCGGAAGCCCCTTGCCGTTTCCCAGCAGAGTCTCCATTCTCGTTCCAAATTGCTGTGCACCAAAAACTGCCCCAAGAGCTGCTGCACTGACTCCCAAGACTGTGACTCTTCTCTTTAAGTCATGAACTTAGCCATGACATCAAACTGACACTGTTCCTGGCCGCCTCGCCGGGCTGCGTTCGCCGTGATGAGCGCTGCCCAGCTCCAAAAGCTCCTACTCCAAGTCTCCTGTGTGTCACAGAGGCGGACTGCTTCCGTAAGCTCTCCGACAAGACGGCGGTATCCGGAGCAACGACAGGTCCAATTCAGGAGATTTGCATGGTATATGAAAAGAACCTTGCAAATTGTGCTCTCCACCGTGCGACTGCGGCCAGAGTGCCGGCAGAGTCTCATGAGTTTAGCACTGTTGGCCCGAGGATCAAAGCCGATGAGGAACGCTTGCTTTTCGTCCGAGGACGTCTGCCCGTAAAGGTGATCAATACAACTTGTCCAATGAACAGTGTCACCAAGGACACCCAAGACCTGGGCCGATAATTGCCCATCCATTGCAATGGTTCGGAAGCCAGGCGGAAGGGCGTTGATCGTTTTGAGTACTGAGATTGAAAAGGGCTTTGTTGGATACTGTAACCTCAAGCTGTCTAGTGTAGCATCACGTCGGGCAGTGCCCTCCCCGAATATCAGCAGCGCATTGCATTCGGCCCTTTTCGCAGGTGGTTAATTGTGCATGACAAATGCAGGAGCACATCACTCACCATGATATAAAAGACCGGAGACAGTCGCCATACACTCCCCCGTTCGTTGACAGACCTGCCTTGACCATCTTCTGAAGACCTGCGAGGTGCGCTTGATATGCTTGCACATCTAAGAAAACATTCTAATATCTTAGCTGCATATGCAGAGAGGCAAAATGCAATACTTACGTCAGTAATCATGAGAAATATGGTCGCCATGATGACGGCTTCGTCTACAGTCCCTGAGACCAATTTTGCTCTTATTCCAGCCAACGCTTGAACTTTGTGGTGCAAGGCGGCGGCTGACAGACGAGTCTGTGTGTTTTGACCAGCGGCCTTGAAGGTCAAACACAGCGCAACAATGGCTTCGAAGAGCTCCACATTCTGAAGCGCTGATGGAAACATGTCCCTGATGAGAGGGTTATCCCTTGTCTGGTATTTCAACCCAGGTCGTTGCGAGGGCGCCCAGTTTGTGATGTCTGCCGAGTGTTAGAGCAAGCCACAGGGAAAGGACGGGAGAATGTACAGTGATCTATGGCTGTGACAACCTCATCGCCTTGCCGAACTGGGAACGAGTCCAGTGGATCAAATATATCAGAACTCGGTGCTCGACTGAGTCTTAGATACCTGGCCAAGCCCACACGGCCATCAACATCCACGTTAGCAAGGACCCAGCCGTCGTGTGAAGCTGAATTGCGTCTGCCATTGCTGCTGGTTGCATTCGTCTGCGAGGTTGTGCCTGACAATCTTGACTGACTCCTTGGCCGGAGTTCAGACCTACTCTGGTCAAGAAACAGAGGTTCACGGCGCCTCTCTATCACCCGCTTGCTCCTTTTTAGAGCGAGCGGCCCAGCATCCTCATCATCGGATAACGGCCTCGTCTGAGGTAGAACCGTAGAAGATGTGATCGGATCTTGGCCTTCTCCGCTGGTCCCGTGCGGCAAGTGTTTGCGGATTCGAATAGGCACTTCTATCTTTCTCTTCCTCCAATAGGCAACACGAGCGGCATGGGCTCTGGCTTCCGAGTGCTGCAAATCTTGGAGTCGGCGCTTGTTGGGATTGATGGCGTCTCTGAAAGTTGACACATCGTAGTTGATTAAGGTGGCCATGCCTCCATTACAGATGCCTTTCACCAGGGTGTGCCCTGTCAAGGCGTAAGTAAGATTTGGATGGCTTCGCAGGGACAATCAAATCAGGACGTCTCCCATACCTAGATGCAGCAGAGATGCTGTTGGGGTATGAGCAGAACAATCGCCGGCATCTCAGGCAGAAGCCTAATCGACAACGCTACTCCTAGTCCCCAGTAGGGGAGCGCAGGTGATAAAGCCTTGATCCTGCTACCAGTGCCAGATCTCACCAGCCACGCACTGAGACGTTTCTTCAGATGCAGCGCAGCGCAGGACGCGGAAGACACGAGCGGGCAAAACACTCCCCCGTTCTTATCGATAACTTGGCTGGCCGGAGATCGGTGGAGCTAAACCCCGGTGGCTGCAACTTTTTTTCCTGCATCTGCAAACCGATTTCGATTTCCAAGGCAGTCCGACTGTACTGTGCACAAGAAGCAACCAGAATGGGTGGGCAGCGCACTTGACAATGATCCTAGACCCTCGCCTTCCATTCTGCATTCTGACCTGACAAGATGGACATTCACCGGTGCCGCTTTGTGCAATACCCTCCACACTCCATCAACGCGCTCGCCTTCTCTCACTCCTCCGATCCAAAGAAGAAGGCGCCTTCCGATCTTCGTCTCGCGGTCGGTCGTAATAACGGCGATATCGAACTGTGGAATCCTAGGGATAGTCTCTGGGTACAAGAAACAATTCTCAGAGGAAGCACAGACACCACGATCGAGCAACTAGTCTGGACGCAAGACATAATTCTCGACGACGATGCAAATGTGTCCAAATTTTCACCTGGAGCCCTCCGTCTGTTCAGCAGCTCAGGAACAAGTTCAATTACTGAATGGGACCTGTCTACCGGGTCACCCAAAAGACAAGCAGAGGGAAATTTCGGAGACATCTGGTGCTTCGCCGCGCAACCACAGCCTGAAAGAATTGAAAACTCGGACACACTTGCAAATGGTGCAGCTTCTCAGCTTCTAGCGGCAGGGTGCTCCAATGGCACAGTCGTTCTATTTTCTACAGATGATGGCGATCTGCGCTATTCCCGAACTCTCCTGGCCCCGCCGGTCAGGAAGCCAAAGGCCTTAAGCATAACCTGGCGAGACCGCAATACAGTGGTTGTTGGTTATGAGGACAGCACGATCCGAGTGATTGATGTTCCAAGCAGAAAGATTATTCGAAACATGAGTTTGGGAAAGCCCGTCGACGGCAACTACTCTGTGGTATGGACTGTCAAGTGCCTTCCTGATGGAGCCATAGTATCTGGTGATTCTTCAGGCGAGTTGAAAATATGGGACCCAAGGAATTATTCTTTGGTCCAGAGGCTCAAAAGTCACAAGGCGGATATTCTCGATATTGCTACAAGCCATTCTGGAGACATGATTTTCTCACTCGGTGTTGACAGGAGGACAGTCAGCTACAAGCCCGTTGCTGCACACCCAGGATCCAAGAAAACGAGATGGGCGGAAGTTACTCACAGGAGGTTTCACCAGCACGATGTCAAATGCTCTGCAAGCTTCGAGAGCGAGGAATTGAGTGTTCTAGTGTCAGGAGGCATGGATGCCAGACCAGTCGTCGTCCCAATCCGAAAGTCACAGAGCGAATTGCACCGCACTCTTCCCCATCTGCCACAATATCCTCCCATGTCCTCTTCCCAGATAGCCAGGCTTTTTATTTCCTGGTGGGATCGCGAGATCGTCGTGTACCACATGCAGAAAGACAGAGGTACCGACAACACCTTCGACCTCAATCTCTCTGCAGATCCGTCTTATGAAACTCTTGCCAGACTAGTTATGCAAGAAGGTGAGAATCTTCAAGATGCCAAAATCTCGCATGACGGAAAGTTTATTGTCGCCGCCACGAGCAACAGTGTCAAACTGTTCCAGTTACGGAAGACTCAGGTGTCCGGACGGCCCTGCCTTCGAACAAGACAGATCGACCTGCCCCCCTCAATCACTCGTCTCGGCTCAAGACGTGTGGGCTTTTCTCCTGACGGCAAATGGCTGTACATGGTCAGAAAAGATAACACAGTGACCCTGGCTAAGATCCTGGTACCAGAAGACCAGAAAGAACGTCCTTCGATACACGAAAACTTGACCAAATTGTATCGTGCGCCGCGACAGACGTTGCCTTCCTCTCTGGGCAGTTACAATCAAACCATAACGCAGGTTGCATTCTCCAACGACAGCCGGGTGCTTGCAGTGGGAGATCTGTCTGGTGCGATCGATGCCTGGATTCTCGAAGGCCACGAAGATTTGGACTTTATCGAGGCCGCGTCAGACAACTCGGGCGACTCATCAGACTCATCGTCATCCTCCTCCTCCTCTGAAGACGACGAAGATGAAGCACCCGTGATCCATGGGCAGAAGTGGATTCGCAACCCTGCTGGCTCACAATTTCCGAAACTTGATTCTTCCATTCTCATACTGGCATTCCGCCCTTCGCCCGTCATACCAGCATCAAACTCAGGGAATGGAAACTTGGGTCTTCATGCGACGCGCCACACTCCGCACCCCGTCTCGCCAGAATTTCCTTCAGCCGATCACAGAGTTATTGCTATTACTGCCACGCATCAGCTTGTGGAGTTCGATGTTCTGAGCGGCAAATTAAGCGACTGGTCAAGACGAAATCCGTCGAAATATCTCCCACACGAGTTCACCCATCTCAAAGACCGGGTCGAGGGCTGGTTCTGGGACTGTAAGAACCAAGAAAAGAAAGGGGAGCGTCTGTGGCTTTATGGTTCCACATGGATCTTCATGTTCGACATTTCCCAAGATCTGCAGCAGGATCCGAGAACCTCCGCGAATGGCGTAGTGAAAAAGCAGAGGGCTGGTAGATTAGGCCGCTATGATGTGTTGCAGCCGGCGCACGAGGACGGCTCAACCACCAACGCTCAGTTGGAGTTGCGCGAGGCGCCAGATGCCCACATCCATCACCTTACCAAAGGTAAGGAGGCCAATGTCAGCAAGAAACGGAAACGCAACACCGGGGCTGGCGACGCAATTCCCGAGCGCGAGCGGCAGAACGGTGTTGGAAGTACTCTGCTTCAATTCCGGGCCGGGGGTGATGATGTCCAGATGATTGATATCGATGCCGACACGGCCGACGGAGACAGTGAGCTGGAATGGGAGCTAGAAGAGAGCAATGGAGACGATCTTGCTTTGATGCGACGGAGCGGGGACGGGACCGATGCTCAAGCTCTACACGCGACAGAGCCCTCCCCATCGAGGTCGATCATATCACGACCCTCCCACTGGTATACGTTCGCGTATCGTTCGATCCTGGGTATATCCGTGATTGGGGCTGACCAAGAATTCGATGGACCGTCGAAGTCTGCGACCGCACCGGAGAATTCACCGAACAAAGCGTCATCGACGCCGGCACCTTCGGAGGAGAATATTGAAGTCGTCATCGTGGAGCGCTCCATGTACGACGTCGAGCAACTCCCCCGGTTCGAGGGCGGCCAGGATTGGGAGACTTGAAAATCCTTTGGTGCGCTGGTATTTGGTCGAACTTCTGTCTGTAGGCAGGGCAAGTTGATCACTGCTCTGTCAGGCCATTTGGGATATGACCAGGGTTTCGCTAACCTAAAGATGGAACAGGCAGGGCATGAAAGGTTGATCTAGTCCTCAGGCAAGAGAGCCTGTACACGGTGTAAGGAAGGACGACATATATTGCATGGGCCATCCGATCACCGCCAGTGACAGCACGGACCTTGCTCGCTCATATGTGTTCGAAGTACCGTGAAATACAATTGGTTCTGACTAGACTTTATTCCTTGCCGTACCGCACGCCTTCTTTCTCATGTAGTCCAATGTCCCTTTTTCTCTCTCTCTATATCTGGAACCACAGGTCGTACGTCAGCGGCTCCCAAGAGGAGGTATAAGATAGACCGTGACTCCGTACACTACTGCTGAGGTAAACTGGCCGAGAACCTAGGTGCCTATCTGGTCTTTCGCCCGCTTACAGTAACATCCTCCTTAGTAGGCGAGACTGAGGCTAATATGCCTGGCCGACGACACCGACGACGTAATAAGAGAAGGATCAGGCACGCCTAAGGCTAGGTGCTAAAATAGAAATAGGAGAGTTGGCTCGAGGGAAGCCGTAGAGTATGCATATCTAGTATATCAATATCAGAAAGATATTCATCCAGGTAGAGCTGGAGAGTTCGTCGTCGTCGATATTCATATTATCAAAAATAAAATTCAGAAGAGAGAAGAAACCGCTAGTGATTCTGACACTCACCCTACTGTAAGTCTAATGTCCCGATACAGAGACTCTATATCTAGAACGAACGACAGGTCGTGCGTCAGCGGCTCTTAAGAGCAGGTGTAAGATATGCTGAACATTGCTGAGGCAAACTGGATTGAGATGTTGCGCCTAGCACCTTATTGTCCTCTCTTTTCCTCCTTTCCTCCTTTCCTCCTTTCCTCCTTTCGTCCTTTCCTCCCGCCTTTCCTCTCTTTCCTCTCTTTCCTCTCTTTCCTCTCTTTCCTCTCTTTCCTCTCTTTCCTCTCTTTCCTTGTTTCCTTGACCATTCGCTTGGCGGGATCAGTTTTCGAATTCCGATCTGCACAAGCAGCTTTTCTTGCCCCTGTAATGGACGTCACAGTAACAGTCGGGATTTAGGTCGTCGGGCAAAGGTTTGGCGATCATGTTGTCGGGCCCCTTTTGTACGCCTTTCCAGCCGTCATGGTCTCCCCAGGAGCCCCATTTGCCACTGGTGTAGCTGATGCCGCGTTCGTTGACATCCTCGATGCCGAACGCGCCGAAATACTGGGTATAGAAGCGGTACATTTCCACGTGGGCCATCGACCACCTTTTACAAACCTGACTGTCGTCGAGGTCGTACTGGCCCTCTTCCGGCTCGACCACCTTCCTCTCCATCCTCTTGGACCCTTTCATTTTGCGGTCCTTCTTGACCTTCCACATCTGTCTGCCCTTGTCATCTTTCTTTTTCCCGTCCTTTTCATAGACTGGGCCCCACTTCTTCGCCCGGTCGTCGTCCACGGGATACCACGCGCCGCAGCACCGATCGATCGATGGCGCCCTCGCCCAGCACCAACCATCCTTGATACCATCGAAGCCGCAGAAGTCGCGCCAGAACGCCAGTGCTGCCAGTGCCATACGAGGACACGTCTGTGAAGGGATGGGGATTCTAGGGTCGAACGTCCGCGTCGCAAGTACCCTCATGACTGTTCCCACATCTACCTTCGACGCCGTCTGCGTGGTCGTCGGCGGGGCGCTCGGCTGTGGTTGTATCAATGTGTTGCGCTGGTCTCCTACCGATACCGTACTGATCACGATTATGGTGGATGGCTGTCCCGTTGTGGTCGCTCCGGATGTGGACGTGGGCGTGGATGGGGGCGTGGAACCGGTCTGAGTTTGCGTTACTGTGGCCGTCACCGTCGTACCTGCGACTGGAGTTGTGGTTGACATGGATGAGGACGAGCCCACAGTAGTTGTCGCTGTCACCGTGGCAGTGGCTGTCGCGGCCATGCTCACAGACGGATCGGATGGGCTAGGGTCATCAGTCGATGGCGAAGTGGCGTCCGCCGTCAACATTGAGCTGGAGCCAGCCGGATCTGTAATGCTTTCATTGTCGGTTGATGGCGAAGTGGCGTCCGCCGTCAATATTGAGCTAGAGTCAGTTAGATCAGGCTGGTCGGGTTGGCCAGGAGCCTCGTCGCCTCCATCTCCATCTCCATTTCCGTCGCCAGGCAAGCTAGTTGCCAAATCCTGTTCCGGATCGGTTGGGTCACGGGCGACCAAGGTCATGAGTGTAGTGGATGGTGTAGTCTGTAGAGCAACGGCCGAGCCTTCAACGAAGGCGGGAACTGAGCCAACCATAAACAGAAGAACCAGGAGACCGAGAGCGAACATTGATGATGAGAGGGGCGCCTGGAGGAATCTTGACATCTTCATGATGACGGGGAGGAGTTGAAGCGGATGATGTGGTGAAGTGAAGTGAAGTGACAAGACAGCTTGGTAGTAATGCAGTCTTGCGTCTCAGGGAGATGAAGAGATGAAGAAATGAAGAGCAGAAAAGCAGAAAGCCAGAGGATATATACACTGGTGGCCCAGGAGCCTTCTTGACCGACGGGGTCCTGCGCTCCTCCTCTGACTCAACTTTTGCTTTTCTTCTCCTCTGGATCAGCTAGAGGAACTGGGGCATAAGAGTGCCCGAGAATAGGAAAAGTACGGTGGCCAAGGAAGAAGAAAAAGTGCCCGAGGATGGTAGGAAAGTACAGTAGCAAGGAAGGAGAAGAAAGAGTGGCCCGAACCAGACAAACTTGAAGTCCTCTCCTCCTCTGACTCAACTTTTGCTTTCTTCTCCTCTGGATCGGCCAGAGGAACTGGGGCACTGGAGGACTAGCAGTAGGGAGCAGAACGGGAGGTGTAAGAGTTCCCGAGGATGGTAGGAAAGTACTGTAGCCAAGGAGGAATAAGAAGAGCCGAGGAAGGAGAAGCAAGAGTGGCCCGATCTAGACAAACTTCAAGTAGTGAAGATAAGAGCCCGCCCGAAAGTATATGTGTCGGGCGTCGCTGTAGTTTGTCTGAAAATGGTACGCGATTACCTTGACATGGAAAGTGGACTGGGACAAGTAAGATGTAGAAGGAAAAAGGGATAGATCAGTGTAAAGAGTTCAAAGACGTAGTTGTATCTGGGCTTGGAACCTTTGCAACATCTGGAATTTCTGGAATAGCCCTGGACATCTCAAGACGTACTATAGTTATAGATCATGGCATGCCTCCCATCACCGAGTCTCAATCCGAGTTCGTGACGTGCGTGGCATTCAATAATAGATATAGATATGCATGCTCCGAAGCAACAGCTCCCTGGTCGGATGGGAAGACGTCCCTCGGTGATAATTTTGGCCACTCCCAAAATGCAACAGCCAACTCCCTGAGTCTCCCCGATGGTGACCTGACCTTGGTGCTTCTGATCACAGCAGAGGAGTGCACCCATGGCATAGTGTGTATGTATACTAGCAATGTAAGCACAATGCTGAGCCAATTCATGACGTGCACGCAGAAAGCCTCCGACCGGTTCCTAGGTGGTATTCCATTCCCAAGCTCATCTGAGCGATTTTGACTCCGTATAAAATGCAGAGCAACCACGCTTGTGCGCCAGGAACCATGCATAATGTGTCAAAGCAAAAAATTCTCTCCGTAAGATAGTATCGACAAAGCAAACATGCTAACGTTAGAGGGTGGAGGAAGAGGCAGAGAGTTGAAGTGGTAGTGCTGCTCGGCTTCGTCGCTGTTCCGGGCTTGATAGAAATTATACTCCAAGCTTTTCATCGACGACCCGAAGGATCCGTGTGCTGTTGACTGGACCACTGCACAGCTGCCTCTTGTCTCTCGGCAGGGTTCTTGATCTCGTCGCCTCGCGGGGGATTGACGGAACCAGGGAGGGAGCCGAGCATGTCGCTCGCCAAAGACTGGGCAACATAACCTCGAAGCTCTCGCTCTTCTCTCTCATCTTCCCTCATGAGCTTCTGTCTTACAGATTTTTCTGTGTTCTGCCTCCGGATCTTGCGAATCTCGTGGATGATCCATAGGAGCACTTCCTCCGAACACCGGGTCCTTGGCAGGCTGTAACGGTGGTTACGAACGTATCGCCGTGTGACATCGGCTGCACCGTCGCTCGAGAATGCGATGCAGTAAGCAATCTTTCGATTCCAGCCTAGGTCGACATCAGTAATCGCACACGCAGAACGTAGCAATGGATCACTCACCTTCAGTATAGACTCTAGGATTATCCCACATCTCCTCGCATGGATCAACATGAATCCATCTGCGCTGGTTTTCGCTGTAGACCTCGGTCCACACATGGTCTTCACTATTCCAGACCCACCTTACTCTGGCGCCGGCAGCACGACACAGCATGCTGAAGCAATTGGCGAACTCTCCAGCCCGACCTCTCCGGGTCTCGAGCAGGGTCCAGACGTCGGAATATCGAGGGAATCTTTCAAAGGTCTGGCAACCAGGGGCTGTGCATCTGTATAGTTCCACTCTCGTGGCTCCACGGGCAACCTCATCTGGTGTTGGAGGAGTCTGTCCCTGCGCGACAGTTGCGCCATGACATCTTGAGCATGGGGGGTTATTGACGAAGGAGAAGAACGACCTTTTGAACCACCTGATAGATCATTGTCAGAAATGAGAAGGAGGAGGGGCGAGGGGGGACTCCCTACCTTAACAGCGATCGAATGACGCAGTCCTGATAGCCCCATTCTGGCTTAACGTTGTCGCCCTTGGAAGCTGCCATAGCCTTCATCAGGTTGTGTTCTTCCTCGGCTTCGGTGTAGATTCGATCGATCGGGACGTGGGTCAATGCGTCGTCCAGGAGGCCAGGGTTTTCGTATTTGGTGGGCGTCATGGACAAGGTGAGGAGGAGATTTCGGAATTTGAGGGAGGCGGCATCCTGTGGAGGCGATGGAACAATGGGATGACTTCGAAACGACGTGTAGGTAGGCGGCTGTTGCTGAGAGGGGCGCGAGGAGTGCGCAGAAGTCGGAGACTGAGGGCCTGGAGATGTCGACTGTTGCGAGGACGGTCGAGGTTGAGGTGCCAGCCGGGGTGATGCAGAGCGTGGTGTTCTTGCTTGTTCCTCGAGTTCATTCAGCCTTCTCGTCCGCAAGAGCTGCTCGAATTGTTTGGTGAGGTCGCCGGCGTTAAAGTCGAACTCGTCGTCGAGGATGCGCGGCCGCGAGTCGTCCGCCATGGCCGCGTAGGGAAGCAGTCGCAGTCAGGCAAAGGCAAACTCAGACAGACTCGACAGAGAACGGGTGAGACTGAGGCCGATCGATAGGAGAGAATTGTGACAGTGAAGGGGATTGCGGGTGGTGGCAGTGACGGTTGGCGCAGTCTGCGGAGCACAGCCCAAGTCGAGTGCCTCGCCACAGTGCGGCCGCAAATAGAGATGCAAGAGGCAGCCCATTCACGGGAGCATCGTGGACAGGATATTACAGAGTATCTGAAGGAAAGACGGTGGAGGGAGCGGCAGTAGAGTCGTCGATGATGATCAGAGAAGCAGCAACAATGACAAGCAGGAAGGCGTGCGTGTGCGTGGTGCGTGGTGCGTGGTGGAAAAGATGAGGCGACGGCGACAGTAGTGAGGGCCGCAGGTGAGATGCAGTGGGAGTGGGAGTGGGAGCGACTACGTTACGTGGACGCGGATTGCGTGAGCCAGCCAAAGCTGCGATTCAATTATGGGGAAGCGAGCCGGAAGAGGAAGAGCAGCGGGCGCAGGAGAGCGCCCAGGAGATTCGTCGGGGGTGGCTCTAAGCCTGTGTGTGCGAGCCGCAGCCTAATCCTGAGCGTCCTGAGCCTGAGAGCCTGAGAGTGTGGCGGCCGAGCTTGCAGCCATGATTGACTTTGGCTGAGGCTGACGACGACAGCCACCTATAACGGTGAAAAGGGCCCATCAGCTTCTTGTCCTTGTGCCTGTCTGGTCCGCCCGCCGCGCGTCCTCTTGATCGGGCCCCCCTTTGGGGTGTACGCAATCACTGCACACTGCACCATACTAAACTGTCCAAGGCAAGGGCAATCCTGCTCCTGGATCTTTTGAGGCTTCTGGTGCCACCCATCAAGAATGACGACCACTCCGCTCGACGGAGATGGTGATGGTGATGGTGGCTGCTCTTCTGTTGTCGTCGCCGCCAAAAAGTCGACTGTACGAGTATCATGTGCAACTGTCAACGATCAATGATCAACCGTCAACCGAAAGAAGCAGATCTGCAGGGCGACTGCAGGTCTAGTGTCTTCCTCTCCTGGTTCTCGAATTGTCTGCATAGTGCTCCGTATGGAGCATTCTCCTCCTTCCCAACTCATTTGACCAAATACCTCAGGCACGTAGCTACATATTGAGGAACCTTTCGAAACTACCAAACTAGTAACATCGGGTGGTACGTACCACCATTGACATGGAGCCTTGGCGCCCATGCTGGCGGGTTCTCCTAGTACTTCGTACAGCGTACAGACTCGAGCAAGAGGGTCCGCTCTTGGATATTATTATTTCGGCCTTGTTACAATCTCAACTTACAGGATACTCCGTAGTCCGTACAAGCAAGAGCATCTGGATAAGCTTCATGTGCCTAATTAGGCCAAGAGTGCCTCAACCCAGGTGGGAGCTGGCGACACTCTTACCAATATAAAGATTGTATCAGCGCGTTTGGAGACGAAGGACTGCCCGATTCACCATGCAGATCATTATTTTGCACTGGCATACGAACTATCAAACGGAAAACATGCCTGTTGCCTCCTATAGCACGGCTACATTACTTGTCTAGATCGTAATACTGAGTACTGCCGAAGCCATTCTCACCACCTGCATGTAGGTAACTCTGTTTGGATACAGAGTACCTGAACATCACCGGTCTCTGATCTCTCACGTGACATGGTTTCTTAGTCAGCATGCAACGGCAAAGCGCATGTGGTGCGACATGTACTCCGTAGATGGCATGGTACAGCTTGAACGCATTCGTCCTCCGTACCTTTCGAAGAAATCTTTTGTGTTCTGTTAGTCTTCAAAGCCACAAATATGCCTCTCCTCTCCTCTACCCTCCTTCTGCGCACGCATTCTCTCACTCTGCTGGTTGTATCATACTACCTCCTCACCACCCCGGCCCAACTGATCTCCTCGACGCCGGTATGGCTGCTCGGAGAAAGCATGAGCGTGCGCCCTGCTGCTTTTGCCCTCGACGACCCTAACAACGCCACGGCCGATCGTGACTCAAACGCTGGTTTGAAGGGGTTCCAGGCTCCGTCCTTGTTGCAAAGTGCGTCGCGAGTACACAGTGACATACTGGGAGGAGGAGGAGGAGGAGGAGGAGGAGGAGGAGGGGATGGACGAGAGTCCAACCGGGAACTCCTCGCCATCCTGGCACTGGGGTTGCTCGTTTATGCAGTCACGCAATTCCTTTTCGCTGGAGACCTAAGCCTGGTGTCCATCTCCTCCACGTCGTCGTCATCGTCGTCGTCATCATCGTCGAAGAGAGGCGCTTCCGACGCCCGCACATCGTCGCGCCTCGCCGAGGAACTACACACCCTCCTTACGGCCCAGTCAAGTTGGCTGACACTCGCCGGCTTGCATGTACTGGGCTCGTCGGTGCTGGTATTCTGGATCTACGCGGCCCACTCACATCAGGCTACGCAGTCAGAATCGCAAGCGCAGGCGAGCGCAGCTGCGTCTTTTCTCGGCCTTGCTAGGCTTGCCAATCGCGTCACTTTCACGGCCGGCCTGCTAGACATGCTGTTTTGGGGTTATTTGTGGACGGTCCTGAAGGATGAGGGGCGTGAGGTGGCCAAAGCATTGGCCAGAAGGAGGGAAGCGCAGGAGGATGACGATTGAGCATGGTGCCAAAGGTGAGGAGCTTCAAACAGCGGCTACAAATGCTTCTTCAAAACATCAGATCTTCTACAAGAGATTTTACTATATCATGGACCGAATGCCAGACACAAAATTGGAGGCGGCACAACGAATTTGAGGAAAGAGTAGGGCTACCATATGTGTAAAAGACGGAACGGGGCGCAAATATCCCGCCTGGCTTGTTGACTGGACGACTGGTTTGAACTATTACACCAGTCTACCTGAAATCAGAGCTGTGCCTTCGGCATTGAGGATCGCAATTTTGGAGTACGTTGTTACAAGATGAATGTCTGGACACATCCAGACCTTATACAAATGCCAGTCAAACCTTTCCACCCTTCGCTAGCTTGGCTGGTCGGTGTAGAACGATTTGCTCCCCTGGCTCCCCTGGCTTTCATTTGATTCCCTTGCTTCCCTTGCTCGAGCTCTTGCCGTTCTAGAGGAAGGCGGCCAAGCCCAAGAACGCAGCACCAACAGCACTAAGGCCGGCACCCTGAACGCTCAGGCGTCCTCCAGCAAGAGCACTGGATGATGAACCGGTAGCGCTGGCGGTGGCAGCAGACGCCGTTGCACCGGCGGGCGCGGAGGAGGCGGACGCAGAGGCTGATCCCGCCGCACCTGTTGCACTACTAGCAGAGCCGCCGCTGGTAGTTTTCACCGTGGAACCGCCGGTCGCGCTAGCACTGCCGGAGGTGCTAGGGCAGCCTGCTGAGGAGGGCTAGATAGAATAGACAGTAGGTTAACGGGCAGTGCTTGGGTGGTGATTTTGGACGAGGAGGAATAGGGCAAGGTGACGTGATGTATTGTATGCGCAGGTCGGCGAGCGGGCAGATGGGGAGGGTTTCTCCCCATCCTCCAGTTTTGTGGCACAGCTTTCTCCACAATCTCTCCCCCGCAAAAAGGAATCGTGAGGCAAGGAAGGTAACGCAATCAGCTATGGACGGATACGGTGTAATTGTAATTCAGGTATATGAAGACCTCAAATGTACGTACCAGGAGCGACGAGGCACCGACAGGATCGCAGATACCGTGGGCGTAAGCAAGAGCGGACTGCTGATCATTTGCATCGCAGGCTTTGAAGACGCAGCAGCTGATGCCGCTGAGGAAGGAGTCGGCGGTGCAGATGCCTGGGGATTCCATTAACATTGTCATTTCAGCAAATCAGTCTCTGCAAGGTAGATTGGCGAATCAAAGCAAATGAGATCGATCCAGCGGTTTTTTTCTCGATCGCGTTTCCCCCCTTTTGTGTGTAACACCAGCATCGGCATCTTGTGGAGGAGGGAGACTAACATGATGGAGCAAGGTTGCAAGACGCCGGCAGCGAGTCGCTCACACAGGCGGTAGCACCTGTACAAGACAAGCAGATTAGCGAGGCACTTCAAGTTTGGCCATCAGACCATTGTAGCAAGTATGGCACATCACATACAATCTGGGACTCCGGCGAGTGACTGTGTAGAGGCGATGCCTGCAAGGACGTTGACAACGGCCAGGATGCGGAGATGCATTGTTTTCTTCTTTTTCTTTTCCTTTCTCTTTTTCTGCGTGGTCCTGAGATGTGACAGGGCAGGCCAGGCCAGGGCAGGCGAGGGCGATGTGATTCAGGCAGTTAATAAGGAAGGCACGAGAGAAGAAGACGACCGAGACTGAGACTGCGGACCAGAGCAGACCTCCAGAGATATACCTGTCACCCGTAAAGCTTCTTCCTCATGTTGTGTAGCTAGCTAGCTAGCTATCTACGTACACGGTGCTCCGTATCGTACCCCGGGCATCAGATCAGCCTGTCGGCAACGATGCGGTCGCAGGGATACCACCCCCGCGCCAAGTTTGGCCAGCATTCCGGCCGCTCGCTGGCGCAGCTGAAACGATGCACCCCAGCCCTTTTCCTTGCTGGGCATCAGAACAGACAGATCCTCCGAGCTGCGCCAGGATTCCCCGGCTTTCTTGTCTCAAAGGAATCTCAGATGAAACATTGGAAACACAAGGCTCGGCGCGCGGTGGGACCAAACTTGTAAGACGGAGGCAAGCTCTTCAACTCATCACCATTACGCTATCGACATCGTTAGAACATGGCCTGTTACTCCGTACCTTTCATCCATCCACATCGTCATAGTAGAAAACTTGCACGTCGTTACAAGACCGACCACAGTACCGTCCCGGTCATGACACGGCCAGGGCCAGGATACCGCGCTCTTGTTGCTGTGCCTGCATTACTGCACCCCAACAGCCCCTGAGCCGGGAGCCGTGAGAGAGCCTGAGCCCCTTCAGACGATGTTGATCGTATATGTGAAGTCGCTGGCAAACCAATACCCGTTTGTATGGTCCAGCCGCTCCTCGTAGTTGTTCATGTCGGCGTCTCCTTTCATCACACTTCGGAACCGATCCCAGTTGACCTGGTCGTACCTTGAGACATCAAACGCGCCGATCCGTCGGAACTCGCCCTTCTTCATGGTTGCACAAAGCAGCAGCCCTTCCACTCGGTCCACCACGTCGATTACGGGCAGTAGATAAACCTCCAGCATCTCGGTCAACATTCCCGACGCCTCGGAAAGCTTGGGCAGCCGGTCGTCGAAGGATGCCGATTCAAGCTCGACCTGCGCCTTGGTACACTGGATCACGCAAGGCGTCCGACCCCAGTAGTCGTGCGTTCTTCGCAAAAGACCCCGAGCCATGAATCCTCGAACCTTCATGCGGCCAGACTCCACCATTCCGAAGTTGTTGGGTTTGTACTTCATATCCGACTCAATTACCTCTACACAGGTTTCCCGTGCTGATTGCGCCGGTTCGGGGTATGTGACTTCGCCGTCGATCGACGCCCACGTCCAGGTCGGCGCTCGGTACTTGGTCGGCCTGCGGCCCTGTTCGACGCGCCACAATAACGCATGCGGCAGCTGAGGCTTCCACAAGCCCACGAGATAGTCGTGGTCGTGTAATCGATTTCGTGCCATGTATTGCTTCGCCAGACCGGCAATTGCAAGCAGCTTGTCGGAACTAAAGGTGAGTCGCTTAGTGCTGTACATCTTGACCAGACCATGCCAGTTGCCGTGCCGCTGATGGTGCATGCGTTTGCTGAAAAATTCCCTCGACTCTTGCGTTGAAGGAGGACCCATGGTAGCAGGTAGTCCTTTGGGGAACACTTCGGAACAACACATCTGTTGACATTCCCACATCAATTCATTGCGCGTGAAATGCAGGGTCCGCTTGGCCAGACATCGTTCCTGGAACGCCCAGGCTCGTTTATTGAGAGGAGAGGAGTCGACCAAATCATGCCAGAGGGTGGATCGGAGGATTTTGTACATGCCGTCGTCGATTCCCAGACCGCTGACTTCCACGATACAGGGTTGCAGCGCGGCCACGTTGCGCGAATAAATCAGGCCGCCGGCATCTTCTCTCGATGAAGTGGCGGCGATGTTGAGCGCGGCTTCGGAGTAGATACGGTTCATTTGAGCCATCTCCCGCAGGACCGCCTGCTCGTTGTCATGCATGATGCAAAGAGCGTCAATCCAAAGGTAGCGGAATCCCAGTCGCTCTGCCGTGATCGCAGCCTCCGCCAGTGTCTTCGGGAGACTTGCCACGCCCACCCCCTGCCGCAGTGCCTTGAGGGTGCCTTTGTGCAACTGAACGGTCTTGGACCTACCCCAGCAGTGACTGAGCGTTACATATTCGCTCAAGGGATCAACAAACATGCCGTCCACGAGTTTCAATCCGGGAGCGCCCTTCGGGCCCCGAACGGTGACGTCCAGTAGGTGCGTTGGCTTCCATGTCACAGTGTTATCCGCGACAGTACACTTCATGTGGTTGAAGGTACAATCCTGGATCCACTGTTTCGCAAGATCAAAACTTTCCTTGGACGCCGTGGTGACCGATCTGGGATCAATGGTTCTGACGCCTGGCTCAACGGCGTCTGGGAACCGAGTCAGCAGGGGATAGGGAATAGGGAATCCAGATAGGTGTCAGGGTTGTGGCCAACGTACATTTGGGATGCATCAAAATCAACTCCACCACCAGACTTGACTCGGTATCCAGCGAACCCGAACCGAGACTTGTCTTGGAGCTATTCGTGCTTGGAGTCGCTCTGTCGGGCGCCATGGGTTTCTCGTATCGAAATTTCAGCCGTGCCTGATCACGTGCGATGGGGGAGATCCATGCGAAGCCCACCGAGTCGCCCGGCGACCGGCGACGAAAGCTCTTGTATGCGTCGGGGTCGATGGACATGAAGACGGTCAGGCAGAGGTGGCATTTGCCCGCGCGGACGGCCAGAGCCTCGAGACCATGGTGCGCGATCTCGCCCGAATCACTCCTGGGCGTGGCAGGTTGGAAGATGGACTGGCACGCGACGCACAAGCTACTCGCAGTTAAGTCAGTCATAATGTCGAGGTCGCCGCTGCCTCCCACTCATGTCTAGAGAGGTGTCTTGAACGATCCTGATAATTCATGTTGACAAAAGACAAAGGCACTTGGGCCTCGCGCTTGACGTTTGGCCTGATCAACAGACGGGTTCTCCTGAGTCCTGAGGTCTGCTAAGCCCAAGATCACCGGCGACCAAGACCGCCAGATCTAATTTCCGAGTGCGGGCAAAGCGGACGCCACACGAACCAAGCGTTTCAAGAACCAACAATTCTTGCAGTTGATACGCGCCTTGGGATTGCATCACATCACTGCTGGAGCCGCTGCGCTCATGCATCCTTTTCTCGCGCTGTGGCTGTCTGGGACTTGGGGGCCATGTCACCAGTCCGCCTCCTGTCACGGATCCTTCAGCGCCTGCGCACTGCTGTCTCGGCCCGAAAGATGATCGAGATTGGTCTTGGCCAATCGATTGTGCCTTGATACAAACAACAGTCTTCCATCGACCTTTTAAATATATCCGTACTATGATGTGACTGTCTACCTCAGTTTTGTCATGCTCAGAATGTCGTGCCGATGGAAGAATTCCCGGCTCTTTTTGCCGTACACATACATCGGAATGCTCAACAAGCAGATGGCGATTTCGATGCTACCGAATATGATGAATAAATGCTGGATCCGGATCGCAAATACCCAGTTGTAGGCATTGTAGGCCAAGATGAACGAGAAGATATTCTTGAAAATCAACAGGTTGGTAAAGGCTTCGACGGCGATGTCACGATGGGCATCTAGAAGGTATTGCGCTGAAGCGATGGCGCCCATGACCATGCTGACGATGATAAAGGCAAGAAAAACGTCGGGAACAATCCAACCATAGCGTGCAACATCTTGAGCGGTGATCCCGAACCCATAGAGGCCAATGGCTGAAAAGACCAATGTTGGCAGCACGAGCAGGATGCGGAACTCCGGTTCGTACTTTCCCTTGTTCAGGCGGAGCATAAACTTGGTCATCACTTCGCTGAACAGGCCAGCCAGGACAAGTCCGAGGATGCTGCCGATGAATGCGCTGGTGTACATTTTGCCGGCCTTCTCCTCGTTGAAAAAGAGTGGCGGACCCAAGAAGATGAGGGAGAGTATGACCCCGACCATGACCGTCCAGCCAATAATCACGCCTTGGATCAAACATGCCCACGCGACTGCGGGATGGAGAAACAGTGGAAATGGCCGCAGGAGCAGTTTGAAGAAATCCTCGTCCGTTTTGCGTCCATTGAACGGCATTAACCTCCTTGTCCAGGACACCTTTGACGGAGGCGTATTCCACACACTCATCGAAGGTAGCGACTTCTCGTCCAATTCCCGGGTGCCTGGGGTCTGATGTTGTGGCAACGACTCCTCTGCCGAGTCTTGTGCAAGGATATCGAGATCAAGAGAGTGTGCACGCCGGTAGGCGGTCTCAGGCACAAAAAAGAAGAGCAACAGGAAGCCCAGCGCCATAGATATGGCCAGGATATAGAACTATGAAGGTACATTAGCATGCGTCCATCAAGCTTACTATCCCACGGATATGGGGTGGACTTCGAGCTTGCTGTTGCTCTGCCTTGGCTTTGGAGACGGAACAAAATCTCAAGAGATGAAGAGAAAGCAACACTCACACTCCACTGCCACCCGATATGTGCTGCAATCATGCCCACGAATACTGGGGTAAGAAACGCCCCCCCGAATAGACAGGTGTTCGTGACCACCATTCTCGGCCCACGCTCATGCACGAAGTACAGATCGCCCACACAAGCATTCAGAAGTGTCTCAAAAGGCGCCAGGGCTACCCCTTGAAATACTCGACTCCAGAGAATACTGGTGTAATTATGTTTCATGTGCGTCGAGCCGCCCCATGCAGAGCTCGCCACCATCAGAAGGGCTCCTAAAAGGAAGAGATGTCTTTTGCCCCAAACTCTTGCGGAGGCCACAAACAGCCATCCTGCGACACCAACGCCGCACAGGTGGTAGGCGGTTAGGAGAGCAGCATCCTGAAAAGTATGCTTGAAAAGTATAGCAAGAGTGACTGAATCAGCCGCAAGAAGAGGAGAGGCAGTAGTCGCAAGACACGACACGAAACAGAGGATACCGAGGATGAGGTCGCGCTGCCAGAGAGGCCAGTTCTAGGCTGATCAGCTTCAGTTCTGGGGAAGGTCTTCGTGATAATCTCACCAAGGGATCGTTTGGATCGTCTGATGGTTGAGGCACCAGAATTATACGCCCTGCTTTATCTTTCTTCAGGTTCTGAGCAGTCTCAAGCAGTTCAGCCTGTCGTCGATCGACATCATAGACATATACGGTACCGGGGACGTGTTCGACGGTTGGTTCGAGGATACCGAGAGCCATTGCTGGGGCCAGTCGCTGCGGCTAGCAACCGAGAGAACAGATGGGCTCCTTCCTAGAGGGAATTCATGGAACTCATGGCATGGCGGATAGATCTCCTAGCTGTCCCCGTACTTTTGGATAAGATGAAGAGTAGATGGAACTAGGAACCAGCCACGGTACGGAGGATGAATGTATATACTCCGTACTCTGTATATACTAGAGCGGGCACTGGGGTTTGTTCCGGACCCGACCCTGGATCTCCACGTCAACTCCCTGCCGGCTTAGGGTGGGTGCCAGAATTAAAGGCGGTTTGTATAACTGCTACTTCGATAGGATTAGGGAAACCTCTAGCTCTACCGGATGATTATCTTTCTAAGATACTAGATATACTCTACGGCCTCCCTAGAGTAATTCTCCTATTTCTAGTATTGAAATTCTATATCTAGAGACAGCAGCTATCTACTGAGCCCGCTGTATAATCCGCCATGTATTTTGGCACCCAGCCTTAGGCCTTCTACCAGAGTGACGTTGCGATTGAATCATAAGATTCTGGAGATTGCTAGAGCGTAATTGATAAGATCAAGAAATTGTTGGACAAAGACAGCTCTTCTTGTCCACTGAAGCTCGCCGCCTTGTACTGTTCAATGTTTGAACGATGTAGGATGTTGACGTACAGTATTCGCAACAGGGGATGTACTGTAGAAGCACTAGAACTCTGATCCTCTCTACAATTAATAACCCTTTTTTGAATGTACCCTTTAGAATTGCCCGTCCTTCCACCCTCTCTGAATTAACCAGATTCTTTCTTCCCCTGGGTCGTGCCGCCGTATGCCTTAGGATGTGTCGCGGTGGCACCTGCATTCTCATATGCATTCTCGATAGTTTGAACATCTGTGTCTTGAAAGCACTGGTGGGAGTTCCGGCCTGCTGTGCCAAACTCTTAGGCCAGGCCACGTACAGCGATCCAGGCGCCAGGCCACCAATGCTCAATCTGCGACCCAATAGCCTAGAGACTGCAAAGCGCCATGGGACTGTGTCTTGGTTGGCCTGGATCTCGCCCAGGATCACCCGTGCCTCTAGCAGACAGGGCGGTTCATCAACTGGCAGAGGGTCAGGAGATGAGGAGTTTTTGATACATGCTGACTCTCCACGGCGTTGGTTGGAGGAAGAGAATGTTGTTGTCTTGAACGGAGCTGTAAACGCTTGTAACTCAAGGTCGAGTCTACATTAATGGTCCACAGGCAACTCTTTGTCTGGGAGCAGAAATGATATCACGACTTTCCTCCTAAGGTACCCTGCAAGGTGCTAACACCATACTACTAACTTGAACGTTGGTGAGTAGGTAGCTGTTACCGTAGTAATATTAGTATCAGTGGTAGACGTCGAAACCAGAGCCCTTCTATGGCATCACGTGGAAAGGAAGGGATGGGCTGTGGCCGACTGCGAATCTGGCTCACGCGTTACCTGGAGGAGGCTGTATTCAACAAGAGTCCAGACAACAAAGTGTGATTGTGGACCTTTCGCACGCTTGCTAACTCCACTCATCAGTCCACCAAAGCTAAGCTATGTGGTATCGTAGGAGACTAAAAGGGGAAAACCAGTGTTGCTCTGAATAGCATTGGACATAGAGGGGATCTTGGGGAATGTGCCCTGCCTGATCTCTTCGCAGGGTCGGTTCTCTCTCTGCCTTTATCTCACCCTTGAACAAATCACTCCACCCACGCCTGCCCGGTGCATTACCTAGAATCCGTGCTCACAAGACGAGCGGTGCAAAAGGCTGCCATTTGAGAAACAATCCTGCCACAAAACACAGTCGTAAGCAAGAGTCGCCCAAGGGCGGAAGAGTGCACGGCTGCCCATCGGCCATGAATCTTTCTAGGAAGCAGGAGCGGCCTCCGTCTTGTCCGCTGGTTCGGCCGGTGCAGAAGTCTCGGCAGGTTTCTCTTCCTTGGAAGCTTCGCCAGCAGGCCCGGCCTCGGCTTCACCGCCATCAGACGACGTCCACAATGTCAAGTTGTCTCGGAGCAACTGCATGATGAGAGTGCTGTCACGGTAAGACTCCTCGGAAAGCGAGTCGAGCTCGGCGATTGCATCATCGAAGGCTTGCTTGGCAAGATGGCAGGCGCGGTCGGGAGAGTTGAGGATCTCATAGTAGAAGACGCTGAAATTGAGTGCGAGACCGAGACGGATGGGGTGTGTTGGAGTCAATTCCGTCTGTGCAACATCGGTGGCAGTCTAACGTGGGGGTCAGTTTTGATTCTTGGATTTGCGCATAAGGCAGCTGGCATACCTTGTAAGCCTCATGGGCAGCGGTGGCAGCAACCTTGCGCTTCTCTCCAGAGGCGAATTCGGCGAGGTAACGATGATAGTCTCCCTTCCTGTCGACTGTGTCAGGCTTGATCGTACGCAAAGAGTTATGCACACCTACATCTTGTGGTAGAAGACCTTGGACTCTCCCGACTCGGCCTTTGGGATAAGGGCTTGGTCCAGGACATCAAGGACATCTTGACAGACTTTCTCAAGTTCGGTCTCGATCTTCTGGCGGTATTCACGGATGATAGCAACATGTTTCTCGGAGCCCTTGGATTCCTCCTTCTGCTCGATCGAAGAGATGATGCGCCAGGAAGCACGTCGGGTGCCAACGACGTTCTTGTATGCAACGGAGAGGAGGTTTCGCTCGTCAACGGATAGCTCTCCACCCAACTAGAAAGAATAGATTAGATCAATGGACCGTGCCGTTTGATTCGGGAAAGGGTTTGACGTACGTTGGCTACATCTTTCATGTAGTTGACCATCTCATCGTAGCGTTCGGCCTGCTCGCAGAGCCTCGCAAGGAAAGTTTTGCTGGGATATCGTCAGAGGATAGACTAGGAGACAACTCGGAAGCCCAGGAGTACCTTTCGCGCTAGAATTCGCATGGACGTCAGCATGGTGTCTTATCACGGAAGAGATTGGGGGTTTGGTGAGGTCGGACAGGCACGAGCTGAGCCCAGACCTCTAGGCGGGGATGAGAAGACTCACATCAGTAGCACTAGCCATTGTGTCGACTGCTGAAGGATTTCACAAAAGGGAGAGTGTAGACGAGTGTGAATTCGAGTAGAGTGGAAGGTTGGACGACAGTAGATGGAAATTGAAGGAGGAATCGAAAGACTGATGATGGGAACAGCGCAGTGTTTGAGTGTGCTTGTGGTGATGGGATTAGGATGGGGGTCGCGCAGGCTTAGGAAGAGCAAGTGCTTAAAGCGCCCAGCACCAACAGGCTAGGCCGTCTTTGGATTACGAGTGATACACAGGCGCCTCACATCACGAATTCACTCGATCTGCGTTAACCTTCCACTGCGTTGCGGTACGTGTCCCTGCTACCTACCACCTTATTACCGTGTCTACTTTCACCGTGACAACCAAGCCACAATTCGTAACCTGACTCGTCCACGCCATCCAAGCCAGGCTGCCTCCTGCTGTTTATCGTCCAGCGAATGGCATTCGCCAACTGGCATCCCACTACTGTTACAGACTTTCAGATTTGACCGTTGGCTAGTCGCTGCTGACCGATGATTAAAAGCGTGGCCTGGTCCCCGTGTACTCCGTACTTCCACGTCAATCAAACTACAGAGCACTATGTACGGAGTACAGCTCGCTATACTTGTCCTTTCTCATCCATGCCATTATCGTTGACTCTGTACTGTCTGTTACATGCCTCGGTCGTGACAAAAGGGTCCAGAGGGATACATGGAGGGCAAAGATTATATGAGACATTCTATGTTTTCCCTACACAACCTGCCGGTCCTGCAGAAGTGTGTACTCTCCTTTGGTGGCCAGATCGGCAGTACGTAATATCGGACTCTTCTGTAAACATCCACGAATTCAGGAGATGCCTTTCATCCCTAAAGCCACACGATACTCCGTAGAATATACGGAGTACGCAGTACTCACTACTACTAGTGGGACAGGATGTACATCGTAGACTGGGCTTTGGCGCCTTGCACTTCCGCCTCGAGGGATTCTTCATCCTCTCCTTGGCTGCGCCCGCTACTAGGCGTCTGGAATTTTCGACAGCCGCAGATACCACCGTGTTCAATTCTCCACGTGGGGCGAATCTCCAGCAGTCACTCTTTTGACGTAGATCTTGGATTACAGACAGGATAGAAAGATAAAATCTCTCAGCCTTACTAAGTGCATGGATTCCCACAGACGGTCCCCAGTCCTCCCAGTTCGATCCCACGATCATTCAATCTGCTCCCTTGAGTTTCCCTAGGCCAGTTTGTCATGGATCAGGCCTATGTCCGGTCGACCTCAGAGGTGTTGCAGTACTTCCATGTCAGTGAAGCAGCCGGCTTATCGTCTGCGCAAGTTGCGGAAGCAAGGAAGCGACATGGAAGCAATTGTAAGCCCAAAGCCTAGAGCCCGACGTTCTGTGTTGACCTTGTTACAGCGCTCCCTGAAGACCCTCCGACGCCACTCTGGCAACTCGTTCTGGAACAGTTCAAAGACCAGTTGGTTCTGATATTACTTGGTTCAGCCGCGATCTCTTTTGTACTGGCCTTGTTTGAAGAGTCTGATGACTGGACGGCCTTTGTGGATCCAGTAGTGGTATGTTGGAAATCCCTACACGATGTGGTCGAGTCTAACTCTTGACTAGATCCTGACAATCCTCATTCTGAACTCAATCGTCGGTGTCACACAAGAAAGCAGTGCGGAAAAGGCAATTGCGGCCCTGCAAGAATACTCTGCAAATGAAGCAAAGGTCATTCGAGATGGGACAGTCCAAAAGATCAAGGCGGAAGAGCTGGTTCCCGGGGATATAATCACAGTTTCTGTTGGAGACCGTATCCCGGCTGACTGTCGGTTGCTCTCCATACAGAGCAACAGTTTCAAAGTTGATCAAGCCATTTTGACTGGCGAGAGCGAAAGCGTGAGCAAGGACTGTGCAACTGTTGGAGACCTGCAAGCTGTGAAACAAGATCAGGTCAATATGCTTTTCTCCGGGACCACTGTGGTCACTGGGCATGCTGTCGCCATTGTTGTTCTGACCGGCAGCTCTACTGCGATTGGCGATATTCACGAAAGCATTACATCCCAAATCTCGGACCCTACACCACTCAAGGAAAAACTAAACGATTTTGGGGACAGCCTCGCCAAAGTCATCACTGTTATCTGCATCCTGGTCTGGCTCATCAACATTCAGCATTTCAACGACCCGTCACACGGCGGCAGTTGGGCGAAAGGTGCTATATATTACTTGAAGATAGCAGTGTCATTGGGCGTTGCAGCCATCCCGGAAGGTCTCGCCGTTGTCATTACGACCTGTCTTGCATTGGGGACAAGAAGAATGGCAGCCAAGAATGCCATAGTCAGGAGCCTGCCATCAGTTGAGACGTTGGGAAGTTGTAGCGTCATCTGCTCCGACAAGACTGGTACTCTAACCACAAACCAGATGAGCGTGGAGAAGATTGTGTATCTAAACGAATCTGGCACTGATCTGGAGGAAATCGAGGTCGAAGGAACCACTTTTGCGCCCTTTGGACACCTTTTTTATAAAGGCAAGAAACTCGAGAATCCTGCTGTTACCTCCAACACGATCAAGCAGATGACGGAAGTGCTTGCTCTATGCAACGAGTCGCGTTTGTCATATGATGCTAAAACCAACACCTTCTCAAGCATTGGGGAGCCTACTGAGGGGGCTCTTCGAGTCCTTGTAGAGAAGATTGGCACAGACGATATCTCGACGAACAACACTTTGAACGGCCTGTCGAGAGCGGAACGAGTGCATTCCGCCAGCAAATACTACGAGGAGAAATTCCCATTGCAAGCTATGTACGAGTTCTCAAGAGATCGCAAGAGCATGTCGGTGCTAGCCGGAACCGGCGACAAACAGACGCTGCTCGTCAAGGGTGCTCCTGAGTCGATTGTTGAAAGATGTTCTCACATCGTGCTTGGCCCGAACGGAAAGAAGGTTCCTATAAGCAAGAAACATCTCGGTCTCCTTGGGGAAGAGGTAGTCGGTTATGGTCGAAAGGGACTCCGAGTTCTGGCCCTGGCCCGTGTGGAAAACATCAACGGCAACAAACTGCTGCAAACGGCAGAGACCACGAAAGAGTACGCCCAGCTGGAGCAGGGCATGACTCTAATTGGTCTTGTTGGTATGCTCGACCCCCCTCGTCCGGAAGTCGCAGCCTCCATCAGGAAGTGTCAAGACGCAGGGATCAGAGTGATTGTCATCACTGGGGACAACCAAAACACTGCAGAGACCATTTGCAAACAAATTGGGGTCTTCGGCCCTGACGAAGACCTCTCTGGAAAGAGCTATACTGGGAGACAATTCGATTTGCTGAGTGAAAGCGAGAAGCTACAAGCCGTAAAGACAGCGTCTCTATTTTCCCGGGTCGAGCCTACCCACAAATCCAAACTGGTGGATCTGTTGCAAGCAGCCGGTGAAGTGGTAGCTATGACGGGCGACGGCGTCAATGATGCTCCCGCACTGAAGAAGGCTGATATAGGGGTTGCTATGGGCTCTGGGACCGACGTTGCCAAACTGGCGGCCGACATGGTTCTTGCCGATGACAACTTCGCTACCATTGAAGTGGCCATCGAAGAAGGCCGCACAATCTACAGCAACACCCAGCAGTTCATTCGCTACCTCATCTCATCCAACATCGGAGAGGTCGTCTCCATTTTCCTGACTGCCGCCCTCGGTCTACCTGAAGCTCTGATCCCCGTCCAACTGCTGTGGGTGAATCTGGTCACCGACGGTCTCCCAGCTACTGCGCTTTCATTCAACCCGGCGGACCATGAGGTTATGCGACGCACGCCCCGAAAGCGTGACGAACCTCTGGTCAGCGGCTGGCTGTTCTTCCGATACATGGTCATCGGCACGTATGTTGGCGCGGCCACGGTTTTCGGCTATGTTTGGTGGTACATGTTTTACGAGTCCGGCCCCCAGATCTCATTCAACCAGCTGCGCAGCTTCCACAAATGCTCAATTGTGAACCCACTCTATGCCAACGTGGACTGCTCGATCTTCTCGCCCAACGCGGTTTACACACGGACGGCGTCGACCATCTCGCTCTCGATCCTGGTTGTGATTGAAATGCTGAACGCGATGAACGCCTTATCTTCCTCGGAATCGCTCGTGACCATGCCGCTCTGGAAGAACATGAAGCTGATCTACGCCATCTGCCTGTCCATGGCACTGCATTTCGCCATTCTGTACACTCCATTCCTCCAGGCGCTCTTCTCCATCGAACCACTCAACTCAACCGAGTGGCTGGCCGTCATCTACATTTCGGCGCCTGTCATCCTGATCGATGAGGTGCTCAAGTTTGTGGAGAGGCTGATGTTCCTGACTACCACCAGGGCCCCTGCCGGAGCGGTCCAAGCAAAGCGGGAAGGTAATGGACACATTGCCAATGGGAAAGCCAAGGCGAGTTGATTGACAGCCAATACAGTCGGGTTAAACTGGGTTGGGATAGATAGCTGCCGACATTAGAACTATAGAAGACCGGCCTACTAGATAGTCGAGCCAGAAAGAAAAAGACTGAAACCTCGGGGATGTGTCGCTATCTTGTCCGATCTGATCTTTTGTTTTCAATCATGCTGACACCTCTCCCGATGTTGAAAGAGTGTAGGTGCCTGCCAGATGTAGGGATGAAACATGGACCCTACAAGTGCGGTCTGCGTTGTCAGGCTCTACCATTGAACTTGAATTCGATGAGATACCATTCATTGATCAGGGCCTGTCAAATCTACACGCTCAAGCATGCCGCATCATGCATCACCATCCACCGTCTCGCTAAAACGCGCCATATGCATAGTATACCACCCGCGTTACCTCACCCGGCATGCTGTGCCATCCTTTTTCCTGGAAGAGAAGAACAAGTATCATAATTGCACACCCCAAAACCCCTTCCCACCACAAATGCCTAGGGTGCCCATGGTTGGCGCCCAGCTTAAATTGCTTACTTCATACGCGCAGTCCCAAACGGCAGACGGCCCTCTCTCCTGAGTCGAACCAAGGCCGGCCGCGCCTCCTCCAGCTGCGGGAGGATTGCCGGTCGAGCCCATGAGATCCCAGAGCAACACACAACAGTCATCGGCGCCGGACGCTAGCACACCACGCTGCGTGTGACTCCAATCGATGCAGTTGACTGGCGCAGCGTGTCCTTTGAGTTCGAGGAGAGCCTGCCCTGGTTGCCGTACGTCGAGTACGCGGATGATGTGAGAGTCCTGAGAAAAGGTCGCGAGGAGGTGCGCATCGTGCGGCGAGGCAGAGATGCGGAGCAGTGGAGGAGGGAAAGCAAGGGGTTGCACACCAGCGCCCGAAGTGCGCGTAGGTGAGGTGGATAGAGGATCCGAGAGTTGTGCTAGTTCATGTTGGTTAGATAAAGGAAACGGTGGTTTAACCTGCAAGGGGCTTACAATTCTTGTCCTGTTGCTTGTCTGACGGTTCATAAATGATCGTGCTATGCTCGAGACTCCTCAGGTCGAACATTCTAACACTCCCATCGGCACCACACGAAACGAAGACGTCAACACTATTGGCGCAAAATCGAACATCGTACACTTCTTTATCGTGCGCAATGAGTTGCGTCTTAGCCGTCAAGGTAGGAATGTCCCAGATCGTGCACGTCGTGTCGATAGAAGAGGTGATAATCAGTGAGGGCTGGACGACGTTCCAATCCAACGACGTGATCGGGGCTGTATGTTCTGGCGACTTCGAGTTTGACAACAGAGCCAGCGGGGCCAGCTTGGCCAAAGGAGGGGATTTTGCGTTTGCCGGGCGAGTGATGGAGTTTGATGCATATGAAAGTTGTTCATTTGGCAGCGACCATAAGCGTAGGTGGTCGCCGGAAGTTGCCAATAAGTCCGTCGTCTGTTTATTCGATGAGGGCGGCTCCCATAGTATCCTCGTCACAGGATATGCGTGTGTAGCTTCTGCTGTCTTGACAAACTCCAACCCTAGCTCTCCATGGGGGTAGTCCGGGTCTATTTGTGACCTCTGGGTGTCTAATATTTGAATCTGCTCAATCTTGTCAGCCACTCTGTTTTCCTATCTTGAAGGCGAAAGTTGCTCACATGGTTGTGATTGTCTTCCAGATAACTGCCAATCGCGACTTTTCCAGCGGAACCATTGTTAGACCGCTGAGGCCATTTGCACCAATCCACTGCGTATATAGGCCAAGGTGCAGTGTAATTGCTGTTCTGCGGGTATTGTCTAACGTCGTCCTCCTGCACCACATTGGGGCTCATAGGGAGCTCGGGCAACCCTGGGTCCGTTCGAGACCTGATATCTGCCAGGCCCAAGGGCGAGTAGGACGAGGGCCCTAAAGGAGTGTGCGGTATATAAGCGTTGGACGCAGAGGAGTATTTGGGTTGTTCGGGGGTATTCGAGAAGGGTTTGTATTTTGGTTGGTCCATTGCGCCGGGACTTGATCTTGAATAGCTGTGTGTGTGACTGAGCATTGGTCTTGCAGACAGCGGAGTCTGTTGCATCTGGGTCGAAATCTGAGGCAGGGTAGGAAGTGTCGGCGCAGTGTTGCTAGCGCCGAGAGTAGGAGGTCTGGCCGAGAGACCAGGTTGCAATGTCCCAGGGATGGGATTGCTGGCGACGCTGTTGGGATGCTGAGGTGTCGAGGGGTCGATTTTGATGGAGAGGCCTTCACCACCGTAGGCCGGCGGTGCGCCATAGTGATGGACGTCGCTCATGGCGGTTCCTTGCTGGTTATGTTGGCTCAGAGACCGTGCCAGGCCAGCTTGATGTTGATATTGGCCAGGCTGTGAGTCCACAGGCCCAGACGGCTGCCCCCCAGGATACGCACTACTCGGGCCAGGACGATAGGGAATCACGGTGCCATTGCCATTGCCATTGCCGTTGGTGTCAGGTCGGGGTCGATAGGATCTATTTTCGGTAGCCGTTGTGAGCGAGTGGTTCTGACCCGGTTCGTTCCACTGAGTGTTTGGCGCGCCAACAGAGCTCAGGGTTTGGCCAGCGGAGTAGATGGCATTGGCGGCACTATAGTAGTTGTCGTGGCCGTGGCCGTTGTGAGGGTCGGAGAGGTGGTGCTGGTGCCGAGGAATGTGAAAGGGCATAGTACTAAGGAGTCAAGCAGAGAAACAAGCCCTCCGGAGGGTTCTGTTCTATTATTTATTATTTGTCGCCAGCCTAGCAGTTAGTTTGCGACGGTAATGCCGTGAGTGGGCGGTTCGTTGTTGACGGCTGCGCTGCGCTGCTCTGCGCTGACATCTGGACTGCGGACTCAGGCTGCGGACTGCGGACTACACCTGCCGAGGAGCCAACCAGCCCGCAGCAGTCCCTCTCCTCCGAGGCCAATGTTTGTATTCGCTCCATGCTCAAGTTTGGGCCGTGGTGGTACAGGATTGAGTATTAAGTGACTCGACCGCCTCTAGGGAGGATCGTCAGAGAATCACGGAGCATCGTCGACCAACGTCGGCAGCAAAGAATCAAGAAAGCGCCTGAGCCTGCCTTACCAGAGAGCTGCGAAGTTCTTCAAGCATCCACCACCGGCACTGGCAGTTGCATCACTGACTGGCCAGACACGAGACACGACTGCTCTTTAAACATTCGCACTGCCATTGCTGAGACGGACTCACTCCCGTAACGTTCCCGAAGATGGCTCCCGTCCACCAGGAAACAATCTCCCTCCTTCTTCTTCCCGCCCTTGCGCTTCCGTCAACTACAGCCTCGTTGATATCAGCATACAAAAGGACACTTGAAACTCTCCTCCCCCGACTCGCCCAGCCGAAATCCCAAGCCATTGCACGACTCGACATTGCCATTGTCCTGTCTCCATCATACCCAGTATCGCCCAACATCCCTCGTTCCGCCGTCTTCCCTTCGGTCCAGCGGCTATTGTCAGAAACGTATAGTTTGATCTGTGCAGTGGCAGCGGATAACAAAGTCGAATTGGATTTCCCCGGCGGCCTGGATGTGCGGATATTCCTGCTGGAGAGTCGAGTCGACCAGTTGCCTCGTGGGGTCAGGGGCAAGCAAGCCCTATCTGGCCCCATTGTTGATATCCAGACTTTTGGGTTGGCCGCCCGCCCATACACGACGATATACTCAGTCGAGGGCGAGACTGGCGAACAAAATCTCAGGTCCCTCATTACGGCGTGGCAATCCGAGAAGAACAGAAGTGCTCCGCCTGTGCACCGGCTGCCCAGCGGTCCTGCTATCATCCAGCCTAGCAGCTCCCAGACTTCCGTCCACGAAGACGGCCCGGTGACGACGCATCAGTCTGTCGCTGTGGGCGGAACTTTCGACCATCTCCATATTGGACACAAGCTTCTCTTGACCGCCACAGTCCTCGCTGCTGAGCCGTCCGGTTTTTCTTCGCATACGGAGACCCCCCGACTCATCACGGTGGGGATAACCGGAGACGCATTGCTCGTGAATAAGAAGTATGCGGCTGTCGTTGAACCGTGGTCGCTCCGCCAACAACGCACGGCCGAGTTCATTGATTCAATCCTAGCATTCCACCCAGACGTACCCTCCATCACAAAAACCGAGCACATCGACCAGCCAGGCCCGAATGGCAAAGTCGTGCGTGTCACTTACGGCAACGACATCATCGTCAATTATACACAGATCTCCGATCCTTTTGGACCGACCATCACTGATGAAGGAATCAGTGCGCTGGTGATCTCCCGTGAGACCAGAGCCGGAGGGAAGGCTGTGAACGATAAGCGGAAGGAAAGGGGGTGGAAGGAACTGGAGATTTTCGAAGTCGACGTTCTAGATGCGAGGGCCGCGATGGCCGAGGAGGAAGGAGAAGGACAAGAAAAGCAGGAGAGCTTCGAGAGTAAGATTAGTAGCACCGAGATCAGAAGGAGGCTGTCGGAAATGAGAGCTAGTACTACTGGACAATGAGTACAAATCACCATGCACGCTCAAATCTATTAATACAGTTTACGGGAGTCATCCTTCCAGCCTCAGGTATGCGAAAGCAGAAACTCCGGGCCAGGATCGTCGTCCTCGCTTTCAGACGTCTGATCGTTTGCTGTCCTTGACTGAGACCCGAGGCTGTTATCGACGGCGTCAAGGCCCCGGCGTGGCAACTCAATGCCCAAACCACCATAGGTTTCCTTCTGTTTGCCTCTATCCAGGTCCTTCCCAAACTCTCGCAGGGTCTCCTCCAGACTGTGATTGCTGCTTTCTCCTGGACTGCGTGGCGCTATTCCATCAGTCTCGACGAGGCCGCCGCTCATATGATCCTTCTGCGGAGCATCCTCCTGCTCGGCATCAACGAGGTCCTCGTTACCAGAAGGATGGTCTGGTAAGCTATTATCCACGCCGACCATTTCTTGGAGCACCTCACGGGCTTGATCAAAAGCGGCAAGTTCGGCCCCAATCGAGCAAATAAGGAGATTCCAATTTTTCGACTCGGCCTTGGCCAGAGCGTCCTCCAGGAACGTGATGAGCGTGCATAACTTCGTGAAAACAACTTGAAGCAAGCCATCCTTCGCTGCTGTTACAGAGGTCTCTGTGAGAGCGTCGCCACCAAAAGCTCGAAGCTGGGATTGGGACAAGTCGTTGGTCTGCGCTCGAAGTTCGGTTTCGAAACCAAGAACACGATGCACCACCTGTTGCCACAACTTTGAGCCTTCTTCCAGTGCTCGTTTTTCCTTCTCAACCTCCGTTTTTCGGAAGTTCAGCACCTCAACCTCCGACGTCCACTGCTGTTCGGCCATCTGGAGCGTGCGTCGGTCGGGTTTCAGCGCGTACATGCCAGGATTGGGGGCTCTGCCTAAACTTTGGGTAATAGGCGGTTGGTGAAGGAAGGACTTGACCTTGTTGTCGTTCAGTCGTAAGGACTCCGCGTAGGAGCTGAGTCTAGAAGCCCTAGAGCTTTCAATTTCTCGAGCTCGACTGATGAGCTGTCTATGGTGGACCTTCAGCTCCAGCAGCCTTGTTTCCAACTGTTGGATTTCCTCTTCGACCGTTTGCGCCTCTGCCCGCAGAGTAGCCGCTCCGCCATCGGCATTTATTTTCGCTATGTCGTCCTCCAGAAGTTTCTTTTGGCTTTCCAGATTAGAAGCTTGTTTCAATGCATTTGCTCTGGCCGCGACTTCTTCGTCAATAAGGGTCAATTCCCAATCTTTTAGACGGGCAAATTCTGCCATAGATTTGACTAGACCTCGACGAGCCCCGCGCAGTGTGATCTTCCTCCCTTTGGGTTGGCGTATAGGTATTGTTGGTGCCTGTATATGTCTCTGGGGCGACGTCGCCAGGGAAGGGGTGGGTGTAAGACTGCCAGCCGAGGATGCATCATTCGTGTCCTGGTTCCCAATACCGGCCAGAAGACCTTCGGACTGAGCGTCGAGGAGGCTCTGAAGAGTTCGTTCGAGGGTTTTGGCCGCTCTTTCGACCGGTAGAAAAGGGTCGTCGTAGCGCACCAAGGATGCTGTCAGCGTTTGGGTTGTTCGGCGCGTGGAGAGAGTGGAGGAAGCATTGCCGCTGCGTGAAGAGGATGCCACTGAATCTTGCAATAGAATACGCGGTGGAGAAGGAGTCCCTGACGGCCCTGATAGATCGTTCTCATACTGTGGAAGGGCATCCCCTGGTGAATGGGGAAAGATTCGGTCAATGAATGACTTCTTCATGGCGCCGATGGAGGGATGGAAGGAGGATGGACAGGACCTTTGGAGCGGCGAAGATGGATCATGACATCGTATATGAAAAGAATACAATGCTCAAACAAGGGAATCAGTCTGTTTAGACTACGTGGCACAACTGTGGCAGTGTGTCATATGTCTAAACAGTCAGTCAGTCGCTTTCATGTGCCATCACTGAAAATACTAGTACTCCGTAGAACCAAAGGACCCATGACCATCATAGAGTTGCCTAATAGGTACCTTCCACATTATGAACCGCTGCTAACGGTGAATTATCCCCATTAATCGTAGTCCCCGGGTCATATCTGGGCTACTGACCTGCCGTGAAGCCATGGTAGTCACCTGTATTTCGAGGACAAGGTATCTAGTGCTCCCGACGGTGGAAGGGCTGCTTCCTCATCCAGACACATTGAATACTGCTAGATGATTTAACAAGCGACATCTACAGTTTCAACTACAACTTTTCCTCTCACAGGACCTGTATGCAGCTTGAAATGCTTCTTTCGCCTTTCCAAACTCGAAGACACTGTGGACGGTGACGTCCTTCTCGGGTTCAAGTCGGAAAGTCTCCTCCAACCATCTTTCTTGCTTCAAGAAGAATGCATTGGTATGATTTGCCTAAACCCACGTATCCCAACACCCATCTGAGCACCATCCTGGGCTGCGTCAGGTATAATGCACGACCTCCGAAGAGCCACCGAGAACTACCGATTTATTCTCGGACGGGGCTGCGTCCATGAAAGGTGCTTCGGCCTTTCCAGCATCAGTATGAGCAACCTCGGCCAGGAAGCCGGTGCCATCGAATGCCATACTGATGCCAAAGACTTCATCATCCTTCTGAAACTCAGTACTTTGGCCAGCTGCCAGGACCGTTCCTGCAAAGTCTCGAGCGGGGGTCTTGAGACCCTTGATATATGGTAGCGAGTTAACTGGGAAGTTCATGAGTTGTACGTCCACCGGGTTCAGGGAGGTGGCATGAATTTGAAACGAGGAGATGGCCAGGGAAAGGTGTAGAAGGGACGTTTGTGGTCGACAGGACAAGAGTCTCTGGACAAGGGTCTCTGGACAAAGGTCTCTGGACAAGGTGTCGTATATATCCCATGGTTTGAAGGGCGGTGTTATTGCAAACACGTTGCCGGCTGATTGTTTGATTGCGGACGTGAGTATGTCCACTGATGGCCAGGTGTTTTTGTTGGTAGGTATAAGAAGGCGAGGAAGTAGACGAGATCAATATCGTGCACCCTGACCCCCCAAGTTTGCCATAAATTGATGGCAAACTAATAGAGATATAGCCTCCTATATCCATAGACAGCACGTAGACTCAGTCTCTCCAGGGGTCCGATGGCGGATCCAATGATTAGCAAGCATGTCAGAAATACAAGCCTGGAGTAGGGCTGGCTTCCGATCGAGGGAACTGTTCACCCGGGTCAAACTGTAGTTGAGGAGGCGTAGAGGGTATGCACTGTGTGCACCTCATATATGTTGCCAACTTGGAAGGACCCTGCGATGGATGAACCCCAGTTCAGAACGGAAATGAATTCCAGTTCACATCAACAGACGCCAGGCACCCAAAATCAATGCGGCTGTGCCTGTGCAAACACCCCTGTCATGGAAGTTAGCAACCTATGCCGCAGCGCACAGATTCGATACTGGTACTTACATGAGCCATTGCAGGGTCGAGAACTTTACTGCCTCAACACGCTCCCTGAGTCCGGCGACCTCCTGCTCGATTCTGGCTTCGGTTTCCTTGATACGCATCTCTTGACCATTCGCTTCTTCTCGTATTCTGCCCTTCTCAAGATTCAGGTCTAAACGCACGCTAGCTTGAGTACGACCGATCTCATCGCGTAGTCTTGCGCTCAGTTTCGCCAGGTCGCTGGACAAGCGCTCATGGCTTGACCGTGTGAGCTGTGCTTCAGTGCTGTCGGCGTTTGACAGCTCGCTCCTGAGTTTGGCAAAGTCCACCTTCTGGGTATATGTTGTTCTCTCCGCGTCTTCTTTAAGAACCATGGTCCGAGTGAGGTTCTGAATGGACTCTTCTATCACGTCGTTTAAAACGCGCATCATGGCCACAGCCTGCTCTTCACTAAACCCTTCCCCTTTTAATCTCTGGACAAATTTCAATGTGTCAAAATGGTGCTCCTTCCTCTGCACTGTACTCGAGGAGAAGGCCTTGCGCGCAGGTTTATAAGTGGCGACGTAGACGCCATTGTGCCGGATTGGAGCTGAGTCGGGCGGTAGTGGTTGGGCGTAGGTTTGTGGTCGTCTCAGAGATCGTGGGGAGCACGGAGTCTTGGAAATGTTCAAGTTTCTAGCAGCGCTGCTATGTATTGTACGAGGCTTGGAGACTGTTTGAAATGATGGGAGGCTGGGCTTTCGATTAATTGTAGGGGAAATGTGAACTGTCTGCGGAGCAGCCTGGACGAACGAAGTCGTAGTCCAAGTCAAACGGGGGAGGAGGAAGCGTGGCAATTCTGCCACCTGTTTCGAGTTCGCCATGTCAGGTAGCTGTGGCAGGGTCCAATATCTTGCTGGGTAGAAAGGGCGAACAATATGCAGGAATTTGCATTTCGTGCGAGGGGAGACAGAAAATCACGCGTGACGGACGAAAGCAGGCTGGCAACAATTCTGCTCCTCTGCGCCGGCCGACCTTTCTCTTGGACCAATCACACTCTCTTTCTTCCCCGGCCTGGGCATTTGCCCCTGGCACTCAGCTTATGCCTACAAAGTCAGTCCACCACGTGAATGGGATCGCTACACTGTGAGACTATCCTCACTACCGCGTGTATAGCACATCCTCGCAGAAAATGCCAGTTGATGACTCGGCACCCAATTCTAAATTGTCGTGGTAATATCACGAGCTGACTATACCCTCCTAAGTTTCCAGATTCTCGCCCACTTGACTTTTGTGACCACAACCCCCTATCAGCTGATGGTCGGTCAACAATTTAAACAGGGCTGAAAACAAATGCCACAGTATTTATGCTGGCCGGGAATAAAGAAGGAGCCATCGTCAATCCTCCTTTCCCCGAATCACCCCGACTCACTCATTTAGTCTTCTTGCCCTCTCGTCCGCTGCTCTGTCTCTTCACAGACGAACTAGGCCCTTCGCTTTCTTTCTTCTCACGCTCCGCCTCCTCTCTCTCTTCAAACTCCTTGAGGGCGCGCTCGTCACTCCGCTCTGCGTACCATTGACCAATCTGCAGGACCAAGACTCCAACCAGTACCAAAGCCAGAATGGTGTTGCTCGCGGCCAACACCTTGAGGTTGTCCTCCCTGCCTAGCACGCTATCCCCTGTGTCTACATCATGGCCTGACATATCCACGTTGTCGCGCTGGTCTTCCGTCAACTGTTGCAGACCCAAGCCATAAGACCCCTCGCTAACAATCCGAAGCCCTTTGATAATGTTGGCAATATACACAATTACCGCGACCATGTAGAGGACCAGACTGCCACCGTCAAACAACATATTCGACTCGCTGGGTTTATAGAGCTTGGTGACGAGGCCCAAGAGGCCCATGGTGAGCATGATATGTAAAATCCGCTGGATTAGATTCGGCGCATGGTGTAGCAGCTTTAAATGCGCCTCGATGGCATCGAAATGGGCGGCAGGCGTAGGCGACGAAGACCATAGAAGCGGGTAGTCATATGGGAAGAGGGAGAAGATAATGCCTAGAAAAAAGGAGACGGCTATAACAAAAGAGTCAGTCCTTTCGCATCTGCATTCGGTGGGGAAAGGCTGGTGCTACTTACGGCAAATGATGAGAAAGGTCGCGAATGGAACTGACGGCATTGTGACTTGGTTGTGCGAGCTTTGGCTTCGACAGCGGACAGTGAAAAGCGCAAGTAGAGTAGCTGTCGGTGCTGACTAGGTACTACTTAAGCCGAGAAAGAAGCAGTGGTGAAGAAGTCGTGGTGGTATTGATTGATGTCGATGGTGCGCACCGTTCTTGCTTCCCGACCCAACAGTTGCGGCAAAAACAAGGGTGTATCGGCTCCAAGCGCAAATATCAATAGGTATGAGACAAGGTTCAGAGGAAGATTCAGATGATCCAAGATTTAGTTGGGACATGCACAACCATCGCACGGAGAATGGCGGCTGGGAAGGGTACGGAGTACATTGCCCAGGAGCTTGACGAACTTTTGATGTTGCATTCATTTCTCCACCAGCGATAACGAGCGATAAGATTTCCCGCGGACACGGAGCATCGTTTCTCCGACCACTAGCCTGATACGGAGGACGTACATGTATATCGTTGATGGGGATGCGAATCTGTCGTCGCTGGACAGGCCACACGACATCCCGAAGCATATGCAAGCAGGGCTAAGGGTGGGTGTCAGGTATGTATCCATCCTCCGTACGGAGTACTTCTTACAAACTGGGCTGTAAGTATCTAACATTTTCCGGACTCAATGTTGCCTCCGATCTCTCCTCCTTCGAAAGCCGGCATGCCCTCGGGCCCGTCCGTGTGGCAGCCGCTCTTGAAGACGTTGCACACGCCTCTATCCCACTCCATACTCCATAGTACCTCAGACGGACGACCTCTTACCAAAGCCGGCCCGCACTGAGTACTCCGTACAAGCTGACGATGTGACCAAGCCGACTGCATCTCGGGCATTATTCCCAAAGCGAACTCTTCTGGCGCACCCCTTCGGTCTTGATCCCATTTGGTGTTTAATTAGCTGCGGGCAACTCATCCCCGTTCGTCTCACACCTCGTTGTACGGCTACGGATACCCGGTGCAGTTGCTCCGTAGGGCACTAAGGATCACAGCGAGGCCCCCTGAACGTTTAAGGGGGCAGTGTATCTCAGATACCCCATATCGAGGTACATCACTGTGGCTGTCACTGAACTCACAATGGGACGCACTACTGCATGCAGGGCCATGTGACAAGATGAACTGACACGATAGTTTCATGACCCATGGCCCGAAGAAGAAGAGTCGGGTAGGATTCGAAACCTAGGTAGGTAGGTACCTGTACTCCGTACTCCGTATTACTCATACTCTCTGTCCGGATAGGTCTCCTCTTCCAACCTGTACTCGAAACACAGGGAACGTAACTCAGCAAGCACAGCACGACCGACCACGACGTACAGGATGGAGGACTGTAGCTCTTCTATGAATATCCTCAGAAGCCCCTCGCTTCGCATATACTGGTACAGGACCACAACCTGTGACTGGACTATTGCCACCGACCGTACTCGTAAGCGCTGAACCCCTCCTCAGCAAGACATCCAAAAATAAAACGGTGTCTTCGTGTCCACTGTCCTACTGACCAGCTGAAGGGGCTCAAGCATATCTCCCAATCACCACGCGACATCACCAGACCGGTCTCAGCCCCTGGTCTGTCATCTCCAACAACTGGCTGTAGGACGTCGAGGAAGCGCCGGGCCCACCCACCTGAGCAACTCCCCACACATTCGCCTGATCCAATAATCAATTCGCCTGCCTCCGGAGCAGGGGACATTCTGCCACATTGTGTCAGTCACGGTTCCAGCGATGCGGTACGGCGGAGTCACCCTGACACGGCACTGTCTCTGGATCCAATCAACGCGATACGTGCCGCTGAAGGAGCTGGCAAATTTGGTTTTAGCCTCGCTGGCCTCTGCGGCGTGCGCTGGCTGCCACGGGCCGCGCGAACTCGAAGGGGGAAGTGATGTCAGGCTCTCGCCGCTTTTGTGACCTCCTGCCGGCCCTTTACTCTCCAAACACACTACTGTACCTCGCCGCCCGGTGTCTGCGCAAAGGGGTACACCATCATGAAACTAAGTGTCCGTCCCAAGCGCTAGGATGCGTCAGTCTCTTTGGCAACCCTTCAAAACGGGCATCCTCAAACCATGTCTGGGGGGCAAAAATTTGGTCTAGCATCAAACGAATCTAGTTGGCTCTACGGCCATATTCTGCCGAATTCAATCGGCCTTCGAAGGCCACCCTAACCTGTTACCTCGACCTAGAGATGCTGGAAGCCAGCTGAACATGCTTCGCCCACACTTTCCCTTTCTCAAGCAACGCTGTTCGTGGCTCCAGCCCTGTGATTTACTCGCGTAGAGTCATCGGTGGGCACGGATTAGAACACATTCAGATACCCCTCCCTCCATTAGAGTGTCTGACTTTGCTCTTCTCAAAACATTGCCGTCAGTAACACCTTTCTTTTTCCCAAGGTTCCTCGCTCGTATCTCAGTGGACTTGGTAGCGGTATCCCATATCATCCACCAAGGGATCACCCGGTGCTTTTCCAAATTCCGGCCACCCGTTGCCAAATTGTAATGGCACACGATCCCGGACTTTCCTCCCACTCTCACACCATGCAACACCGCAAATGCAGGGCTGAATTTCCGGGATCTGTTTAGATCGACCTCTGCCTGAAACATTGTCTCGCCGTACCAGTACGCCGAGCGCCGTCGCCAAACAATGATAATATGGTATCATGTACAACAAAGCCATGAGTTATGTCGTAAAGTCTTTGAACAACCGCATCCAGAGACTCGTGCTTCGTAATCAAATTGCCACGCGAAATGGAAGTATTTGCCTTTCAAGGCCAAATAGGTATTTCTCATACAACAGCTGTTGGAGGAGCCGGAGCAGCCGTTGAAGAAGTGACAGGCAACTCCGAAGGTGAACCAGCGACTGTCGAGGACGGTTCTGTCAGGGTCGAGGGGAGGTTGGCCACTGAGACGGTACCTGGATCTTTCGTGGCCGAGGGAGGAGGCATTACCGAGTCTTCGATTTTGCGTTTCTTGCCCTTCGGGGGAGGGTCCAGTGGCGGGGATCTCCTGTACGTAACCGTTCTCTTCACCACAGATCGAACACTCACCGGCTTGGGACAAGCACTTCTCGGAGGGTCGAAATACCGCCGAGTGGCACTGTCGAGGTTCCAGTCGGCTGGAGAGAACGGAGAATACAGCATACTGCCCGTGCTCATTGCGCTGATGGCGGTACGTGGTGAGGGTCCGCATGTACTGGGAGAAAAGGCGGGAGAGTGCGGGATTCGAAGCCGTCGCAATGCGGTAGGATTTTTGCGTGTAAACGGCGTAGGTGGAATGGAGCTGGTTGGAGATTTGTAGCTGTCACTCTTGGTAGAGAAATCCGTTGATGAGGTTGCAGAGACAAGGGAAGTGATGGAATCTCTAGTGGTCGTAGATTCGTCCGACATGGACCTTTGGAGCGCTCCGGTCTCAGGAGGACTGGCCAAGACAGGAGTCAAGGCTTTGAGGAACTCAGTGTAGGCCACTGGAGGCGTAATGGGTGTCCCTAGATTTTCTTCTTTGATCACCGCCGACACACATGAGACTGGAGTGTTGATGATCTCGGAGGGAAAGGAGGCGGTCTTGGGTGTTTGGAGAGGTGGAAGGACCGGTCTGGTCACCGCAGGCATCTTGACGGTCGACAACGAGTGAATCGATCTTCAAGGTTGATGTTGACGGGTGAAGAGCATAGAAGGTAGGAGAGACCTGACGGACACCGGCGAAGGGAGGAGAGGATCGTTCCGTAGGGAGAGAGACGTGAGAAAGGGAATGACAGCGGGAGAGGTGGGTGATCTATTTCTGGGAGGGTACACAGCGCGCAACAGCTTTTACGCTGCCACAACAATCTTGACCAGGATGAGGCCAGCTCAGTCACCGGTGTGTGTGCAAGGTGCAGTAGGCTTGTCGGAAGCAAAGGTAGCAGAGACGCTATGACTGGAAGTATGATGGCGCGTAGAGAGGAAGAGCAGTCGACCAGCGAAGGAATGTTGCAAGGAGAGTGGATGGCTGAGGCGCCGAACTGGCGACAGGGCCCGAGCAAGACTGGGGCGGGTTCGGGCGAATGGTGAATGGTTGGCGGATTGGAGAGACGTTGGAAGGGAGAGGGAAGAAGGGGAGTGGTGTCAATCCCACCGGATGCCGTGTAGGAGTCTGAATGGCAGCGAGCATGAGAATCGAGATGGGGGATTGGGGGGGAGTCGGGACGCTGCGCTGGACGGGGGTGGGCGTTAAAACAGCGAGAAGCCCAGAAAGAAGCAGGATGGGCGTGGCTGCTGGCTGCTGGCTGCGGGCTGCGGTTGGTCCGTTGTTTGCTGTTGCCGCCGGCGGCAAAGCAAGAAATGGGTCCTTAGGTCCCGTGGGCCGGCTAGCAGGGTCCGGGCAAACGCGTGATTGGCTACAGCCTGTCTACACCCGGCTTTCTCGCTGTCCAGCTGCTCCTTCCTCTGCTTGTTGATTCGAAGAAGCACCCTGGACCGAGCTGTGACTCGGGCTGACACGGTGCTGCTGATTTCTGGCGAGGCTCTTTTCAATGCTGCGTGATCTTTGTCCGCCTGGCCGGCTTTGCGGTCAGCCCGCGAAGGTAAGCTTCGATAGGCGAAGCAGGTGGTACGAGGCGACCAGTCGATGCCTGCTATTCGTGATGCTGTGTTGTGTCTTGGGCGCTTTTCAGAGCGGCGTCTCGGCTCTCTCTGGCAAAGACGGATGTACGTCAGCAGCGGGAAACTCGGCGTAGGAAAGAAACGTGGCAGCTGGAACATCCGAGTCACGATCAAGAGTTGATGCGGCAGTTGCGATTTATCTATTGCCCTGGCAAGCCGCTGGCCATCTGGCCGTGCTTGTTGCTCTATTATTGACATACGTATGACACAATACTGGGCGCTATCTGCTGTCAATTTTTGATTTGTTGCAGCTCGATGCAGAGGCCCAGGCTGACTGGGCAGATACGGTGTCGAAAGTTAATACAGCCTTGAGCGCGCGGCACCAAATTGCAACTCTGCGCACTTGCTTGTTGGCTGAGTGACTGGACAGGCAATCCTACACACAGTGTATACTTCATCTTCTTGCCTGAGCGCGCGCCACTCTTCCTGAGCCTAATGGCTCAAAGAAGGGAATGTATGAGGAAGTCAGCCTGGGCTGTCTCAAAACGACTATCTGCATGCTCCAATCAGGGTTTGATCTTGCTTGAAAGAGATTCTACTCTCAAGAAGACGCTGCTTCAGATCTGTGATATATTCGAAGCGCAGCGGCTGATCAGTCTGATTCGAATACTTCCAACGATGGACAGTGTCATCCCTCCTCGTTGCAGTGGTCGCAGAACTCATCATCCACTGACTCGATCTGAAAGAATTGAATGCTCGACTGCTACCATCCACCACGACATAGTCATCTAGTAACGTCAGATCGGGGTGGCACGCACACCAATAATCGCAGATGTCCAATGTTAATCCAGAGCAGTCGCATGATCCTGGGCGCGTGAGTGACAGGGGCGGCTATGTCTTGCAGAGGATGTCGTGGACCGGCGAATGCCGTAGTCAATCTGATAGGCTTGACGGGCCCTAAGGCCCTGTTCGCGCTCGCTTCAAACCTGCCGTCAAGCAGATGCAAGTCAGTTTCGTATCGAACATCCGTCAAAGTGAAGAGTCTGCATGACCTATGCTGTAAAGTGTGTGTCCAAACCCTTTCGCTTCCCAGAATTGCAGTCCCGTGCCGTTGCTGATGTCATACATGTTCTAGAGTTACCTTCTTACTCGCCTTCTCCTCATGGTCTATATTTCTTGTTGATCACAAATTGCTTCTCTGAACGCTTTGGCGATCCAAGGCCAAGTAGTCCTTGAGCTTGCCAACTTTTCAACGTAATATTGAGCCAACAGTACACCAGGCTTCCCAAGTAAATCTTCCTACAGGAGCTCAGCTCGCTTCGGTAGCTCCATTGGCGCCTTGACCCTCAGGAGCACCGGGTCATTGTCCACGAGCATCTTTGGCGCCTTGCTCGGCTTGATCGGAGTACCCACTTCCATTGGATTGGGGAGGATGACAATGAACCATTCAACAGTCCGCTACCGTGATCCTCCAGACTAGAAGTCTGTACCTGGCTTGTTGGAGCAAGAGTCACCACACCATTGATCATTGCCAAATTCTAGTATCAGTAGTACGGCCCCTCGTTCCATATGGGAAAAAAGAGCTTCCATCCCAATCCACGACCAGTTGTGCCAGAGGGAGTTCAGACCTTTTTAATGTCTTCTAGCAGCAGTGGGCAAAGTGCACAGTATGGAGCAGTAGCAGTAATACTAATCACTGTCGCTACAGATGGCACCGGGGACGGGTAGTACCTCCAGCCCACCAATCATAAATCCGCAAGGCCAATCCGGCCTTGGCATTCCGTTGCGGTTTTCTTTGGAGTAGTAGAATGCTCAGATCAATTGCTCGCTGCATTGGACAGCATAGCCGTCTTCGAACATTGTTATTACAGATACCCAGTCGACAAAGCTTCTGCCTTACATTCCGAGTTCGCTTCAAGGTCCACCATATCCTCACTACCCCAGCACACCATTATCGCGCCGGGCACTGGGATCAAACCCTCCATTCTCAGAGCAGCTGCCATCCATTTTCCGCCTTGAGCGTCCACCTTCTTCGACACGTTGCACAGTCCTCCCGGCCCAGTGTGGCCGTCTGAAGATCTCGCCATGTCTTTAGTCCATTTAGCAAACACATGCTCGCATCTCCAAAACGCCTCGCGAGCTCGACTGGGACTCACGTCCATCCCTGACACCAAGTTCCACCTGAAGCTTATGCTTGCTATGCAGAACTCGGGGTTCATATCAACCGTGGTCCGTGGCGGGCCTACGCCTCCTCCTACACATGGCTTGCTGTCGCATCCGACGTCGTCCGATCCCGCAGCGCCCATTGAGCCCGTGACAAGACACAACATATCTACACGGCGGCTGTGGCTGGGGCTGAAGTACTGGAACAGCACGCCAGTACTGGAGAAACTGAGTCTCGTGAGCAAGCCGACAAGAAGAATATGGATGGACGTCACAGGGTTAAAAAAGCTCGTACTGGGTCAGGACGCAGGCTACGTCAAGGGGCTGCGGAAACCCGGGGAGTGTATCTATGTGAGTACGGACAGGGGCATTTTAGAAGCCAGGGAGTGCGTGGAGCAAAAGGTGGGAGGAATGTTAATCTGCCGAGTCGGGTAATCAAGATCAGGTCAAGCTGTAAATTGGGGTTGGTGGCAGGAGCTTGGGACGAAAAGAACACGCAGAGTTGCATGTAATGGGACCGGCAGTTTGAAGCGCTCGGCGACTGGCGTTATGAAAATCCGGGTTCTCGCAAATTCAGAAGGAAATGGGCCCCTGCCTGATCCCTGCCGTCTCAGGTTCAAAACAATGACCGTCAAAGACGCAAGACGAACGGACGAGATGGGCAAGTCGGTCAATCCCGTCACTTTAGCAGCAGGTGGGGAAAGAGGTTGAATCCAAACGCCTGAGACCTGAGATGTTCACTGCAAGCGATATGTGTAGAGAGTCCTGGCCTCAAAGGCCTAATCCGGATTGCACCGCACAACCAGAACGCACAGCGACCAGCAAAGTCAACAACGGTACACTCGGGAGAGTACATGTATGTATACAGCGACAGCCAGGACAAGACAAACGGTGGAAGAGAGCATCAAGCAAAGCCAGTTCCAGTTCCAGTTCCAGTTCCAGTTCCAGTTCCAGTTCCATTTCGTCTCAGCAAGGACACGGAGCACAGCAACAGCATTGCAATCAGCAACTCCCTAAACACAGCTGCGTGCTTCCAAAATCCCTCCTGTTCCTTCTCTAGATACTAGATAGTGCTCGACCCTGTTCTCCTACTAGTCATGTAGTTCAAGGGTACGATTAGTAGGAGAAACTTCTGCTACCCTAATTAGGCACGATGCTAGATCAGATTCGACAGGATAACTAATACAATCCGAATGTACAGACTTAAATGACCTCTTAAGCGCTCCCTCTATCGACTTGGCTCCTACTACGGGTTCTGTTTGGTTCTGCGCTCTTGCATCACCCAAGTCGGTCTTCCGCTCAAGCCACTGGAGCATTCTGTATCTGAGGTTCCATTTTCTCGGTCAGACTCTGACGTGCCAAATACAACCCAGAAAAGTTCAGGGAGGCGGATCAAGTCTACTCATTGTCCCCTGCCCCCTCCGCATCTGTCTCATAGTCGAACTCGTGCGGCACTGGCGCATCCTGTACGCCCTCCTCGTCTTCATCGATTGCTGTCAATACTCCGGCCGCCGCGGCAGCTCCAGCACCAACCGCTGTTGTCTGTCCCGCTGGTGTTTGTGGTGCTTGCTGCGCTCCAGTTCCGAGTGCGTTGCCTGCGGACGTCGTAGCAGCCGCCACAGGCTCAATCTTACTCACCGTCAAGGGAATGATTTCTCGTTCCTTGTCTGGTTCCGTGTCCAGAACCACCATAACACCGCCGGTCGGTTTCTTGACCGGGTGGTACCGCTGGTCCGGGAAAGTCAGGTACTTGAGCTGCGCCGGCAGTACTCGGGACATGTTGCTGATTTCGTACCCAACCTTTTCCTTTTCGGCCTTCTTCTTGACTTCAGGAGTTTCGCCTTCTTTCTTCTCTCCTTCGTCTTTTCTCTTGTCATCGTCTTCTTTCGCAGCTACGTCATCGGTGTCCATCTTATCACCTTTGTCAATCTTTGGAGTGACCGGGGTGACTGTATCGACATCCATGCTGTCCCGTCGTTGCTGCTTCTCTTTCCTAGCAGCTCGTCTCTTGGCTTGGGCCGTAGTACTCAACACGGCAGTCTTGACCTTTTCAGGGGCCTCATCTGCTTTGACTTGCTGTTCCGGCGGGTAGTCAAATAGACTAGGCCGAGTATTGCAGTGGAACTCAAACACGGGAGCCTCCAACTTCTGGTCAATGCCAATGACAGCGGTAGGTGTCAAGGACAAAGAAAAGAAATGAGCCAGAGGGAACCAGTACCAGTATTGTGTGAAGACAACGGTGCCGACGATACCGAGCATGTTCAGGTTGCCAGTCTGTGTCTGTAGACTGATGGTGCAATTCCGACCACCAGCATCGAGGATCCCCATGGCCAGAGCACAACCAAACTTGCACATGGCATCCTCATGGCGATCACTGATGATTTTCAACATCTGCTTGCGAATTGTGCCGACCTTGGGATTCATTGCTTCATTCTGTTGTATCAGGACCATCGCGAGGGCAATCAGAGCTCCTTGGCGAACAAAGTCTGTGGGATCCTTCAACATGGGCTCCAGAAGATCAATGGCCTCGTCAAGGCCAGTTCCAGCACAGGAAATGCCCAACGCCATGGCAGCACCATATCTGACATGAGGATTGTATGACTCTGCCAGAAGTTCCACCATTCTGGGTACGCTGCTGTGTTTTCGGAACAGAATGAAACCCAAGCTCAGGACAGCAATGCGACGCACATCGTCGCTGACATCACTAACGGCAACGTGTAGCAGTTTCCGAACAGCCTTGTTGCTGCCGGTGCCAACGTACGCCATGGCAATGGTCAGAATGCCGCCGTATCTCATTGTAGGGTCAGTGTCGTTCAACAGGCCTTGAATGAGCTCGTCGGCACCTTCTTGACGCCCATACATGATCAAGGCCATACCGACCGCAAGACCTCGAACAATCTTCTCGTGTTGCGTGTCATGGGCGTGCTGGATCATATCGGATAAGACCTTGGTGTTGCCTGAACCAAGCATGACCAGGCCCATTGCCAATCCCACTGCCTCACCGTTGATGGCAGAATCGCTCCAAAGGACGTTTCGCAAATCTTCGAAAACAGATTCATCACCAGAAGCCATTCCAGCAACACCAAGACCAAGTGCACCGCCATGCTGGACAACTTCTTCGGTAGCCTCCTTAAACTTTTCTCGAATGAAGTCAACAGCCTTGCCTTTATGGTTGGCACAGAGCAGACCATAAGCGTACAAGGACCCTCCTTGGCTATAAGGAGAATCGTGAGAACCAACGCCACCAGCTTTGGGCAGGTACGGGCTCAATAGTCTTTGCACTTGGTTGATGTTGCCCTGATGAATGACACCAAATACGGCGGTCGCGGTGAATTTGGACCAGTTGACCGCTTTGCCCAGCCATTCCAAATTCTGTCTGAAGAAGGTGTCATTCGCAGTTTTGGCGTGCATGAAGCCGGCGGAGAGTGTAACAGCTGTATGGTAGATGGAATACCGGGGCTCCAAACTATCCTTCACCTTGTTCAATATAGTGTGATCGACCCGGTTGGACTTGTGGAGAAACTCGATGTTCAAGTGTGTTGACGTCAGTCCATCAAGGATGTCTCTGATGTTCTTGATTGCTTTCTGTTCCTCCGGGGTTGACAGCTTTGAGCTCTTTGAAGGCGCTGGCGCTCCGGCAGAGTCTTGTAACTCCTGTTGTAACTGGTCCTCGGCTTTGCCTTGAGTGTCCTCCTCTATCTTCTCGGCATTTTGGAGATCTGCTTCGGCTTTGGCTTCCTCCGGTAATAAGTCGGATAATTCTTCGCGTACCTTTTGGAGGAATTCTTGGGTGCTGTTGTCGTACAGATCAAAGGAGACTTGGTAGGCAACAGCCAGGGAGCGGTCATCGCCCTTCTCGACCAATTGTCGAAGCATGTTGGAGGCCATTGAATGTTGATCCAGGTATACCACACATTTTGCAATTGCGAAGTAGTCGGGTGAGGGAATGTCGTTAAGCAATTCCAGGATGAGTTTGAGAATTTCATTGCGCAATCCCCGCTCTTGTACGACGCTCATACAGATATCGAGAATGTAATCCATCAACTCTTCGCCGGTTTTGGTCGCCTCACCATTTTCTTTTCGTTCATCTTCCGATGCCCGTTTGAGTACCCGGCGTAGAATGTCCAGGTTTCGGGCTTCCAAAGCAATGCCCACCACTTGACGATACCGTTTCTCCTCAAAACAGTTTTCGAAAAGGGTCTCAATCACACGATTCAAAGCTTTCTGAAGACCTCGTTGCTGAATGACGGCCTCGGGAGAACCCGTTTGTCCGACGTCCGCACCGGCTTGAGTAGGATCGAACGCTATTGTGTTTTGTCTCGACAGGAGGGATTTTGACGGTAGAACGGACTGAGAGAATGGGGTCACGGGAGAAGTCAGGCTCGCCGACATGCTAGCAGCGCCGTCTCCTCCCTGCCCAAATGCGGTATCGAGCTCAGTCTGCGTCCCCGCGGTGGCGGCGGCCGAGGTAGGACCGCGGCTTGCAGATAGAGCGATGAAGGTATCCACGCATTTGGAGATGATGGTATCTTCATATTCCCCAGGCTGATCCAACCTGAAATGCTTTCCGGCAGCCAGGGCAAAGGCCATACTTTCATTATATTCTTGGAGATGGTAATACACTTTGGATGCGACGATTGCGGCGAGTTCGCGTTCTGGAAAGGATTCATCTTCGTAGAGAGCCTCTCTTGAGATCTGAATCAGTATCATACTGCATGGGAGGGGGGGATATGGATGATACGTACATCTCACCAACCGAGTCGGCAATTTCTGTCCATAGCAGATCGACCTGGCTGTCTAGTTGCTTCAATGCGAAGCTTCGAAGCTCGGGGTCTGGCTCGGAGAGGAAGCCGACGAGGCCGGCTGCTGACACCAATCCAACCATGCTTCCTGAATGCGGTGGCGTGGGTGTAGGGCAGGCAAGGTGAAGTGCTGGATGTCTGGTGTGAGGTTTGTTGATCTGTCTGACCAGAAGGGGCAAAGAGGCGCAATGCCAGCGGAACGGCTGGACCACGACTCCAAGGGGAAAGCAGTGGACAGTAGAGAAGTAAGTCTAGTATACAGAACAGAGTTGAGTGACGGGAGGAAAATATTGGCGATGGAACCGAGACTGGGAGATGAAGGGAGCGTAGGTGCGATACAATCAAAACGTGTTCGGGCGGAGGATGCGATGTGCTGCGAACCGACGCTCCTGCGGCGATGCGTCAGACTGCTGCCCTGCAGTGGTGCAATGGCCCTGAGGCCTACATCAGCCGCTGGCAGCCTGCGCAGGTCCAGGCTTGGCAGGCCGAGGAGGTGCGGTGCTACAAATGTACCTCCGTAGTACTCCGTACAGTGTAGCGGTAGTAGTCCTCCATACTATTACTTAGTACCTGTAGGAATGCACTATCACCGCTACAGCACTCCGTACACACGGTACGAATACTACAGCATGTGTGGCCATACACCGTACACTGTAACCACGGCAGCAAAGGATCAAACCCAAGAGTCAAATTCATCCTGACGCTCACTAGCTATCTAGGTACTATTACAAGGGTATCGAAGAAGACGCTAGCGTGTTGCTCGAAGACCGCTACGCAAACACAATGCCTCCCGAAGCCACCCCCCCAAGTCACTACACCCGGGAATGAACCTTACCGGACCTTCTTGACAGACCCCGTTCGGCATAAGGTCCTCACGTTGTCCAGGAGCCCTCGGACGAGCTCCTCGTATTTACTAGGCCGACCGTCTCGAAGATTCGCAAGCTCCACGCGGATTTGTTCAGTGCTGATCTCAATCTCCAATTCGTGTTCCTTCTCCGGTCTGTTTGTGTAGCTCACTTGAGTCAGATCGATCTGGTACCCCAAATGTCTATAGCTCATCCGATCTTTCTTTCTGTCACGTCCGCCACCTGTCATCTCTGTAAGCCACTGACGCTCGCCTTCCCATGGACTTTCAATGGAGATGGAGATTCTGTAGTCGAAATCTGAATTGGGGTTATAGATATCGATATCTGCGAGTCGTGACTTGATGATTTGCGCCTTGAGACGATTGGTGGATTCGTCGATTGTGCTTCGAACCCGAGGCTTATGTCGAGGATTGAGCCACGTTAAGATGCTCGGTGCCAGGTTTCGCCGGCCCTCCTCTGTCAATTCGTAGAACTCGTCATATTCGCGAGGATGATCGTAGCCGATCACCGGACGGCCCGTAGAGTCGCGCATTGTTTCGTGCACCAGATCGTTGAGAAAGGTATTTAATATTTGATGTTGAGCCTGAAACCACCATCAGCATTAGCCCTGTAACATACCGAAAAAGGGGGGGAAAGATGTAGTGCCTACCACGGTCATGGAAGTCTGGAAGCTGGTCCTTCCCCAGAACTTGTCACGATTGAAAAGCGCTTCCGTTTCCACTGGGAGAATGAGACGGTGCCCAGTCTGTTCGTCAACAATAGAGCCAAGTTTTGCCTCAATCTCAAACACGGCTCCGGCCCCGGGGGCTTCAGCCATCCCAATTGTCTGGTAAATCCAATCACTGACTCTGCGCGAGAGATCTTCGTAGGGAACCACGTTTGTGATGCATGGTTCCCAGCGATTTTGATTTTGATTTTGATTTTGATTTTCAGCTGTATCTGCTGGAGGAATACCATGATCTTGAGGTTGACCATTCGGAATGTGATAGGTTGGGGTGTCCTTTCTGACCAGAGGGTGGTTTCTCGCCAGTGCGACTGCCGGCGGTGCGTCGATGAACCTCAAAGGTCTACTTCGAGCGCTACGAGCAAATATAGGAACATCATCTCGCCTCCGTCTCTTCCTCGGTGGTTGTGGTGTGGCATTGGCACTAGAAACTACGCTCGCAGTCCGTTTTAGTGTTGCCTGGACGGTTGCTGGAGGACTTGTATGGGCGGAGAAGGGGGATTGTATGGATTGTATGGATTGTGGCGTGGTGTTGTCCACTACTGCAGTGCCCGGGCTTGGGTGGTATATTTGATGCTGGGGCGTCGCTCTCGGTTCTGCCGATGTCGATGCCGATTTAGGAGTCGTCTCGTGCTGGTGAGCCTCATCAATCCGGTTAGGTGGTTCCTGAGGCTGCCCGTCTGATTCGCGAAGTTGCCCATCTGATTCGTGAAAATGCCCGTTTGAGCCTTGATCAGACGAAGCTTGCGCTGGAGGATGTGAGCCTCGATCAGACGAAGCCTGCGCCGGAGGATGTGAGCCTCGATCAGACGAAGCCTGCGCCGGAGGATGTGAGCCTCGATCAGACGAAGCCTGCGCTGGAGGATGTGAGCCTTGATCAGACGAAACCTGCGCCGGAGGCTGAGAGCCTTTCCTCGTCTCTTCTGGCAGTGACACACTCGCACGACGTGGAGACGGTTTTGGAATTGTCTTGGGACTGACACTTTCGATGCTTCGCTCTCTCTCCCGCATTTCGCCAGAGGTTCTTGGTATGCTTCCGTTGCGAGAATGCTCCGACTGCCCACGAGGCTGCTGATTGTACTCTCTACTCTGCGCGGAGCCTACAGAGCTCGCAGATAACCTTCTGAAACCCTCCTGGCCCTGCGACAGTGGTCGGTGCTGGTATGGCGAGGGACGAGGATATAAGGCTGGCGGACCCAACGGTGTCGCTGGCGCGAGAGGAGGATGGAACTGAGCCTGAGGAGACAAAGTGCGTGAACCTGGGTGCACGCTGCCATTCGAGGATGACGCGTCTTCTCTGGGTGACGGGGCGTTGAAAGCAGCATACGCCCCAGGATGATGATAAGTAGCGGCTGAGGATGGTGTTTGGTAATGGTGGACCGATCCAGGCGTCGGCGGTTGGGGAATTGAAGGTGAGGGCGCGAGGGGCGGCTGGTATGGATGTGAAGGCGGTATACCCTCACGAGGCGTCTGAAATTGTCCATGAGGTCCTGGGCTTTGCGCATACGCTGGTTGTCCTGCTATGCCTGGAGTGACCGCAGGCGGTGAAATCTGCTGGCGCGGTGACTGAACCGCAAAGTACGAACCATTGGCAGGTGATCGGTACTCGGCGGCAGAGAGAGGTTGCGGATGCGCCTGCGAGCGATCGGGATAGGATTCATAGGATGGTGTGGGAATGGGTGTGTGATCGTGGGACTGTGTTGTATGCAGTCGAGGAGGCGGCTGTCGCTGGGCTGAAGAGTCGTTCAGCATCGATTTCAGATCCATGGTTGCTACAGTTGGACCAAAAGCACCATATGGCGTGCAGCTGTGTAACGGCGCTGTGATCTTGCCATCAACAAAATGCTCTGGAGGGTGGGTTAGTTGTCCATGGTCGGCTTGTTGTTGAGGGCTGACATCGCACAGACACGGTTCTACAGGAGAAAAGGCAGAACGGCGCCAGCGCGACGCCAATGCCACCTCTCCGCACTTCACCTCCCTCCCCCTTGGAACGTGTCGAAGACCACACATCGTACGTTACACATATCACCATTGGCCAGATCTATGATACTGATACACATCTCTCATTCTGAGGATATCTACTCGATGATGCTATCTATATCTAATCTGCCAAAAGGGTATCAAATCTGGAGCAGTTTGTGTGCTCGCCGTAACATAGTACGAGATCACGTGAAATCTAGGACGGCAGGACGGCAGGTGGTCGCCCAGCCGGCCAAAAGACAGAGACACACTATTCGGGTTCCTGGGTGGCCGTCATGATCAATGCTTCACCCAGACGGTCGTAGTCAGCTCCTAATTGGGGCGACAAATATGGCGTCGTGCGAGGCGTATGCGTAATGGACATGGCTGGTTTCAAAGAGATGCTTCCCAGGCTGACATTGCGACGGACTCTCAGAGAGGGTGGACCGAGACCATTTTCGTCATTGGTTGCAGACTCGATGCTGAGGCTACGCCTTCTCAGAAATGCCGGAAGAGCTGAACGTCCGCGGCTTGCGCGTCCTGTGCTGCTTGACCGTCTCGACTCGCGAGCTGCTCTCGCCTCCGGACCAAAGTTGACTCTGTCTCGTAATTTATGGATGGTCTGGATCAAAGCCAGTTCTATGGCGACACAGTTCTTAATCCGACACATTCTAGGCCAAGTCGCCCTCTCTCCAGCCATGGTGGCTTCAATCATGAATTCGGGAGTCGGGTTCATCATCATGTGAAGATATTCCGCGGGGTTTATCTCCGGCAGGATGTTGATGTCTCCAGTATACTGTTGATTAAAGACAGAAGCCCAGCGATACCATTGCTGAGGAAACCCGAGATCCGCTATCTGTTGTGCGCGATGGATGATCTCTCGTCGAAATAGGCCCTTTGCCACTTGAAGAGGACTGCGAGTCGGTAGGGGTGTTGTTGGTTGCCGACCTTGAAACCTCTCCTCCGGTTCGAGGAAGGCTCGAACATGTGGGTTGACCTGAGACACGATGAAGAAATTGACGTTGAACATTTCAGAGAGCTTCCTCATGGGAATGTCGTGGTCAAGGGATCCGTCCACAAATGTCTGCTGAGCGTTCTGCATCCACAGCCTTGCTTCTTTCGTGACAACATCCTTCTCGTAAATGTTGACTGGTGAAAAGACATTGGGGACTGCACAGGAGGCACAGACAGCAGACCAAACGAAAACGTCTGGAGCGGTCACGTAGTTGAGAAGGCGTGGCTCCGCGCTGCTGGCACTAGAAACACAAATGTTGAGGGTGCGACCCGTCTTGTAGTGCGCTTCACGGAAGGTGATGTCGCCCAGCCACAACTTCATCACCCTCTTGAGGTTCTCCATATCGAAAAAGGCACCCGAATACATGCATGTCCGTAGCCGATTCACCACCCATCCGACTCTGCCAGTCCCCGGAGGGTCAAAGACGGCCAAATCCGAGAAGGGGAAATTCTCCAGGACTTCAGGCATCCGCTCATCGGTCCAAGTTCCCACGATGCCTGCGACGATGCTCCCCGCCGATGCCCCTGAGATGATCTCTGGTAGCAGTTCGGCTTCCCACAAAGTCTTGACCACGCCGACGTGCTTCATACCAAGCACTGCCCCGCCAGACAAAGTCAGGGCAGACCGTCCAAAGTACTTGAGCGCATCTTCCAACGATTGCTGATAAAATCGAACCTCTGCACTGGGAATGTTGTACCGCACAGTCACCTCAGCGAAGGTGTCGATGGTTTCCAGGACCATGTTGATGTAGTCGTCTATCAGATATTTGGTCCCGAACCAAGAATGCTTGTATAGTCGCAACATGTTCATGCCTCCGAGGTCACGACTGAGGCCCGTTCTTAGCAGGTGTTGCATGCCACTCAGGTCCGAGGTAGCAACGGCCTTTTGCAGCATGACAATCTGAGTCTCGATCACATCGGGGTTATAGCCGGGTTCTATCGATTCTCTTGCTTCCTTCCATGCCTCATGCCCCTGTATCTTGTCCAGCGCAATCGTACACTTTTCGTACTCGGCGAGGGAGGTGGCTTCGTTCATACATCTCGTCAATGATTCGACGGCAGTTTCGGGTGGCTTCCGACTGAATCTTGCTATTTCATCCGCCAGCATCCGCAACCGTTTGCTGGGTAAACATAGCTTAACAACATCGGCGTAGATGCCCAGGCACGACCAAAAAAGCTGGGTGTGCAAAGGAAGGAGAATGGCCATGATGAGTATGTCCAGCGGCCATTTGGAGGTGATAGGTCAAAGGCTCAGCTTCCAAAGAGAGATCTAGAGCGAGGGCCCTGTGCAAGACGGAAGACGAGTTGAGCGCGAGGTGATAGGGATTGTGGCAGTTGTAGTCGTAGTCGCGCTGCGGAAAATGCCATATCATTCAAGGACAATATGGCCACCCGGGTGCGTGACCATGGTCTGCGTGACAATCGCTTGAGAACGAATAGAGCAAAGACACCAATCAACACGACGCCAAAATGTCGGAGGGTTGGCAGATGACAGGCTTGATGTGCGACGCCACTGTCATGCGACGGGAGGCCGAAGAGGAAACGGAGACCGCAGGCTGGCACCGTCAAACTAGTAGGTAGGTGGTCAATAACAAGTACGGCAAATAACAAACTACCGTACGACTATAATGAACCATGTTAACAATATTCATGGACGAATATGTCAGTTCCCACTTGCCAGAAGCAAGTTGTACTGGTGGTACGACTACTGATATACCTATGACCTCAACTCTATGGAGTATATGTACCACCGATACCTAACTACCTCACCTACCTAGGTATTAATATTTGCCCGACTTCTGAGGGACCACAGTATCATCTTCCACCATCTCAGGTACACCATCCATGGCGATGGTCCAGCCGAGGAGATGCACACGATTTCGGAGTCTCTATGCAGATATGACTGCATTACAGGCCGGGCCGACATCCTAGGCGATTGGCAGCCGTTCTATCGCATCGTCAAACTGGGCGTAGTCCTTCTGTCATGCAGCGGCGCGTGATGCAGGTTGTCAGACGAGTGGCCCGCCTGACCGGCCTACTTTGCAGTTTTGCCCCCGACCCCTTCCACTGTCCACTGGCAGACGGGGAGGCAGGGGGCAGGGTGTCATAGACTTTCTACCATGATGACAGCTTGCGCAGGATCGGATACAGCCGATTTGACGTGTCTCGCCAGTCTCTGTATAACACGCCGATACGGACAACGGAATGAGTTATGCATCTCAAGCGTTACTCCTGCCCCTTCAATACTGGTATCACCAAGCTCTGTTGAGGGCTCTGACTTCACAGATGTCGATATCAGTGGTCGAGGCGGACCAATCTATGGCACGGTGTCGAGGTTGGTCAAAGTGTAGAATAATGACGAGACTGACTCGCTTCCTTTCACATCTTCTCACCCTGTCCTAACTGTTGTACCTTCCAGTTTATGTTGCTCATTCGAGCCGTCCGCGTGCCGGGCGGACTGGGGGACGATGTCAGTCTCTTTAGCATCCTCTTCGCTGGGCGTCAGCGTCCTAAGCCACTCCGCCAGGCCCCGTCGCAGTCGAACCGAATCTTCATCTTCATGCCAGAAGTGCCCAGCAGCATTTACTCTGATTGCCGTGAATCGCGAGCCCGGTCGTGAAGCCAAGTCCGCTGTCCATCGTTGCAATTTTCGGTCCGAAGTGAAGACATCTCTGCTTCCAAATAGACAGCAGCACGGATGGACGGCAAGCTCATGATACTCCTCTCGCTGCGGACCGGTGTCCCGTCCTTTGCGGGTGAATTTTAGCTTCGAGAACATGGTCGTAAACCCAGCAACTGGCGGTAACAATGGCGAAATCAGGACGTACGCAACTGACGGTAACAGCAGCGCTGGTACCGCCGTCTGACCTTTTCTGTCTGATCCTGGACTAGGGCCGACACGGGGACTGATCTTGCGACGAACTCTGTCGATGCTTTGTCTGACCCGGTCTCCATCTATGCTTCTCCCTGACGATTCACGGCCAACTCGTCGGCTGGCTGCATCTGACTCGTATCCTCCCACAATTGCACCCCGATTTGGCCTTTTAGCGTCCTCTCCGTAACCACCTCGATTTTGGGGGGAGGACGGCGTTATGGGAAACATATGCGAATCCAGATAAGCTTTTGTATCTCGAGATAAGTCCACTGCACGAAGTCTGATCTCACTTTCTGCCGTCCCTGGCAATGGTGACTCCCATAAAGCTGCGATGATGTCGGTTGGTGGTAGGTGTGAGGCGATGATGGAACCGTACGAGTATCCTCCAAGAATGAGGACAGGCGGCACACTGGTCCAGCCACTCCCACCTTCCACCATGGATCGGTAGAGTGCATCGATGTAGCACAAAATGAATCCATAGACTGAGACGTAGTCTCCCAACTCGGCCTTGCCTGTCCAAGAAGTCCGACCTGCAGAACCAGAGGCGCCCCTGTGCACGGTTAGTTGAGACTGGACCAGTACCACAGAGCATCGACGGCACCTGAAATTGAAGGTTGCTAGAATGCAACCACACTGAAGCAGGGCACTGCCCGCCAGGCGCACAACAGGATCATCATATGAACCGCCCAGAGGTGCGTAGGGGTGGGCAACTATGGCGAAAGACTTGCCGAAGAGCTGAATAGTTTGTTCCGTGATCCTCGGGTAGTAGAGCCGGCAGTCAAGCTCAAGGTCGTCGTGAATGCTAGGAATGGCAAAAGAGCAGTTGGCTTTGGGAAGAGACATGAGTGCCAATACTATCGGTAGCCTTTTGCCGCGACAGCGATAGCTGAGCGCAACTCCAGGAACACTTCAGTGGCAAAGATGTGTCATGGCAATTGAAGAGAAGCGGGCTTCATCATCTCCATCTCAATGGGACAGCAAGGCGAGCGGTAGGCTCAGACTCAACTGATTGACATACTAATTAATATTGTAGTATAAATCTGGAGGTTCCCCCGCCCGCGCACCCACAGCCTTGCTTGATATTTACTTGAGATAGAAAGGGCAGCTTAGCCGATCCCAAGTCATGCCCCGTCTTCAAGATCGATTGTCGAACGAAATTCCTTTCTCAACCACCGTGGACCGTGGTGAGGACGTCTGAAACAGGTCAGAGATTACAATCCCTTTAGTTTGAGCACGATGGCGTCCAGGGTTTGAATAAATCGTAACTCGGAGCGCTTGCGCCACTCGATATAATTCTGTACCCCACCACAAACACGGAACCAACTGTGTGAAGCTTGCGTCATGACTAGCATAGCCATTGGTTTGAGGACATAAATTCATCCTGCAGGTCTATCCAAGACTGCTGTTTCGTAAGATGTCATCATGTTCATGTCTGGTCAGCATCATGCCGACGACTGCCCCTGGCGTCATAGAGCCGGCTTCGATATTCTCTATCGCCGTTCCTTCCGAGCCCGCTCAGGGTTTCGTCGCTTTTGGCCCCTGTCTCGGCTTCCATCCGTCTCGACAATCTCGGGATCAAGTTCCACGGCTTCATCCGAAGCTCTAGCTTTGCCCTTTGAGGATTGCTGTCTGGAAGCGATGGGACGGGAATTCTCGTCCGCCATTTCGTTGTGGTTGCGGTAATGCCTGTCTTTCGAAGACGAAAGTCTTTTCGATTGCCTGCCCGGTTTTCCAGCAGCAGCAGCACCGAGAGCACCACTTCCCATGACTCCACGGCCTTCGCTATATTCCCATCCCTTGGTATGATGCATGTGCTTTGCCCGAGAGTCAGTGTGGATGGCAAGACGAGGACGGGATATCACTAACCTGATGTGGGCCCCAGAGATCCGGGGTCGCAGAATGGGCTCCGTCTCTTTTCTCTGAAGCGGTCGGAAAGCCCGAGATAGTAGCCCTCCGCTCCTCAACTTTCCTTCCGTGTCGACGCTTCAACCAGATGGCAAGCCATGTGAGGAGTGCGAAGCCGACCGCCAGAATACCTAGCATAAGGATCCATCGCCAGTGTCCCTCAATCCTACACGTCGATCAGCCTTTGTGCCAGGATGATAGTGCTCATACGTACCAGGACTGGTGAGAGGACGAAGCTGAGGCCGACGTGCTTCCTGTGGCCGTGTTGGTGGCTTGCGGCGGGGAAGTAGATGTGACGGTCACGACGGTTGCAGACGTGGGAGACGTAGTTGCTGTGGATGCAAGCGGGTCGACGCCTTTACCCACTTGTGCGCAGAATCCCGTGAACCATGTCTGCAGCAGTTGGCGATCGGCCTCGATGGTGCATTCGCCGGCGCAAATCGAATCCGGAGTGCCATAAAGGGCTTGCAATAGACTGCTCTGACAGAAACAATTCTCGTAGGTGATTTCACTCGTAGTTGGAACATTGGGTGGTACGCAGAGAGATTGCGCCTGTAGGAGAACGGTGCAAGAGAGGGCGCAACCGGGAAAACTGCTAGAAGATGATGTTGGGACAATGTTCTGGGCTGAGGTACGACGAAAGAGGGTGACCAGGACGATTGCAAGGGTCGAGAGGGAGAGGCGCATTGGTCTTGGTGAGGACATGTTGCAACCGCGGCCAGTCCCAGCGTACTCTGTACAAGTTATCGCAGTTGAGCGGGCGCAATGGAACAGATCCAGGTAGTGAGCGTGATTGGACTGGTGGGGATGGAGAAGATGAATGCTAGTAAGAGCAAACAGCGGACATGCTCAGGCGCATCGTTCCAGATCCGGAATGGGATTCAAACGAGTGAAGGTGCCGCTGCCACCTAGCTAGATCAGCATTGCGGAGGAAGAAAGGAGGAAAAGAGAAGGCGGGAGATGAAGGCGAGAAGAAGGAGCCATAACTTCAAGGAACATTGATGGAAGGATGGACGGCTGATCCTGGCAAGAATGGAAATGGGACATGGAAATGACAGGCGGGGATGGGTGGAAGCAAAGGGTGGCTGTAACATCCAGTAGTACATACCTGCTCTCCCGGGAGGCATTGACCCAAGGTACCTACTACCTAGTAGGTGCCTAGTGGTGGTTATAGAGCTACCTGAGGTACCTACTGTACCTATCCGTAAGTTGACCAAACTTAGTGCTCGGAGTGCACGGATAAGTGGTAGGTAAATCATATAGGTAGATATAGGTACAATACAGCAGAAGCTGGAGTGACAGCCCACGGCCACTGGTCGACTGACAGCTCTTTAGGCGAGAGTGGCAGGTCCGGAAGATGGGCATGGGACCTGAGTCAGGGACCTGAGGTAGCACCACCAGTACGGAGTCCTACTACTAGTATAGGCTGCAGCCGAGTGCCAGCTAGCCGAACCAGAGCAAGCCATGAAGCCAGAAGGAAGATTGCAGACGCCTGTCGAACGAAGATCGGGCTGGCATGGTCGCCAACGTTTCGAGCTGAAAGCCTGTATACATGGCGCCAGTGAGATGACTTGATTTCACTGACACCAAATACTGTGTCGACAGACGTACATACTCCGTCCAGTATAGGCACTGGGACGGGGACAGAGACTGCTGAGGGCTTAGGGGCCACTAAGCCTAAGGAGCCCCTTACCTAAGCCCCCTAGGCCTAAGTCTCCTAAGCCCGAAAAAAAAAACAGCCTAACCATGCTTATTAACCGTGCAAAGAAGCCTAAGCCCCTAAGCCTTTGGGGCTTAGGGGCCTAAGCCTGAGTCTCTTTGCCGGGTTGAACTCTAATACGCTCTTTTGCGAAAGGACCATTGGGATTTGGGATTTTTTGAACGTCATCGCACTCTCGCCTTCTTTGGATTGTCCAGGCTTAGTTGGTTGGTAGAGGGGGTCCAGTGGTCGTCCCGGGCTTCTAGGATGCTTGGGTCTGTTTTGGTGCTGTCTGGTTGGGCGTTGTGGCTAAGGCCTTTTCTCCAAACGAGACCTGACCAAGCGACTCACTCCTCGTTCTCTGTCTCTTTCAATTAACGTGCCCGGCCCTCCCGACACGCCTTGGATCCAAGCCATTAACCTTGCCATAAACCCACTTCAAGCCGGCCGTACTGGCTGCCATGATCAACGCACTGGTCCCAAACAAAAGCACTCTCTGCGTCGGCTCCAGCACGGCGAACAAGGGATATGGATAGAACCCATTGGCCTGGTAACACAGCTCGATCCAGTACCAGTAGACAAAGGCAATGACGGTACTGAGCGCGACCGCCGGCACGAGCGTGATGGTCCACGGCGGACTCAGCAGCAACAAGTCAATCAATAGAAACACACTCGGCGCCAGATGGAAACTGGCGTCGGCGGAAAACGGCAGCTCGAGTTCCTTGGGCACCACCAGCTCCGGATCGATCAGACGGAGGCCCCAGTATAAGATGCTGATCAAGACCTCCATGGGCGCCGAGCACACGGACAAGATGTTTTTGCCCACGAACAGCCGCCGCGACAGCGAGAGGTCGGCCAATAGCCCGAGCATGAATGTCGCGCTGGCTAGTGCGAGCCCGATGATGGTCAGGTACTGGAAGTGCCAGCCGTACGCTTGACTGATGGGGTTCGGGTTCTCGACGAGGTAGTTAAAGGAGTAGGCGAAGCTGGCCAGTCCCAGCGTGTGGACTAGAGCAGAAAGGCTGTGAGAGGGTGATGCAAGTCGTTGTAGCGGGTGTTTCTGGACAAGTTTATCCAAGGTGGACGTGGTGGTAGTACCGGTGGTGGAGGTGGCCATTGCTACCGGAACAAATGAAATCAATAATGATGAACAATAATATGCTACGTACAGTAGAGGTATATCAGTCGGCGCCGGCGCTGTGTAGCAACAAGAAATCTAGAGATGATGTGTCTATCTGTATCAGGGGGAATGAGATGTGGCAGAGAGCAAGAATTACTACTGTAGTGGTGGCAGGTGGTGGTACTAATTAATAATAATATTAAGCCCAGAGGAAGCCCGCCAGGGTTTTGTAAGCATACATGTAAGGATCCGATCTGATGCCGACGTGCCTACTCACTTTTATATAGAAATCCGCCGCTATCAAGTTCATTGTCTTTGTACCATCTCTACACCTCAGTGCAACTCTGTGTTGATGTCGTTCTAAATCATTCGGAAGCATTGAAGCAGCGCCATGCCCCTACACACCCTCTACCGAAACGACAGACCTCTAATGCCATCAACGCCCTAACCCCTACGCTCCAGAAATGTTCGGTCAGCCAGAAGACAGTAATCAGCCCCATATGCCCAACCCGTGTGTATTCACTGTGCGCTTTTCATCGCTCATCACTCGTCCGACGGGGATCAACCAAAGAATTCCCCAGTGACCAAGGTTTCCCAGCTCATGCCTGTTCTCCAAACCTCCTCCATGATCTTGCGAGCACGACTCACTTGACACAGTCCCAGTTCCTCCGCTCCCTTGATGCGACTCAGCACCTCCGCTCGGTCCAACGAGTCTTCAGCTTCGACCCCCGCTGTAAACATGGGAAACAATAGACAAGCTTCAGCGCTTCCACCCGCCCGGATGGTTTGGAGGATCTTGACAACCTCATGCACCGCCTTTTGCACCTCTGGGTCACTGCGCGGTAAGTTGTGGATGCGGCGAAGTAAATGGACCAGTCCCGCCGCGTGAAACGCAGAGTTGGTGGCTAATGACTCTTCTGCGTCCTTCTCAGACATGTCCAGGTAGGCCGAGTTCCGCCGAGAACCCGCCAACTGTGCCTTGGTGAGTTGAGGGCTGTGGTGCGAACATTGGATCTGCTCGTGATTGCGCGCCTTTTCCAGGTCGACTCGCAGCTTCTCCGCCTTTTTCAGTATCTCCATCGAAGGTCTCCAGGACTCATTGATTTGTCCGGTGTCCGGGTCAATCCTGCCACCAGCCTCACACTGTCGAGCCAACAGAGCGATTTGCGCTAGGATTGAAACACACCGTGTGGTGAACCCGAGCAAACAATCAATCGTGTAATCGTCGTCATCGTCACCATCATCATCTGTCAAGGACAATTCCTTGGCTGAAGTGCTGTCCTCGTGCGAACTGGACCAGTAATTCCCGGCAAAGAGCGGCTCTTCATTACGTCTCCCAGACAACGACCCCAGCACGTCGAGGTATGCCAGCCATCTTGTCAAGAAGTACATGACCGGATCCTTGCGTGAGATCGAATTCGGCCCGCCTCGAGAGCGAATGATGCTCCGTGCAATGCTGAGATGGTTCTGCCAAGGTATCGACACTCCGAAACTCGAAGGCGAGATGATCTCTAAAGAAGCCAGCATGATAGCTGTGGCCAGATTCGCGTTCGAAATCTCCGTGTTGGACACATTGTCCAGAGTCTGCCGTAGCGAGGGAAAGACATCTCGAACCCACATGGCGATCCGGTTGACCGGTTCCGGATGGTTCAACAATCTCGCTCGGTGACATGCTGAATAGGCAAGTAAAAGATTGAGAAGGTTGGGATTATCCACCGCCACTACTGCCATGTCAGTGTCCAAAGCATACAAGAGTCAACCGTTCGTACATACTCTTTGGTAAAATTGTTTTGAATGGATTTTCCGGACAGTCATGCGGAACAAGAATTCTAGCCGTGTGGTTGAGGAAGTGATGGAAATACAACAGATTCATCGGGTTTTCCGATAGCGTCCGCGGTAATGGTTCCAACTTTCGAGGTATCTTGATCTGCACCGGCGCATTGTAGTATCCACCTTTTGCAAACACCGTCTCTCGACTTGCAAGGCCAAAGCCAAACTCCGATACACCAAGGTCAGTGCCGTGCAGCCAGGACTCAAAATCACTGTGCTCGGAGGGAGACATGCCGGAAATGGCCATGGTGTCGTTGTTTCGAGGAATATCAAGATCCACATTGCCGCGGTCTTGACCATATGTCTCGGTCTCCGAGTACGACACCATTCGCTGATGGAGCGATCCACGTCTCGGGATTTGGTCCTCTTGGAGGGTGTTCTGGTCGGGTTGATAAGGTGCTTTCGTATCATCCGGTTCTGGATCCTCCGACAGCAGAGAGCTCACAGAGATGCGTCGATCCTCGTTGTCCTGTGAAATGTGTGAAGTCGCAGAGGTCGCTGGTGTCAATGGATTGTTTAGATAAGACGGGAAGAAAGTAGGGGTGTTTGGGTTGAAATGGACTCGAGCTGGCTCCTCTGTTTCATTGAGGCCGTACGAACTCGCCCGCTGGTCACTTAGGCTTCTCCCATAGCTATCTGTCCGCGGACTTAGTTTCATTCTCTTCGCGCTGTAATAGGGCGAGTCCACAGATTCCTGATAACCCATCGGATTGGAAGTAGGCATGGGTGGAGGCATCTGCATGGACTGTCCGGTGTTGAGATTATAGATTCCATTGTTGAGATTGGGACTCCCAAAGCTCGAGTCTGAAGGGGAGGGGTACGACGGGAGGGAGAGAGTCTGCCGCAACGAGGGCATTGAAGGGTGGTCTTGGAGACAAGAGTTGATCACCGTGTCGCCCCATTGCGGAGTGTGTAGTATAGGAGGAGGTGGGAGTATGGCTGGATTAAAATCCGAGGCGGGGAGAGAGACATCGTTTGTGAATTGGACGGTAGACGGTGGCACCGAGTCTGGTGCAGGCGGATTGACGCTGTAAGTTGAAGGAGGCTGTGATCGGACATAGGACGCTCGAGGAGGCGATATCTGACCCTGCGCACCGTTCGAGTGACCATTTGATACAGGCTGCGATGTAGGTTGCGGGCCGCCAAAAGATATCATCTGTGCGCCAAACTTCCCATCGTCTTTCTTTCTACTTCGACCATCCCAGTTCAATCGGATGCTGTAGTCGCAGGTTTCGCCTTGTCGTTGACAGTTGATGCATGTGGGCTTCTCCTCTCCACTGCGGCCTGTCAGCATGTACATTCGAGGCGACGATCAATCGGGTAATAATAGAGGGTCGTACCATTTCACTTTCCTGGACTTGCAAGGCCTACAGATTCGTAGGTCAGTCAATGTCAGCCCATCCAGCCGCGGTCGAGCCACTCACCAGCAACCATTCCTCGAGCGTTTCTTGACCTCTTTTCCATCCTGATCGGGTTTCTTTGGGCGCGGCATGGCGTCAGAGGGACTGCTACCGAGGACGACAGGACGACGACATCAGCGCAAAGGACGGAGACGAGAGATCCGAGGATGTGTGCGGCATGAGTGCAGGGGCTGCATGTCGGAGTGCGGAAAAGTTCATGTACAGATAAGCAGGCGATGAGGACGAGCGAGAGCGAGGGCGAGTTTAGAGTCGAGGACCGCAGAGGCGGGACACAGACTCCTTGGAGTGGTAAAGACGGGTACCGCACGGCAGAGGACATGCATAGTCCATATGGAAAGGCACTATTCTTGCACTTCTGCTGCTAAGTCCAGTAGCAGTTAGGCGGAGGGTTCTTGCGAGCAGACCAGGCAAGGTTAGGTATCTAGGCTTCTCGGTAGACTCTTATTTAGAGGGGTGGACGGGATCCAGTCGGACAAGCCGTAGCCTTAGGCATCGTCAGCCCTCAACTCGAGCTGAACTGGACTGTCAGCCAAAGAATCCAGTCGGCGTCTCCTTCATCAGTCAACTTCACGGCTGAAGTAGTGAGCGGCCGGGCAGATTGGACGCTCTCCAGGCTACAGCCTGAAAAGTGACGACGTTAACCCTCTGGCAAAGCTCGTAGGCCGTAACAATTCATAACAGAGCATTCTGTACTGACTAGTACGATGTGTCCGCACTACTATTACTATTAAATGATAGATTTGGTGCCCGCATGCGCCCCAGCGTCTCCAATAATATAATCGTGTACGACCATCTAGGTGACCATAGGCACCTAATAGGTTGTATGGTACCTTATCGAGTGCTGTCACGTGCTTGGTAGCTGCTTCTCTTAGATCCCTCCGAGAAACTCAAACCGCATCGTCAATTCTCAATTCAATTCTAGCACATCACAAAAGTGAGTTAACTCAACCCACAGAAAGGGGAAAAAGGGTAGCGAGGTCTCGGAGAAATCTTACACTCCAGCTGCCTGATTTGGCCCCGGTCTCTATTGCTTCGCCATCAGCTGAACAACACCATGTCATCAAAGACCACACGGCTGGGCTTGCAGCTCATTCAGACCCGTCCTGTGCGTCCGCTCTTGATAGCCTCAAAACATGTCTCGCCAAAGCCACGATGCAACGTTTCAACCGCAGCTCTCATTCCGCAGACTCGACGCAGCCTGCCCTCGTCAACACGCGCGCCGGTAGCAGCGAATCCTTCCGCTTCCTCCAATCCCCCCTCATCCTTTTTCACTCCTTCTTTGTGCCGAACTCGCAATGCGTCGACCACCTCGGCTTCCCCAAGCTCTTCCTCGAGCATCCTCGATTGGAATACCTTTTTCCGTCTTCGTACCTCTCGCCGGCGATATGCCCTCACGTCGTCCATCCTCACATCGGTAGCATCTACCGCCGCCGCAGTAGTGACATTCTCTGAAGTGCCCGCGGTCGCCGACAACATCACCAAACTCATCCCCACAGATCCTTTTATTAGCATGGGCGTGGCCACTTTTGGTGCGACATTTTTGGGATGGCTTATCGGTCCTGCTTTTGGAAACACAATCTGGCGGCTACTGCACCGGAGTCGTCTGCCGGAATTCACCATCAAGGAACGGGCTTTTTTCGAGAGGATAAAGAAGCACAGGGTCAATCCCACTGGAGCGAGTACCAACAATCCAGTGCCCGACTTTTATGGCGAGAAGGTCAACAGCGTGGCCGGGTACCGACGCTGGTTAAAAGACCAGAGGGCTTTCAACAGGAAGAGAGGCGGAGCTTATCCTTCGACGGAGTAGATGCATCAAGGTTGAGGCGCGCCGACATGACCAAGGACACCTCAAGATAATATGCGTCACGTCGCCGACGCTTCACGACACAACCATTCCATGTGCATATTGCTAGGGCGTTTCCAGGGCCTTTGTCTGCGGCGCATTGATAGCTGGAAGAAGAGGAAGTTTACATGTAATACCACATGTGCGAGGTATGAGGTATCACCTTTGTTATACAACACCTTACACTCTACTATAACCAGATTGAAGTATCTCATACTCGATATCCTCGGACAGGGCATGGTTTTCAGCCCATTACTCATGAGGCAACTCGCGTGGGGGTTTTTCTTTCAAACATTGGTTCCCTTGTAGCGAATTGTCGTGATGGGAATTGTTCGGCCTCGACGTATTGTATGTGCCCATTGCGCTCGTCACGCTGATCATACTGGTCACCGCCGGCGAGGCTCCCGCGGTTTGGTTTGATATTGTTACAATGTGTGTCAGCCCGTTCGGCGAACTGTCGGTCGGCGCGCTAGACGAGAGACAGGCTGGTGGAATGCCAACCAATGGCAACCGTGGGAGTGTTTGCTCATGCCAAAAATGGTGGCATGTCAGTGGCCGGTCTTGTGGTCCATGCCCAACTCTTTCCTCCATTTTCCTTCTTTCACATCCAAGATGAGCGATTTGACTGCATCGAGCGACGAAATCGTCGTCCTCCCGCATTCTCCGTGCGTCATCTCGTATATTGCAATCCCCAGCCAGACGAGGGTTGCACCAGGTCCGCCCGAAAAACGAGGCGGTAAACAATGGCCGATGGCAGTGATCGAATCCGAATCGTTTCTTTACATATAACCACCTCTCCCCCTTCCGCTCTGTGCCGTGAATGTTGACTGTCCTCATACCACCTCCGATTCCTCCGATTCCATCCTTGTTCATCAAGAGCCTGTGCTGTTTTTGTGTAACCGATCACCCATCCATCCATTTTCACCATCCGACCTCGCCCTCGAGCACCCTCAACACGGCTGAAACTTTCATTGCTCCTGACCAGTATCCTGATTTGATGTTTACTTCATCGCTCCGGCCTACACGATTGTCTTCGCATCTTCTGCTTGAAAGGCCATCCAGTTACTCAGCCCAGGGCGCCACTCAACATCACTTTGTCACCTGCCCATGCGCTGACTGGGCTGACCTCCCCTGGCTCTTCCAAGTGCCTAAACTCACACAATTGCAGCGGAGTGATCACTCTCCGGCGACGGAAAGCATCAGTACCTTAACAATCTCGCGGCGGAGCTGATCGAACAGGTTCTACCTACCGAGCGAGCCTGGGGATATATCATTCAAAAGCCACTGTCCCTAGAACGGCCCTACACAGAAGGTCCCTTCCGAACCTCAACATCCTTGCAGCCATTCCTGGACCACCGACGCCATGTCCGAGATCAGCATCCTGGGCTTCAAGCCCGATTCCGAATCACCAGACACCGACATCATCCATTGGGCTATCCTGATCTCTCCGCTAACCACCAACAGATCAGAACCACAGAAACACAAAGCCAGGTTCTTCTCGCCGAGATCCTCGAAAACGAGCATGAGCCAGGACGACGAGTCTCAACTCTTTGACATGCACGACCATCGACTCCGCCAACAAACATATCCCGTACCCATCGTGCGTGATGAGAGCCCATCAACATCCACATCACCGTCACCATCCGTTCCGACAACAGTCGTGGCATCGAATACTACGAACCGGATCTTCAGTTTAACCGAGACTCTGGACTCGTCTACTTCTTCCTTACCGGCGACCAATGATGCAACACCCACAACGACGAGCATCACTTCTGTCACCAACCAAACCCTGCCGCTCTATCTGCGCATCAAACTCGGCACGCACCATTCGTCGCCGCACAAGGCGGCGCAGAAACTGTATTCTGTGCTATACTGCACACCCACCTACGGACCGGAGGACGACTGGCTGCGAGCCGCGCTCGACACGCTCCTGGGCTCCGGCCTTCTCGAACCCAGCACCAACATCAACATTGGCGTACCCTTGGAGAGTTACGACGCTTCCCGAGTCCACGACTTTGCCCGGGAGGCCGCTAAGGAGGCAATCATCCTCTCCGAGTCTCAGCATCGGCCCCAGCCGCGGCTTGATCCTCAGGATTACAACGACCCCGACTCGGAACTCAACCCAGTCTTGGAGATGGACTATCCAGCGCACCTGGCGCGGATTGCGGGCGTCAAAGCCCTGTTTAGACCGCACAGCCATTCCTTTTCAAGACGGTCCACACGCTCATCGTCGTCTCTTCACTCGTCAGCGCCATCGACCCCGCGATCACTGTCACAGACCCATCTCCAGGTCGTAGAGCCCGATGTACATCCTCAGCAACCGCAACCGCAACTAGAACCTCGACCTCTCCCACAACCTGCATCTCTGGCGGACGAACCGCCGCCGGCCTACACGCCTTCGAACCCGCCAAGTCCGACGCTGACGTCGTCTGTCCCTGTCCCAACTCCGGCCGCGAGCACAGCCATTTCGACAGGTACGGCTACGGCCACGAGTACTGGAACTCGTACCACACCGACCCCTCTGGAGGCCAGAGCCACCGGGGTCCGCAAATCCAAGAACCATGCGACCGCCTTCCTCTCGGGCCACTACAAGTCTTTTCTGGGTCTGCGCATCTCGCAGTCTCCCAACGCCTGTCGCCAGCACAACAGTACCCGTCCCGCTCAGGAGAGATGGAGTTTCGAGAGACAAGACGATCCTTATGCCGGATTGATGTAAACGGTGCCGTGTTATGCCATGCCGTGACCGTTGCGAAAGGAGATAGTCAGACCAGAACATCTAGCAATGTTTTGTGAATCTATGGTACCTTACGCTAGATTTCATCTGAGCCTACAGTATCGGGGCCCACGCCCTGACCGCCAACATTAGCTGGGGATGCACCGCTATTGTTGAAGTACTGTTAATTAATGTCCTTAAGTTGGAAGATTGAAACATACACCTCTCAGCCAAATCTGCCGCCTTGATAAGTTTGTCGATACCTAACGTCCAAAGTATTGTTCAAAAGAGATTGCGTACGTGGCGAACCCGTTTCTTTCACATAAGGTATTGGTATTGATTCACAAGAGTATGAAGGCTCAGCTGTCCAAAAGATCGAAAAGAATATAAAGACACGGTTGGCTTCCCTTCCATACTAACCCTCGCTGACTCTGCCCGACGGTTGAAAACCAACACAGCCTCGTGCACAACTCTAGCACCCTACTCCCAGACGTAGATATGAGTGATCTGTCTGATTCTGCCCATTAGTCCTAACAAGTCCGACAGCTTGCGTACCGTTTGCCAATACATCGCTGCACATGCTCGCTTCTCATCTTCTCTTGGTTATGATTTTTTGTTTTTTCTTATTCAATCCTACCTCCTTAATATGCCTGCCCGGGCACTGGACCGTTGGAATGCGGCACATATGCCCCAGGGATGGGGACGGACGCGTAAGTCTGCTCGCCTGGTGCTGCGTCCACGTGTTGATGCACCCTCTCTTCCGGGGGAGGGGACATGGGCGGCTGAGGAGGTGGGCTTGTACCTGCTGTCTGCCTATCGAACCCTTCAGCAGCCGATGGCCTGGGACTTGCGTGATGAACTCGGATGGGTGGGGCTTGGAGCTTGAAAGGCGAGGCAGTCATATTCGACTTTGGCGAGGTAGTCGGCACAAATTGAGTTGGTGAGGTCCCTTGCTCTGCGACCGTATAGATGTCCATCGACTTCTGCGTCGGGAATCCTGGTGTTCTGGGGGTTTGGGCAAAGCCAGGTGTGTTGGGCGCCGACTGAGAGCGTAGTTGAGCGAGATATAAGTCAGTCCGAGCCCGGTCGCGGGCGTCCATGGATTTTCGGAGACGATTCTTGGACCAGAATCGGTAGAAGACGATGCCATAGATGGCAATCACAATAACCTCGACGACGACCTCGATGATGCAGCAGATCAAGCTCCAGTCTTGCAGGCGACAGACAAGGGCGTAATGGACATCATCTTGGAAAAGTTGTCGTCTCTTGTTGTCCTTGCAGCTCCAGCCCCAAAGATCTGTTCCACCGCCGCTAGCTTTGCTGCCGTGCAGGATGCCAGCGCCCACAAGCCACATGACGATACTGAACAAGAACCACCCCACAGCGAACATGGTGTAATAGACCGCCACCTTCTCGGCACGTCTATGTCCACCACGGCAGTAGGCTAGGACGACGATAATGGAGAACAGCAGAGAAATGCAGGCGATTGTCAGAACCACTATCTGGGGCCAGATTTGCTGCTTTGGTGCCCATGCAGGTAGACCGTTCCTTGGTGGCAGAGTCTTGGTGGCATGAAAGATGGTCAGGACTGTACTGAGCATAGCAAGCACGATCAACGAGCATGAGAAGTTGACTCCGCGAAGGACCATCTTCGCGATTCGGACTCGTTTCTTGACTTTCTGCAGGACAACGTCAGACAAAGGACTTTGGGCAAGGCGGCTCCATCACTTACCAAATCTTTGGCCTGCTGGACATCTGTCTTCTCTTCTTCTTTCTCGAGGACCTGCTCTTCTCGGAAGGTCGGGCTCAGAGGATTCAACATTCGACTGGCAGTACCGGGAGTCTTCAAGGCTGATTTGAGCGGAGCCCCGGCTGAACCATTGGGATCTCCTCTGATGATTGCGTGTTGCTCGATTGGTTGACTGTCTGATATATACCCAAATCCCATATCTGATGGTTTGGGCCCGTCGACGTTGTCGTTATCCATCTTTGGATCCGCAAATGGCGACTGATGTTCTCCAGGACCGGAAGCGGGGGACAAGACAGAGGTTGCTTCAGCGAAGCGGGTCCTCCGCACCGGGTTGGCAGAACGAGTGCTGGAAGCCGTCGAGTTTGTGCGGATGGAACGTGCTGTTGCGTTGATGTCTGATTTCTCGTCGAGGTCGATGGTGCGATATCGTCTCGAGCCGGCAGTGATGTCGATAGGCGAGACTGGTTCGAAGCCGGACGGTGACATGACTGAGCAGTGACTTCTTATTGCGGTGTGCGCTAAGAGCTCAGCGTAGGACAAGGATTCTCCCAAGGCTCTCTGGGATTCCAACTAAGGCGGCCAATGCTGACGTGAGACGAGAAAGACCCTGCAGCGTCGACGGGAAGAGATGCGAATGTATATATTCTTAATCTCTCAGACTTCGCTATGTTGTCGAGAACCAGCTCTTGATTATTTCAACATCAACGACAGAGGAGAAGATGGTGTAGAAGGAGAACAGAGGCGAGGGAAGAAGGCCGAATAATAGGTAACCGCTTGGGGACCTCCTAACGAAGAGCGCTTGGGAGATGTGATTTGATTACCGGCGGCCCGACAGATTGATCACCTTACGCAGGTATTGCCCGATGGATCGTGGCTCTGGAGTGTGGTATTCGTGGCCTTGAGAGAGGTGGAACAATTCTTGTGGCAATAGGCGCCCTGAGGTCGCGGGAGCGGTCTCTGTCTCTGCTTTTCAGGCCAGAAATGCCGGGTACGGGGTTGAATAGGAGGAGAGACAAGGGGGCAGTGCATACAACTTCAGTGTCACAGAGGATGGTCAAAGACAAAAGCAAGACTCAGCGAAGCCTGCGCGAGCTGCAAGACGAACAAAAGAGACGATATGCGTGTAGAAGAGAAACCGACAGAGCGAGCAGTATGGTGGGATGAGGGCAGTAGTAATGCGATTGAAGCAGCTTGCACTGTGCAGCGACTAATTCGATCCGCCATTGAATTAAGAATCTCGACTTGCGAGATGGGGACTTGCCGGGCGCTTGAAAGATACCAACGATGCATGGTCAACGTTGATACGGCGGCTGGGGAGCATGGAGGAAAATGAGAGGTGCAGGAAGGTGCTGTGAAGATGCAGCGCAGATGGAGCGAGCAAGGCAGTTGGCAGTGACGAAGTGGGATGGAGGGCCATGATTGGCCACCAGCACTTCTATACGCGCCCGGCGACAACAAATCAGAGGGGCTAGGAGGCTGAGGACAGAGCATCACCCGAAGGCATCTGCACTAGATTTCCGGACGATGTATCCTCCGTACAGTCTGGCCACTCATCCGTCAGGTGAGAGACGGGATGGTGTTTCTGTGAGCAGGGGATGCGATATGCTGCAATACACACTCTGAATAATAGCGGTAATGAGCCATGACAAGCCCCATGACCCTGTGAGGTAAAGAGAGTCTCGAGAGTGATTGATTACTGTAGGTTCCTAGCAGTAGTGCAGTACCTACCTAAGGTACCTAAGGCGGATCCCCCTCATCCTGGCCTCCTTAGCCCCAGGTATGCCCCCCCAGCCTAAGGACGATCTGGCCTCCTAGCCAGGGTCCTTAGTGCTCCTTCATGGGGTCTTTGGCATCTGCCAGCGCGGGTCCCCCTGTCCTTCTCCCCTCTAAATTTGGCCCCTCCTTTGCAAGTTGCCTCCCGCTATTTTTGGATCCTTTAGGTGCTTGGTTAATTGCGCAACTCAACTGCTCTTTTGCTATCACCTGTTCTATGTTTGGAATATCGAAACCATCACATTGATTAGAGCTGTCAAAGTTCTAGCTAGACTCCTGCTTTGCCGAAGTGCATCTCAATCGTGGTGCTAGTACGAAGTATATCGCTCTAATGACCATTGCTCGTAAAAGAAGCGGTGTGCTGTATGTAAGACGATGCATAGGTTTCTGCCTCGCCTAAGGTCTGCACGCATGATAACTGTCCATCTGTCTTGTAATCCTCCCATGTCCTTTGTCATCCAAGAACTAGTACCACCAGTACTGTACTATTCCGGCACCCCTTTCTAGCAATATGCCACAGAAGGCTGAATTCTGGCGTACTGCTCGAGTCCTCTTGACTTCACCACTTTCTTGACCTGTGAGTTGCTAACCTTGGTCTTGTCGCCCAATGGGATTCGGATCCTCAGTGCCTTGGTTGCCTTCTTGCGCGCCTCTTCTTTTTGTTTCTTCTCCAGTGCTGCTTGCTGTCGTGCTTCCCGCAGTACCTTCTTCTTGCCTTCGGGAGACATCATTTTGGTCTCCAGTTCCTTGGCTATCCCTTCGATCTTGTTAGGATGGAACCGATCGTGCATCAACTTAATGTTCACGCGGTCAAGCCCGTCTCCGGCGAGGTTGAGGAGAGGACTGGCCCAACTCTCATTGGTCTCCAGTCGACAAGGCCAATCGAAAAAGGTCAAATCGAGACTCAATCTCTCAAGGCCTGTCATCTTCTGCTTGATGCGCTCCAAGGTCATGCTCCATTTATCATCATGCCGGAGCTTCCACACGCGATCCTCCATCCATTGTGGTTCGGCGTATCCCTTGTGAGTCATTTCGATACTTCCGATGCTTTTGGCTGCTGGGCCAGGGATAATGCTCAGGAACTTGTTGATCACAACAATTCGGTCGAAACAGAATGTGGTCCGCCCGTAGACGAATTGAACGGCTTCCTGATTCATTTGGCGACAAGTGAGGAGGAGAGAGATTGGGGCCACATCTCCGGTGAACTCCCCGACTATTCGATACCTTGGTCGCTTGTGCTTCTTGGTTGGGATCTTCGACTTGAGTCGCTCAAGCTCTTTCTGAGGATGACTGCCTGAGAGGACTACTCGTGTCTGTGGGACAACAAGATCGTATATCTTGTTTCTGATCTCACCAGGTAGGTCGAGGAAAGGAAACGGCTTGGAAGGTTGAATGAGACTCGTGACAGTAGGTGAGACTACAGAAAGAGTAGGCGCAGGACGAGAACGGGGATGAACGAAGGAGGGTGTTGGGGCTCGGAGTTGAGGAATAGGACGTAGGATATGTTGGCGATTGCGGCAAGGGAGAATTCGATTTCTCTTTGGCGAAGACATGTTGCCGAATCGGCCGTCGAGGGAAGGCGATATCGAAGTATCAGTGGTGAGGTCAGTCTAGTACTTCATGAACTGATACTGCTCCGAGGCTGGCGATGCTGTAAGAGGTGAAGACTGGTACCAACTCCAAGACCGAGCGAGCAAGTCGTCGAATGAGATGCCAACGGAAGAAGGATGCAGAAGTCGATGATGGAAGTCAAAGAACAGAAAGACAGGTAGGCAGAAGTCACATGACAGTTGATCGAGGAGTCATGAATAGAGAAGGCTCTCTCAATAGGAACAATAACAGACTCAAGTCCTATTGACACCAGTCGAAAAATGCTGTCAATGCATTGGAAATGTACCGGCAGTGACGGACATTTACCTAAAATACGAGATTCACTTCGAGTGAGGCGGAGGTGAAGCGAAGTTGAAAGTGAACGAACCTTCAAAGTTGTTACTCATAGGTGTTGTGCAGTCCAGCAATATTAAGAAGTCTGTGGAGCTAGGCGCGGGCCGGTTTCGAGGCTCCATACTCAGCTTAGGCACCTGGACAACATACACACTCCGTAGATGTATGTATGATGCTGAGAACCTGGCAAGATATACGCGCAGAGAAGTACTACCATAGGTACCTAGCCTTGACCGCACGGAGTGCACGCGGATAGGTGCAACGTCAAACATAGCTTCTGGGAGCCCAGACTATGCTTAGGTAGTCTTGCTCCCTCATCCATCCGTGATGCACGTCACAGGTGTACAGCATCGGGATTGCTGGTGGGAGGTTGCATTCTTCGAATCACTGGTGGCACCGCCTGCACTTGGACTTGTGTTTCCCAAACCATCACTGTCCTACCTCCCAATTCTTCAATGCTGCAAGGCTGGCCTCTGCGTCGCCCGCTGCAAACCAACCTAGAGTTGGGCAGGCGGATTATCTTTATTCCGTCGCATGTTTCTTGCACGTGACTGTCAGGACGGCTAGATGACGACAAGGCGATGGAGGATTTCTCGGCAGCATCGGCAATGTGCGGCGGCTGCGGCTGCGGCTTCTGTTCAACGGTGCCACACCACACCAGGCATGCCTCCATTGTACTCCACGTCTGCAGGAACCATGCCAGATGACATCGGAGAGAACCCGGCTGGACGGAAAAGAGCATTCAAAGCTTGCCAAAGATGCAATACCCGAAAGGTGAAATGCGATGCAGCCCGGACAGGCCTGCCGTGCACCAGATGCCGGGTCGATGGTGCTGTAGGATGCACCTTCATCACCTCTCGCCGGGGCACCTACAATCGCTGGCGATCGAAATCGAATGCACCGACCCAAGATGCATCCCTTGGTGGTTCAGCTAGCATTCTTCCCTCACGGGAGTCGTCCTCGGCACAAGAAGGACCAGATAGTGCGGTGCCACTGGAAGCAGATGCTCCCTGTCCCAGCTCCGCCAACCCATCACCCGCTCACGATTCAGACAAGAATCGATCAGAGATTATCGGGGAGTCGGAACACACCAGAAGCAACTCCCTAGCCGTGATGTTTGAAAATTTCCTCAAGCAACAAGGTCGAGATGCGGAGGGCCTGGTAGGCAAACATGGGTTTGTCCTATTAGGAGACTCCTCACCTCTGACATTTGCTCTAAAAGAGGTTCTGCCTGAAAAGCGAGTCGGAATTCATACGGAGCGAGAGACCCCGGGTGGTGGCGAGGTACCCATATCACGCCAACGGTCCGCCCATCCATCACACCTATCCGCGGCGGATATTACTTATTTGCAAGCCAAAGGAGTCTTCAATGCACCCAATTCCGAATGCCTACGTGCTCTGATTGATGCCTTCATCGGAAGTTTCTATCCCTTATATTCCATTGTGAACAAGGCCGAATTTCTCGAGCATCATCAATCAGGAACCACCCCTTGGATCTTGCTACATGCAGCATGTCTCATTGGGGCGGCTTACTGTGACATCGGCGTTATCAAGAGTGCGGGATTCAAAACCCGCCAAAGCGCACGCCGATTCTTCTACGACAAGGCCAAGGTTCTTTATGATGTGGGTTACGAAACCAACAGTGTGGTATTATTGCAGGCCATTATTATCTTGACGTTCTGGGGCCCTGACATGAAGAGCTACTGGAACCCCTGCTCATGGGTGGGTGTCGCTGTGACGATCGCCGAATCTTTGGGAATCCATCGCTCGACGGCCTTTTCGTCATCTCATCAAGACAAAGGTCTTCTGAGGAGGATGTGGTGGGCAATTGCAGTTCGAGACACGTACTGCGGGACTCTTCTAGGACGGCCTTTCCGAGTTAACATGGGCCATTGCGACACCGCGATGCTGACACTGGACGATTTCGGCCCGGAACAGGGACAGACCGATCCCGCAGATGAAAGTCGGCTTTCCATGCTGTATCAAATCCAGCTTGCCAAACTGTCACTGATCCTGCGCCACATCATTAACACACGCTTCAACCCAGGATTTTCGTCCACTCCACAGAGTCTACATGAGATGCTTGCTCACTGGCGGAGTGAGCTGCCGCCTGCCATCAACTGGGCTGATTCAGGACCCTCACCGTCAATGTTTGCCGAAAGCCTGAAGATCTTATTCCATCACCACATGATCTTTATTTACCTTGCTCGTCGAGACACGTTGTCCGACGAGCCGCCGCCGCAACTGGATTCCGAGTCCGCGACGTATGAGATAGCGGAATCGGCCGCCCAAACAATCGCCTCGACGGCATTGACTCTAATGACCAAATCAATGATCCATTCGATGCCGCAGGAAGTGTTCCCGGCCTTCTTTGTCGCAGGAATAGTCTTCTCCCGGCTCATTCGCAGATCATCACCTCTGATCGCACAACTAGGTCAAGCAGCCCTCGACAACTGTCAAATAGTTCTGAACGAAGTTCGGGATTGTTGGGATCCTGCCTTCTGGGGCTTGCGTATCTTTGAATTTCTCCAAGCCGCCATCAAGAAAGCTGGCACGTCCGGCAATGCTTCCGACGCCGTCAAGGGACCGACAAGCCAGTCGTCGCTGGCAGGGGCAATGGAAAATCGCAGGACGGAGAACATAATCTCAAGTCCAGAATACTATGCGCTGCAAAATACATTCGAGATGGGACCTGCTATCCACAATTTCCAGAATGCTGCTCAGCAGAGACAGCTTGACATGAGCTTGCAAACCCAACTCTATGACCGCTTTTTAGACCCGGACAATTACTTTATGATGCCAACATCTCTCGGAGTATCAGAATACGCTTTCGACATGTCCCAATGGTGACTTTCACCTGTATGTTTGCGCCAAACCCACGCATAACGAGGAAGAACAAAATGATAAACTCCATCCACATATTGGACGAGGCATCAACCGCCGCGGCCAACCCAACGCCGTACAGCCGAGAAGAGAGACCTCCAACTGGATCAGGCAAAAGCCTGCACGCCAGTGATTGCCCTCCCTAGAATCAGGGCGTGGATATCACTCTGGCCCTCGTATGTCTGCGTGACGTAAAGGTTGGCAACATGCCGGCCGATGTGATACTCATCACTGGCAGCATTTCCGCCAAAAATTTCCTGCAGAGTGCGAGCATGGAATAAGGCGCGGTCGCAATTCTGCCGCTTGATAAGTGATATCATCTCCGGCGTGGCTTGCTGCCCGGCGTCGGCGTCGGCGTCCTTCAACCGGCCGACCTGGTGCGCGGCGAGGATGCCGTAGGCGGCATCTGTCATAGCATCGGCCAGTTTCTTCTGGATGAGCTGGAACTTTGCGAGTGGCTGGTTGAACTGCTTCCGCTCGAGCGCGTAGGTGCGTGCCCGGGAGAGGCTGTCTTCCAAAGCGCCCATCACACCCCAGGCAATCCCATAGCGGGCGGAATTCAAGCAAGTGAACGGGCCCTTGAGGCCGGACACATTCAGCATGTTCTGCTCGGGGACCGGGCAGTTGTCGAGTTGAATCATACCCGTGATCGAGGCGCGTAGGCCAGTCTTATTCTTGAGGGCTGGTGTCTCGAGCGTGCCGGGCGGACAGGCGTCGCGTTCGACAACGAAGCCCTTGATCACTCCGTCCAGTTTGGCCCAGACCAGCAAAAGGTCGGCAATGGGGGAGTTTGTGATCCACGTCTTCGCGCCTGAGAGCGAGTAGTATCCCTTTTTAGTGGGATGCGGCTTCGCCGTGGTTTCCATCGACCCCGGGTCCGAGCCGTGGTTGGGCTCGGTCAGTCCAAAGCAGCCCACCAACTTTCCCTGCCCTAGTTTCTCTAGCCATCTGTCCTTCTGGTCCGGACTGCCGAACTGCTCGATCGGCCCCATCACCAGCGAACTCTGCACCGACATGCCAGAGCGGTAGCCCGAATCGACTCTCTCGACTTCGCGAGTGATCAAGCCGGACGCGACACTACTGACCCCCGCACACCCGTAACCCTTGATGGTCGCACCCAGGAGACCTAGCTCGCCCATCTCGCGCAATATCTCACGGTCGTAGGTCTCGGTCCGGTACGCATCCAGGACGCGAGGCAACAGTTGTTCTTGACAGTACGACCGCGCGGTATCTTGGATCCCTAGTTCCTCTTCTGTAAGCAGACCCTGGGATCCGAGAGGGTCCTCCCAGTTGAATTGTGGGCGTGTCGAGGCGAATCTGCGCTGCATGTCGACTCGCCATGTTCTGGACACGAGGCGTTTCGTCATGTTGAGGGCCAGAGAAGACATCTCGGACTTTGGAAACCTGAAACTGTTGTCACAAACAACTCTGTTGTCTGTAGTGGGCTTCCTGTGAGAGTAGAGAAGAGAACAAAAGAAGTGCCTGGCTGTCTCCGCTCGAGGCGACACCACAGACCTATATGTGGATGTTGAAACCAAGACCAGCGCGCTTCATGCCCGCGACCGTGGACCAAGGGCCGAGATCTGGATCCTGTCCGGAGTACCTCGGGAGCACTCCAGGTGCATGTTACCGACAGTACTGAAGTAAGGGACCAATCCATATCCATATTACCGACACTCGGCAAGAACGTGGATATCTATGGATACATAGTGCGTACTTCTATCAGAGTCCGGCAGACCTGTTCGGCTATCAAGTTCAATCCAAGCCATGGAGCCGACACAAGATACCTCCTCATAGAAGACACTGCACCGTAAGGCAACTGATTCCTCCGTCATCCGATTTATCGTCTCTTGCCGTCAGCTTTGGCGGGCGTCGGCGCCGGGTGGAGAGGCATGTAGCCGAAGCTAGGTCATTGGAGTACAGCGGGCAGGACGGAGTATATTGCCGCTGCCGGGCCATTTATTGCTTGGACTCTGTACGGATACCTACATAAGATCCCCTAGGTGAGGCGAAGTACATAGGTACCTAACAATTGATGGCGCGCAAGTTCGACGACATACGAAGCATCCGAATGATGGCCAAGCACTTCAAAATCCCAATTACTAATTAGTTGCGTGGTAGTAGCAGCACCAGGATAAAGTGATACAGCGGCGAATTCGCGGTGCATCTGTTCATTTGATATCATATTCAAGTTATGGGCAAAGTGCCGTGCCGTCTTCTGGTGCCTGCCATCACCATCGGCGTCATTCCAAAGTTCCACCATGCCGCGTGTTATTAAGAATCCACCGGAGCATCAATGTGAGATAGCGCGCTGTTCGTGAAGTTATTGATCTTCTCTCGCTTCCTCGTCGACCTGCTTGGCCCGGAAGTCCCAGTACTTCCGCCTGACGGGATCCCATTTGTTTGCCAGGGCGTGGAGGCAGCGCTTGCTCGAGTCGAAGTGGCCGGTCAGGCGATAGATGTCAGCAAGCCAGTCGAGGGCATGACTGCTCCTGACGGAGTCGCTCATGAGGTCTGCGTGTCTGCCGCCGACGAAGCCTTCGCAAAAGACCTGCATGTCGGCGACCGAGATGGCCGCCCGCTGCAGCACGCCTTTCAGGTAGTTCCAGGCACTGGGATTCTGCGGAGCCCAGGCAATGTGGTCTTTGGCGTAGTTGATCTCGCGCTCGACCAGGTCCTCGTCCACGACGAGGCCGCCCTTGGCCAGGATCTCTTTGCGGTTGCCGCCCTCGGCTTCGATGGCCTTCAACTCGTCGGCGCCGAAGCAGACGAAGTAGCGGTGGTTCCATGCCGAATTGTTGCGCACGTCTTCACTGATCAGCGCGTCCACAGCTTGGAGCTCCATCTCGGTCGTCAGCAAGGGGTCCGGAAACCGTCGGCACAGCCATTGCCGGTACGTCCAGACGTGGTAGTTCTTGGAGTCGAAGGAGAGTATGTGAGCCACAAACTCCGGCTCCGTGGTCGGGAGTTTCGGTAGCAGCGAGACCAGGAGTTGTCGGTGATGCCTGGGATGGAAGTTCAGTATGAGGTCGAGAACGACGGCGACTTCTTGCTGTTGCTGTAGCCAGATAACTAAGAGAAACGAACAAAGGAAGAGAGGAAACTGGCAATATAGCCAGCGAGGGAAACGGAACATGTGACGTCGGACAGGACCGGCCAGGCCGGTCGCTTATCGCTTACCAGATTTGATAGTTCTTGAGATTCCGTTCACTGATCTCCTCCAACCAGTCCAGCTCCGCCATGACCCCATCCTCGGTCCGCGTGCCCTCGCTTTCCCACAGCGCCTTCAGAATCTTCACTCGGTACAGCCAGACCGTGTAATGGGCCGGGTTCATGCCGATGATGTCTTCCGTCAACTCGAGCGTGCGTCGGCTGAACTCGTTCACCGCCATCACCGCTCGCAAGTATGACATGGCTTCGCTGTAGCGCGGTGAGTAGGCGATCGTCGCCAGTGCAGGACCGGGATCTTTCTGGCCCGGTGGGCCCTCAATGAGAGGGATTGGGCTGACGTCCGACCATCGAGGCGAGACCGCATAGAACGGTTCTCTCTTCTTGGCCGATTTGTTCTTAGGCCTACTCGGAACCGCGGAGGGCTGGGCTTTCGACATGGCTGCGACGTCAAGGTTCCTGGTCTGATGGATTCTTTCGTGAAGCGCAGCGGTATTCGTGCATCACAGACTGAAGCATGCGTTTGAGAAAGTCCTAGGGCGGAACACTAGAAGATATTTGCAAAAGTCACTCCAGATGCATGTCTCCCTGTATACCCGGGGTCCTACGACCTTCGTAGGCAATGTGGCGATGAAACTGATGGGAAGCAGCTGAATTCTTGCCTAGGACTCTGGGGTTGGAATGAGAGAACAATACCAGTCGGAGCGGAGCCGGAGCCCTTAATACGGAGTTCAGAAGTTGGTATTGTCCGGCACCTATCCGGTGTGGCTGAGGCCTTACATAAGCCACGTGACAGGCTGCAAAAGCTCCTCCTGATTCACGGAGCCGTAGCCCTCTCATCGCAGACTGCCTCCCACCTCCTAGGTGCCTCCCTACAAGACATTTTTTGATATCATATCTCTACAAGATAGTAGTACATGTCACACAGCCGTGATTGTCCGTCTCCGTCCTTCAGTCATCGCCATTAGATGTTACTGCCATGCGCCGCGCTCGAAATACATGCATAAGGATCCCAAAAATAGTACCGCATGCTCTCCTTCACTGCCAGAATTTCCACTCGGGCCTTCTGTCGAGGAGGCCAACACCAACTAAGGTTTCCAGTTCTTCCGGTCCAGTGGCATTTAGGAATTTCTTTTGGTCGATTTCCTCGCCGCCTTCTTCATCTGTGCCATTGCGCAAGACTGCAGGGTACAGAATGCCCACGCCACTCCCCCCCAAGGTAGTCTTGTGCTCTTCGAACCCAGCAGCCTCGAACTTTCGTTGCAATTCGCGAATTGCTTCGTCATCGACATGACGCTTGAGTAAAGTGATGGCACATCCACCCCCGCCCGCTCCTGTCAGCTTTGTCCAGCCGATATCGGCGTAGTCCACCAGTTCACGGATATGCTCGAGCTTGGGATGAGACACCCCAAGTGATACCAAAAGGCCGTGATTGATGCGAAATAGATCTCCAAGATATTCAATGTTTTCTTCGGATGAAGGGTCAAAGTTTTCCGACGTGATCAAGGCATGCGCTGACATCGTGACTTCATCGATGCTATCTAGGGTAGCCTCCGTAACACCGGGGTACTTTTTCTTCAGAGCAGCCACTTTGGCCACTTCCGTGGCCGTGGAGCGAGGCTGTTTGGTATTGATCAACAACAATGGTAGTTCCGGGAAGTCCTTCAATGGACGTGAATTTGGTGGTTTGGAATAGTCCTCCCTCTTGAACAGCACTGCCCGCCCACGAGTCGAGACCGTGTTATCAACTCCGCTTGGATTGCCATGTATACATAATTCACCCACAAACGCCCACTTGTTTATTCTTTCCAGCTGCAGATCCACTTCTTCCTCTGGCTGGTCTTGATGCGGTCCAGAGAGGACATGGATCTGCTTGAGGAGAGCAGCACTGATGCATACGCAAACGCTGGCACTGGAACCGAGTCCGGCTCCAATTGGGAGGGTGGAGCGGAGGGTGTAGATGCTGCCTGGTGCGGTAGGAGAACTTAAACTGAGGAACAGATAGAGGAAAGAAGATGCTGCGCTCTGGGATATCTTTCTCTTCTCGCCAGTCAGATGCGGCGACACGCCGTCGATGTGAGGTTGCATGGCCTGAACAAGATCGGGATCCAGCGATGTGACCATGTCATAGTATCGAGGCTTTTGCGCAAGCTTTGTAAAGACGTGCCAGGGCAGGTCGTCAATGTTCCAGGTATGATCGAGTCCAACATCGGGGAATACCACGGTGATCGTGCGCTGTGATTTGGAGAGGGTCGTGACGAGGAGGTAGGATCGGAGGGAGATCGAGGCAGCAATGGCGGCTTTCCCATGCACCACAGCATGTTCGCCAAACACGATGACCTTGCCCGGAGCAGAGACCATAAATGTGGGCGCCATTGGGGAGGAGGGTTTGCGCGACATGAGGTTCCTGTCTTTCGGGTGGCCATTTACGCCGTTGGGTCGACTGTTTCCGTTCATGATTGTCTCGACCCGATGGATCTTGGCCTGCGATCAGGAGAGGAGGGAGCCCCCGGGAAACTGAGGGAGAGGAAGGGAAAGTGAGACGACCGGGCTGTATACGGACAGACCTCAGACCTCAGACCTCAGCGCACCCACCAGAAAATCCAGCTCTGCGGGCGATGGAGGGACCTAAGGACTGACACTGGCAGTGGAGCGCGAGGCGCACGTTAAAGGACAGGGCGCAGGCAAGAGTTGAAAGGGGGACTGTTCGCCTTCTTAAGTGGGGTGATTAAGCATTGTTAGCCCGAAATTCCGGGGGAGAGTTAGGGACCAAAATAATTTTAGGGGCTGCTTATCACCTTTTAGATAGGCTTAGTGATCAGGCACCCCGCTAACGAAGCCGTCGTCAATCTTACTTCCGGGTGGCACCATCGCCGGCACTTCCAGCCAACTGCAACTGGCCTGATTACGATCGCCTCTCACCACAGTCACCAATGACCATGCACCGATCCTGCTCAATAGACGATGGTATCACGCTACGTTACCTATGTAGGTACCTAGGTACCCAGGTATGTAAAGGTCCTTAGGACGAGAGAGGTGTTACGTGCAACTGCAACGAGCACTGCTTCATTCACTTGCACCCGTGTCTGAATCACTCAGCTCTTCGAATCGGCCTTCATCCCTTGCCTGCTCCACAGGATTCTTTACGTCGACAACTCCGGTCGACTTCAGCCTTTCAAAGAGTACAAACAGTCGTTCCGCTTCTCGCTCTTTTTCTTCATCTGTCATCTTTGGTAAGCTATCTGCTGCTTCCTTGTCTATCCGTTGGCCGGTGACTGGGTTGATGGGAACGTGCGTGGATGCTTCGCCTGCCCACTGAGTGTTCTTCGCGCTTTCTGGTACCTGGATGTTGTGGGTCATCAAATACCCAGCAGCGTAGCCATAACCAACGTTCTTGACATATTGATTGGCATCTTTATCCGACAGCTCGAACATGAGTCCGGAGATGGCTTCGGTCAAGATCAGCAGTCCGGAAGATGTCGTCAGTCGAAGCAACCGAGACGCCAGAGATGACGATTTCCCAAGAGGCAGATCTCTCTCCTTGTCCTCTGGAAGAAGACGTGCCTTCATTATTTGCCGCAGTTCAGGGCCTGCCTTCTCATTGACATTTCTCAGCGCAGTCAGCAACGGAACCGCAATTGTGTCCAACTCCGCGGTCGGATACTTCTCGAGTGCTTGTTCAAGGATTGTGATCAACTTGGCCACTCCTGATTCAACCTCACGTCCCTGTTTGAAGGTCTCCTCATCGAGCTCAAGATTTGCCAGTGCATTGATGACGAGACTTATGGGTGGCTGCAGCGGCGGGGATGGGATGTCGGAGTCATTAAGTATCCGGAACAACTCAACAACGGCCGGACTGAACTTTTGAAGTTGAACACTTTTGGCGCTTGTCACGTTGAAAAGTAGCACAAGATTCTCCTGGAGTGCTGGCGTAGGGGTCTGAATGAACCTGGCTTTCGAACTTCTGAGGGCTTCAGCATGCCGGTGAAGATGTTTGACGATGCTGTCGGCAAGGCCATGCACAACAATCAGCGTATTCAGGTCAATCTCGGGGTCATAGGTCAGTAAAAACAGGATGCGGCTCAGGAGAAATTCATCATCCTGATTCGCATCTCGCAGAGCATCCGCTGCTTTTGCGGCTAGCCCGAGTTTGAGTGCAAATGGATGTGTTCGAGGGAGCAACAGGAGAGCATTTGCGATGCATCTCATTGCTTCCTGACGTCCACCGGGAGGATAGTTGCCAAAGGCATAGCTTGCCAGGACTTCCAATCCAGCCTGGTCGTAAATTTCGGCGACATTTCCCACATCTCGTCCTAGGAGTTTAAGATTGGAAAGTGTCTCCTCCAGTCGCCTGAGATCGGGTTTCTTCGCTTCTAGGTCGTCTTTAAGGAAACCGAGCAATGCTCGGGCCTCGTTTTGTTGAGCTTGACTTGGCATCGTCCAACATGGAGCAGGTACCTCGCCGGGTGAGTAACGAAAGTCTGAAAAGAATCTCTCCAAAGATAAAGTTATGGCAATGCACTGCCGCGAGACTCACACTGAACCATTTGATGTCAGGGTCTTTGATAGTGGACTGACAATGGGCCGAAGAAAGCAGAACGTCGCAGAAATTAATACTGTCAGACAGAAGGCTAGAGCTGGTAGAATGGGCTAGGTTTTGCGGAGGCGAAGAATAAATGGTCTTGTCAGTCAACTGAAAATTTCCAGCCAACTAGATACCAGGCGGCTTGCGGCATTGAGGTGTTAGCGTCTGGGGTCTGAAGCGGGCTGGCGCCTCAGTTTAGGGGTCTGAAGTGCGCCTAAGCCCCCGAGCACGCGTCCAAGAGACCAGAGACGCGTTGAGTGGCTGGTCGTGACATGGAATTGCCATATTCCATCAGCCACTTCCAACGCGCTTCTTCTTCATGGACTGTCTCCTCAAATATCAGGGTGACGGGAGACTGCGGGCAGCCTCGACAACTGTTCACTTTTATCCTACACTGCTGCCAATGCCAATGCCAATACCCGGCTTCATGATCTGATATCTCCCAGCGAACATGTCTGTTCCTGGAGTTCTCCCCCCAAGTCCACCCTCAACCTCCTCTCGAAGGAAACTGCGTCTTCCAAAAAGCTTGGTACATTCTACCGACGCTCCGGACTCTCCAGCGTCCTTTGCTGGTTCCTCAAACACCAGGACACGGAAACGCGTCGAATTCTCTCCTTGGACAAACGCCCACGAACCGCCGTCATCGTCTAGCCAGCCCCCTTCCACTCTCCTACCAGTCAAGTCACTCCCTCCTTCTTCGGAATGCCCGTCGTCCTTGAAATCGATCCTTAAACCCGTTGTGGCAGAGGACAAGATGCCGCAACCAGTTGGTGGAAGGCAAGATGTCGACCGCTCAATTGGAGAGATGATGGGCAGTATCATCCAGCAACTCTCCCAGGATGACAGGTCTATTTCAGTGGACGCATACCAGACGCTTGCCTCGGTCATTAGGGAATACGATGAAATACCGGAAGAGGCAGTCTTGAAGAACAAGATCAACACAGTCCTCAAGTATGTCAAACGAGATCTATTGAGACAAGTCAAGCCTGATGAACCACAAATCGCCGATACAAATGTCATGACACAGGCGTTGAAGGTACTGGTGATATTTGTATGGAGACGCGACTATGCCTCTCTGCTGTCAGACGAGTATCGCGCCTTCATCCTCGATCGGTCGATTCAGGTCATTACCGAGCATACGGCGCCGAAAAGCGTGATCATCCACTATCTCCACCTTCTGGCAACCCAAGATTTCCGTCCAGGCCTGGTCACTTCCAATAATCGTATTGGACGACTACTCGAAGCCTTGAAGGCTCTTACGGAATATGTCAAGGGCAATGGGGCTGTATCGGAGCGACTTTTGGTCTACCAAAAGCTATTGGATCAAGCAAAACCTGTGATGAAAGCAAAGGCCAACCTCTGGGTCGAAGAACTGTTGACCGGCATGACAAGCTCGTTGAAAGACATCAGAACCAAAGCGATGATGTTGGGTATGAAGTCATGCTCTGCATTCCCTGCCTCCTCATCCATCTCGACGGCAGTCAGATCTGTCATGGGAAGAGAGTTGGAACCTAACAAAACATTCAACTCAGCTATGTGTCGAAGACTCGAGAAGATGATCTCTTCCAAAGAGGAAGCACTCCAGGTTCCTCAAATCTGGGCAATCGTGCTCTTGCTGAGTAATGGTGCTGATACGCGGATCGAGAATTGGCCCGAGTTGAAAGATCTATTGAAGGTCATTCAGAGATGCTTCAACTGTAGCGAATCTGCTATCCGCCAACAAGCCAACATGGCTTGGAATCGGTTCGTTTACATTGTCCGGCCACACGACACCTCGGAGACTTTGATGGCAATGCTTGCGAAGCCTCTCGCTGCCCAATTAGAACGGCAGGGCACTGAGAAAACCGTGAAAGGCTCGAGACCGACGGCCGTCTCAAGTTATTGTAACCTGTTATACTACGCCTTTCGACCAGCAGCTTCGCATAAGCAGTACACCCGGGTCTGGAACGAGTACGTCGTCAAAGTCATGAAAAGTTCATTTTTCGAGAAGAACAATGCCAACTCCGACCTCTCTTGTCGTGTGTTTATCGCGCTTTTGTGGAATGCCAGTACAAGCACCAAAGTCTGGAATGAGAATCGTGCTCTTGAAAACACGCCAATCGAACCAGAGGAGCTTCCCACGATCGACTGTAAATGGATCAGATCCAGAAGCGCCTCAATTATCGATATGTTTCGAGTCTTGCTCCGGTACAGCTCTTGGGGAGCTTCTGGCGAGTCGGAGAGAGCATACATTGCTGTCGCCTGGACGCATTTTCTGAAGGCTCTGCGAGAGTCCAGCAGCAAGGAGATCAAGCCATCCTTGGAAACCAAGCATGCTGTGACCGGGGTTGTCGACTTCCTCGGACAGCTATGGACAGACTCTCGACAAGAAGTCAGTGGTCCTTATGATCACGACCACTCTGTCAGTAGCCCCCAGAAGCGACAAATGACCCGGATTGCCGTTCACGAGCTTGATCATATGCTGATCTTAACTGGAATCGAGAATGGCTCTGTTGCACCACGCAAAACTCCCATCCTCATGGCAATCTTTGACTCTATTGCTTCGGACTTGAAGCAGCTTGAGGAACCCAGTGACATGCGCTCGCACCTGCCCACGTCGAGAAGTACACTTCCAACACTTCAGTCTCAAAGCGAGAAGTGTCTAGAACTACTCAACTCACTGGTAATTCAAGACTTGAAATCAGAAATGGCCATCAATCCGGCTACTATGGGCGAGAATCTTGAGATACTTCAGCATGTACTCCAACAAACTGCCGAAAACCATCGACTGGGGAGTCTCAATTTGCTGAGCACGTCGCTGGCAATTTTGTTGAAGGATGAATCACACAGGCTAGGTGGTCCGGAGTATCACAAGTTCAGCAACACTGTGGTCAAGCTGCTAGCGGAGGTACCTTTCACAGCTGTGCAGCTGTTTGATTCCCTCTTTGCAGCCCCTTTCGAGAGCTCTCATGTCTGGGTGGTTAAGAACGCCGTCAAAATGTGGTCGAAGCAATTCAGTCAACACGTACAACTTACCCCGGGAACTTGTCTATCCAAGGCTCTTCTCAAGCTTGAGAATTTAGTTGACACTGGAGTTCCAGTTCGAGTACGGATTGCAGAAGGTGCGACTGGCTTCGATGAACCTCTACCAGCTCTCGAGGAATCTACGACTCCCGTGTCATCTAGGCATGCATCAATGAGCCCAAATGATGACAAAGGGCCAGGTGATGCCTCGCCACTGCTGGGCAGCCAGGTTGGCAGATTTGTGGATGCTGAAGCTACGGGGGACATTGCTTCCAGTCCTGAAAGACCTTCCTCCAGACCCAGATCGCGACATAATGATTCTCAGATTGACTTCGTGGCAATCAACTCATCACCGCCTTTGCATGACGAGCCAGAATCCCAATACCTCACAGCACATCAGAAGGAGGTTCGCGAACGGCAACGCTCAGAGCCCGCCGTGGTGTTCCCGGACCTAAGATCGAGCCCGAGGCAGCCCGGCAAGTCACAAAGCCAAAGTGACTGCGAATTTGCCCGGAAAGCCGCTGCGCTGGCGGAAAGACCATCAACACCTACTTTGCCAACGCATCAAGATCAAGGAGAGCCGGAGATAATGGCATCCCCGACCCCTCGTGCTCGACAGTTCACTCAACAAATTACGGATCTAGAAGTTCCTTCATCACCACCTTCAATGTTAGATAACCAGGGCAAAGAGGCTGGTAAACTAGAGCTTTCATCTCCGCTTCAGAAGCCTGCAGATGATGCTGAAATTGGGATTGACCTTGCAATTCCACAGCCTGATGACCCATCAGTGGAGCCCATGGCGGAAGAAATAGAAGAAGAAGGCCACATGGCCGTGGATCACGCAGAAAATGCCACCAAGTTGCGGTTGATTGCTGTAGCCGAAGATGAAGTGGAATCTCAGAAAGACAGGCGCCGAGACCGTCGTCGGACTGCAAGACCTGTGGATGCACCACCGAAGACTCAACCAGCAGATTTTGCCCCATCTACTGTGCCGGAAACCATGTTGACAAGCGATGAGAATGGCCAGGAGCACAGCCAAAGCCATATTGGGGACCACAACACCGATAGTGACGAAATCGATATGCTTAGCGCCTCGCAGTTATCTCAGGACCTCGACCGACATCTAAGTCAGACTGTGGATGATATTGCCATCCAAATTGCAGGGGAAGCTTCTGGCGTGCAGCCCTCAAACCACGAAGGCGATCGCCAGCTCTCCAAACCGGACTCCCGGCATCTGCGCAAACGGAAGTCGAGCAATTTGACGGCACCGTCGAGCAAGAGAAGAAGGTCAAAGGCATTGTCACAGTTATCTTCCGCTTCATTCGAGTCGCAGATGTCCTCTATGAATGGTAGTCAGACAGGTGAGATTTTTGACACTATCGAAGTGATGGCAATTCAGCCAGTGGCTGCTTGCAATTTCGCGGAAGAGACACGATCGGCTCCAAGTAAGGCAGAACAACCTCCCAAGCGTCGCCGCGGCAAACGCCGAAGTGCTCGGAATCGGTCACAAGAGCATGCAAAGCCAGCAGTCGAGGTTGTTGTGAGCACCCGTCGTCCTGAGGCGGCTTGCTCAATTGACGCGACAGCTGTTCAGAGTCAGGAGGTTGATGCCGGTTTGCGAGTACAACAAATCATGCCCTGTGACAGTCCTGTTGTCGCTGTGGAACAGGCGCCAGCGCCCAAGGCTGTAATGGCCATGGAAGAGGGGCGCACAGTTGCTGAGGCTTCTGCTCAAGTGGAGACGGGTGAAGGAAGTTGTGAAGCTGACATCGTCTCGTCCTTACAAGCGATCCTCGATCGCCTCAAAGCGACAAGACCGGAAAAACTGGACTTGCGGGCCCTGGATGATCTGTGTTTTCAGATTCGATTCCAAGCCCAAGTGGTTACTCAACGTCAGATTCAATGAGTTGGAGAGAGGGAGCCGACCAAAGAGAATGGCAGATGCCCTGCGTAGAAAGCAAAGAGGCATGGGGTAGGATCATATGCTATCTCAGAGATACATCCCCACAGAGACGATGGGGATGCTAGAATAAATAATACCATTGGACCATGTCCATTCCGATGAAGTTGTGTCTGTGTATCCGTACTCTCTACTTCCCTACTCTGTAGAGCAGAACATAAGAGAGAGCACGTGACCGGCTGTGGGCTTCCTGGGTGGAGATTGAAGTTGAAAGGCGCGCGATAATAATCCAAAGTCCGAAAAGCGAACGGGATGCAGTGGTGACTGGAACTCTCGCTCATCCAGCTTTGTACCTCCACATCGAACGAGCTTACCAACGTGACTCAATCCTCTACGCCCGCCCGTCCTCATCGTCGTCGTCGTCGTCGTCTACATCCCTCTCCAATCGCCTACTGGTTTCTGTTGCAGTTCCCCCGACCTCGTTCTTTGGAGTTGTCCGTCATGGCTGCGGCAATCAAAGCTATCAACGCGAAGATTCGCTCCAACAAAGTGCTCGACTACTTCTGCTCGACACGTACGTCTCCATTCCCCTCGATAGCTCCTGAGAGAACTCGGTTGGTGCTTTCGGACACTTGTGCTCGTCGAGCGTCTCCTTGAGAGGCGATCGATGATCTGTAACCGGTGACTGGTGACCGCAAGAGACTGCGGCAGTGAACGAAGATTGAACAGAAATACACAAGAAATCTACAGAGAATATGCGCTGACACTGATCTACGGGCTATAGATTTCTGGGGCCCTGCGTCCAACTTCGGCATCCCGGTCGCTGCCGTCCTAGACACAAAGAAAGATCCTGAGATGTATGTCACCGACACCCAGCAGAATGTTTCTTGATCAGCGTCAAGACGACCTCTTACAACCAATGCCCTCTTCTCAGCAACAGCCTGTTCTCCGAACATGCCATATATGCGCAAATACCAGATCATGAGGCTGACAATCGTTTGATCGCAGCATCTCCGGCACATTCACCGCAGCTCTGACCGTGTACTCGGCGACATTCATGCGGTATGCGCTCGCCGTGACGCCTAAGAACTACTTGCTGTTCGGCTGCCACTTTGTCAACTTCAACGCCCAGTTAACTCAGATGTACCGATGGTACGATTACTGGTAGTAAGTTAACCTCATCCATTATCGATATCTTTTCTTCTCGTTGGATCCATGTTCCAGACACGCTGGCGATTATGTCTACGTCTGCATTAGGCGTGTTGAGTGTTGAGCCTTTCCTTTATCCAGTATGCTGACGAATTACTTTCCCCTGCTATTAGTTTGGGCGGTTCAGACAAATGGGCCAAGATCCGAGCCGAGGCGGCCAAAGTCGAGGGCCAGGCTGCGTCGATAACCGAGCAGGCAAAGGATAAAGTTGGCGGAGCAGTCAGCGAGGTCAAGAAGACGGTTTCATAAGTCTGAGCCGGAATCTTTCGCTGGGGCTGAAGAGGATCTTGATAAGAGGCCCCGGTGACTTTACAAGGGGGTGGTGTTGAGATGCGATGAGAGGTGGAAGCCAATCCGGTACACCAGGACACTTAGGTCAGGGGATCAAGGTATGGCTTCGGACAAGCGTGGGATCTCCGACGGAACAGTTGTTGATACGTCGGCATCTGAACATAGAGAGATGGGTCGGCACGGTTCGAGAGAAGCAATGTATGCTTTGTGGATTCAGGCTTGGAGGGTCCGAATGCTCAAGGCCGGAGATTGACGGAGCCAAACAGGTCGGACCCAAGATTGAAAACGAGCCGGGGAAAGACGTCGAGATCAAGACTAGTATCTCTTTGGACCTCTGGCTTTGTCTTTGTGAGTCTCGGTTTGATCGGGCCTGACCTGGATATATTATTCATCATCATCCTTTTTTCTGGCCGACGAAAAAGAAAAGCAATACAATGTTTCATTTTACTTGCCACACCCTGCATTCTGGCCCGTGTCTTCCTATCAAGAATATATAAAGAATATCACGACACAACAGGACACTCGGTATGGTGGTGTTATTTGATAGAGATCATACGTAGTGTAGTGCGGTTAGATCAAAGCAATGCCAAAGTCAATTGCCATTCAAGTAAACCAAATTGAGGAAGCATCCTTCGATCCCTCTACCCTGGTTCAATTACAAGCGGTGCTGTTATACAATTTCCTTTCCCTCCATCTGATCCTGATCCGTTCGTTTCACTTGCTTTCATTCTCCATCGCAAGACAAGTCACACCAACGCGGTGGTCGATGGCAGCAGAGGCAAGACAGGACAGCGGAAAGGAAAGCAACCACTGTACTTCACGTTGGTGCCTTGACGGCGAGTGAAAGAGCTGCTCTGCCCGCTCCCAATGTCTTCATCCCTAACCTGCCCACCGTCCAAGCCCACGCGACATCCTAACCGACCTCCATTTCCATTGATTCAATTGCGTTTCATGCAAGTACAAGTGCAAGTACAAGTGCAAGTCCATGTGCAAGTCCATGTTGAGAAGGAGAAATAGACGAGGACGACCGCCGGTTTCTGGCACCCAGGAAGGGGTGCATTCAAGATCCCTTCGTGAAGTTCGCCCACATGCCGCCCAGGATGCCGGGCTGGCCGGGTTTCTGGTCAGCCCAATTGTGGCCGCCGGTGCCACTGTTGCGTTTCATGGCAGTCAGGCCGGCGAACTTATCGGACGAGGCGGAGGACTGGGTGGCGCGTCAGTACCAGTATCCGATAAAAGGGAGCTGTAATTTGGAAACTCTACAGGTCAAAACTCACACGCCTTCGACCCGCTGCGCCTGCGCTAACTGCTGGACCTGTGGCTTCAGGTGTGACATTGGTGGCACTATTCTTGTTGGTCGTGCTGGTCTCGTCTTTGGGCGGGCTGCCTGATGTAGAAGCAGCTGCCGCTCCCGAGCTGGAGCCTTGAGACGAGCTACTCCCCGCGCGAGGTCTGGGTTTGTATCCGGATTGTTTGAAGAACATGGTTGCCTGGTGGTAGGAAAGATGGGTTTGATTTAGAAGGAGAAATAGGGAAGTAAGAATGATCGAGGGTTCAACAGATAGAGAGAGAGAGAGAGAGAGAGGAGAAGAAGTCAGGAGTCAAGAGCCCAGTCACTTTGTATTTATTTTCGAGTGATGACGAGGGCGGTTGAGCCCCTGCTGATCAGCTAGTTGGGATGTCTCTGAGGGATGTTGGATTGCACAGTTGTACTTGTAGTAATGACGTAGCTGACACGATCCACAAAGCCAGATGGATGAGTAGAATTGGTCAATGTCGCCTTATCAGGAGGGTAATATGGTCCGTGATTGAATGGAGAATCGAGGTAGAGTGCAGGGCAAATCGTTCAACTCATCCTTTCCCTTCTCATCGGCTGACAGGCGGGCAGAGGAATCCGAGACAAGTGGTGAACGGTCGCTGAAAAGAGGAGACGGTACAAATTATATACACCCACCCATCGCCCATGAGATGAGACAGACATAAGTCCACTTATGTTCTGGGTGTCTCTGCAGAGTCAGCTGCCCGCGTCGGCCGGTCGGTTCGAAGAGCTACTCCCTGATAGATTCATACCGAGACCGGCAGAGGAGCGAGCGAGCGATTGGTGAGGTCAAGCATCGGCCAGCCCATTCCCTGCAGCGGCCTGCAATAGTGGAATAAGGAGATGGCCCTGTTGTTGCAGAGTAGTGTCTATGCTATCGAAGCTCATATTATGATTAAACTCTCTCCTGGCTCTTGTTCCTACCCCGCACATTTCTTTTTGTCCTCCTATCTCCTCTCTTCTATTTCGATGACGGCCCCGGATGCCCAGGGAAAGCATCTGGTTGGACAAGCAGGGTAGCAGGGTGGTAGAGGTCGATCGAGGGTCAGAGCACATGTCCGTGCGAGGGGATGTAGGTGATCATCTCAGAGTTGAGGCCTGTAACATTGTGACACGAAGCACAGAGGACCTAACAAAGTGCACTGCCATTACTGTTGTTGAAGAGAAGCCCAGACAACCGTCACCATCACCATCACCATCACCATTCCCATTTCCACGTGACAGGTACAATCTCAACACGTGACATCCTATCACGTGGTAGTACCCTGACACTTTGGCCCGGTTGTATGTGTTAGTACAGAGTATGTGTAGAGAGCACAACCCATTCCTTCCTTGGTTTTATTGATGGTGGCACGTATCGCCATCTAGGAAACAACCAGTATCCGATACCAATACCCCTGACGACTCTGGTGAGTCAACCAAGCCCACGATGTATACCCTGGAGCACAAAAACATGCCCTTCCCCTCCACTGCCGCCCATGTTTGTGAGACCGCTTCTGTCTCCTCTGGCTTTCCATCCTCACCCTCCTCTCCCTATCCTCCCTTTCCTTTATGCCTTCTCAATCCGGCAGACAAGGTCCAATCCAGCAACAGAATCCCCTTCCCTGACCTGAATATGTCCAACCTTGCCCGAATGAGGTGCACTGATGACCATTTCCATCTTCATGGCACTCAACACGGCAATCGGATCACCCTTCTTGACCTCATGACCTTCCTTGACCCGGACCTCAACAACCACTCCTGCCATCGGTGCACCTACTTGGCTGCTGTCGGTAGGATCCGCCTTGGGTCGGCTAGTGTTCTCAACTGCTGCCTTGGTGTCGTCGATGGTTACCTGTCGGACCTCGCCGTTCATCTCATAAAACACTTCGCGTTGGCCTGTGGTTTCCGACAGCGGACCGATGGCCAGCAGCTTCAAGATGAGTACCTTGCCCTTTTCTAGTTCCACATAGAATTCCTCCCCAATGTCGGGCTTGTTCAAGAAGTACTTGGTCGACAACACTGACAAGTCACCATACTTATCCACGAACTTGCGGTAATCCTCGAACACCTTGGGGTACATGACGTAGCTGGCGACATCCGTCTCAGAGACCGTGTTGTATTTCTCCTTCAATTCCTTCCTGATCTTGGCGAAGTCGATGGGATCCAAGTAAAGGCCGGGTCGTTTGTCCATCTTGCGCCGACCTCGCAAGGCATCAGTGCGAAGTGGCTCAGGGAACCCACCATACGGCTGGCCCATGTAGCCTTCGAAGAATTCCAACACTGACTCGGGGAAGTCCAGATCTTTGGCTTTGGCAATGACGTCGTCATAGCTCAGCTTGTTCGACACCATGAACTGCGCCAGATCACCCACTACCTTGGAAGTGGGCGTCACCTTGACAATGTCACCCAACAAAGCATTGGCTTGTTCGTATGCCTTCTTGGTCTCAAGCCATTGAGCTCCGAGACCCAGTTGAGATGCTTGGAAGATCAGATTGGTCAACTGTCCTCCTGGTATCTCATGTTCGTACACCTCCTAAGAGTCTGTTAGAAGGCATTGCTACTCTTCGCTTTGGACGGGTAAACTTACGGGATCAGGGCCGGTCAGACCGGCTTCAAATGGTGAATAGAGCAGTCTCAGTTGTGACCAGTACTGGTCGAGTGCTCGCACATTGTGGCCATTCAAGCCTGGATCGTAGGGTGTGCCTTCGAGAGAGGCCAGGATGGCACCAATGCTGGGTTGAGAGGTCATACCAGACAGGCTGTCAGAGGCCGCATCCACGGCGTCGGCGCCAGCTTCGGCACATGCGACCATGGAAGCCACACCGGTTCCGGCAGAGTCATGGGTATGCACGTGAATCGGCAGGTCAGGGTACTTCTTTCGGATGGTCCCGACCAGGAGACGGGCTGCCTTGGGTTTGAGCACACCGGCCATATCCTTGATTCCAAGAATGTGGGTGCCGATCTTGACAATCTTGTCCACGAGGTCCAAGTAGTACTCCAAGTTGTACTTCTTGCCAGGGTTCTGATGAGAAAGTCAGTGAATGCTGCAGAACGAGCTCAACACAAAACCAGTAACATGACTCGGGATGAATCCAGCCACACGCTTTCTTCAGGTACTTTTGTGTCTTTTCCAGCATAGGAGGGGGTCAAGGAATAGATCCAAAAGGGGTGAGACGCAGCTCCATGCCAATAGGAAGACTATTGTGGCACAGGATGACATCTGCCGCCTTTCCTACAGTAGGTGGTGTGTGCCAGCTGGTGGAAGGAGGTCGCCATCGAGAAGTGGTGATCTAGAATATTCCTCCACAACGCGGCCCCGAAAGACAAAAGAAGAACAGGGGAAATATAAAAACGGGAAAAGAAAGATCAACATACCAAAAAGTCACCAGAATAGCAGACAGTGGCTTCGACCACGCCTCCGGCTTCTTGGACAGCCCTCATGCCGACCTCCAGCTGATCAATGTCGTTGAGAGCGTCAAAGACTCGGAAAATGTCCATGCCATTCTTCTTGGCTTGCTTGCAGAAATGATAGATGGCATTGTCGGGCAGTGACTTGTATGCCACGCCGTTGGCACCTCGGAGCAACATCTGGAAGGGAATGTTGGGCACTAGTTTCCTCAGCTTCCGCAGTCTATCCCAAGGATCCTCATACAGAAACCGCATGGCGACATCAAAGGTGGCACCACCCCAGCATTCCAAGGAGTAGGCATTGCTGAGGGCGTAGCTGGTTTCGCGGGCAATGTTGCACAGGTCCACCGTTCGGACACGCGTGGCCAAGAGGGACTGATGGGCATCACGCCAGGTAGTGTCCATGATAAGACAGCCTTGGTTCGCACGGATGGCTTTGGCAAACCCCTCTGGGCCCTGCTGGTCGAGGACCGACTTCCAGCCTTTGGTGCAAGGGACGGTGACATCAATCTCCTTGCCCTGATCGTCCAGTATCTTGGGCATGATGATCTCGCCCTTGAACTTGGACTCGCCGATTTGACCTTTGATGCTACTGCCATTGACGGCCAGGTCGCCCAGGTACTGGAGCAGTTTCTGAGCCCGGTTCTGACTGCCGACCAACTTGAATAGCTCCGGCGTGTCATCAATGAAGGTGGTCCAGCAAGTCCCCTCGATGAAAACAGGGTGGGTCAGCAGCGATGCCAAGAACGGGATGTTGGTCTTGACACCCCGGATGCGGAATTCCACCAGCGCTCGCAGCATCTTACGACGGGCGATCTCGTAGGTGGAGCCATGGCAGGTACACTTGACCAACATGGAATCGTAGTGAGGGGTGATGATAGCACCCGCGAAGCCGTTGCCACCGTCGAGTCGGACGCCATTACCGCCAGCGGATCGATATACTTCAATTTTGCCCGTGTCGGGGGAAAAGTTGCTGGCGGGATCCTCGGTGGTAATACGGCACTGAATGGCAAAGCCTCTGGTGGAGATGCGGTCCTGAGTGAGGCCTAATTGCTCGAGAGTGGCACCGGCAGCAATTTGGATCTGAGCGGCCACAATGTCGATGCCGGTGATTTCTTCCGTGATGGTGTGTTCCACCTGGATGCGGGGATTGATCTCAATGAAGTAATATCGGTTCTGCTGGTCAACCAAGAACTCGGCCGTTCCGGCGTTGCGGTAGTTGACCGACTTGGCCAGTTTGACGGCGTCATTGAGGATGGCATCCCTGACTTCGGCGGGTAGGTCTTTGGCGGGAGCGATTTCCACGACTTTCTGATGCCGGCGCTGGACACTGCAGTCTCGCTCATACAAATGGACCACGTTGCCGTGATTGTCGCCCAACAATTGCACTTCAATGTGCTTGGGCTTGTCAAGGAAGCGTTCCACGAAGACGGTGCCGTTTCCGAACGCGGACTTGGCCTCGGAGGTGGCGCGCTCAAAGGCGTCTTTCAAACTCTCCTGGTCTCGGACGACTCTCATACCACGGCCGCCACCGCCAAAGGCGGCTTTGATGATGATAGGAAAGCCGAACTCATCCGTGAAGGCCTTGACTTCCTCATAGGCGGCGACCGGACCTGGGGTCCCGGGGACGACGGGGACGTTGCTTTTCATGGCGAGTGTCCTGGCCGAGACCTTGTCACCGAGCGACTCGATGACCTGGTATGTGGGGCCGACAAAGATGATGCCGGCTTCCTCGACTTTGCGGGCAAATTCGGCGTTCTCGGACAAGAAACCATAGCCAGGATGGATCATCTGGACGTCATGGGCCAAGGCGATCTTGATGATCTCGTCGCCCGCCAGGTAGGCGCCGACCGGAGTGTACTGCCCACGTTTCCCAATCATGTATGCTTCGTCCGCCTTTTGTCTGTGCATGCCCAACCGATCCTCGTGGCTGTACACGGCCACAGTCTGGAGGGACAGTTCGTGGGCCGTTCGGAAGATGCGGATGGGAATTTCGCCACGGTTGGCCACGAGAAGCTTCTTGAGGTCCATGATGGTGGAATTGGCCCTCAGACGGTGGTGGATGGAATGCTGGTCGTGATGGTGTCCATCCTCATGGTCCGGGGTGGCAGTGCCGTTGGTGGCCATGGTTGTAGATTGGGGGGAGGGTTGGCCTCGCTGCTAGCACGGCGCAGCTGTCGGCAAAGGAGCTCTGACGAGCAGGGAACAAGGAGGATGAGGAGGTCAGAGGAGAGAAAGAGAACGAGGAGGAGGAGGAGGAGGAGGAGGGGCGTCAAGAATAAGACTGGTACTGGTCCAGTTTAGTGCGTTTGCGGGAAGAAGGGCAGGAAAAGAAACGAGTGGGGAGCTGTCGTTGCAGCTCCTGGCCGACGGGTGGTGGTGGAACTAGTAGGTGATGAGTGGTGGGGGGAGCTCCAGCGGGTGTTTTTCGTTGAATGCGATTTCGCTCAATCGTGGGGATCTGGATTTGGGCGGCGCTGGAAGGCAGCAGAATGTTGGTGCGTGTACCGTGTATCGTGTACAGAGTCTAGGTACAGAGTAAAAGGTGGTAGTAATGATGCTAACAGAGATATCTGCTCTCGATCGATGTCAGGACTGGGTTGCAGGCTTGCACCGCAGGCAGAGCTGGTGAGCTTGGTGCTTGGTGCTTGGTGCAGTCGTCTGGGGCGGGCAACTGATAGGAGCACGCACGATAACGAGCTCTAGGCGGGAGGGTGAGGTGAGGGTGAGGGTGAGCACAGTCGTAATTAGTCCTCCGTACGTACACGGGAGGATTAATTATCGATGGATGGTATTTCGCCGAACTGCGGTCGCCGCCGACAGTGACAGTGCCAGTGCCTGTGCCTGTGCCTGTTCCTGTGCCTGTGTCAAGTGAAGAAGCAGCAAGTGCCAGTACGTGGTAGCAGTGAGTCAGCACCGGCGAGGGACTGTGCTTGTTATGTATTTTTTTTAACCCGTTATTTGTTCTGCTTCACGGTTCGGTTGGCTCGGCTTTCCTACAACCAATTCCTCCTCCTAGGTATTCGTGTCTCGTAGGGGTCACGACTACTACCTACTAAATACGCCGTAGTACTATAGGACCATAGGTACCGTAGGCACTGCACAACAGTCTGCTGTCTGCTCAGGCACCTGGAATCCAGTCGATTAGCTCCCGAGCCTCGGACTTTTCGTGGATTCCGGTGCAGATTCGGGTCAACTGGGAACGGCAACCGTGAATGACCGAGCCTTGCCGGGTAGATTTCACAGATCTAAGAGTCACTACCTAGTAATTAATTAATTCCAGAGTCACTGGTGTCACTGCGTACTGGCAACCGTCACGTCACGTTTTTCCCTCTTCATCGCATTGGTGCATACTGTACTCCGTACTACGGTAGGTACTCCGTACTCGGTACTCCGTACTCCGACATGGATTTACTCTCAAACCTCATTCACGACTGAGATGGCATTTCCATCCCGGCTGGTCCTGGTCCTGGTCCTGGCCCTGACCCTGTTGTCGGCGACGTCACCCATCAGGCTCCTCAGGCTCAGGCTCCTCAAGCTCCTCAAGCTCCTCAAGCTCCTCAAGCTCCTCAAGCTCCGAACCTCGTCTATCGATCTGTCCATGACACATGCCCCCCTGTCTCCGCCACTTCGGGTCACCCACCGTGGTCTTCTTACTACATGTAGATATCTGGTGTGTTTTGGTTTATCCGTACACATCTTATGATTGGCGACCAGCATCAATGAATGCTACAACCAGAACTAGACTAGCTATTATCATCACCTCCCTTGTGCCTCACTGATCGAGAGATCAGCGCCTTTTGTGTTCCCGCCAGGCTACTCTGAACATATGTAACATACTCCGTACAGTCCTCCCAGCTCGTCAGCTTACCCGCCCCCTCCAGCTGATCTCCTGCCTCTGTCTCCCACCACCAGCGACAGCTTACAAAAGCAGGCCCCTCCAGCGTGCGTCTACTTTGTACATCACCACTTTCCTTTCAGCCTCGCGTCAAAAGACTCCGCTCCGACAATGCGGCACTGGGATGATCAGGCCCCATTGCATTCGCCGGTTCTTCCCGAGACTGGACTTCGACATGGTGCCTCCAAACCCGTCTCAATTCCGCCCGTCTCCCGGAAATTCCCGAGATTCCGGACCATTCAAAATCAATCCCTTGATCTACTTCATCGTTAAAAGGCCCGAGGGAATCCGGTGGGTTGCGGGGTAATGCCATTGGTGTGTCCGTACCCCGTGGGTGTCGGTCCCACGGTCGCAGGCCCTTGTGTCAGCATGAGCCGGCTTCCAATGATTGGGGTGGTGTCCTCCGTCTTCTGCTGGCTTGCTTCCTTGGCCTTACGCTCTTCGTTGTCTTTGCGTAATTGCTCGATCGTGCTCGCCTGTTGGCTCATGTAGCTGATCATGAATGGCATCGTGAAGTCGTTGAGCCCATGACGCCACGAAATCTCCGTCACCGTGTGCAGTGGGATCAGGTCATAGCATGCATACAGCATGCCTACATAGCATTCGCGGCTGCCAATGTCGACAAACTGCACTCGGGTCAGCACCAATCATAACTCCGCCTTCATGTTCGGCATCACTTACATATCGCAACAGATCTTCCACCACTTCGGGCTTCCCCGAGATGGCCGCCGTCTCAATGGCATCGCGGAACAGCTTGTCTTGTTTAGACAAGGCGATGGATTTCTCCCAACGCTTGTTCTTGCGATAAATCTGAGCCGCAATCTGTCGGAAGAAAACAAGGTCATGCTTTTCAAGACGTTGGGCCAGCTCAACCGCATCGTAGTTGTCATAGTTCTCCACCGAATCCTTCAAGGTCTTGTAGTCCTCCTCTTCAATGAGGAGGTCGTGGATGGCCTTGTTCACCACGCGTTTGTTCTGACCCTGCACGCTGAGCAGGAACGGTTTGATGATGGGGATGTTATCCGACTTCTCAAACATCCTTACCACCCGGTTGACGTCGATCCGAGGCGTGAGAGCTTGTAACAAATCGGTCAGCAAGAGAGGCTGCTCCTGTAGATAGTGGTTGAGTGCCCGGTAGTAAATCTCCAGGTTAGCGACCTTCACCACAATATCCTTGAACGAATGATGCTCCCAGGCATCCGCAGCACGTTCCATCATGGCCAATGCCGCATTGTCCCACTCGTCATAGTGGCAGTAAAGGAAAATGAGCTCCGGCCACAGGTGTGCCTCCTCGCAAGCGCGAATCATCTTGGGAATATTGATTCGCGACCAGAAGAGCTTGAGATGCTCCATCACCCGGTCTGGATGATATTTGGAAAGAGCAATGCCAAGTTCGGTGAACATGCCCATGTGCGCGCGCTCAAGTCCCAAGCCGGCCTCGAGCAACGAGATGAGCTCGTCAAAGTATCCTTCACGCTCGTACTGCTTGACCAGATCTTGCAATTCTTCGGCATGGACAATGAGGTTGAGACCGCAGATCTGGGCTAGCCGGAATTCCTTCTTCGCAACGCAGGCTTCGTTGACTTGCTTCCAAACCTTGACGCTGTTGGCGCGCCGGGCACAATCCACTGCATTCTGATATTCATCAAGGTGTACCAGAGTAGTTGCCAATTTGGCCCAGTTGGAAATATTGGTGTAGAAGATCTTCGCTGCCTGGTGGTAGCCCTCCTCGTATGCCTTGTCACCACATGCTTCGATGTCCGCCACATTGGAGGATCGTAAGAACTCTTCAAGCTCGGGTAGCTGATCGAGTCGAGCGTAGCAGAAAGCGAGTGCTGTGTCAATGGCCGGTTCACGTAACGTCTTGCGGGCCATTTTGAGGAATTTGATAAGCTCTTCGTCTTTGCCTGCGTGCGTGGCCGTCTCGATAACCTCATTGTAGTTGGTGGGATCCTGAGCCTTGATGTACGATTCAATCGCATCGCTGACCCTCAAGCCATCAAGTTGGGCCTTTGCGACTTTGCTCCAGACCTCAGGCAGATCGACGTTGTCGGCATATTCTTGGGCGCGGTCGATGCTGACAATGTGATCCACAAGGACGTTGGCAGCAGCAAGGTGGTCGTTCACCTTCTTGTAGATTTCAAGCGCCTCCTCATACAGGCCCTGCTGGATACACATGTTGGCAATCTCCTCGGTACTAAACTCAGAAAGGCGTTGGATGTAATCCATGAGGCGAGACTTGTCGGCCTTGGCTGCAGTCAGCATAAGCAAGTTCTGTAGACTGCTGTTCTCGCTGAAAGGAGAGGGCTCAAGAATTATCTTTTCGAGCAGTTCAATCAGTTCGGCCGGGAGATCAGCGTCCAAGAACGCTTTGACTGCAACCGAGACCTTGTCAGGTTCGCTCGATTCAGGCACAGCTGTGGCAATCACTTGGTCAATTAGTGATCTCCGATGAGGGTTGTTTTCAGAGAGGACGAATGCCCAAATCTCCGGGTCGGCACGTTCAAGGAGATAGCGGGCTTGAGCTCTAAACATGGAGTTCTCATTTGTGACGTTGATCAGCTCCAGATCGTTCTGGCCTTTGCGATATGCAATATAGGCCAGGTTAGGATCGCGCTTCTCACAGTATTTCCCAATCGTCAGAGTATCGTAGAGATCATTCTCTTTCAAGAACTTGTCAGCTTCGGCGTTACTGTCGATGTAGATCTTCGCCAGCGCGTTGTAGACTGCGGGTTGCTGAATTCCCTGTGCCAATGTTCTCTCAAGGAATGGTAGCAAGAGCTTGAGACGGTTCTGAGTCTCAACTTCACTGACGAGGTCGTCCATGGGTACCGCTGTAGGGTCAATGGACACCAAGAGGTCCGTGATGACCGATTCTTCGCAATCCAGCGCAAGTAAGGCTCCAACCACGGCCGGTGTGCGGGACGGGTTGACGCGTTGGACGTAGACTTCAATTGACTTGTACTGCTGGTTGCGGTAAAGGTAATTGACCAGATCCTTGACAAAATTGAATCGATCACAAACAATGATCAAGGGAAGTTGCTCGGCCAAACGTGCCTCAATGAGGAAGTTCTTGACCTTTTCTGGATTATAGTGATTGTTCTCCCGGCAAATCCTCTCCACTTCCTGGAATTGCTGCATGGTCACGGCAGCCTCGAGATATTTGAAGACTACTTCCGCATCCTCGCTCAGGTTGACAATGCTTCCAAGATAGTAGTAGAGGCCCTCTGCCGTGCGATGCTTTTCGAACAACGCAGTCAGCCGACTGGGACCTAACAAATCAGAATACTTGGTGGCAATTTGAATGGCCGCAGCAAGATTTTGTCGAATGTTGACCTTGAGCATCTCATCCAGGCACTCGAGTGACTGCTCGACGGTCATTCGTCCAAAGTATTGTTGAAGCCACTCAGGGTTAAGCTTGTCAGTTTGCACGATGATGCGCTTGATCGTAGCTGGATCGTCGGTATTCTCCAAGGCACGCTGAAGAAGGCCCGCCTGTTCGCAGAGACGAGCAACTCTAGGCTTGTCGTAATACGAAAACATTTCATTCCCGAGGATGGCATCGGCAACTTGCGGTGCGTTGAGCAGATTCATTTCTAACAGGCGCGTCTGCAGGTGGCCTTGCTCTGGCCGATTCTCCTTCAGAGCATCGAGAAGGAAGGCAGTTGCTTGCTGGATCATGTTTTGAGACATAAACACATCAACAACTCGGTCGATATCGACCAGTGGACCACTTTCGTTATTGGCTAGCTGCGTCGCGAACTCCGCGCCTTTGTCGGGATTGGCTCGCACAATGTGTTGTAGCAAGGTTGTGAAGTCGGGCTGATAGTTGGCCTCCAGCGAGTACGGAAGGATTTCTTCCAATCGTCCTGTCTCTGCCAAAGCTGCCACTACCTTCGGGGGCACATTGGCTTCACGGTATATCCTCAGAGCGAGCTCCAAGTCGTGCAGCCGGACGATGTCACCAAGCTCTTCTGAGGACTCCAGTTTGCCTTCACTCATCCATTTGTCGAGGAGGTTTTTGCGATTCTGCGCCAAAACCGGCTTGATGAGCTCCACACTTTCGTACTTGTTCAACCTTCCTTTATCGAGCAGCTTCCCGAAATATTGAAGAATGACTGAAAGTTGACCTGGCTGTTGTGGTGCAGTCTTGAATCGGTTGATAGTTTCTGGAGTTCTCAGGAATCCTCTGGGAGAGTCCGCCGCAATCTGAGCAGCCTCGGCATATTTGCCTTGTGCAAAAAGGGTTTCAAATTGTTGTTGATAGAGATTGTCAGCACCTGGCAGTCCAGCCCTTGACGCCAACTTAATGGCAAGAGTGGCATTGGCTGGGTTCTGCAACAGGTACGGGATGATGGTATTATCGTCAACGCTGACGGATAGTACCTGACCCTTCCGATTGATTCCAACAATGCCGGCCGACTCGGAGTCAGGAACAGTGACGAAGATGGTCTCGCTCGAAATACGGTTCATGAATATGCATGTGGCTGTTTCCAGGTCATACAGGTGAATGAAACCATACTTGGTGATCATGTAGATTATGCTGTACTTCTTGGAGATCTGCATGGCCACAGGAAAGTCGTTGACAGCTTCGTCTGGAAAATAAACGTCGACAGCTCTCTTCGTGAACCGTGTGTTGCTCTCGCTAGGGTCAATCTCGACGACGTGCAGCTTTCCCTGACCTGCAGCGTTTCGTACGGCGAAGGTGAATAGTTTGTGGGGAAGGGGGTTGCCCTCCGCATGGAAAGTTCCGAAGGCTGCAGCATGCCCTTCTATGTGCTGAGAGATACCACGATTGCGAGAGTAGAGCTGCATGGTGCCAGCCACTCTGCCTTCTCGCTGAGATATACCCACAACGACCATCCACTGCTCATCATCGCTGACACGATAATTGATGATCTGACAGCCGCTCAAGTTGGGATTCCGCTCGAATATCTTGACAGGGGCTGATTGTGTGGGGTCGAAGACATCCCAGTGATAGACAGATGTATCTGTGACCAGGCCCAAGCTGCGTTCGCTGTACCATTTCCAGAACACAACGTCCTCGCTCATGATTGTGGACTTCAGCTTGGCCTTGGCCGCAAGATCGAAGACCTGGATTGTTTTGCCTTGTGCCTTGAGGGCAAGAATCTCACGACTCCAGTGCATGATGGCACTGTCAGCGCTAATAGCGCGTTTAGTGACTTCATTGTTGTTCTTGAGGTTCACAATTATGACTTGAGGCTTGTCTTGTTCTCCGAGTTTCTGTCGTACGCAAACAAAGTGGTCGGATTCTAGTGTCTGTAAACCGTGTCAGAAGAGGCCAGGGATTGAAAGCGACATTACTTACACAGCTATTGAAGGATATTGAAGCTGGCTGTGTATGACAATGTCAGTTCGCCGCGTGTCTTCCAAGTACCTTCTGGGTGTTGCGCAGGCAGGCAGCTACGACCCAAACCGGAACGTCAAGGAGTCTTCGCTTACCGCAATATCAAGGTTCGTCAACTATGGCATGAAAATCAGTATGACAGCATGGCGAGCGGAGACTCATCAACGAACCTGAACCAGTTCAGTAAACTTGATGGGAAGCGCCATGATTGCGACCGGCCCCCTGCGGCCTCAGGCACTTCCAATTGTAACGGAGTCGCGGCTGGGCGGTTTGTAGAGGACAGGAGCACGAAAGAATGTAGGCCGATGAAGGGAACGTAGAAGGGGAACTCCACAACAACCTTAACGAGAAAGAAGAGAAGTGGTCATGAGATGGTTGAGTGTTGATTATTGTGAGCTCCTGGAGACACCTTTGAGAAAGTAGTCAACGGCCGGGGATTACTTTGGGACGATGCTACTGTTGCTGCTTCCGCGCCAAGCGCAGCCCAGTTCCACACCGCGCACCTTCCAGCTTCCTGGCGAAAGGGGGCCTAGTAGATCACGTGCAATGCTTGAACCTTCCAATAATAATAGCTGTTGAACGTTAGTCAGCCAGCAGCCATAATGTACAGAGGCCGAGCGCGTGTTGCTCGCGCTGTCCTTTCGTCATGGGTAATTTTCCGATACTGCTCGAGTGTCCGAGATCTCTCTATGAGCAAGCTCTATCTACAACGCCTTCTACAGCACCGATTCTCACGAGGAATGACCCCGCGTCTATCTACAAGAGCTCTGAGTAGGCATATATTACCGCCCTCTGGCATTGGAGCTTCCCTGTCGCTCCACCGACTCTATTCCTCACCCGCGACTGCACGAAAGTCTACTCCAGTTCAAACCAGAAGCACACACCAGCCAGGCGGCCAGAGCTCGAGACTACAGTTTTTGCCCTTCTTGGTCCTCTTCCTCCTCAGCAGTGGCACCTACGTTTTCCTTGTGAAGCGAAAAGCAGGGCAGCAGGGAACAGTTCCGAGTGAGAACCGTAGAAAAGCACACACTGAGAGATAAGTTGCCAGGTCTCGGAGAAAACAACCATGCCTGCCATAGAACCAACAGCGGGCACCTCACCTCTCGTTCAGCCCGAACTATCTCTTGCTTCTGCCAATACTTTCCCTGCGTTTGACCCGCAAAAAGTCACTGTGGTCTACATACTAGGCGGTCCGGGATCTGGAAAAGGCACACAATCTGCTAATCTGGTTCGAGACTACGGACTCGTCCATTTATCGGCTGGAGACCTCCTGAGGCAAGAACAGGACACCAAGGGCAGCGAATATGGACAGCTGATCAAGGACCATATCAAGAATGGAACGATTGTCCCAATGGAAATCACCGTCAAGCTGCTAGAGAATGCCATGCGATCGAACCTTGACAGCAACAGTACCGGCAAGTTCTTGATTGATGGTTTCCCTCGCAAGATGGATCAAGCAATATTCTTTGAGCAGTCTGTCTGCCCCTCGAAATGTACAATCTTCCTCGATTGCCCGGAAGATGTTATGCGTGAACGGTTACTGAACCGAGGGAAGACAAGCGGAAGATCAGATGACAATGAAGAGAGCATAGTCAAGAGGTTTAGAACATTCCTCGAGACAAGTATGCCTGTGGTGGATCACTTTGCGGCGGAGAACAAAGTGGTCAGGGTCCCAGCGGTCGGCACAGTGGAAAGCGTGTACGAGGGCGTTGTTGAGGGTCTGGCGGAGAAGGGCATTGCTCCAACCAAGTGACAGGACTCTGTGGTTGATCAGTTCCCTTGAATGCAAGAGTGGTAGAACGGCGGAGAGCTCGTTTGGTTTATTTCGGTGCTCAAATCCCCGCAGGACAACATGACGGCCTGTACAACCTCTAGCTGATGGTTAATTAGTACATAGTGAGACGTCAATGTACCCGACTCTTCTTTCACCAGTGTGTTACAGGCACCAATTGTCAGAAAAGGGAGATCAATGACCTAGCGGCCCTGGCAAATGAATTTTATTCTCAGTTGGATACAACCTCCTTGCATCCGTCTTAATCATCCTCGCATCCACTTTCGCTGTCACTCGCCTCCGTTACTCCATCGAAGCCCTCAAAGTCATCATCTCCAACCCCCAAGGTTTCATCATTCTCAGATGTTGGCAGCATAACAAAGGCTTTAAGGCAGGTGATCCGATTGCCTGTCTCGTAGGAGCCGATTACCGTACCTAATTGCACCGTCGTATCAGAGTTTGCAGCAGCCTGAAGATCGGCTACTGGAAGTCGAAAGATGCGGATTGTCCCGTCACTGCTTGCCGTTATTATTGCGAGGTCCTGTTGCTGGTTCTGGGCGTTTGCAAAAGATAAGATCTCGAAGTCTTTGACACGATTGTTGACACCTGTCGACTTTCCACCCACGGTCGCGCAAAGGCTAGCCTTGGGTATTGAGGGTACGTCCCCGCTGATTTCATTGGATGCGGAAGTTATTGGTTTGTCAGTGTTGTAGAACAGTACTCGACCATCCTCAGTCGATACAGCTAGTAATGCCAAGTTCTCTTCGGAAGGACCTGGCAAAGACAAGTAGCATATTTGATGCAATTTCGTCAGGGGTTCTGGCAAAACCTTGCATTTGGCCTTGGAGTCCTCGCCGAAAATGACAGCACCTCTCTCGAATGCGACGGAGAACTCAACCCCGGCAGGATGCCAACGGATTCTCCTTCCCTCTCCGCTACTGTACTTGCTTTCTTTCACACTCTGAAGGATTTCGCGGCCAAAATTGAGAACACCAGCCTTTTTACCGGTCACTAGGTTCCAAAGGCGCATGCATCTCTCCCCCCGGCCGACGCTGAGCATGAGTTTGAGACTGGGGTGAACAGCAAAATCGTTTATGCCGGCAGGGGTTGCTCCAGGTGGTGCAGTATCTCCACTAGGTTGCCCTTGTACTTTGGGACGAGGGGCCTTGATTGTCGAAACCACTGTCAGGTCTTTGAGCCTGGTCACTGCAATGGTGTTGTCTTCTGAACCTGACAAGAGTTTTGACCTCGTGGGGAAATACAATGCCGTGATCGTTGAGGAATGATGTAGGAGTGTCCCCAGCTCTCTGTTCCTCGGGTTCTCTGAAATTGGATTGTTGCCCAAGGAGGGCATTGGGAGGCTCTTGTCGTTGAAAGTCATTGGCGATGCAGAGAGACTGTAAACATTTATCTTCTCGTCCGATCCTCCGGTGGCCAGGTACACGCCCTGAGCTTCCGAAGCGTCCGGATCGGGCATGGGAGAGAGTGCTAAACATCGCACCGCAGAGGCATGGGCGTTGAACAAAAAAGAATCTGCAAACTGGACTGACGGAGAAGATTTGGTTGACGAGAGGTTTGAGATAGATGCAGTAATGCCGTGCAGAACACGTTCATACGAACCGGCAATGATCTGGATGACGGGACCAGCGGTCTTGACATCTACATGTCCATTTGTTTTGGCGACTTTTGCGATCTTACTCTGACTGTCTGTCGTGCTTGTTGTAGGTTTCGTGTTGAGATCTCGCTTTCTTTTCGCCATGGTAGATTCCAGAGAGTAGTTGCAGGACTGATCTGGGTGGATAATCAGAACAGGCGGCACTATACGTGACCTGTCTGTTCTTGGTAGAGTGGCCTGAGAGTGTTGACAGCACGTAGGTAAATATCAAATCCGAAGAAGGTTCATTATTGCAAAGCGACGGTGGTGACGGGAAAAAAGTACTAGTAGCAAGCAGTTTGCCTGTCGGGAAATTTTTTTCCCTTTAGAAAACAGTAGTGACCAACCCCCCTGCCTAGAAAAATAATAGTGAGCTGGACGGACTGGGTGACGCGCACAGGCGCACCCTCACCTATCAGATAGTCTAGTAGTCCCCCTGTACCTAGCTATCAGGTCGAGCAGTTGGGCAACCCCAGTAGAGGTGACTGCGCCCTCCCGCCCGTGGCCGCCCCCCTTCAACTTGCCTTTACCACACTCCTCGTCCGCTACACTTTACCTGCATACCCCGAAAACTGGACATCTCGCTCTGGCGGTCCGCCAACTTCATCAGTCTCAAATCGACCACAACGCGCCAAAACAATTCATTTGGAGGACTCGGCCCATCTCCATTCGTCCCAATTGTTAATTCTTCCAATTTTCAGCAATTAATTCGAATGGTTTCCGCCCACAGCAGCCACCGATGAAATGCACGTCGAGCAGTTACGCTCAAAGAAGTCGGAAGCACAGTGAGTAATACTCTTTTCGAGCGACTTACAAGGCTCTACCGGCTTGCATTGTCACGCTGATGGAATTTCGTGAATTTCAGAAGTCGTTTGCTGTCGAGAAAGCGCAAGTTATCGGAACTGTTCTCAATCACCGCGTACCCTCTTACACCGGACGACCCGATCTACAAACAGAAGCTCCAAGCTTTCCAGGATGCAAATAACCTTGAAAGGTGATATCCTCTCTGTCGCTGCAGCTTCTCGATCCCTTCAATGGATTGTAGTAGCTATAGCCCGTTTCTCGACTGTCTAGGCTGACCATTCTTCAGTGGCCGCCTGTTCGACGAATCTACTCTACCAGCTCGATCACATATAACCTTCCAACCACGCAAATCGCAGTCCTTTCAATCACCTCCTGCCTCTCTAAAATCTCCCGAGAGATCACAACCACCAATAACTTCCTCTCAAGCGGAAGCTTCGACGCTCCAATCTCCAAGCACTGCGACCAAGCCTGTCGCATCAACAACATCTGCAGTCGTTCAACAGCGAGGCGATGAATACCAACAGTCTGTTGGCCATGTACTAGAAGCAGATCAACAGCAGAAGCAAGATCAGCACGAGCCTTTTGCAGACGATTCTAATGCTCGAGATGCCGAACCGAACACCATCTCAAAACCATCTAAATCCAGTCGTCATCGCTCGAATTCACCCCAAGCTTCAGTGTCACCAGCGCCTCATGCTGAAAAGGCCACGGTGGAAACAACTGGGACAGAGCCAAGCGTATCTGCAGCAGAAGCCTTTGTGCCGGTACCCTATGTTAGTGTCGGAGGTGAGGCGAGGCAGAACACACCTGTCCTCCCACCTGTCACGATACCCATCGAACCCCAATCATCCCCATCGTCTACAAATGGACGAGACTCAGCGAATACTCCCGCACCTACGGCCGGCTCCCCAGCAACGAGTCCAGGTGTCGAAGCACCACTTAGCACACCCGGAGCTATTCAGGAGAACAAGCAGGTGCCAGGTGGCGTAACCAGCCCAGCACAACCAACACACGTGGTGAGTATCGGAGGCGAAGACAGCAAACATGAAGTCCAGCCTCCGCCCGACATCGAGATGACTGGGACAGGGGAACTGGACTCAGTAGCACCCACCTCAGGTCAAACCCAGGAGACAACAGAATCGAAGGCAACCACAACTTCTGACAAGCCCAGTATCCAAATTGAGTCGCAAAACGAAACTGACTCGTACTTCAAACCGCTGTCCGGCGATGCCATAGTCGAGACTCCGACGCCGTTGACAGCCACTGCCATACCGCAACCAAATACCACACCAACTCCCTCTGCACAGGAGCCTGCAAAACGTGCAACTAGAATTTCTTCTGGTGTCTTGCAGAAGAAGTCGGTTTCAGAGATTCTCGGTGAAACGCCGAAAGTGGTGATCCCGCAGGTGGCGGAATCTCCATCGTCTGCATCGAACCACAATTCCTTCGGCGCCGCGACGTCCCAGGGGCGGACTAGAGACCGTGATCGTCGCGATAGAGAACGCAGCAGATTGTCGACTGTTGTCTTCGCCAAACCACAAAAACCAGCCTCTGATGAGGAGACAGTAGACGTTACCCGGATTGACGATCGCGAGGCGCAGCGGAAGAACTCAGGACAAAGAGACTACTTGTACACACTTTTTGAGAACAAGGCACATTCCATGTCCCGGCAAACTTCGATGTCTTACCTGATCCAGAATGCTCACAAGACACTTTCGACCTCGGACCACCTTATTGAATACGAGTTGTCGGCTCAGTGCCGGATATTGAAGCGTCTGTATCAGCTACAGGAAAAGGGGCGCTGGCCACTTCGACAGTACAAACGTGCTGATGAAGCCTCGAGGCCAACCTCTCACTGGGATTTTTTGCTTGACCATATCAAGTGGATGCGTACCGACTTCAGGGAAGAGCGAAAGTGGAAGCTCGCTGCCGCTAGAAGCATCGCCGAGTGGTGTGCAGAATGGGTTGCCAGCTCCCTGGAAGTTCGCAAGCGTCTGCAAGTGCGAGTTCGACCACCAAACCTTTTATCTAAGCCCGATGAATCCCAGGATGTGACTATGGATGATGAACCTGGCCCCAGTCTCTCCTCACACCCAACACCGGAGTTGATGTCTTCGAATGAGGATGATTCTATGAGCGACGACATTGCAGATCCACGCGATATACAGTTTTCAAGTGCTCCTGCTGCGATATTCTCACTCGGCGCCTCAGATTTCAGCCTTGCAGTCGACAAGACCCCCGCGCTCGATAAACTTCTAAATGAGTTGCCCCTCTATGAGCCTTCTGCGATTGAACCGGATCTTTCTAAGTCTAATCTTGCGGAACGACTGGATGCAAAATGGAAGACCGACATTGTACCTGTCTCAAGATGGGCAACGGAGAAATTACCAGTGAAAGAGTATGCGCCTACCATTAAGCGTAGTCGGTATGAGTACGAGCTGGAGCCCTCGCCCAAGCAGAATCCGACGCCCCTTCCCCCGGAGGAAACGAATGTTGCTCTGTTTATGCCTGAGAATAAGCATATTCGTGACAGGATACACCCCGGACACTCTTTCCGTCCGCCCTCTGAGCATCCTATGCCAACGCAGGCTTTCTTCGAAACCAGGTCATCGTCACAATGGACCCACGCCGAAGACGATGAACTCAGAAAGCTTGTCAAGGACTACTCCTATAACTGGTCTCTTATCTCCAGCTGCCTAACTCCTCGAAGCTCCTACACGTCGGGAGCTGACCGAAGGACGCCATGGGAGTGCTTCGAGAGATGGATCGGACTGGAGGGCTTACCTGCGGATATGTCCAAGACTGCTTATTTCAAAACCTACTCCGGTAGAATCGAGGCTGCCGGGAGGCATGTCGCAGCTCAGATCGAAGAAGCTCAACGGAGGGCCGGGGCTAATGTACAGATTTCTGCGCGCAAGAGGACCACTCAGCCTGTCAGAGTCGAACGTAAGAGAACGCAACGACATCTTGCCATGCTTGACGCCATGCGGAAACTGGCGAAGAAGCGGGAGACCGCCCTCCAGAAACAACAACACCAAGCCGATCTTGCTGCAATGCGTAAGGTGAATGACGCCAATGTCCCGAAGCCAGCCTACAAGACTCCCGCAGAATTCTCCCAACTGAAACAAGAACGAGAGCACAAGTTAGCAGAGCGCCAGGAGATTTATAGACAGCAGCTTATTGCCCACCAACGTGCTACTGCGCAGCAACAACGCGGACAAAATGCTCAACCAAATGGGATGCCAAGCGGCATGCCACCTACAGCACCCGCGATGCGTGGTCCATCATCTGCTGGAGGCATATCTGGGATGCCTAATGGGAATGTTCAACTACCCAACGGCCATCCTCGTCATCCTGGCATGATGGCTATGCAAGGCAACGTTCAACTGCCACCAGGCATGGTGGGTCCCAAGGGCCTTACTCCACAAATGCAAGCGCAGATGCAAGCACAAATGGCCGCCCGAGGTGCTGCGACGTCACCACAGCAGATGCGCATGCTACAAGAAGCGAGCCGCGTTCAGCAGGAGCAGTTGATGCGACAAGCCCAGCAAGCTCAGAATGGCGCTCATTCATCTCCCACAAACCCCCATGCTGCGCTGGCAGCTGGGAAAGGGATGAATGGTGCCGCCTATATTTCTGCTATAGCCAATGCAAACGGGATCGGATCACCTTCAGGCCCGATCCATGGAAATTCTGCCTCGCCGCGTCCTTCAAGCGCCAATCCTGGTCAAGCGTTGTCTAGCGGACACATTCCTGTGCTAACTCAAATCGCCAACAAGATTCGAGAGCATCATCCTAACCTCTCCGAGGAAGATATACAACGTCATGCGTCTCAGCAGATCACATCTTATCAGCAGGCGGCGACTGCTGCGGCAGCAGGTCAAGCTCAAAAACGACTCCAGCCTCATAACCAGGCCGCGTTAAATGCTGCTATCGGCGCTGTGAATGCTGGGACCCACGCTTCCAACGCCGCGGCCGCGGCAGCTGCAGCTGCGCAGTTTGGCCACATAGGTATGATGACGAATGAACAAGTACAGCAATACAATCAGCGCATGAGAATGCAGCAAGCCCAACAACATGCTGTCCGCGGAATGCAAGGCCAAATGCAACCGGGCATGATGGGAGCTATGCCCAATGGAATGGTCAATTCTCCTGTGATGAATATGGCCAGGCCGGTCAGTCAACACACAAATCAAGGGCAGTTGAGCCGGAGCGCAACGCCCAGGGAGCAGAGAAGCGGCAGTCAAGGCAACATTAGCGGCAGCGGGCCCGGACAACAGGGCAGCCCCCGGCCGACTCCGCAAAGCATGCAAAGCCAGGCATGACTAACTGCGATTGTATATCAAGGGATCTTGTTACTGATTGATGCAGCTTTCAGCTTAACAATACATGAAATCCGACGTTTATCGCTTATGGCCGCACTCCGCTTTCCATTCTGACTTGACTCATTTGGTGCGATATGATGTGGGCAATGCGGACCGAGGGATGTATGATCTGCCACCAGATAGTTCTAGCCTGGGCTTGGGCGTTGTGAGGTTTGCGATTAAATGCTGAGTCTTGGACACGGCATCCACGACAGGCGGATGTAGTCTGATTGCAAAATGCAAGAAGGGCGTCACACGCTGGCAGAACAACCCTCATCAGTCATCTAGTGAGCCCTCCAGGGCACGATAGAACAGTGTAGCTTAGCACTCGGACTCGCACTCTGCAATCGGCGGGTGATATCAAATCAACTGGTGCTTTCCATGCAGTGGGTACTCCGTCCATAAACCTCAGCAAGATCGTCCGTCAAACAACTTGGGAGCAGGCTGCTATGCCAGAGCGTCGTCTAGCGGATGAGAGGGAGTCGGTCAGGAAAATTTGGTTCTTTCTATGTAATTGTACAGGACATGGTCCTCGGTCATGTCAATGACCCTGGCCGAGATCATTTTCAGTCCTATCAGAGCAGTCATCGGCCAATAGCTCTATGGGATATGGGTCAGGCGAGCGGCAGTTTTTTGCTTGTCCTCGAGAAAAGACGGTTGAAGAGTCGTCCATTTGCTTTTTGATCCGCCTTCCACTCAGTTTTCGAGTCCACATTGCACCTGACCCAGCCAGGATCTTGACTTTCTTCTTGGTCGTCTTCTCCTCGTCGCGGCCCCCCATGCCAACATAGACCTGCAAAACGCCGTCTGGGATGGAATCCAGTGAAATGAAGCAGAGAAGACAGCCACTGTAGCAGAAGGTAGAAGGTAGAAGGTAGAACTACTAGTCCCCTCCGCCTACAGCTTCGACTTCTCTCGGGCCTTGATGCTCGCGCGGCTCACGCTGCTCACGGTACTGCCCGCCCCTCCGACCACCGCCTCCTCGTCTCTGCCTATCTCCTCCATGGTGGCCTCTCTGATTGTCTCCGCCATCGCCCCAGCCGTTGATGCCGGCATCAGCGTTGCCGGGTCCCTCGCGTAAGAAGCGCTCCCTCTCGGCCTTGACCACGCTCAGCACGCTCTCTAGGCTCCGGCGCCAGACCAACAGCCGGCCCTGGATTTCGGTCCACTGCTTCTCGCCAAAGACGCGGTACGTGGCGCGTTGCACAAGGAACTCTTGCTTCAATTGGCTGAGTTTGCCCTCCACCAGGCCCGCGCGGATGGTATCAATCACCCACACCTCAACGTCCTCGCTGGGAATTTGCAGCGCCGATGCAATGGTGGAATATGACACCGATCGGGTCTGCGAAGACGCGGTGATGCTCGCCAGAGTCAGCAGGCGGATCTTGTTGCTGAGCACTTCGGCGCTCTCGTCCGAAATCCCCAACGTTGACAGCTCGTTTGTCTCGAGAAAGTCGACATAGGAGGAGTAGTCGTCGGATGAGAAGATCTCCAACAGATCGAAGAGATTGCTGTCGGATTTGCGGATCGCCTGGATGGCATCGCTGGCGGTCAAGGGTGTGAAGTCGGTGACGCTCGGGTTCGTGAGCGCCAGACGCAGGGTGCGTTTGGCAAGTTCTTGCGAGTCTGCTTCGGCAGCCGCTTCAGGAGGAATCGTCTCCAACGCGCTCAGGAGATAAGTGTACGAGACATCGTCGTGTCCTGTTGCCGAAGCCACGTCTGCTATGGCGGTGTACAAGCTGCGAGCATCTTCATCATCGAGTTGCCAAGAAGCCAACCACTCAGGGATGTTGGTTTCCAGTTGGGATACCAACGCCTCGAACGCCTGTGAGGAGGAGGTGGCTGTGATGACTTTCAAAATGGCAAGGAAGACATGGTAGCGCGCTTCGCTAGTCGGAGGGAGCACATTAAATACGGTTGTCAGAGTCTGCAGGGCTAGCGAGCCGCCATAGATCGGGGACGATGTCACAGGTTGCTCGGACAGGTATTGGCATATCCGCGCGAACAGCTGTTCGTAGATCGGGGATTGCAGCGACAGGCTGATGAGAAGGTTGTATGCGGCAGTAAATTCTATGAGCCATAAAAGTCAGCTTCTTCGTCGTGAAATCCACCGGTTCACGGGCTGCGTACCTCGTTCGGGGCCCGAGTTCAGGATTGATGCCTTGGTAACCAGCTTTTTCAACACCTCATCCTTTTGGGTTTGTACGGCGGCCTCGTCGACCTCGACCTCGGCCTGCTCTGCCTCGCGAATTTTGTTCAACGGTTGTTCGATTTCCGCCTGCACGCCTGCGCCCTCTTCTGCTTTTGAGAGGCCGTCGAGGTACTGTGCGAATTCTTCAGCGAGCTCGGAGAACGAGCCTTCGATCAAGAGAGTATTCGTGGGGCCCGGCATGGCGACGGCGATTGATTATGGAGAATGATACAGAGGAGGTGTTCTGTTAGACGTCTTGGTCTCGCCTTTCATGGCCTGCACCTCCCGTCGTCGCTCTGGCTGTGGGAGCGAATTTGGAGGAATCGAAATCTTGGCGGAGATAAGATTAGATCTGAATTTTGCGTGTCTTTCCCAGCACCAGTACGAGTACTACTACCAGGGAAGTATCAGTAGCAATTGACAAGGACTCGGAGTTGAGCTTCGACAGCGACTGTTTTCCCTGGTTTACGAGTTGCAATGAATGGTTGTTCTTCAATACCATTGTCGCTCTCTGTGACCCCCATCCCTCAGAGTGCTGTGCCACCACCTAGCTACATCAATTGTGAAGGGACGCCACTAACTATCCCTTCAAAACCCATCGTTTTAAGAGTTGACTCATGTTGGCCCCGGCACGGGGATAGCTGTGTTGTCTCTTGCGGACATCTCGTCCTCAATAAACACTCCGAGCCCTGCAAAGGCCCGCAGCAGAGATTCATCCATGTACTGTGCGAAATCATATCCTCCAGCCAGCATGGCCTCGGCTGGTTTGCCTCTCACCCTGGTAATGTAGCTTTCTTTGACTTCGTAGTACTCCCTTGTACGAGGCATACCCATGAACGGGTCATAGGGTGCCTTTGCTTCGGGAATGACAATCCTCTTCAGTCCCTTGATCAATCCGCTTTGGTCGGCAGCGTCAGGGGCCATGTCTTTCCGTCTTGGAGCCTTTGCTCCTGGTTCTGGCCCATCCGTTGGGTCTGTCTTGATCCCGTTCGCCTGTGCGTATTCCTTGAGTTTGCGGTTCGTGGCAGCCACATCAGTCCGAAATACGAGGTTCATGACCAACTCTTCTCGCAATTCTAGGAAGTCGTCGTAGTCGCGTTTGGTCTCAAATTCTTCTTCCCGGCGGTCCAGACTGCGAGTGTGAGACGGTAAGGACAGTAGGAGAATAGACAATCAATTCGTCAACTTACATCTTTGTGACTCGTCTGCGGATCTCGACTTCGCGTTCGATCTTCAGGTCTTCGAACGTCTGCGTCCGCCATTCTCGTTTCCAGAGACTAACGTGACAGCCTCCAACCGGACATTCTGCTTTGCCACTGGAGAAATGTCGGTCGACACATCCTTCACATATTCGATGGTAACACTTTGTGTTGATCTTGAACCGAAGCCCGGGGTGTGTTCGAGGGTCGCTTCCACAGACCGGGCATTTGTTCGCACCTGGAGATGCCACTGGTCAGTTTACTGCCGGATCGCGTCGTAAAAGACGTGAGCTCATACCAACAGAGTCTTCTTCATCCATGCTGCTGACGCTTCATCGGGCGACCCAGTTGCGTCGTGCAGCGTTTTCCAGAGTCTGTAGCTCTTTCACTGCCAACGAGAGCTGTATACAATACTAGCTGCCGAGGGCAACATCCTAAACCAGCCGAAGTTGGAAAGCCCTGTGTAAGCGTCGATGATGCACATGTATCCATACCACACAAGACAGTGAAGTGAGAATCACAAGTGAGGATGACTAAGCGCGTGTGGCGTTGCAGGCACCAAGCAGGCGGGCGTTTTCAACCCCCAAAATTTTGCAGACAACTTTGCCCTCAGCCGATCTTGCTTGAGAGTCGACGCTTTGGGGCCCAGCCCATACGGAACCGGTTCCAATTCCAACTCGAAGATCATGGACGATTCAGCCCTCGCCCGGGTCGAGCAACAGCGCATCGAGCTGGAAGCTAACATCACCAAACTGCGCAAGTCACTGCGTCACTGGCAGACGCTTGAAATTGATTACGAGGGTCTGAAGGAGGAGTTTTTAGGAACACCGGATGACTCCTCTGCTGAAGAATGCTTACGAGCTGCGAGGGACTTCAGGCCAGAGTTGATCGATGAAGAAGAGTTACAGGAACTCGTCGTAGACAGCAAATCACGTCCTCGTCAGCCTGCTCAACTAGTGGACCTCTTGACCAAGCGTGTGGACTATGTCTCCCGGAACATTGAGACGGTACGGAGACAGCTCTCTGATGCTGAGAGGAAAAGGAACGCTCTTCTTCTGGCCGAGGAGCCCGAGCACCAAGAGGATGCCGGTCTTCCTCTCGCCGAGATCACAGAGGAGTTGGACGACTCAGGACGAGTAATCTCTAGCAAGGTGCAAACTCCCGGCTCCTCGGCACCTCAGTTGATAGACGTGCTTAAGAAAGCCGGCATTGAAGATTTGGAAGAGATAGATGGGAAGATCACGACAGTGGTCTCTCCAGATCGAGATGGTTTAGGACCGAGTCACACATCACCTCAACAAGGAGTCGAGCGGGAGGTTCGACACGACGACCAACCGTCCACTCGACCCATTATAGAAGCCGAGGAAGTTACCGGGGAGGCCCCTACCAATCCCAATGACACGGAAGCTGATGCCAGACTCCGTCGAGAGATGTGGGAATACTCTAGAGGGATGGACGAAGTTGGTGCAATTGTTGCAGAGCTTGATCTCGAAGAAGATGCCTCTGATATTGATTACGACGAGCAGGATGACACCCTCGAATTAGATTCGGACCTTGACAAGGACGATGACTTCGAAGAGGAGGAGTCCGAGGACGAAATTGGCAAAAGTACCCACCGACTTACAATTCCACGAGGGTATCGAAAGAGGATGGAGGAGTTGCAGGAGAAATTGGGTATGAAGAACGTGGGACCTCAAGCCACTTCGGAACTCGTTGTCGAGACTCTGAAGCAGGAACAGCGACCACCAGCAGCTGAAGCGGCGCGGAAAGCTGCCATCGCCAGAGAAGAGAAATCCAAGAAGAGCAGTTTGAAGTCGGCTGTAAAAGAGACCACTTCAGGGGAGAAGAGTGTAAAGAGAGGGAAGTCGGGCAAAAAAGTTGCATTCTCCTCGGAACTGGATTTCGCCCCCGAACAACCAACAGGTAGAATTGCCAGCGTGGCTTCCACGGCCTCACCGGGATCTCCGCCGGCGCCAAAACCTCGGCCGATTAATGATTCGGTGGTGGAACGAGAGGTTGCTACAGTTGAAGAAGATGTTGTCGCACCAGTTCCGACCTCTCTCACTGGGAAGCAGTCTCGTTTCAAGGCTGCGCGACAATTACAACCGCAGGCGCCCATGTTCACTCCCCCAATGACTTTCCCAGCGGATTCGTCGATGCAAGGTCAGGGAAAGTCGAGCTCGCCGGTTCCTCCAGCGCAGCTGGTCTCGCCGAATGTTGTCGAGCGTCCGTCTTCGACCGTCGCTAGAGCTCCCGATCCGGATGATTTCCCTGAGGAAGCCCACCGTCGCGAGATCGCACTGGAGTATCAGCGACACCGGATGAAACGAATTCAGTCTCAGGAGAGTGGGTTCGTGGGAGACGGAGAGGAGGACAACTACGGAGAAATGATCACCTCGGGCAGCCGGATAGGTGGCGAAGACGGACAGGAGAGAAGAATCAGCAGGTTCAAAGCTGCGCGGATCAACCGATAAACGAGGCAGAGCAAGCCCCGTATGCCGGCAGATCGGGAGCTTAGATCTCTGCCAGCATTGACTCAGCTTGACATTCGACTACGTGCCTACGGGTCTCATTTCGACCTTCCTGGTGCTTGACTATCTGGGCGACCCCATAGGTCTTACTTTCTGCTTCTGGCTTTCAGGAACCCCAAGACAGTATCCATGCTTCAATTGCCAAAAGGACATGCAGCCGTCTGTTCCTCTCCGGGGGGATGGAGACCTATCTGCGTTGTTCCTCCATAGGAGTTCCAAGATCAAGAGATGGATGGCTGGGCTCTCTGACGCCTGATCCCTCAATCCAGCTCTTGCGAGACTGGAGTCGAGAAGCGATGGATCTGGCGAGTCGTTTCACCCAGGACATTGATCTACCACCATAGTACTTGGTATAAGTCGGACCACCTCGTAACGCACAACCTACGTAATGCACAAGTATTCCTCGTACACCCACCACCTCTTTATACTTAACGTACGCGTTACACTACGTCGTTTATATGCCACTCTATATAGAGACTCTCGAAGGTAATCCTTAAGAGTGCCTTAGACGCCGCCTATATCTCTCTAACCCTATCTCGGCGATCCTACTCCTTCTAACGTCGCGTAACTCGCTTCTAAGTCTCCTTAATATCTATAATAGAAGTAAATACCTTATTTAAGTCTATTCGAACCTTCGTACGCTTTATAGTACTCTTCTCCTATAGACTAACGAATAACCATTATAATTAGAGCGATTACTCAGCAGTCTTCTATAGAAGTACGTCGATCGCCTTCGCCGCCTTATTAAGTAATAGACGAGGCCCTCTATTAAGTAGTATATCTTAATAAGTATTAAACGTCTACGATTAAAGGTATTATCTACTTATAGATATATTTCTAGTAATACTTACTAAAAGCCTTTATTTACGCGTACGCGAAGTTTATAATATTAGTTTAATAGATTATACCTTCTAAATAACTTAAGATAAATTTAATATCTTCTTCGAGTTATACGGAATTAATTCTATTTCTTTCTAGCCCGCCTTAATATAGCGAGATTAGAGAATATACCCTCTCGCCTTTACGTAGTATTTAATAAACCAGACGCGTTATACGAGTTATATTTCGTTATATCTTAATAAATTAGTAATCTCCTTTTAATAGAATCGCTTTAACGTCGAAAAGATACTAATATTAAGAGATTAAAGAATATACGAGAAGTATAAAGATATAAATATAAGCTAAACTCTATAACGTGGTTTATAAGCGAGTTGGCCACCTAAGCGAGTTGGCCACTTCCTACTACCTTCACGACTATTAAGCTCAATTACACTACTACAACAAATAGAATCAATTAATACTACAAGGAACTAGATTCTACAGCTATTTCTATATCTTCTTCGCAAGTCCGCGTGTTGTGTCCGGTCTTGCCACAAGTGCCACAGTGCCGTACGCCGGGCTCGGTCCTCCGTCGACAACCACTATTTTCACGCGTATTTTGCTGCAGTTGCGCATCCAAGTCCTTCTGGTCCGGTAGGTCCTTCCCATCGCCGACGGTAAGAGATCCTCCTTGCCGTACACGCGTCTTTTTGGCCCTCCGGCGCCTGCTCAGTGTTAGGTTGGCCTCTCGAAGTATCCTGACCTCAGACCTCAGTAGGGCTACCTCATGCATCATCGCCTTTGCCCCCTTCGTAAACTGGTCGACAGAACTGTAAATTTGTGTCGGGGAGCTGTTCTGATGACTGGCAATCCGGCCTTTAATTAAAGTAGATTGCGAGCCGGCCTCTATCGGGTTGTGTGGTGTCTAAGAGACCCAAAGCTCGGAGGTGGCCAAAGGAGGTCTGGTCGGCGTCGGTGTCCGTAGCTTCACGTCCAGCTTTGACAAGACCACATCCGGGTCTGGAGGCACTAAACCGGCCCCTCTAAATC